ACACTTTGATAATTTTAATTCTATTCTCGATTCAATAAAATTATTGCAAATCCTCTTGGTTTTATTGTAATGATATTTAAGGTTGAAATAAAGTTTTCTTTCTATGCTTCCTCCATTTTCTAGGTTTTCAATCTAATATTTATAATTTTTAGCATTTCAAATACAATTAGATGAATGAATAACTTGTGGTATTATTTTGAAAACCTTATCTTATGGGTTAATGTTGTACATTATTTCTTAAATCTCAATTTTTTTCACCAATGTGTAAAGAAGGAAAGCTTTTGAAAGAAAAAAAATTAAAATTCCTGCTTTCTTTAATATATGGCAATTTAATAGATGAAGTAATCAAAAAAATCAAAAAGGATGAATTTATTGCATTTAATGACTTTATTTCTATTAATGATAACAAAATTGAAAATATTAATATCTCAATAATTAGGAAAATACTGTATAATTGCTAAAAAATTATATTATAAAAGATAGGGTTGGTATTTTTCTGATCATAAAAGAAATTTGGGCTAATTCAACATTTTAACAAGGGAACAAGATTAAAAATTATTAAATTAAAAATAAAAGCAAATAGATCATGTTTATTTTAATTTTAGATTGATAAAAGCAATATATCAAAACTCCATAAAAAGTGGGTTTAGAATTATTGTGGATGGAAATATCTTTATTAAATTAATCTCTGATATGCAACTAAATTAAAGGAAAAAATAGTAATTGTTCTATAAGTTAAGTCACTCATCTTAATTGTAAACCTAAAAAGTGCTTTGAGCAGAATTTAAGTCTAATGTTAATTATTAAAAGAGAAGGTTAGATAAGTTTATATGGAAAATGTAAAATTAGAATGTCTAGAACTCAGGTTTATAAATTTGACAGGTTGAGATTAGATCAGTAAAATTGTGTCATTCATAGACATAAATCATCATTATTATGATTAACATACATTCAATCCCACAGGAGATTAAGACTTGTATTTTCTCATTTTTAATTCTGGTATTACTATGAAAATAAATTAGTCGAATGATATATTTAAGGGATCTCTATTTATAAAGGGTTGATTAAATTATCCAGTGTTAAACTCTTTAATTCAGAAATAGATCAGCTGATATATGTGAGATAATGGGTTTACGAATATCCAAACTATCAAATTATTTTTTCTATTGAAATTGATCCTTAAATAATGAAGAATCAAAAGGTTAATTAAGGATAGGATATATTTGCTTTAAGAATAAAAGCTTCATTTTATTGCCCAAATAAAGACATATAAATATTAGAAATCTGCCACATGGAGATAGTTATGACCATTAGATATTCATTAAAAGATGAATCTCATCATATTAAATTTATTTGTTTATATTCTATGTTTTAAATATAACAAAGAAATTATTAAATTTTCTTCAACTTTCCTTAAAGGATCACAAATTCATTTGTATATCAAAATGAATAAATAATGAATAATTATAATAATATTGTTCATTTGTAATTATATTTTCTAATTTAAAATTGATTTGATTTACCATCCCAAGTAATCAAATATTTTCCATCTTCACTCATTTATCCAAATATATAATTATCCCCAAAATCAATAGATTATAGAGTTATAAAATCATCATTTTGGTCCTTCCTTAGTAAATTAATATTGTATCCATTTTTATTCACTAGCAGACATTTCTACTTTAGATATTATTAAGGAAAATAATAATTACAACTCTCACCACTTTTAACAGCAATTTATTTTTTCTTTGAGTACCATTTATTATTACTACTCGTCTCATATACATCCATCTACCTTTTATTATCAGGTTAAAATGTAAATATCTTGTCATCGATGATGCATAATCGATAACCACATTTTTCAACTGATATCATTTATATAATATTCCATTTTTCATCTTAGGGTGACAATTCAATAATTAATATTACATTATCCTACCCACAAGTTATCACTCTATTCTATTAGTCATTCAAACTTAATCCTAATACGTAGTTTGTATGATCTGTAATAGATTATGAACATATCCATTCATTCTACTTTTTCCAAAATTTAATTGTACAATCATCACTTCCTGATATCAAAAGATCTTCATTATTGTTAATAACTAAACAATTAATGCATTTAGAATGTTCATTAAGTTTTTATTACTATATCCATTAACTATTTTCATTCATAAACCATTTTATAATCAATCCACCTTAATCCCCTGATATAAATTGATCCTATTTTTTCATAAAATTTAAAGTAGTAATATGACGCTGATGTACACTTAGAAGTTAAGTTTGTTTCAATTACTCTTATTTGAATTCAAATACCTTGATTTTATTACAAGACCCAGCTACTACAATTTAATTATCTTTATTAATAGCAATTGCATAACACGATTCACTTTATTAGATTAAACTGGACTATAATAGGATATAAGGTAATGGCTTTAGGTTTAATTAATCACCATTATTGGTTATTGAATCTTTTAATTCATCTTATTATACTTATATTTGTTTGGATTATAATTGAGTGAGTTAAACTTGGTTTTATTTATTTTATTGAGGTATTGCTAAATGGGTTATTGGTTTAATTCCTTGAGTAATTTAATTAGCTAATGTTTGTTTAAGTGGCTATATTTCAACAGGTGGACGAGCAAAATCAACATTTTTGTTAGGATCAGATTAATAAGGAGGAAGAGCAAATTAATCAATAAAAGCCTCAATTCTCCTGAAAGAAGACTAATCATAAAATCAATTTGAATAACTTACATCTAACTGCTATTAAACATCTTAAAGACACTCTTCAACTTTATTGTTTAATTAGGCAACGATCTACTGAGAATTCATTTTATTATTTATTTACTGATTCTACTTTATCTTTCTATTAAAATTTGGCAATAAATTTACATTCTTATTAAACCCACATTTATTTTATTATTATTTGAAAAGAAATCACATTATTTGATTGAACAAGAAAGTTTGAATTTTGTTAGCATAATGATTATTACTAAATAAGAAGTGGCTTGATTTATGCAAAGATAATATATTTCAATGATTATAACTCTCAATAAGAAAATAATGACTTTGGTATTCATTTTTTCTGTAAATTAAAAATGAATGCAATAATTTCTATAATAAGATAGAAATCCTTACCTATTAATCTAAAGTAAATTATCTGAATCTATTTCGAATCGATTTGAAAATCAAACTTCATAGGCAAATCATTTAAGGGAATATAATTTTAAAAAGAAACGTTTTACCTTCAATTGAAAATTCGATTCTCTTAAAAGTTATTGATCTCTAAATCAATCGCTTTTATATCAATAGCATTCTTTTATAGAAAAATTAATCAAAGTCAAATTATAAAAATAAGTAGCCAAATAATACTTTATGATTAGATAGAAAATAACAGAATAGAAATAAAATTAGTTCCTCAATACATAAATATCAAGTTTATTCGAAATAAACTACAACCAAATGTTTACAAACCTAAAAATTACTTTTAAATTTTACAAAAAGAATTAAGCCTTAAAAACTAAAAGGTTATTCAAGAAATTATTGAAGAAAGGTCAATAGTGATATTTCCAAATAGAGCAAAACAAATTTATTTCAAAATAAATAAAAATCAATGCTTTTAAAACAGAATTGATAGGAAGAGTTTTAAAATACTTTCAAATAATGAGAAAATCACTATTTATTGAAGAACTAAAGTATTGTTTACTTCAAATTATTTATTTTCCTAAAATTAGAATGTAAACTTTTGTTGTATGTTTTATCTAATCTGAGAAAAAATTCATAGGATAAACCTCAAGAAAAGACAGTAAAGCAAAAGGATATAAGAAAATCAATTTATCATCCAAATAGATGTAAATCAAGATAAATTAATGAAAGAATTAGTATTTAATAACCACTTTCAAATAAAAACATATGCTAATGAAAATTATGTTCAATTCTATCATGAAGTAGGTACTTTTTCTCTGTCATTTGATTCCTCTTTTTTTTTACATATTGAATAGATTAAATAACAAAGAGCTGCGACTCCTGTTAAAAATCCATAAAAAATACTGAAACATCCAACATTAAGACCATAAAGTAATGCTAAAATTCTTTTAGTCCAATCTGATGCGCAAGAGATGCTTTCTCTATGGCTACAGAAGAAGAAGAATGAGAAAATTACGACTAAAATTTCACCAATTATTGTTAAATACAATGCAGCACCCAAAGTTCCTGATTCGCGAATTTCTGAAGAATATTTAGAAGCAGAGCTTATCAAAAAAATAATTACACCTATAGATCCTAAAAAGAACCCAAAATACATTTCCTTATATCCTCCTTACTTACTATAATCATTAGAATGTGTTTTTCTGATGAATTAAATATAAATTAATTCGCAACAATTACAAAATAAGTTAATTGAAAAAAATACTAAAGCTAATATTTCTAATGTAGACCCAAGAGTGCAGGCCAAATATGTTGTTCCTATGATTAACTACAACGTATCCATAATTTTAAAGTTTCTTTCTCTCTAAAATATTTTTGATTCTCCTAGTGAAAAGTAATCTTTTTCTAAATATAAAATATATATATGAAAAACCAACCATGCCACAATTTATGCTATTAATTCATTTAAAGGGTAACTTTTTAAATCTCTCAAAATGATTACGATAACAAAAAATATTATTCTACACACCATTCCTATTGAAATGTTAATATCAAGCCTCTCTATATCAGCGATACACTAGATTAATGAAAGTATTGCATCAACAACATCCATTACATTATTAATTGCCATATGTAGAAAAAGAAATTAATTTAATTAATTGGATAAAGCATGAGATTGCTTATGAAAACCCGATAGAATTTATCTAATAGTCTGGCAAGACATCTATTATATTTAATATAAAAACACTTTTTGATATTCTTGAGTTTAAATGAGACTAGATTATAAGATTATAAAGATAATAATTTCCTTTTTTAGTAATTTTATTTCACTTCAATCCATTTAAATTTTATTTAAACTATTAGATACTTCATACGGAAGAAAGAAGCCTATAAGATTTTTAAAAGAACTAACGAATAACTGATTAAAATAATTAAATATATAAATAACAATTAATCTTCAATTTTAGTTAATTTATGAATTTAACATAGTTAGCGATGTATAATCAGAAGTTGATATAGGGTTCACAATAATTAAATTACAAATCGTATTTAAATGTAGCAAACACTTTAATGAAATGTTAATGATATAAAATTATAATCAAAAAAAACTACCTTTCAATTTTTCTTGTCTTAATATCACATTATGCCATTTTGAAAACTATTCAGTTTAGTATATTTTTTAAGATTGATTAATTCCTCATTAGAATGTGTAATTAACTCAAAAAAAAAGGGATTCCTTTGTTTATATAAAAAACCAATTCAACTAGAAAACAATTTGAATATAAAATTTGTTTTTGCAGATGTTTAATTCTTAATTCTAGTAATCAATATTACTGATTTGCAAGTATTGATTTCTTCGTTTTTAAGAATGAAAGTTCTAAACAGGATGGGTATCAAAATGGTTGAGAAAATTAATATTTATCCTAAATGTACTTATAAATAGGTTAAATATAGAAATAGAGAAAAAAATTAATGGTAAACAACTATTTATTTTTAATATTATACTATATTCTAGAAATTAATTCAACAGTACCAATTTATCATACATACAATTTATGTTGTTAAAATTTCATCATTAAATATCCATAAATTTATAACTTATAATTTGATTACAATTATTGAGAAAAGAATGAAATCTAGAGCACTACAATTAATCATTTATATTTTAAATGTTCTAATGTTTTTTAACGTCAAAACTTACTTTTGTTTTAAGTGCTAGTTACAAGCCATTATTTTGATATTGATAATTAAATTTAAGCATGCAAACTTGGATAAACCATAAGGATATATGTTAGAAATATATTTTATTCTAATTTGAATATATTTCAATCATAATTCCTAAAATTCTTTGATTTCATTGGCATTTTTCCAATGTTTTTGCTTTTACTTAAAAAAAGATATTGATTACTTTTTTTAGTGATACTTCTTTTCTACATTAATGTTCTGTCTAGATGAAAATCCTCATTTATTTTATACATTTATATTCATAGATTGATTTAATCTTAACATTCAGAATGTATTGGCTTGATAAATTTCAATTTTCTAATTAAGAACATCATACCCACACTGCTCATTTATATGAGTACACAATTTTCAGGAAATCAAAAGTATGTCTATTGACGAATCATTTTTCTTATTATGGTTTCTACGAATTATCTCTTTAATTTTTATACTTTATCTATTCAACAACAAAATATGATTGATTGGTAAACAGGACAATTGAGTCCCTTAACCATATTCTTAATTCTATTAAAAATAATAGTGAATATATCAAATTATTCTTATATATTACATTAATTTAAATATATAAAAACAAATAATTTTATCTACTAATTTGAAAAATGTGAAATTATTATAGGAAGAAGAAATATTTTATACTGAAAACCACTCATTGAAAATAGAGAAAGATAAAAAAATTGAAAGTTTAAAAATTTGAATTTTGGATTATTAAAATGTTTTTATGTAGGGGAAAATATTCGGAGACTTAGAAAAAGGTTAATAAAGTAAGATTTATCCAGATTTCTATTATATCCAGAATATTTCATTTATTACCTAAGGTCTCTTTCTTATCCCTAAGGATAATTTTTTTTAACTGTGATCCTACATATCTCACCATAAAAGTCGTATTAAAATTTTCAGCAACTAGAGATTCCAACAAAGTTCACCTAATTGGCTAAATACAAATATAATTTCAATAATTGTCATAGTAATTTTAACCTAAAAAGGAGTTATTGTTCTTTTGTTAAGTTACAGCTTCTTGCCCTATAAATAAGTATCAAAAGTTTCTCTGACGATAATTAAAAGTTTAAATTCGAATCATCCTTATAAAATTACAGAAAATTTGAATTTGATTTCGCTGTATTAAATATTTATACAAAAATACATCTTATTTCCATATCTTCAAAATAACTATCTATGAAAATCGAAAATGAAATCAAATAGACCCAATGAACATCAATTACTTAATTTAAATTATACCATCGTAATTGATTAGAAAAACAAACACTTTATAATACTCACTTTGAAGAAATTTAAAGTCATTCAAATAAATGAAGAATAATAGGTTAAGATAAAAAAATCCACCATAAAGAATTATTAATTATAAGTGAAATCAAGCAATAATAATTTCCTTTATAAATAACAAAAATCTCAAAATATTATAAAATCATATTAAAAGATGATACTAAAAATTAATAGATATCTAGAAAACATATTAATTATGCTATTATTTATATAAAGAAAATAATTTACTATTTGTTAAATAATACCATACAATGTTACAAATTTTTATATTCAAATGTAAAGGTATATAGGATCTAGAAAATGAGAGTAATAATAAATATAATGAATTAGAATTGCAATATTCCTGATCATGAGACAGATGTAGAATATCTTTGTACAAATGAATAATGCAGAGATTTTAGGATATTTTGTTTTAAGTGTTTGTAAAATGAGAAACACAAGACTCACATTAAAGATGTTTAGAAGATTAAGGATTTCGGGAGATAATACATAAATAAAAGTGATGAAGATTTAAATTTTGAACTAGAAAAAAATATTGATCAGATTTAAAGATTGTATTTTACACTGAAGGAAGAATTAAAATTTGATTGCTCGATAAGTGAAGAGGAGTTAAACAGATTAGATTTAAACCAATTAAATGATTTACTATGTTCTAAAATAAAGTTTAGAAAAGAGAAACAATCTCTCATATCAATGATTTCAAAGAGTGCAGAACGAATGATTGAGACTATCTATATTGGTCTTTAAGATTTCTCATAATAATATTTTGATCGTCCTGCCAAGAAGGTTTAATTGGAAATGAAGACATTAAAGTATGAGTTGATTAATTCAATAAAGGATGAATAAATAAATACATTTGCTTTTAATTCAACTAATACTCTGATGATTGGAGGATATGACTCAAGCAAAATAAAGGTCTTTGAATTTAAAAAGGGATAATTAAAGATGATTTAAAAGCTTAATTTTCATAAGAAGAGCATTTATTGTCAATATTTTATGAAAAAATCAAACGAATTTTTATCAGGCAGTTGCGATAAGACAATTTCAGTTTGCTATTTAAAAGATGATTAAAAATGGGATATTAAATAAAGGTTAGAAGGACATTAAGGAGGAATTAATTGTTTATTGATGAATAAAAATGAAGATCTATTAATATCCAGCAGTGATGATATGCTTATAAAATTTTGGGTGAAGGATAATGATTTATGGGAATGTTCTTAAACTATAGGAGGACATTCTAGTTTTGTAAGTTGTATAAGCTTGAATGAAACTGAAAATCAATTAGCCTCTTGTTCAAAGGACAATTAAATATTGATACATTAATATGATAAAGATGCTAAATTTTGGTTTGAATTTTAAATAATACAGATTAACTAATGGGGCAGACGATTATGTTTCATAAATGACTAAATTTTTGTTTTTTAACCTGAAATGAGGTAATAAATGCACATTTATGAGTTAGACAAGGTGAATAATAATTTTATAAAAACTAAAGAAGTCTTGGTTGGAGTTGGAAGTGAAAGGAAAAAAAATAGGGGTTGTTTTTGGTTCTTCCCTTAATAGTATGTCTAATAATAATAGATATTGATAAATAAAAATAGATGTTGTGTTAATGTAATCGAAAAAGACTAAAATAATGAGTTTGCAACAATATAATCTATAGATTTCTAAACTAAAGTGATATTTGGGAAGATGACGGATAATGGAGAATATTTAATAACTTGGGATGATAGATCAGGGGCAATTTAGATAAGATAATATTTGGATTGATTCAATAAATATAGATTGTCAATTTTTCATTATAATATTTTTTGTCAATTTAATATAATATCAATAAAATCCTTATCTTCATATGATGCTTGTTTAGAAAGTAATTTTTCAATACATTACAAAATTAGGAGTTCTAGCAACTCTTTATTAAAGGAATGAAAAATTACAGAAAACTTTTTAGAAATTTTCTATATCTATATATTTTTTTCAAAATTATTCTATTTCTAAGTTTAGTTTAGGATTATTTTCTAGATAAATATTTTCTTTGTAATTCAAATTATAGCACTTATGACTGCTATATGTAGTATACAAATTATGAAGATCCAGTATTACATTTCTAAATTACAACCAAATCTTTAATTAACATCCATAATATTTTTATAACGAAAAGGACAATAAGAATGATGTTAAATAAATAGAAGATAAATTATAAGTCTAAAACCAATTATTTGTTTAAAAACTGCATTAATTTTCCAAGATTCCCTCTTTTGTTGTTGAACAACAAGAACCATAAATTCATTCACTTTACGAATATCATACTACCTTTGCGTAATTTAGTTTAATACTTAAAGATACTACATAATAACATAAACATCATTGCCGCTATATGCTTCTCAGCCACTTTCCCTCTGTCATTTTGAGAGACCTCGAGTTAAAAAACTATTATCCACACAAGACCTATGATTGAACTAAGCTGATTCTGAGAATTATCTGCCAAGTAAAAAGCCTCATTTCAATTATCTAGGAGGGTGGTTAAGGTATGAAAAACTCTGAAAGCTATTCTGGCTTCTTTATTCGTAAGTTATCTGATGTCTGAAGATACACTCTGGTTACTTTGATGAAGTAAAGTAAATGTGATTATTAAAGTCAAACAAAAAATTGTTTTGCTAGATGAAATTGCTTCGGCTCATTAATATAATTAGTAAGAGGAAACATATTGATTACTAATGAGGAAATGAACGACCACAAAATACTAAAAATGATTTGATTGAAGATATAGATTACCTCCCAGCTTATCAAGTTGTCAAAAGCTATGTAATTTCAATTTTAGATGTTATGATACCGATAAGGATTTATAAGGGGATTGATTAAAAAAGTGCAATTTAGGTATTGGATATATTATCACACTTGATATTAATTGCTAAATGAAATGAGGAAGAAAATAACATCTGGGATCAATAATTTCAAAAATATATTACTAGATTTGATGGCATTAATTCTGCTGATTTGAATAAATACATTTGTTAATTGGTTTAAAAAAAATATCATCAAGGATGGATAATATTTTATAATTTAATTTTGGTATTTAAAATAATATGATCTTATTATTTCTACCATCTCTTGAAATTAAATTATCAATATTAGAGGAAAGGAGGTTAAACTCATTCTCTAAGAAAAATATAAAATAATTATAACAAAAATAAGAGAGATTTCCTAAAGAATTAATATTCTCATCATAAATGTAAATTATATCAAGGTATTAATTTATTAACAAAATTAAATTTCTACTCTAATTTCATTATTGGAAGTCATATCAGTATTAATTTGTCTATTTATCCTTTAATTTTAATGAGAGCAATCAAATAAGAGATAAATTAAAAAATAATTTTTTTGATTATTTCTGCTATTCAAACAGGAACATTCGTATAAGTCTTAGAACTCCCTAAAGAGTTGCTATAATCCATCATTATAACATTGCAGATGATAAATAAGATAGAAATATACTTTACACATTTTATTTATTCTCACAATTTTTCTAAACCATATTGATTATTAACTTAATCACAAATTTTTTAAAAATAGCTGGATAATGGCAACATCATTAATTGATTAATTTTGACTAAAAAAATTTACTGATTTTCTATTGAAATTTTAGGCGTATATAATTAAACATTTAAATAATTTATATTATTCTCATCTCTATGAACGCTTTAAATTCTTAAAATACAATATTACAGATATTTTTAGATATACATTTTTATTTGGTTTAGTTATAAACAGAATCTGTTTATGCTGCTAAATACTACCGTGTTTGATCATAAAAATTTTTTATACATTATAAAAATATAAAAACTATTATCAACTACTATCCCCTTAGTGTTATTAATTAGAATGATTCTTATTTCTTTATAAAGTATCTTTATAGATTTTTCTTTTTTGAATTCCAACATTCTTTTTGCCATTTTTAGGGCGATTAAATGGTCCTTAAAATATCAATTATTAATGTACTTTTTTTTTTAGATTCAGTGGTTGGCAAGTCTTGTTTTAAACTTATTTCTTATAGTTCTATTTATATCTGGTTTTGATTTGGATAATTATTGTCAAGTTATTATTTTGTTTTTTCATAGTAGTTGCTTTTTATAATTTAAATATTTACTTTGCATTTGTTAATATATCTTAAATGTTCGGTATATTGTATGCTTTTTATTCTCTAAATTATTAAGTTGTTTTATCCACTTATTAAATTGAATTTATTATAGATTGCAGAACATTAGAATCGAATTTTGTTTCGAGATTAGTTTATTCCAAATTTAATGAACGCATTTCAATATTCTAATCTAAACTACTTTTTTTGTATATTTCTAAATAGTTTGCAAATTCTTATTTAAACTCTGGCGAAAGTTGCTCTAATAACTATTTGGCATTTTATTTTTCCATTTGTAATACTTGGTTTAATTTAGAATCAGATTTATATTAGAATGATTAGTCAAATTGGATGCTATTCGATAAATTTAACTAAAGAGTTATTTTATTTCTTGCAATTATTCTCATAGGATGTTGAGGGTCATTTTCAAAATGCTCATTGACTGCTTTTGAGGAGTAAAGTAAGTTAATCAGGAATTGTAGATTATCATAGATGTAATATCGAATAGATTATACTTCTTCATATTACTTTTGGTTAAGTTTTTAGATCTATATTTATTATTATTATTATTCATATGCTGGGTTATATTCCATAAATTAGTGGGGTTTTGAATTCTGGTAAACTATATTGTTGCTCATAATTTCTTATTTCATTAATATTCTAGTTATCTATTTTCACCTTAATATGAAATCAAATAGAATTAAAATATTATTCTATTGAGATAAAAGGGAAAGAAAGAAAAATATAAATTGAAGGCTCGATTCTGCAAAATTATATAATTTTAAATACTGTCAAAGGAAACTATAATAAAAATGTATTTGTATTCTTTGTTCTGGATCATAGTTGTTGTTTGGAATATCTTTTTGAAATTAAAGACTTTTCTTGCTATTGAAATTTAAATTAGTAATTTATGAGATTAATGGATTTTAACAATCAAATCCCTTCTACTTTTAGACTTATTCTCTAATTAAATTAAAGCCATTAAGTTCTTAGAAAATTTTTGATAATCACAGTTTTTTAATATAGTTATGGTTTCACATTTAATTTGGAAAATGTTACAGTTTATCTCTTTCGATTCTTAAATGAGCTATTTAATAGTTCCTCTTTGATATAAATATAAATCTATATTTTTTAGATACCAATAAAAGGAAAAGCCTATTCTAGAAAGGAAGAATATGATTTTAAGAATAAGAAGTCCAAGTTTTATTGGTATATGTAACTAGAAGAAGCTATAGATTATGTAAAGTCTGATCTTGTTGATGTTTTATAATCATAAAAAGAAATTATTTTTATATTTAAATATAAACTTTTATTATTGGACAGTCAAACTACGATTAGTTATGAATTTTAATTAATAGTAAGTAATAATAGGATATGATTTAAATTAATTTTTGAAAATGTACTCATATGGTTTTTGTATTTCTATATGTATTTATTATTAAAATTTATATAATTCTTTTCTTCTTAATAAATTAGTAAAATATATAAATGTAAACCATTTAAATCATATTTTTCTTTTTTATCATGGGGAGCACAGCAAGATTTGCCAATACCGACACATATAATTAATCTAAATTGGCAGAGAAAATTCATTAAAGGTATTCTACTAATATATAATAATAGTTATCATCAAACTTAACAATAAAATTGGCAACTCTAACATCAAAATAGTTCTACAAAAGACCTGAATTTGACAAATCAAAAGGAAATATAGTTCAAAATCTGTTCAGATATAGAAGATCCTGAATAATGTTCAAAACTTCATCCTTCTGGAATAGAATGTGAATGGAATGGATCTTGTCTGGCTAAACATCAATCAAATAAAATTCCTGAGTTAATGAAGAAAGAAAAATCTCTTAAGAATCTAGAAAAATATACATATAGGGATTAGTGTAGAGAAATCTTTGAAAGAACAAATTGTTTAGTTTCTAAAATATAAGGATTACAATGTGTTTGGGTTAACAATTAATGTTTAACTAACTGTAATGTTATATCCTCTTAAGTATTTTACAAATATAAATTAGGATTTATGCCTCAGAAATATTGCTACAACAAATGTCTAGAAATGTTTGATAATTAAAAATCAAAATGACAATAATTCTCGTCTAAATTGTTCATAACGCTCTTCTGATTGCAAATATGATGATTTGAATCAATATAGTTGCATTTGGTAAAACAATTAGTGCTAAGTTGCTATGTGTCACTAATTCCAAGATGAATAAAAGTGTAATGATTAACAATCTTGCAATTGGCATATTTCAATGAAAATGTGTTTAACAGATACAGAATTACCTTAGTATGATAAACCTTGCGACATTTCAATGAACATGTCAATTTTAAGCTACTATGCTTTTCTTCTTCTGATATTTATTTGATTTCTTAATTTATATTATTTTTCATACTTACTAACAATAATGAAATAAAATTTACTAAATAGTTATAATAATATTAAATCAAAAATTACTAATTCTACTACCAGGATAGCTTAGTTAATCAAAGTAGTAAAATAAAAAGATTTGAATAATCAAGCCACAATATAATATTTTCATTATATTTATCCTACCAACTATCTCAATATAAGTAAGGATTATAAAAGGATTTATTCTTAGTTTTTATTGTGAAAAATTCTTTTGTGAGCATTTTAATGATAAAATATGGATGAAGAAAATGCCTATTCATCAATATATATTAAATATAATTTATACTAAAAGGTTTCTTCAAAATTAAATTAGGAAAACAACTCATCTCAATTATCTAATAATCCTTGATCTCCTACCTTAAACATAAGAAATTTATTAAATTTATAACACATATAATGTTTTGATTATGTAATTCTCAGAAAGTTGAAAAACAACAAATAAAATATGATCTATTTAAAATTTTAATGTTCGTATAAATTCTGTTTGTTTTTTTATAAAAAATTATTAATAATTGATGATTATTAATTAATTAAATACTCATGAATTAGATTTCCTCGTTTTGGAATAATTGTAAAAACAAAGTTCATAGATTGCTAGAAGTTAAAAATAATTGTCATGAAAATGATAGGGTAATCTGCATATACAATATACTTTTAAAAGAACTTAAAAAAAATCATAAGGGAAAAGATCATCAATTAGAGATATTAGTTTTTGTTCGAGATTCTCAACTTAATATAGGATCAGTTTAATGTGAAACTTGTTTTTAAAAATAAAAATAGGTTGAAACTTTCTTATACTCTTTAGATCTTATGAAAATTTTAGAAGATGCTTACTTCTTCTTAGATTAAGTTTCTTCTTGTTTTTTAAATAATTAGTAATTTTTAGAAGAAGAACCATACCATTAAATTATGATACTAAAGATAATGAAAGAAATCTTAGATAATAAATCAATTAATAAAGAAATTATTTGGAAGATTAACAAATTAATTCTGGAATTAGAATCCTATTTCAACTTTACTAATGATAAAATATTTCATAATTTAGGAAAGATTCACTATTCAAATATAAACAAAATTTAGATGAATAAATTTGTTTAAAATATCAAGAATGAATAATAATAAATAAAATCATACAGATAATATATTAAATTACTTCCAACTGTAATATCTATAAGAAAATTCCATCCTTCGTCCGATTATATATACTAATAAACAGTTTCTGAAGAGTTTCTTGCTATTTTGGTGACCTATTAAATTTTAATCTATAACTTGAAAACTGGAGCTCTGTACAGTAAAATTAATGTTGATTATCAAAATAAGAAGATCTTATTATTTTAATTTACAAACGATGAAAATTACTTGATTTTTGCATTTAATAGCCCAATTAATTTGACAATATATAATATGAAGAAGAAGATCATGCAATAGATATAAGAATAAACGCTTTGGATGAGTATGGTATGTTGTAAACAAAATAATTAGAATTATTTATTTAAATACAATGAAAATCTAACTATTAAGCAATGCTTTTCCTTAGAATAACAGGATTGTAATAATTTTAAACTATTCAAAATATATTCTACTCAAGAAAATTAATTCTAAACATTCATTTTTTATGATAACATGGAAGGAAAATGGAAATCTTTAATAAGAAATGACAAAGGAAGTATCTTCAAAAAAAACATATAAATTACTAATAAATTCAAACTCCTATTCGTTCGATCTTCTAGAAAGAATTATTTATATTTTACATTGATTTCAAACTCTAACAAAAAGATAAGAAAAATCATTAATTAAGATGAATATTTTTTAAAAACATACTTTTTCTCGAAAGATGAGACCTACATAATATCTTCTTCATTAACTTTTTATGAAATTTAAACTGGAAAAATTGCTTTTACAATTAAATTAAATGAAAAAGATGAGTTATTAGATGTATAAATGGAGGATAGTAGAATAAAAATTTTAGCATGGAGTAATTTGTACATTTACGATCAAGTTATCAAAAATCAGTCAAATATGGCTGAATAATTGAATTGAAATAATTTCTACATTTTATATTGCTATCTTATTCATTTATGCACTCAATCTTAATTCTTATTTATTTTAATTTTGCAAGAATATAAAGTAATAAATCCTTCTTAAATTATTAATTTTATATAATTTCAACTTTTTTTGAATTACATCAACTCATTTAATAGAAAAGTTAACACTAATGTTGATGCAAATAACTCAAAATCAATTGATTAACATGTAGTACATTTTCAGTCAATCCATTAATAATACACATAGGATTGGGATATGCAGGTTTCTTAATTTGAATTGGAAGTGTCGAAGTCTTAACAGTTTCCATTTTTATCATATTGGCATATGTGCAATGTCCATATTCCGCGTCTTCACAATTTGTCCAAATTTAGCATTTTTCATCTTTATATATACATTTACCATCTCTCCCATAATAACAATCAGCTTCATCCTGTTAAGAACATAGTTTTGTAATTTAATCTATTGGTTTGCAAGTCCTTGTAAAATTATTATAGGCGCAATCGTGCCTTAAGGTTCTAGCAATCTTCATCGTTGGAAGCTTGATAATCCTAACAATTTGTAAATTTAGAACATTTTCCATTATTCCAAACACTATCACTACTTAAACAAGCTTCAAAATTCATTGAATCACAAAATTTTTAAGAACAAACTTAATTGACAAATTGGCATTTGCTAAAATACTAGCAGTCATATAATGATGTCAATTATTCACAAGTGCATTTACATCCTAAATTGATCAATTCTTAAGCTCATGTAAAACTACTTAAAAGAAATTTGTTGAAATTAATTGTGCTAAATTATTCATAATATGATTTAATATTAAATAAGTTTTATCTTAAAATTATAATAATAACAGCTTATCATTTATTTTAGATTGAGATTCATAAAAAACGTTTTCCAAGTCTTTAAGGATAAAAATTATTTATATATACCAATGAATCGTCTTGAAGCATTATCCAACAGTTGATAAAAAATTCCTATTCTTTTTTGATTATTTCATAAATAACTTAATAAATAAATATTTCTCTTAAATTGATGTTTTATAATTTATTAGAAGGAATGGTTATCAAACTATAAGATAAAATATATTATTCAAAAATTGCTTCTGCTTGAATTTGTAGTTTAATTAATAATAAATCTTTTTGCTATAGAATTCTGACTGAATCGTTTGAGATTGAGTTTTCTAAAATATTGTATATTTTATTTACTGTTCTGTTAGATATTTATATTTAAAATCATCGCACTTGCTCATCATATCTTCCAATTTAAGAATATAATCTTTCTTAACCTCTTTGCTAACACTTTTGTTTAAGTATCGCATATATGGTTTTTTAAAGATATCCTCACTTTTTTAATATTATGCTAATAAATCTGCTTCTGTATTGTGACTTGTTAGAAGTTTTTAATTTTAATGATCGAATTATTTAACAGTTTCATCATCTGATTCATAGTTTTTTGTTGGCTATGTATAATTTTGGCTACAATAATGAAATTGAAATACTCTCTCACTTGTTATAATTGATCCTTAACCTATTTTTCATATCTGAATAAATAGTCTTTTATATTACTTTTTATTATTTATCTATATTTATTGAGATCTTAGTTGATTTAGGAATCTTTTAAAGTGATGCATTAGTATTTTTCTGACCAAAATTCTGTAAAATGAATTCTACCATTGTTTAAAAGTTGAGGTTTATTTTTACTAATTGAATTAGCTTCTTGTTTTCTTTTTTTGAAGATTGCAATTGTGTCTTTTCTGTTTTCAAGTTGCTGATCCTTAAGTAAATACTTAAGTTAGATTATAAGTTACAGGTAAAGATAGCATCACATTGAAATTTACTTTGCGTTGATTTGACAACTATTTTAATTTGATGTATTATATTTAAGGAAGAGCTTCGCTTTATGTTGGAGATTTACTATTCTTCATGCTATACTTATATATCTAAATTTATATGTACTTCAAGATTCAACTATTAAAATGTATAAATATATAATTATTAAATTATATATAACAATAACGTAGATGAAGTAGTTGAAAAATTAAAACTCAATTTCATTATCTCCTAGATATCAAATATCAATAAGAAATTTATTAAAAGTTAGACAATAGCCAGAATAGGATGATAAATTATAGACTTGGCAATAAATCGATAATTATTTTAATTATTATGCGTAAGAACCATAATAATAAACATTAAATGCTTCTAGAACATCAATAAAACTGGATCAATAGGTCAATTAAACTTATTTAGAATATTTTAATAAGAAGTAAAAAGAGATGAAGCATGATGCATTCGCTAATATTATTAAATCATGTAGCGAATACTTTATCGATACTTTATATATTGCATTGATCGGTGATTCCTTGAGTGATAAATATGATAAAATTGGTACAATATCATAAATATTGATTGGTTTTGGCATTTAACCTGGAGCATTAAAAAGTTTAAATGAATGCGAAAAAAGAGAATATATAATAAAAAAGTTTCACTGTACAATCGATGCTTTACTTGAGAAATGGAAGGAAAAGGTTGAAAGTAGATAACAATAATAAATAACCACAAAATTAGAAACGAAGATTTAACCATAACCTTTGAAATGGTTAAATATCAATACAAAATATCAATCACTTAAAATTCCTTTAGCACAAGTGTTATATCGAAAATTAGATGAACTACATGATATTTAATAGATGATATTAAAACAAAGATAGATAAAATTAAATGATATCACAAGACCAACAATTCTAGAATTGATAAAAAGAATGGATCCATAAATAGGTAAACTATTTATATCTTTGAATTCCTCCAAAAATATTGAATTATCAAAGACAAATAAAAAGTTGGATGTGAGTTAATCAAATAATATAATAAAAAAGATGTAGAAGTTTTAATGGGATGAAGAATTGGAAGGAGCATTTTTGGAAAATCGATAAAAAAGTCAAAATAAGTATGCCAATAAAATCTCGACTTGTAATTTTAACATTATGGGTTACTTACCATTAATCTAAACATTGAATCGTCGTTAAAGTATTAGATCTGGTGGAAATCAAGATGAAGTTATATATGAAGAAATTAAATTTGCAAAATCATTCAGCAAATTTCTTGCTAGATGTGTTGATAAAAAATAATTATAACATGCTGTTAATTTAGTAGACAAAGATTAAATTTCAGCTTTAGAAGGTAATCTCGCAGAGCATATTATTGAAACCCACTAAAACATAGTCAAAATTATCTAATAAGCAAGACATTAATTTCTAGTCAAAAGAACATAGTAATTAAGATTAAAAAGTGAAGAAAGGGAATGCAGTTTAAAAAGACAAGAAAGAAAAGTCAGTGAAAAAAAAGAAATGAAAATAAAGATCAAGAGATATGAGATGATTTTTAAACGAAATAAGAATAGAAATTTCTTTGTAATATATTTTGCAAATATTGTAATGAATAAGATTAGATAAAGGAGAAAGCGATTATAACCAAAAATCTTTTAGTTTAAAATATATCAAAAGAACAGCAAAAAATGTTCAAAATCGCCAACTTAAGAGAAGAGACAAAGGTGCATTACTGAATTTTCAACAGGACCTACTAGATTCTAACCAACAAAATTGTAAATGACAGCAAAGGTCATCATGAAGATTTAGGCCTTAATCAGGCGATTTTTGGCTTAAAGATTCTATAAAAAGCTAATTAAGAATAAATTGAAAAAAGTGTTAAAGATTCATAAATAACATTAAATAGTTAAATTTTGATAAAAATATTAGATCATAATTTTTCTTCAAGAATTTACATAATATCCTTAGTATGGATTGGTTTTTATAAAAAATAGTTCATCCCTGATTCATAGCAGACTGCCTTTGTCAAAGAATCTGTGTATGCAGTTTATGCTATGATTATTGGTTTTTGTAGATCATTTTATTCACAAAACTACAGTATTTGTTTAGTTGCTGTAACTCCATTCATATTTGGCATTTCTATATCCATAAAAATTAATTAGTATTAATGTTGCATAAACTTATCTAATGCTTCATAACCATTATTAGCTACATCACATAAGTAATTTAGCCTATTTAACATTATCTTTAAAGCGTAGATATTCACATACTCATCATCTACGATTAATATTTTTGTTGAAATAGAAGATCTGTCATGTATGTCCATCTGTATCAACGGCTTTTAACATCCTTATTTCATGATATAAGGATTTATTATGCAATCAAATTTTTCCTCTTGAAACGAAATGTCTATTATTTTCACTATTTTTACTTTCGGATTGACTAATCGAACTACTTTGATTTAAAAGTAGGTTTTAACCATCTTTAATATATCTATGAGATAAGAGTGGAGAAAACTGTCTTTTTAATTCTTTTATGCTAGGACTCACAGGTTAACTTAAATCAAATTTTGAATTGCTATAAGAAGAATTAATCTTGTTGTATCGAATTGTTTGTTTAGAATTTTAAATTGGTAGTTCTTCTTAATTCAAATCTTAAATTAAAAACCAAAATTTAGATCCCTATTGGACATTAGATTCGAATTGTATTCCTCCTTCGTGATTTAATGTTAAACCTTTAACTATTTTTTATGTTATCAATAACCCCATTCCAAACGATTGATTCGGATCTTTATATCGACTCTTTTAACTAGATGTCAAAAACTATGATAGTTTAAGTTGAGTGTCGTTATCCATTCCAGGACCTGTATCTTCAACTGAAATCCTAACAAACCTTGTATTATTAATAATCTCTTCAGATGCATTAATAGTAATACTTCCCTAAATTTGTAAATTATAATACTTAGAATGTAAATTTTTATGCATTCGATAATAAATTAATCAGTGATTGTTTGACTCTTTAAGCATCAGTGTGTATCAAAATATTGTTAGTTATGATATTAATTTTTAATCCCTTCATTTATATTTAAGATTAAAATAATGTTGTCACTTCATGAATTAATTTGCAGATGTTTGTATTTTTGATTGTTAATGTAAAATTCTTTGACAAAATCAAACTAAAATCTTTAACATCCTAAACAATACTATTTAAAATATAACCTAGTAAATTACTTAATATGAATTACATGAATTTAATAAAGGTTGTATGTACTTGGTAACAGTCTTCTCTTATAGTTCTTCTAAAGCATTTTCTGCCAGGATTTATATGCAATTAAGGGAAGTACTAAACTCATGACTCAAACTTCGAAACAGCTAATTCATGAGAAGTTTTGTGTTTATTTTATTTTTATAATCATCTCTTTCTTGAGTGTGAGTAAAAATAAAGAGAAAGTATCCTTGAATAAATTTAATGTCAATTTAATAATCTCTTTTTAGATATTCTGACTAAAAGTCGATGACTGAACATTAACAGTATTAGGCACTCATAATTTATAAAATATGATTTAAGAGTAATTTAATTGGCTGGCTAGAAATACTTAATAATGGAAAAGTATTAGGTTAACTAGATGATCTAATAAAAATATTGTTATTCATCTATTTTTCTAAATATATTTTTTTAACAACTTTTTGACTGTTCTTATCTAATCGATATATTTTTATATTTTTAATTCCATATTGAATATTTTTTTAATCAATTTTTTCAAAAGCATCTATAAAGTATGAATTATATAAAATGGGCTTTGCATCCTTGTCAGTAATTATGAAAGGTAAATGAAATAGCTCTTACACTCTTTTTAAATTGTCTATAGTATCTTCTTTGATTAAATAATCAAATTAAAAATGCATATTTGGTTAAGACGAAATATTTTTGAAATTTAAGTCAGTTTTAAGTTAATTATCAATATAATTTTAATTGTTATGCCAAGTGTGAGATTATTTAAGTATTTTCCTTGGGGTTTCTGGATTTTTGTTAATTATGGTTCTTGAAATTAAATTGTTATTTACTTGTTTTATATCATTTGAAAAAAAATGGTTAATGACAAAATGATTTTATAGAAATTTAAATCCAAAGATGCTTACAATATTGTGTAGATTATGGCTGATATGAACTTGAATTTATGATTTGAGTGTTATATGATAAAGATGTGAAGCAATCAAAAAAAACTAATAAGAAGAAATACAATACATATCTGTTTAATAGAAAGTTTATTGAACATTAGCAATAGCTATTATTCTAATGACTATAGTGGTTGTATTAAGCATCAATAAAATAATTGATGAATCATCAGTTGAGTAGTAGTATATTTTGATAAAGAGATTGAGAATTAACATCCCGAGTGTGATGGTCATCAAAATTATTGTTAACAGAGAACTATTCTATAAAAGTAAGAGTTGGATGATGTTCCCGATAGACAGAATGAAATAAATAAGGTCAGATAAATATAAAGGCTTTTTCATCGTTTTATAAATATTAATTGAATAATAAACATGTATATAGATATACATTGATCACAATTTATCAATAATAGCTTTGGTATAATCTGTGGTTGTGCTTTTACCTCCAAGATCTCCAGTCAAAAATCTGGCTTCTTCTAAAACTGAGTATGTGGCTGTTTCAATTCTATTTGCATAATCATTTAATCTCATGGCTTTTAACATCTATGTTATATATTTTTTATTTATACCATAATTCCTGATAATAGTAATGCAGTTGGATTTGCAAGATTCTTACCAGCAATATCTGGTGCAGTTCCATGAACAGCTTCATAAACTTCACAATCCTTTCCAATATTTCCTGATGCTGTCAATCCTAACCCTCCAATTAAACCAGCACAAAGATCTGAGACAATATCACCATAAAGATTGGGCATAACCATGACATCAATTTTAGTTGGATCATTAGCTAATTTGAATGCCATAGTATCAATCTATTCTTCACTAAATTCAATTTCTGGATAATTCTTTGCAACATCATCGCAAACTTTCAAGAATAATCCATCTCCTTGTTTCATGACACCTGCTTTATGACATGCTACTACTTATTTTCTATCTATAATTAGTTTTGATTAAAATTACTATTTGCTCTTGCAAATTCGAATGCATATTATGCAATATTCTAACAAGCATTATATGAGACAATTTTGAGATTCTCAACGACTCCTGGAACGACTTCATGTTCTAAGCCACTGTATTCACCTTCAGTGTTTTCTCTGATTGTTACGACATCAACTCCTGGATATGGGGTTTGAACTCCTTTGATGGATTTGCATGGTCTGACATTAGCGAATAATTATAATCTCTTTCTTAGAGTGACATTGATAGATCTATATCCCTTTCCGATTGGGGTTTCGAATGGTCCTAATTATACTTATGGAAATAATACCTTTCAATGCGTATTTCAAGGCTTTCACTTATTTAAGAGTTTCTTCGGTGATCAAATCACCTTATTCAGTCACTCTCTTTTTGTGAATCTCGTGAAATTCCCATTCAATTGGCACTTTTGCAGCATCAAATATATCGATTACAGCTTTAGAGATTTCAGGGCCAATACCATCTCCAGGGAATAGAATCACTTTTTAATAGTTGAATTGTGGTCTCAAAATTGTAGTGGATGCTTTTCTTATAATATTCATCTTAAATAAATAAATAAATTATTTTTATTAGATTTAATTAATCCTTAAATACTTAAATTAGATATGCATATTTTTTTATAATAATTATTTTTATTATCAAATAATATTCATTATCATTATTACGTATTTTTATTATATAATTATATTATTTATATCAATGTATGAGGATATTCATTTACAACACTAAACTAATGCATACATTGAATAGAAGGATCAACTAGAAGTCACAGATAATACAGAAGAGATTGAATTTAAATAAATAAGCTTTGATCAAGCATTATCACAAGTAGGATCATCAGGATACTATTAAAAAAGAGTATTCCTAATATTTGGTCTGCAATGGATGATAACTACGTATAGACCTCTTATTATCATTGATGGATTCTATTTGCTCCTGTTTTCTACTTTATAGAGCCAAAAATTGATTGCAAAAACGATCTAAATTGCTATAATGAATGCTCTACACATATTTTGGATGAACAATGTCTATCTTACATTTGTGTAATCAAATCCAATACTCTTAGGAAGATTAATCTCGAATAGAATTCCTTGTTGGTAATTCCCTTAACACAGCATTCAATACAGTATTGCCTTGCAATAAGACCTTACAATCAATTATTAAATCCATTGTTTATTTTGGCTCTCTGAAAGGATTCTTTATTTTTTCATTTATAGCTGACAATTATGGAAGGAAACTCGCTTTGACATTATCTTGGTCAATCACTACAATAGGATCATTAATTTTAGCAGTTACATATCATTTCTAATTATATATAGTCTGCTTAAAATTTCTAAATGATAACAGGTGCAATGTTTCTTTTGGGTTTTGGAGGAAATCCTGCCATAACAGTTCATTATTCATTTATAAATGAACATTCCTGGAAAATTTACATTAAAATTATTAGAAGGACATTTCAGAGAATTCCAAAATGTTGGTCTCTAAGTTTTCTTTGCAATTGGGGAATTTACATTTATCACTTTGGCCTATTATGTGACTGATTGGAGATCATTAGCAATTATTGCTGCAATACCTACAATCATGCTCGCTTTTGCTAATTTATTGATTTTTGAATCACCCCAATTTTTGTACTCCAAAAATAAATCTTAATGTGTAGAAACACTTAATCAGATAGCTAAAATTAATTCAAAGAAACAAATATATATTGATGAATTAATCACAAATCCAAAATCTAAAGAGAAAAACTAGAGGATGTACACAGCATGGGATCTTGTAAGAAACAAATCTATTAGATATATATTTATTGCATGTGTAATGATGTTTTTTGGAATTCAAATGATATATTATGGAATCAGTTTTGTTAGTGATTAATTAGGAATGAACTTTTTCACTAGCAATTATATTATAGCATTTTTTGAATTAACCGCATATTTAGTAACAGGTAAATATATTTCTTTATTTTTGAGATTTTTTTGTGACAAAATTAAAAAGAAAGAAAAGTATCATTTTGGGACTGATATTAGTGGGTTTGATGAGTTAGTATTTTATAATTCAATTTGATAATTCTCTATTTATCATAATGTAAGGAATTTTAGCAGGGGTATGATATAAATAATTAAATTCTAGATGATGAGATTCATTATTTGTGTGATCTGGGCTTTGGCATTTGTGTATGTGTCTGAATTGTTCCCTTCAGTTGTTCGTTCTTTAGCATTATTATTAATATCTGCTGGAGGTTCGATTGGTAGTATAGTTCAAACCTTCTTGAATAATTTATGTCAACAGTTTTAAGTCCATCCCATGGTTGTTTTTGGAATAATTGGTATGTTGTGTGGTCTTTTGTTGCTACCTCTAAAGGAGACATTGAATCAAGGGTTGATTGAGAATATTGAGGAGGAAGAAAAGTTAATGAATTAATGCAAACTGGATAATAAATGTTAATAGTCTTATGAAGCTGAAGAGTCTGGTGAAGTGGATCAAATGGAAAATTTGAATGAAGAGAGAGAGTGAGTATTTATTAATTAAATTTAATTTAGATTTCTCATAATAAAATAAAAGAACATTAACATTAACGCTTAAAAGAAAGATTGTTGATTGTAATTATAGAAATATAATAAAATGTTTATCCTTATGAAAAAATAATAAGTGAATAAACATAAATATTAATAATAAGATGTTGCTTAATAAATGACATAATGTTGTATATCTATCACAGATATCATCTTCCTGACCATGAAGCAACTTATTTCTTGAACATTATGATTACTTCATCCAAGATGGCATTCTCTTCGTTTCTTTTAGCTTTGGCTTCTGCATAATCAGCTCTCTTTGATTCCAAATCGGATTAGGCTTGATCCAAGGCATCTTGTGATTCTTATAAAATGATTTTAGATTTAGCTTATTGGGCCAAGGCAGCTTGGATTTACTATAGATTAATAAGAATGGAGTATTACAGTGGCAGTTCTATCAGCAAAGACTTATTTTCTTTCATATTCAACTTCCAATGATGTAATTTCAGCTTCAGATAATGAGACCCAACCAGCCAATTCCCATGAGGCATTGATTTCATTTTATTTCAAATTTTCTAATGAGCCTTCCAATTCAGAATGTAATCCTTCCAAGACTGCCAACACTTTTTCAGCCAAGGTTGATCCGTTTCCTGATGATTATTCCTAATGAGAAATATAGATGAATATTACTTATTATTCTTAAGCTAAGGCCAAGAATGTTTTGATTTGATGTTCTTAGAATAAATTGCTGTATTATTTCAACTTTTCAGCCACTGATTATGCTTAGACTTATGTGAATTCGAAGGAATCTCCATTGATAATATAACCAGCAACGTCTTGTTTTAAAAGTCTGATAACTTCAAGGGCTTCTTAGTTGTGTTTGATGGATTTGACGAATAACTAGTTGCTGAAACATTGGTTGTCTTGGAGTGTTTCAATTTTGGCAGCGATGGAGTCTCTTCTGGCTTCATTCCATGCCAAATAGTTTTTGGTTTGCTACAAAACACTTTCATATTCAGCTCTATTCTCAACTGCTTATTGGAATAACTTCTAGTTCAAGGCCTTGATTTTGGTGAATTATTCAATTGTTCTAAAGATTTGGAATATATAATTACTATGCACCAACCCATTCATCTGTTTCATTCTTTTGATCAGCTGCGAATTATGCATCAATATTTGATTATTTCAAATCGTTCAACAATCCAAAGACTGTATCAATAGCATCACTTGCTTTTGTTCCTGTCTATTTGAATAATGAGACTTTTTACTTATAAAAGAGCCAAAATTTAGTCTTAAGTTTTTGATGCTGAGCTTGTAGCTGCTAAGGCCAACAAAACAATCATGATGTATTTCATTTCTGATAAACTTAATAATGAAAAACGATTTATATTAAAAACGAATTAATAGCATATTCATTTTAATAATAATAATTTTTATTTCAATGATTCTGTTTCCTCCTCATCCTTAAGAACTATGCTAATTGTAGTCAATTGTTCATGACAAACCACTATAGTATTCTCAACCATTCTGATCTAACACTCGATCACATTATAAATTGCCTAAGCCTTCTTATGAACTTTAGATTTAAACAAATATAATTAACCATCTATCAATTTCAAATATCTAAGATTAATTGTGATATTACTTAGATTATTCTATCTCTTCATCTTCAAATTTGATTTTATAAATTCCCAATTCTATGCAATTCATTCTTTGTTACCTCTCAAATTGATAATGAACTTCCTGCAATTTCCTTTTTATATACTCTAAACTGTATCTTCGATTGGGATCTTTATCCAAACATTTCAACACTATATCACTCACTATAGGGTTTTTTTGTATGAATTTAAATGGGAGAGTTTGTGAATCCTTTGCATCCAATAATAATTGCATTTGACTTTCTTAAGAGAAGGTAGGATAAAAGAGTAACAATAGAATCAAACCAAAAGAATATATGTCGATTCTATTGTCATATTACTTGTTTATGTTTTCTCCCAATAGTTCTGGAGCAACATATATTTTTAAATCATCAGATTTATTAATTTGAGTGTTCTCCTCAATAAAACCATACTGTTATTTAGAGGATTATTTTTGGACCAACAATTACTTAATTTTTTTCATTAATCCAAAATCCCCTATTCTTACATCATTTTCATTATTGATAAAGATATTGTCTGGTCTCAAATCTCGATGAACTAATTTACATTGTTAATGAATATACTCAAGAGCAGATATCAAGTTTAATGAGATTATTAATGCATTTTCATATGATTATTCTAACTAGTATTCCTATTATTCTGCATTCTGTTATAGGTGCGTGTTTCTTACTTTTAAATAATTACATAAAGATTGATCACAGAATTCTGTTTGTATAAATATAGTAAATTTATCCACATGTAATTATTTCTAACCACAGGATTTACTTATCAGTTAAGTACTAATCTTCAAACTCTTATTTTTTTATTTCTGTTCACTAAAAAATCTATCACTTTGTGTCTCATTAGAATCAGAATCACTTGATTCTACTTCGGAATAGCTGATCCTCTCTTTGCTTGACTTATTGTCAATTTATTCTAATGTATTTGATGATAAAATTACTTGGAAATATAAATTGATCATCGTACAACCCTCTCTTATAAGTTGGCGATTTCAAAGGACTTAAGAGATCAATCATCTTTATTGAATTGTTTGTAATTGTCTATTGTAACTCTTATTCGTCTTCATTCATTTAAACCCATGAGTTATAATACCTCATAATGTTTGGATGATTCAATTGAGCCAAATATCTAACTTCCTTCAAGACTCTTTGAATGTTAATTTCCATTTGTTATTGCTTTTTTAAACAAATTTGAATCTTATTTTAGATGCATTCCTTACCTATTTTATAGCATAGATCTATTAGTCAATTTTATTAATCACTTTCACAACCTAATAATAAGGACCTTTGAGTAAAGTTTCTATTTCTTCAAAATCTGTTTCATATCTCTAATTTATTATTTGTAATAATTACTTTCCAACCTTAACTAACAATTTATTATAAATAAACACTATTTAAATTGAATATGTTTTTTTCTTATTAGTTTGTTTACGGTCGTAACATTAGAATAAATAAAAACTGACCTTAAATTATTATATCTAATATATTTTGCGTAATATTATTTATAGTACGTCATTTTATTTCTCAATTAATTCGTTTAACAGTCAATAATAATCATTAGAAATTTAGAGATACATCTTGATTATAATAATAATAAGTATATTCATACTTAAATATATGAATAAAAATAATATTAATTTTTATATGTATTTTATATATCAAATTATTTGATCTCATTTCCATGCATTTTTTATCATCCTTTATTATATATTAAATCTTGATGATTTAATGTTTCTCTAAATTTATAAAAAAATAAAGAAAGGAATATGTTGATCTTCAATTAATGATTAAATATATATATAAAAATATATATAAATAAAGTGCATTTTTAAAGGAGATGACTTTATTATACATTATGTATACGGGATCATTTCAGAGAGAACTTGATTTATTATTTAAGAAACTCAGATAATAGAAGAAGATATCATTCATTAAGTTGATTAATGTATGTTATCAAAATGAAAGTGAGGTAATACAACATTTTAAAAAACGTGATTCTATGATTATTACTAAAGAAAATTTAGCTTCTATTAATTGCTTAATAGTCTGTGGAATGAAAAAAATCGTAAATTGTATGTAAAAGTCATTTCCATATAAGATATTTTAATTTGGCAATTTCTACTAATTGCTTCAATCGGAATTAATCGGATATTATTTCTAATTCTTAGAAATTCACTTAGAATTGTATTTTCTAAAATTAATACATTATGCATAGATTTAGATAGGGTATACTTATTCTATTGCATTTTCGACAAAATAAAGTATTCAGAGATTAATTTATAGGGACCTAAATATACTTTTAAAACCAATTCTGTGTTATGTAAAATTTAATGTAAAATTAAAATGGATATTTTCAACCCCAGAAAAGATTGAAACTAGAAGTGTAATCTCGACTCAAGGTATTAAGTGATAGTTGGATTTGCATGAAATATTAAAAATTAGAAAATTAAAAATATTGGAGGATGAGAAAAGTAATATAGTTTTTGATTAGCATTAGAATGATATTGAATTAATACAACTCAATATATTTGATGTTGTATTTATGACTTTTTAGTAAAGAAAAATGATAATTATATTTTTAATGTCTAACTATAATAAAAATTAAATAGTGATATGTAATAAATTTATAAGGTTTAATTATTTTTTTTGTATAAGGAGGAGAGCAAAATCACTGAATTTAATTAATTTTTTATTCATCATCCTAAAGTTAAGGGTTAAAATTTGGTAATTAGTTGAGTTTGAAAGATTAATAAATAATTATTTTTCATTTTCTATCCATCCGACTCAGATTGAAATTGAATGATTATATATAAATCCTTTATAGTAAAAGGGAAGATTTTAATATTTATTTTATAAAATAACTAAATCTTCTACTACACAGATCTCATGAATCAAAACGATTTATTTCTAATTGAAGGGCTAAAGTTTTAGAAAGGGAACAAATAAGCTGTCCAATTGATTCCTTAGGTGAATGGTTTGAAAATGATTGTAAGTATTACATTTATTTAGAACACTTCTGATAATTCATTGATATTAAACATTGACTTTCAGGATGATGGAGTATTATTTGATTGGAGTCCCTACATAAACAAATAAGGTGAAGACAATTTGTATTTCATAATCCATTTTCATGGATAGTTGTACAAACTTTTTGGAACCCCAATTTAGTTAGACTCTATGCAAGAATTTTCTGCAGGAAAATTTATTTTCAAAAGGAACGACATTTATACTTTAGACACAATAAATGAGTCGATGTCTACACATTAAGTATCAATAAGTATTATCTCTAGTTATCGACAATAATAAATAGACATAATGGTAAAAAATATATTGAAAAAAGAATAAATTAATTAGATTCATAATAAATATCTAATTCAAGTATCACAGATTATGGATGTGATGGTGTGCCTGAAGAAATACGTATAATTTAATTATTAAATATCCAACGATGTCCATATTTAATGAAAATAGACTAACTCACATTTGATGGAGAATGCTATTCAATTATTTATTAAAGTTCTCCCTAAATTTCACTTAGGCAAATATTGAAAAAATACAAGAATCCACCAGTCTCCTTTATTATTGAAATCTTGGAATAACTACTTTTAGGTATTTACATTCAAAATTTAGTTTTAAACATCTTCGAAGAGCTAAATATCATTCATAATGGGATTACCTTGGAAAATATATGTTACTCTCAGGAGTTCAACTCTATATATCTTTGTAATTTCTCACACTCGATCTTTGAAACCTAGAATCGATCTCAAATGTAATTTTCAATTTGAATTTTAGAAAAGGCAATTCCATTGGATTTGTTCCTCCAGAGCAATACCAAATGAATTCTCATATCTCCAGTTAGGCCAACATATACCAATTGGGAGTCCTTTTATACTATATGTATGAGCTATTCTAATTTAGGCTTTTTAATGAAAACCCATTCGGAAAGGATTAAAAGAAAATATTATAAAATAATATTGCTGGAAAATATCAAATTCCAAATACAAATTAAGACAAGAACATCGTAGATATTATGAAATCAATGCTCCAAAAGAACCCATAGAAAAGGAAATCTTGTAAGGAATATTTGGCATCCAAAATATTTATGCCAGCTTATAGATCCAAAATTTCAAAACATAGTTTCTTCTCATTTTTTGAAGACAATTTCAATAAAAAAATAGATGAATTTGAGGTTGGAGATGATAATAACTTTGTTTAAACAGTGAAATCATTGTAAATAAATAAAGGGAATAAGAAATGATTTGATTTATATTTTGTGTTAGAATCAACGTCAACTATATAATATAATTTTATATTTAATAAAATGTTTATGTTGATTAATACATATTAAATTATTATTTTATATTTTATAATGAAAACAAATAGAGATAAATAATTTGATGAAATGAGATCGAAAATTAAGTAATCTCTATTTACTAAAAAAGAAACAATTAATAAAAATATAGACAATTCTCGAATTATTAAAAGATCAACAAGCAATACTTAATTAAATATTTAGCCCTAGGCTAAACCAGACTAAAAATAACCACCCTGTATTTAGAATCGCTTTCATGATTTATACTAAGTCGGTTCTATCATCGGCTAAGGCTCAAATGGAATTGTGAAGGTTTGTTACAAAAAGACTTAATCCAGCTAACTCTTTAATTTTGGTCACATTCCAACCAAATACGCAGTCAAAATTATACCGAATGCTGATGATCCTGAATTAATAAACACAATCACACAAACTTTTATAATAAACAGAGAGCTAAATTCGTTGCCATAGATTATTTAAGTTTTCGATCTATTTATAGATGAAAATGAAAAAGTATCTTATTTGGTCATGGAATATTGCGAATGGAAGAATTTGTAATATTATCTTGATAAAAATCAACTGACGATTAAATAAATTAGAGAAATTATAAGTAATTTAGCAATTTCTCTCAAATCTATACATCACAAAGGAATTTGTCATAGAGATATTAAACCAGATAACATTCTAGTGAAACTAAGTGATCAAACTGAAATTAAAATTATTGATTTTGGCGTATCCAAACAGTTCTTTAATAAAGATAAAAATGGAATCATCATTCATGAAATGTGGACAAGAACAGGTACCATTTTGTTTTAAGCCCCTGAAATATTTCTATGTGGAATTTACAATGAAAAAAGTACTTTATTAATATTAAATTTATAGTTGACATCTGGTCCTGTGGAATTATTTTGTATTAATTATTATGTCACAAATTTCCCTTCTTGGCCGACACAATTATTGATACAATTGAAACTATTACTAATACTAATTACAATCCATGGAGACAATAAGAATTCTTAGATTTGCATTATTTACAGTAAGATATATTAAAACGTATACTCGCCAAAGATCCTAAAAACCGTTTGTCAGCAGAAGAATTATTGCTACATCCCTGGATTTCAATGAAAACTAGTTAATATGATAAAACTATGGATGACACATAAATTTCAAAAAAGAAATCTAAGTGTTGTGATTTTAAAATTGCAACTTGTCTCTAATTAAGTGATGTTATGAATCCTTATAAAATTTCAAGTCCAATGTATTTAAATCCAATCCAAAATGGTAATACAAATAATGACAAGAATAATATGAATCATGTTTATTTTAACCATAATAATAATGATAATAAGAATAAAAATGATTATGGAAATTTTAAGTTAAGTGACTTTGTTGTAAGGAGTAAACAAATGATGAGTGGAAAGAGTAGTTTTTTATTTGCAATAGAGAGTTCATAAGAAAATTCATCAAAAACGAATATTGAATAATCTGAACTATACTTGGGTGATAAATAATCAGATGAAGTGTTGCAGTACAGAATGGAAACTAGATTTTTAGATTAAGATTGTTAACACAGAAAACTTTCTAAATGAGTTTAATATTATTTGTTTGTTTATTACAGAAATAACTATTTATATAATAAGTCTTGTGAAATACAAATATTAATGTGATCAAGCTGATATCTTGTTGATGAGTAGGGTGTAGGATTCTTTTACAGCCAAAAACTCAGTATTGCCATTAATATTTAATAATTTGTATGTTTCGAATTTTTTAAAAGGATTCTAGGCCTTATGCTAAATGTTTCTGATAGGTTAAATCAATTTAGAATCTCTTATTTTGGATTCTGATTTTGTAGTTTATCCAAAAAACTTTTATTAGGGTGGAGGATTTTTCATTAATTTTTTGTGAACTTGGGGTGGAGTAGCGATTTATTGATTATCTAATTCTTGATTAATGGATTGATCGAAAGATTGATGTTGGATCTTTATTTGGGTTGACTTTTTGAGAGTTGATTTGTTTGTCGAACAACAAAACATTACTTAATAATATTAATTAAATAGTATGAATAGAGAGTCTAAGGAAGGATGTAATGATAATAAATTTAAAAATATGATTTATTTATATTTTTTATGGGATCACATATAACTTGCCAAGATTCCTTCCTTCCAAACTCCTCTGATAACTTATCCATTGACAGTTGTGTATACTCCTTCTCCATCAATCATTCCATCATTAAATTTGCCTTCAAACTTTTCACCATTAGTTAATTAAAGTGTTCCTTAACCATGCATTTTGCCTTCGAAGAATTCACCTTAGTCATTATAAAGATCTCATACCCTCATAACCTAACCAGCCGTTATCAATGCCACTGAGGTCTTAATAGTCGAATGGGCCATCAATTTGCTCAGCTTGGAAATTGATCAACTTGCCTTGACCATGGTATTGGTTTTCATGCCAATATCCACTATAAACTTCGTTTTCGTTCTAATCAGTTAGGACTCCGAATCCTTCTCTTGTTGCTGGCTCAAAACCTTATCCTCTATAGATGTAACCATCCTCATACTACAATGCCAAATCTTAGAGTTGTTGATCTTGATCATTATTCTCAGGACTAGGATGATTGAAAAATTGATTACTTTTCGTATTATGGCTGTTGAGGTTATTGCTATTACTTTTGAGGTTAATATTAATTTTATTGGGGATTCTAGTATCTTTGAACTAAATCTCTTGTCCTGTCTATAGCATCTTAGAACTTCTTCTCTAAATCTTCATCCTTCTATGACAACTATTAGGGCTTGTATTATTGAGGCTGTTATGGCTATTATTATTGGTCAGGTGGTCTGTATTATGGCACTTATTGAGGTTTGGGCTATTATGGAACTGGTTGGTGTGGCGGTTGGACAACTTTATTTTGAATGGGTGCCAAAGCCAATTGCTAGGCTGGAGCTTATGGTTAGGGTTGGGCATAAGGACGAGCTCCTTGTGGTGGTTGTTGTTGATATTGTTATGGTGGATATTATTGGGGGGGAACAGTTCTTTGAGGCAGTGTCTGGGGAGGCTATGGTTATCTGTACTGTTAAACATTCTATAATAAAAATGACACTCTTACAGGTTGCTATGGATATGGTTGGGTTGGATTTGGTCTCTAAGGACTCTGAGTGTAGATGGGACCTTATGGATATACTTATTAAGGAGGATAGGTTTGAGGGGGTGGTTATTATGGTTGATATCCGATTGGTTGTTATGGATAGGAGACCCTTTGGGGTTGAGGCGGTAATGGTTATTTAACTATTTAAGGTTGAGGATAACCGTATGGTTGGGGAGGACGATATCCCTAAATTATTCAAAATAAATTCAAAATGTACCTATGGTATTGAAGGAGGATACTAGCCTTGAGGAGGGTATTATGGTCTTGCCTATACTTAGGGGGGTGGAATGTAGGATTAAGGCTGAGGTTGGGGTCTTTATGGTGATGCCATGTAAAAAGGCTATTGATATGCCATTTTATATTTAAATATTTTAAATATTATTTGATTTCTTCATTGCTTCACACACTTTATAAATTATTTTCATTCACATTATAACTACATGGTATCTTCTTTAAGATTATATCTCTTTTTCCTTTCATTCGATTAAGATGACAATAAAATTAAGTAATTAAAGTTAAATTAATAAATAATTAAATAAAATGATAACAACAACTAGATCCCTGAATTTTAGATTGCCACAATTAAGCATAAAGAATCTAGAAAAATCTAGAGAAAAATCAAATAAACCTACAATTAGATCCATTAATAACGTCTACGATTATTCTAATTCTCCCCCTAAAACTAGAACTGATAATATCTCGAGGGGATCCCTTTCCACTCCCCTGTAATATTGTCGATATTCCTGTTATAATATATAAAGAGTGGATTCATCGTTTAATGACTAAGAAATCTTTAGTGCACAATAAAAAAGTGTTTAAAGAAACGAAAATAGCAAAAATATAATTAGTGATTAAATTGAAAAATTGACTTAAAGAATCAAAAATCTAAGCAAAACCAAAAAAAAAATACAAGAATCCATCTCTTCAAAACAATATAAAAAAACTGAACCCTATATTCAAAAATAGTCAGATAAATAATAATAATCCAAAAGTTCCAAATTAATACTCAAGACTGAAGATAAAAATGAACCACTAAACATAGAATAGAAGAAAGTCATCCAAGAAAAAATGTAAGATATTTACACTCAAGTACAAGCCATACTCAAATCTCATAAAGGTTATGTTAGATAATCAGATAAAAAGAATGTCTATATTAAATTGGTCTAATTAAAAAAGCAATTCAAACTTGTTAATCAAGATTATAACGAGTTTTATATTAATCCAACTAATGAACAATTCAAATGTAATATATAATACGTCTATGATTAGTGGATTTTGAATTAGTCGATCGAATTGAATAATTAAAAAAATTATTTGAAAATAAAAGACCTACTAAACGCAATTGTGAAAGTCTTTTCGATGGAATGGATATCTCCATTGTATTTCAAACTGAAGCTGATGAAAAATTTAATAATCTTGACTTTAATGAAATATCTGAAAAAGACTTTGAGCAATCCCAAGATTAAATAGAGTAATTCACAGATCAAATGACTGATTGCTCACCAGCCAATAGCACTACCAGAAGAAGAACCACTAATTTAAATAAAAGAACAACAAAACAATACTCAATTTAGCCAATTTAAGTTTAACAAGAGATTACCCAATAACCACAAATGAATAGAAGGAAGAGCAGCATAAAGTCAATTAATAGTCCACTTACACCTAAAACTCCAGACTCTCCATCTACTATGACTTCTAGAAATAATAAATTTAATGCATAATAAATTCTTGAACAAAAATTAAAATTACCAGCTACTCCACCTAAGAAATTAGAATAACAGTAATTCTAAGAAGATTAAGCTATCATTCTAAAAAAAGAAATTTAAAAAAGACAATCTAAACTCATTTCTCGAAAGACTACATTAGATCTATAAAAAGAACCAAAATCAAAATCTAGAGCAATTTCAAGAAACAGTGTGGTAGAAGTTACTGAAAATTCTGAAAATGAATAGAAACTAATACCTAATTGTCCTACTAATCAAACATAAATGAGTATTGAAAATAATCAAGAATCTGATCAAGTCCAAAATATTCTTGATTAAATAGAAGATCTAAAAGAATAAATACCTACTGAAATATAACAACAGCCAAACCATTAAATTATCTCGTCAAATCAATAATAATAATAATAGCCTACTCAACATTTGGTAATTTAAGAATCCAAAATAATATAAGAACTCTATTAATCAACATTTATCTATGATGAGGATATTGTGAATAAACACAGAAAAGATAAATACAAAACTCAATGGGAATAAGATATCTAATCAATTTTATCAAATTATTATTAATTTTTTTGATTAATTTTTGTTTATAAATTAATATTAAATTAGTATTATATATATATAGAAAATAAAGATAATATATCTAGAATCAAAATCCATAATCGAAACACTCCCTAGTTTATTATCCATTTTTCACAATCTCCTACTTTTTACCTGCAAATGGTATTCTATGTAACCAATCTGCAGGAACTCCTTTGTAATTCTTTGGATTAAGTTCAATTGGATCCAATTATTACAAATAGTTGGCTGGTGGGTTTCTAACAATATAAACAAATAATGATACTTATCATCAAAGGATTTAACTTCCTACAGATCATTTGTTATTTATTTCTTTTATTCTTACTTGGGGGATGATTTCAATAAGGATGGATTAATTTCATTCACTTTGCATGTAAGTCTGTTTGCCTTCTCCTTTTTCTATTTCAATTCTTCAATGAATTTATTATTGGCCTTATCTGGAATAGCTAATTAATCATCTATTTGCAATTTGGATTCTGATTGAATTTAAACTTTTTTGTCCTATTTCTTTTTAGATTCCTTTGTTTTCTAATCATTACTAATCTTTGATTTATTATCATCTTTGTCCTTTTAAGATTTCTATGTACGATTATCAATAACTGATTAAGGTCTTTTGTCTCCTTTTTGTTTTCTTTATTATTTTTCTGATTTATCTTAGATCTAAGATTCTCCTTAAACGCTGCCTGCTTCGGAAGCAAATCTTAAAGTATTGGTTAAATCTGGCTTTTTAATATTAAATTCAGGAACTGTCTATTTTCCTTTTGAATCTAATTTCTTTTTCAATTCTGAATAAGGTTACGGAGTCAATTGATTTCTTTATTTTTAAGCTTCTACTTATTCAGGATTCAACCTGTCTTCTTCTCTACAATTTCTGGGAGGTTCAGGTTCAACATTAGCTACTGTAGCTCCTTTTCTTAATGCATTCTAATAGGTTTAGATATAAAATGGATCATTTTTATTCCTATGTGGTTAGACATTATGAGAAAGCATATGTTAGCCATACACTATTCCTCCAACAGATGGATTAACATTGTTGAATCCATAGGGACCCCAAGCAGGTTTACCAAAATAAGTAGTGAAAGCACTATCCGCTATCCATCTGGTTTCTCCTTGAAATTTCTTAATTCTGTCTTTTCTCCTTTGTAGTTTTGCTGCATCTTCAGGATTATTGGGATCAAGAGTCTTAGCCTTTTTAATGAATTTAGTATTCATTTTTTTTTATTGATCATCTTCTTCTTCATTATCTAAATCCTCTTCTTCAGATGAGATCACTTCTTCTTCATCTTTCTTAGAATCTTCATAATAGAATCCACTAAAGGGATGCTAAACCTTATATTCTCCTTTGAAATTTTTATTATTTTATTCTAACTAATACATTAGCTCATTTGTATCTTTGATATCTTTGACTAGGTAATTATCTCGATAAGCTGATTGTAATTTAGGATTCCATTAAACAGGCAATTTATACTGATTATTTAAATCTTCCTATAATTAAATTTATGGATTAGGTAATTATTAGGGATTACGGCAATCACAAGATTTTGCTATATTTTTAATAGTTTTTTCATCCAATTCTAAATAATTGTAAGAATGCTTATATACTTTACACAAGGATTTGGGAATCTTCAACTTTTAATTTTTCAATTTTTCTGAAATTATCTTTATTTTCAGTTAACCAAGGTGAATTCTCATGATTAATTCTTGTTATTAACTTTTTAGTTTCAGGTTCTCTTTCCACTTATATTTTCTTCTTGAAATCCCATGGTTCGTCCTACTCGACTGGCCATTTCATCATATCAAACATATTAGGTTCTTAGTTTCTTGGCTTATTTTTTTTGCCAAATACTTTATTATCGTCTAAATTTAAATTGTAAATTACTTTCATAGACTTATTTAAGCACTTATTCTTTATTTTTCATATGACTGTTAAAATGGATAAGTTATAAATAAATTTAATTTTAATATTATTTTCAAAACACTGTTAAAAGGAAAATAAGTCATTTTAATTATTATTCAATATCATCACTTTGCTCTTCTTGATAAAGTTTGACTTCTCTTTCAATTTATTATTGTATATGTTGTTCGACAGTTTCATCCTATCTAATGGTTTCAATTTAAGATTCCTCATTTACTTATTGAATTTCAGATAACTATGCTTTAATTTAATAGTCTTTCAATTTTTCTAGTTCTTATGATAAAAAATGATCTTTAGTTTCAATTTACTTATTTATTTCAGTATTTTCAATAGATTTGGCTTTTAAACTATAAATTTTTCATTAAGAATATTACTTATGAATGATTGGCTATAACTAATATTATAACTATTGTTTTTCTTTCTTTTTTGAAATTATTGAACTGTTGTTTGTAGAATCTCTGTAAGAAAATGTCATATTATTTCTTAATTTATAATTTTAATAATTTTACCTGATGTTATTCATGTAGTTTTAGCATTGTTAATATCTTTGTAATCTCATCACCATCCTCTTGTTCTCTTTATAAGAATGTGAAAATTCCTCTAATTTCAGGACTGGTTCTTATTTCATTAGACGATCAGCAATTTTAATATTTTCGTTTTGTATTTGTTAAGCTTGATTCTTACGAAAGGTTAGGTTTAGATTGTGAGGGTGATGTAGTAACTCATCTTCATATTTATAGTAATCTTATTACATGGGTCTATTGCAGATTTCTGTTATTTTTTAATACAACTAGCTATTGCCCTTGTTTATACGCTCTGATTATTCTATTGAAATAGCAGATGGTAGCATACCATTTAAATCGAAACGTCTTCTTTGTAATCGTAGGTTGTTTCTTTTTTCCAGGACTTCTAAATGCTATACTCTCTATTAGGATTATGTTTTTTTGCTTTTGATTTCATTCAACTTCTTCAAATGGAGATCATATGACCTATTTACTATGAATAGTTACTTCTCTCTCGAAAATATTTAGTCTAATTTATAATTATAATTGTATTAATGATTAGATCTCATTAAATAAAATAAATAATATAAATAATAAGAATGTAACAACCGTCCGAAACTAAACAATCGATTTAAAGTGGCAGGATGGTCTTACACCCATCTCTAAAGTTAGATAAATCAGCTGCGTTTTTCAAAAGCACTAGAGTTTAGTTCATGCTCTTATGTAAGAATGAAATAAGGCAATCCACGAAGTAAGATGTCAATTTTGAATGTCTCTAGGCTGGTTCCCTTTTATGAGATCGCCAATAAAACTCCAGCTGAACATGAAATTAAATCTACATATACAACTTCGTCTTATGCGTATTTAAATATCGTAATAGAACAGGGATGATTATAAAGTGAGACCCAATTTGCATGTTGGATCTACTAATAAACTATTAGAGCCCTACAATACAGGATCATTTAGATCCAGATTGCCTGAACCAGATGCTCCAATTTTAACTAAAAATGCCTCTCAAATCGAATTAGGAGATAGACAGTAAATTAATAATAAAGACTTTTAGTTTCAATGTAAAAAGACATTTCTTAAGCACTGCTCATAATGTCTATGGAAATTTTGGAAAGTAGGGAAATATTACAAATCCAGGAATATTATCAGAGAAAACTAAATGGCATCATCATTTATAATAAAAATGATAAATTCGAACATAATATATTATTTCATGAATCATCAATATCATCCTCCTCATCTGATTTTGTTTTTGGACTGCATTCTGAGGTCAGATAACTTTTTTTAATACCATTTAAAATATTGTTTTTATCCTTATTATCCACTTTTTCCTTTGTTCCATTGTCTTTTGTTCCCTTATCCTTTTTATTTGTGATATTCTTTTTTAATTCTTATTCTTCTTTTTGATATTCTTTAATTAATTATTCAATCTTGTCATCCTTAGAATCATCATCCTATTCGACCTATTTCTTGCTTCTTGTTTTAGGAGTCTATCTTTTAGGAGTATCCTTTTTATTTTTCTTATTTGAAGATGCTTATCTTTCTGGTTCCTCTGTACCAAAATTAAAGATTGCTGTTTTCAATTTTTAACCTTTCTTATCCTTTTTGCTATTTTGTGGTAGATCAACTGAATTAGGATTATACTTTTTATTTTCACTAGATTATTCTTCCGATGATTATTTACTATTGATTTTGGTCTATTTTTTTGGTTAGCTTTTTTTAGGGATTTTGTTTTCAACCTTTTCAACTTATTCTTTGTTTTCATCTGATTCTGAATCCACTATTCTTTTAGATTACTTCTTCTTTCCATTTCTGTTTGGTTTTGATTATTTTTTTATTGTAGTCTAAATTTCTGAATTAGATTCTGATTCTGAATTTACTGTTTCTATAGGTCTCTTTTTTGTCTACTTTTTGTTGCTTTTTTATCCATTATTATTATTATTACCATTATTATTATTATTGTTATTGTTATTATTGTTGTGAGCACTTTTTTTGTTTTCTGATTGATCAAGACTGACATCGATTGGCATTTTCATACTTCCAAATACATCATCAAAATTTTAATCATAATTGTTTAGGAACTCTGTCATAGATTTTTTCACTATTGGTTTCTTTTTAAATGGCTTAACCGAAGAATCCAATCCACCAAAGAGGGATGTTTAAAATAAGGATTAAGCATTCAAAGATTTTCTTTATGTTTCTTCCTACTCAGATTCAGAACAATCTTCAATGTTGAACTTACCCTTTGCCGATTTTGAATGATTCATTTATTATTTGGTTGATAATCATTCTTTATTATATATTACAAAATTTCAAAGGATTTTAAATTAAATTAGACCACAATAATCATAAAATAAATTATATTCGATAATCCTAAAAATCAAATGGAAATAATAATATATCCAAAATATTGTAAATTATTACGTACTACAAAGTATAAATATATCAAACATTTTTTCAAAGTACCATCTCTTTAGAAAAACTCAAAATCCACAACACCCAAGAATGAGAATCTTATGTCAACTTATAAATTCACTTAAAATATGTTAAATTAGAAAGTAATAATCTACTATATGCAAAATGGGCTAACACTTAATTATGTAAAGATTTGAGATAAATAAATTTGAATTCTAAAATAACAGTTATTTAGAACAAGATAAAAAAGGTTTTATGCGGTTTGTGAGCTTGAAAACAACTAGGACCACTAAAGAATACAAGAATATGGAAGTTGAGATCGTTCGAATTTATTCTTATTCAATAAGATGAACAAAAGATATTTATGTGAAAATAAGGATTTAAACATAATACTATATCTATTTGATAATAAGTTACTCTGTTTCTTATCAATAAATAAATCGTGGATGTTGAATCAATGTCATCTAGTTGTTGGGAATGTATAGATTGAATATATTTGTTTATAATTTAATGTAAATATTACATTTGATATTAAATCCCTGATAAGATAAGCATAATTAGAATGTTAATCATAAATATTAAAATTTGGAATTATAAAATTAAAATGACCAACAGGAAAACAAACCTCTCATCAATTACTAGGAATTTATTCAATACTGATTATGATCAAGAAACTTTATTCTCCTCTCCATTGAAATCACCTGATAAGTCGAAGTCTAAAGTCTCTTTAAATTATTCACCCATGAAATTAGACAGTATTGACAATTTGATGGAAAATTAAAATACCTTAAGAACTCAAAGACCATCGGAATTTAATCTCAAAAAAATGTTATCTAAAATGGATAACATGGATAATATCCAAGAACCCCAACAATAATATAAAACTTTTCGCTTCAGAAGAAACGAAAACTTTTCATCTCAACCTATTTTGAAAATCGAAGTGAAAAACGATGTTGATGAATTCTTTAATAACAACTCTCCGGTTAATACTTAATTAAAATAAAATAAAGAAAATAAGCAATATTAATTAATTACCTTTACTGATTATGTTGAAAAAATTTATGGTAAAGACTGGTTTTCAGTACCATAAAGAAGATTCAGAAGACAAACTACAATCTAAGAATTCTTTGATATAATCGAATGACCTCAAATGAAACTGGCTTTATTTTATTTTATATATCTTAACTCATTTTAATAATGAGAAATAAAATTTATATATTGTTATGAAAAAGTACTCCTCCTAAGGATTATTGCTGACTAATGAAGAGCTTCTGCGCATTTAAATCCTAGCCAAAAACTCTTTCAGACCCTCTTCCAAATAGAGAATCAAGGAGAAACCTAAGCTTGAATCATACCAATTCAAACCGGAGGTATTATCTCCATTTATTCCAGATTAACAAATAATCTGCAAATCTACAGAGATCTATAAATGATCTATTCCGATGGAATTTAAATAGACAAATGAAAAGACAACAAATATATGATGATGAAGTATTTAATCCTCATTTATTTTTAGTCAAGAGAACTTGTCAACAATGCCAATAGATTAACACATGAATTGAATAACTCTTCTGTATTTGACAGGTTGTATCAGGTCAGAAAAAACAGCGAAAATGTTATTTGTATACTCTTCATTCTCTATTATTAGAACAATCTAAAAGAAACACTAGCAATTTCGGACCTTATTATACTAAAAACATGACTAGTTCCATGTATTAAGAATATCAACGCTAATAATAGTTAGAAGTTTCTTAATTCAAATCGAAAACTAATGCCACTGATAGTAAATATGAATTATCACATCAATAAACTCCAAATCCCAATTTTTTAGATTCCGATTAATTACCTATTGCTGTAAATGATGTAATTGTTTATTCTTATTTTTTTCAAAAGCAAATCAAGGCTTCCATACCCGTACATCAATACGTAGACTTGACTGAATAATTGAGCAACTCTATGAACGAGCCTGACTCACCTGCTAAGTCACCATTGCATCAGAAGGATATAGAAGTCATGGTTGAAAGGTACACAGTCTATCTATATCCAAATAGATTAAATAATTGGTAGGCTAAGAAATAACAATAAGAACAACAAGATTAAGAGGAAGATTAACATGTGAAATCTTAAATCAGACCCAATTTCATCAATTAAAATAGATAACCATCCTTCGGGAGTTCGTAATCTCAATCCAAATTTTATTCGAATATGTTCCTAAACAATAATCAAACACATTGATATTTAATTTAGATATATTTATTATAATACTGCTAATTATTTAAATTGATTCTCAGTTTTTAATACTTTGTTGAAGTAAGAATGCAAAAAAGATTGAAATTATGATTATCTATAATTGGAAAGTTTAAGTAAAATTTCGTTTCAAATCCTGAAATACTTATTAAATTAGTACTCACATCAAATAACTAATATTTTATAAACAGAATATATTTGTTATAAGGACCTATCATTAATTATTTTCTATACAGTTTACAGAATCGATGACAATATAAATTATAATTATAAACTCTTCTTCAAATAGTATTACTAGTATCATGTAACATTCGTTAAGCACTTTAGATTATTTATTTTATTGATAGGATAACATTAATTAAATATTAGAATTTGAATATTAATATTAATATCAGCAAAACTAATCTAAACTTAATAAATAATAGTTGGAATCTCTTAAAAACAGATGATTATGTTATGGCATTTACCATAAGAAATAGATTCATATTTATGATTTATATTATTTATTATATTTGAAAACAATATTAATTATTTAATGTTACTCACCCTCAAATATTTGAACAAGGTTAAACAAATAAATTTGGATAAACGAGTAAATGTGCAATCCTTGCAGATACTTTTGGTTCAATTATTTGGTATCAAAAACAGAATAGTAGGATTGATTGATTAAGACGGTAATAATAATTGTTAATTTCAAGGCAACTTCTATGAATTATCATAATTTATATAATAGTTGTATTACTCAAGGTGCAATGTGTACACTATCGTTAGTGAAGAGAATTAAAATTCAAATGATAACAAACTATTATAAACATCTCTAAAATATAGTCAGATGTCAGATTACAATAATAAGCTTTCATTTATTGATTTCATCTATGATTTAGAAGAATTCCAGTAGATTCTGGGTGGAGATCAATACACCTGCATTTACTTAATTGATGAAAAGGATTATTAAGGGCTAGATTTTCTATGTGCTCTCGAACCCTTGATTAACAATTTCAACAATTGGGTTAACTTTTTCTATTCATTCAGCAATAGATTACAAGATTAGGTAAGGGAAAGCGATTTCTATAACAAATTGCTCTGGATCTACAAAGGATCTAAGAAGATTGTTTCCATTTAATTGAACAATGATAAAAAAATGAGATAAATGGATGAAATTATTCATAAACTTGTTTAAGCCAAGTTACAAGGCACCAGCACAAGAACCTCAAATATTAAATAGCAATCTTAAATCTCATCTCAATAATCTCCTGATAAAAGAAGAAGCAAATCTATACGTAAACTGGTGGAAGAATCCCAAATGTCTAACAATTCATTATATATGAATTAAAATGTTGGAGCCTCAAAATTAATCACCAGGGTTTAAGCCAAACTCATTCAAAGAGCTCCCTCGAGAGGCAGTGAGAACTTTGAAGATTATCGATATTAACAATAAAATTAATCATAATAATAATAAAGTAATGCTTATTAAAATGAATCAATTATCAGTTAATAAGATATGCTATTTGGTTTAGTAGGGGATTTAGAAGAAAAGGAAATATTAGATGTCACTATGGCAAGATTAGTAAAGCGATTATTAATAGAGGAGAATAAAGAAATCATTCAAGTCTTGCAATTTTATTTGTAGAACACTATAAACATTCAATAGTTGTGTGAGAAATTGAATAAAATTGTTGAGAATTGCACTTATTAAGAGAGACCAACATCCCCTTTCTAAACTCTCAAACAAAGCAAGCGTCAAACTAAACCTTAATAGCAACTTAATGTTAATTCACAAGAGTCAAATCGTTCTATGTAATAAGATTCTGCTCAAAACCAATAGATATAACGGTTAGAAGATATAAAAAACAAAGTTATTGAAAGAAATAATTACAGCTACACTTCTGAATAATTTGGAATGATCAATGTGTTGTGGAATCAGTAGGATCAAGTGTTATTGCAATTATGTACAGATTTATATAACAAAATGCAACGAGGAGGAGAATAGCCTTCTCTCAAACCGTTGTAGATTTATTCAGATTCCAAATTTAATGAATTATTGCAGTAAAACTTCAAATTATCCGAAATTACTATGATTCATGAGTATAGAAATAGTCATTCTGGATCTATTTATGCTGTTTTGTAACACTTTAGATACTAAAATAATGTAGAATTATTCATAAATGATCTAAGAAAAGCCATCAATTCTGTATAAAGCTAAAATCAAAATCTTAATCAACCTGAAAAATAATAAACATAAGTGTCAAAAGAAATCGTATTATTTAAATAATATCCAAAAGCACCTTCACCTTACAGTGTTTTAATGCCAAATTTCTAATTGTAAGAGATGACTTAAGCCACATAATAATAGTAATAACAACAACAGTAATAGTAATAACCATAGTAATAATCACAATTATAATAATAATTATAATAATAATAATAATCACAATTATAATAATAATTGTAATAATAATAATAATAATAGTAATAGTAATAACAGTAGTAATAATAATATAAAAAATAAAATGAAAATTAAATCATACATTTACATTAAACATAACCTATTCAATAATAAAGGGAATAACATTTTGAAAATTAGTAGCCAAACTAAGAACCTGTTTAGGAAATTCAATAGCCAATCTTTTAAAAAAACGATCTCATGAGTAGATCTGAGCAAATCTCTGCTCAAAAGAGAATTAGCCCATCAGCTGAAGATATTATTTTTAATGAAGAAATCTTTATGTAAACTAAAAAAGAAAAAAGGCAAGCTAATTTAGAAAAGATAGACAAGTTTTATTCACTTCAAGAAGAGAAGGAATTATAATAAATATTTAAAGATATGCTTTGGGATATGGATTTGGATGAACCAAAAGTTAGGCAGGTTGAATTGTTGTTTTCAGAACATAATTAATAATTATATGAAATTGTTCAAGGTTGGCAATCCTCTAGGAATATCAATGGCACCAGAGCTAAACTTATGTATTTTTAGATTATATCATTAGAAAATTATTATCAGAATAATAAATTAAAAAGGATGATTATAGAAAAATAAAGATGTATAACTTATTTATGAATTAAGTGAGATAATTCACATTATAAAATCATCTTCAAGATCATGAAAAGAATTTCTTATTAAAAATGTTTATGGATAATGATTTATAGGTTCTAGGAACCTTTGAAACATATCTATAAAATCAAGATGCTGAAGATATGTTAGAGAATTTAAAGATAATAATAAAATAATACTCTAAATTCACAAATGTAAGAGATTAATTATTATAAATAGATCAACTCACCAAATGCAGATGAGGATTAATAACCAATAATAGAAACAAAAAAGAGCTAATTAACTGCCAAAGAGATTTTATTGCAAATTAGGAAATATTTTTCAGCTGAAGAGAAGAATCGATTAGAGAATATGCCAAATGAATAAAGAGATATGAAAATTGTTGAATTGTTCTAAGAGTATCAGTAGGATTAAGACTTAAATGGATTTATTTCTGCTGTCAAAAAATTAAGTCAACAGGATTAAATCAAAAAATAATTTGAAGATTTACTTAAAAAACTATAAAAAGAAGGTCATCTGAAAATAGATGATTATATGTTATCTGTGATTAATTAGAGAAGAAATGAATAAAGAATAAAAGGAGTCTTTGAATTGTACCTTTTTAACAAAAATATTGAAGATTTTGTTGAATGTATAAAGAGTATATCAAAATTATTGCAATAAGGTAACAACAATCAATTTATGATCTAGAACTGATTCTTTAGACCTTGAATCAATTTGAGAGAGAAAAGCTATTGGATGAAAGAAGGATAGAAATCTTAAAAGAAAAAGCACATGATTATCACAAGGACTATCCAAAGCTATTGGGGGCTTTTTCATTATATTTTGAATAGGCTCAGATAGATTTGGAGGAAGCCAAAAAGGAAATATTAGAAACTCTAAGTCTTTTCAGCTCATGAATGATTATCATGTTTATTATGAATGTGCCAAATTATATTAATTATTAAAATAAAGATGTTTAATACAGTCTCAGTTTCAGTCTAAGAATTAAGAGGAATTCGAACTGCCTCCACTACTGGAACCTCAAGCTACAGGGACTTTCTAAGATTGCCACCAACCAAAACCAACTACAAGAGGTAATATTTAAAAGGAGCATCAAATCGAGTAAAATCATTAAGAGAGGAGTCTCATTTTGTTTAATTATGCAGCGACAGAAAAGGCAATGAGAAACTATTTAAATTTAATAGATAAGACTAACTCTTAAACTATAGAAATCTTCACCTTGGCAAATTGTAACCAATATCTAATCAAGAACAAAATCTCGAAAATTAATAGCATTATGAATTGTAAAATTAATCATAGATCAATTCTCCCAATAATAATTTAAGAAGCTCAGGTCTCTAACTAATTACTGATGAAAAGAACTAACTCATTGAATTAATTTACAATGCCTAATCAGTGATATAAAAATAAAAAAAATCTTATTCTAACTCATAAAAAACCGAATGTTTGTAGAATGGCAAAACTCATACATCAATCACAGGTTCATCACCTAAAACTATAAAAAGTCAAGGTTAAACATTAGGTCAATTGATCGTTTCAAGCAGAAACAAAAATGATTTGTTTGTAAAAAGTACTTAACTTACATCTTATGGTTCGTTAAAAATTACCACATAAGAAGAAAAATTGAGTGTTGCTCCAAAACCAAAGATACCGACTTCTTTGGATGGAGCTAAGAAATTCTTAAAATAATTTATTTGAATTGAACAATATTTATGTTAATTCTCTTATTAAATAAATATTAATTTATAGAATCAACAACAGAAATTGGATTTGGCTTGTTAACTTGTTTATTCCAGTTTAATATTTTATACTTTTTCTTCTAATGACATAATATCTTTAATTTATTTAGAAATGCATTAAAAAGTATCAATGATGTTTATGCCTTCTTTGGCAGAAGTCTCAAAAAATTTAATGCCATAAGAATCAGCTAAATTTTTACCTTATTCATATTGAACCACTCTATCATTTAGATCTGATTTGTTGGCCACCAATACAACAATCACACTTTCACATGCATTTTATTTTACTTAATTCATCCAATTTTAGATGTTTTGAAAACTTTCAAGATTATTTACGGCATAGACCAATATAACTCCCATTGCTCCTTTGAAATAAGTTGAAGTAATGGTTCTGAATCTCTCTTAACCAGCTGTATCCCAAATTTGCAATCTCATGAGTTTCCCTTCGACTTCTAAATCTCTAAATTTGAAATCTATGCCTGTTCTAAATTTAAATTCATTGATCTACCTATTGTTGATACGAAGCTCTGAGTATATTGATTTTCACAAAATCTCTTCAGAATGTTAGTTTTGCCAACAGCAGAATCCCCAATTATCAGTAATTTTATTATTGGCTTATCACATGTATTCATTATACTTTAATATAATAATTTATATAACAGATATTAATTTATGTCTTTTAACTTAGAAAAAGTAGATTTATTCATTTATGTAAGAATTTCATTTTCGAATATGTTGCAATTCGCAGGAGGTTTATTTTATTAATCGATTACCAATTAATGCAGTTTGTAGTTATAAGTTATTAATATAAATATTAATTGATTTGAAATATAATTTATTAATTCTGACTACTATGCCATTTGAATGAATTATTTCGAAATAAAAAATAAGATATTTTATTTTACACCTAATTTTTTTAAATAATCTTATGCTTCCTTTATTATATGTCCCATAGTATATGAATTATCCATAACTCAATCTTTAATAGTTCTATATGCTACCGACTACCACGTACGCATTGCAAACTCCCAAAAAGGAAACTTGTGATCAGGCCTCCCAATTCCCAGAGCCAAGCTTATTTGAATCAAGGCTAATGAGTAATACAGTAAAATGTGAAGAAGCAGTTGAAAAAGAATTAAAGCTACTCCTCATATACCTATCCAAAAATATTTCCTTATTGAAAGATAGTGTATTTGATGAGTTTGTGTTTGAAAATTTAAGAGTACATCATCGTATTTTAATTGTAGACCTTGTCCTCCTTGTAAAAAGACCTTCCAGACATGATTAAATAACGATATATCTTAATGAATAAAACAAAAGAAGAAATGACCAAATTCATAATCAGGAGATGCTTTCTCTTTATCAAAAGCCAAATTCACTATGAAGAAAAGGAAGGATTTACTGCTGAAGAGAGGGATAGAATGTTTTATAATTCTTTCTTCTCCGATGACAAAGAATTCATGAAATCTCATTTGAAAGAATCTATTGACGATATGATCCCATTTAGAAAAGATTCTAAGATGAAAACGATGAATGACATTTATTTAAAAAGATTATTTGAGTCAGAAAGGTTCTCCAAATATTATTCCTTATTTTTAAGTATTTATTCCTGTAAATCAATAGCCCATTTCAAGGATATTTGCATGAATGAAAATGAAGAGAAGATTTAAAATATGAGCAAATAATTCTTCAAAATTATTGTGGCAAGGGATTATGGAGTATTATAAATAATTTATATAGAAAATTAAAACATATAGAAGATTCCCCTGGAAAGATCATGAATTGGTCCAGTGTTAGGAGAGAGCCAAAACATTGTACTCATAATATTCTAATTCGCATATTAAAAGTATTTGCTTATTCAAATTAGAAACAAAAAACAAATTTCATTCAAAATGTGATTCTCATTATTCAGTTTCTTTGGAAAAGTCCTCTTAATCTTAAAATTGATTTGATATTATTCATTTAAAGCCATCTTTAAAAAATTTTATTTCTGACACTCTAATATCAGAGGATTTTTTATATATTTTTTGTAAATTGCCAATAAATTACTTGAGAATTATGGAAGTAATAAAATTTAAGTATTCTCAGGTTAAGAATTGATTAAACTCAAGATATATCATAAATGCTGAACATTTAAACTTATTCAGTAAAAGTGTGATTTATATTTATAATAAGTACGATTGAATTATTATAGAAAAGAATCATAAAAATAACAGTTCAGACTTTCTTATAAATAAATTGTTCTAAACAAAATTTGACTATTCCTCCATAAATTGATAATTCTCACATAAATAGACAATTAAATTATTCCTATTAAGGATGAGAAATATTTGATGCAATATTAATTTAACAATATAAATCAGAATAATAAAAACATTATATTTAAATTATGAGAATTTTGTTTCATCGTATCATAGAGAATTTGCTTTTATAAAAAATTAAAATTTTAGCTATTTAATTATTTTAGTAAGATTGTTTAAGGAATTGAAATTTTATCAATTAAAACTATCTTGCTTTGAAATATTGTAGTGGGTATGAATATAAGGTAATTTCAGTATATGAAGATTTAAACTTTAAATGAATTCAGAAAGTAAGTAACTAGTTAATAACAATATTATGTTAGTTGATTCTAATTGTTATTACACTAAGAATCATTAGATTAAACTATCTATCAAAGTTAATAACATATTTATTGAATACTCTTCATCTAGTACTTGAGATATATGATCAAAAATTGGGTAGAGTAGTGGAATAATACTAATATTAACGAGTGTTGATAAATTAAAAAGATGAATTTAAAATACTTGAAGAAACTAGAATGAATCTTGAATATCTATTTAATTTATTTTTTTGCCAAAATAATAATAAATATATAATGTTTAAAAATTTACTAAGAATTGGTTTCAATCTTTCATTATTTAATACAACATATGTTTTATGTTAGTCAATTAAGGATGAAAAATTGCCACATTATCATTTTCTTAATGAATAGGATTTAAATAAATTATTAAGGAAACATCAGAACTTATCAATAATTGACAGAAGCTACACTGAACACATATTATCTATAATCAGAGATGTAGAAACCGATACTGTGGTAATGTGATAAATAAAGGCTAGGAATTCCGAAAAAATTCAGATCGTTTAATTAGAATTCTTATTGAATAGGCAATTTCATAAATAGAAAAGAAAAAGCATGTTAAGAAGTCACCTTTAGGATATTATGATGCCCATGAGGTGAAATTTGAAGATGAAGAGTAAGTTTAATTCTATTAATAGAATATGTTTTGTGAGTATTTTAAGATCAGGAAATGCATTTCTATTTGAAGGCTTAAAAGCAGTATCTGGAGCATCGATAGGATAAATATTGATATAGAGAAATGAAGATACAGCCTTGCCTTCCTATTTATTTTAGAAACTACCATCTAATATCAAGGAATAGTAAGTTGTATTAATGGATCCGATGTTGGCTACAGGTAATAGTGCTACATTGGCCTTGAGGATCCTAAAAAATCAGGGGGTGAAATAGGAAAACATCACATTTTTAACTCTGGTGAGTTGTGAGTAGGGCATAGAAAAATTGTTTAGAGAATTTCCAAAAATGAAGATTATCACAGCCCAAGTTGATCCAATTTTATTAAAGGATTTCAACTATCTAGCACCAGGCATTGGAAATTTTGGTGATAGATATTTTGGAACAGTCAAAAAAAGCTAATAACCTAGCTAGCAATAATGATAGACAAAGATATCTTATTATTTAATTATAAATTAATTAAAAAAAACAAAATATATGATTCAATGGTGCTACTACTATTAGTGCTATTGTATTTTATTGTAAAATTTGAAAGCGGAGTTTTTTTTGAGTGGAGTAGTTTCAAATTTTAGTTTGCTCAAACTTAAATTATCTTTAAATTAAGAATGCTAAATCAAGCTTTTATTTTCGGATTTGAGATTCGGCGTTTTCTTATTAGACTAATGCAGAGCCTGATGTTTTGGGGTGTGTAGGTTGAGTAGCTTGGAGGGTGACTCAATTTGATGTTGAAAGTGATCATCATATTTAACTTCTAGACAGAGATTGCTAGGACTGTTTGTATCATTATTTGGATGGTTGTTATTGTTATTATTACTATTATTGTTTTAATGGGGATCAACCTTTTCTTTCAAAGGGGTTTTGAATTGATTTAGAGAAGGCAATTAATATTCATCACTATTATTGGTTTGTTCATAAATTCTACTCAAATTCTTTGAAACCTGATTAGCAGCATCTTGCTTGTATTTATGTAAGTAATTGTAATAAAAAGAGGGTCTTTGTGATAAAAAGTCTTTAATAACTGAAACAGTAAAGACATCTTAACACATAACCCAAAAGTTTTTAATCCATCTATCTACTTTCTCATCCTGATCGTAACCATGAGCGCCTACTTTTTCCTGAATATACTCATATAAATTATTTTAGATATCATCTACTTTGTCTTCATTCCAAAAAATGGAATCTACAATTTTAGCGGTTTTTTTGAGCATTTTGTTTTCCATGTTAAAACTCTCAATTCCGTCAATTTTGATTTCATTCATCATTTTAGAAATATAAGAATTAACGGAGTTGGGATTTAAGTAGTTTTATTGCTTATTGGTTCTTCTTCTAGGTATATTATTTGGGGAATAAGATCTAGGAGACATTGATCCATTCTATTAAGATAAGAGTAGTTTTTATAGGAGTTATCTTTCAAGAGATGTAAATGAATTCATTAATTCTTAATTGGACATGCCTAAAATTATTTAGATCAGTTTACCTCCTCTTTTACGAATGTCCTTCAATCTCTCCTCCATCTCAGGGATTCGTTTTTTCATAGCTGAATTCCAATGATTTTTAATTGAATTATCTGTTCGTCCAATTAATTATTTAGCCATTTCAGCCCATCTATTGCCCATTACTCGATGAGATAAGAAGAGAATCCATTCCTCATAATCACCCCAATGTGATTTTTTGATTTATGGATTCAAATGATTATGCCAACGCTCTCTGCATTATTTGCCAATTCTTCCTGGTAAGTGCTCTGCAATGAATGTCCATTTCTGTGGACCATGCATCTATACCAATTTGATAAGCAAATTATCCTCTTATTCAGACCAAGGTCTTCTTTTTACCCTTAGACTATAAGATTAATAGGGGGAGGTTACATGAAATAGAATATCTTCATCATCATCATAATCTCTCTCTTAAGCATATTTTGGTGTAACTGTCAAGGCGAAATTGGTTAAGCTCTTTTATTTGGTTGCTGCAATATCTTATAAGAGATGCTATTTCTCTTTATCGGTGGGCTCTACAATTTCGCTGTACTCATTCTTATTTCTTAACCTTCTTTTGACGATGGGAGGAGAAATAGATAAATGATTTTATGATTTCATTCTCAACCTCTAACTTCTATACATTTTATTAATTAAAATATTATTTTTTGAATTTGAATTTCAAAAATTAAATATATATTTTATGTCTCATTATAATAATAATAAAATAATTAAGAGTATAAATAATCTGTTTGAGTTGATGCCCCAATAATCATCAGTATAAATCTGCTGAATGCATTCATCATTAAACATGATTTATGATTACAGTTCATAGAACTTTACAGCCTTCTAATAATCGATATACTCGTCTAAATAAAGAGAAGAGCAAGGCCCATATCTCAAAATAGTATGGCAATATTGATTAACCTGTAATAACCATTGGAATAATTCCAGTATCTTCAAATACTCGGGATCTCCTTCAGCCAAACTGCAATAAGAAAACCCGCCAGCATTGAATCCACACTGACATTCAGAATAACCGTATAACTTCTCATTGCTATCCAATAAAATGCAATCAGTATCTGTTTCACATGGCTTGCTCTTGGTTAAACTATGAGGTCCATTTTGGCAAGTTCCATTGGTTGGATTTATATATCCATAGTAACATGACTTTGGATTATCAGCTTTGATATTGTTTTCTAGAGAATAGTAATATGCGCATTTCCCCAAATTACACACACAATTGTTAGTGCATTAATAATCATTTGAGCATGACTATTCGAATTGAACTTACTCTTTACAATATGTATCACAATAATAACCCACATCACAATATTGATGTCCTGTACATTATTGATTCAATTTCAGTCCCAGACAAATTCCACCTATACAACTATTAGATAGACAATCGCTATCACCACTACAAGCTTCTCCTGGCAGAATCTTATCTTTTGCTGGCTTGTCTGTACAATATATAGGTTTTTAATAAGCAGCGTCTTGCCATAAACATGTTTTATCATCAGCACATGGTGATAATTCATGAACCTTACCTCTATACTCTGACACATTTACACAGACTTTGTCCTGATTCTCATCTCCACATTTGTATCTTTTACCTCCACATTTTGTATTTGCAAATGCATATACCAAAATGATAAAGTATAATAATAATAAAAGTTCTTTAATCATTATAATTATAATTATAATTAACTATTACATTAATATGAGAAAAAATGAATTTATGAATGATGAAATTAGAAAACATTGGTTTGCCAATTGCAGATCAATTTCAGAGTTTGAAAGATTGGATAAACTTGGAGAAGGAACGTAATAAATATTGATTTTAAACTAAGTTATGGCACTGTCTATGCTGCCAAAGATAAAAAGAAAAATTAAGTAGTTGCTATCAAAAAAGTTAAAATTCATGATAGTAATGAAGGATTCCCTATAACATGTTTAAGGGAAATCAAAATATTGTAAAGATTATCAGCACATCCAAATGTTGTCAATTTATTAGTAAATCAATTCTTCATTTTTAGGAAGTAGCTGTGGGACCAATTAAAGATAGCATTCATCTTGTATTTGAATACTGTGCCATAGACTTAGCCATTTTAGTAGATAATATGTTCATAGGTACAGTTTTAGTAATCAAAAAGATAATTATTCTTTTCGTGAAAATGAGATTAAATGCATAGTCCTTTAGCTCTTAAATGGACTTGCCTACATCAACTCCAACTTCATTTTACATCGAGACATCAAATTGTCTAATCTCTTATTGACTAATGATGGCATTGTTAAAATTGCAGATTTTGGTCTGGCCAGAGAATATGGTAATCATTATTTATAAATCTCAGAAATCCCATAAAAAAAGTACACCAATCCAGTGGTCACTCTTTGGTACAGAGCCCCAGAACTTCTGTGTCAGATGAACAACTATAACACTGCCATCGATATATGGTCAGTTGGTTGTGTTTTTGCAGAACTAATCAATCGAGGGTTCCCAATTCTCTAAGTTATTTTGATATCTATCAATAGGGTAAATCTGAAATTCATCAATTGCAATTAATGTGTGAAATGTTAGGATATCCAAATGCTTCAGTTTGGCCAGACTTACACAAAAATGGCAATAAATAAATCTTGAAAGAACTAGAAAAGTTTTAGCATTGCCGACCAAATCTATAAAATGTGATTAAGGATGCATCACCTTAAGCCTTAGAATTGATCTCTAGAATGTTAACTTGGGATCCAGAAGTAAGGGTCTTATTTAATTTGACTAGAAACGCATAGGAGTTATGGAAAGTTTATTACATGAATATTTCTACACCAATCCTAGGCCATCTATGCCTGAAGAATTATCCATTTTAAGACAATTAGATTAATTTAAAAAGAAGAATGCTGATAAGGCTGAAAAAAAAATTAAAATTAAATGATTTCTTTATATTCTTTTGCATTTTATGTCTAGCAAGTAAAATAAATTAATCATTTTATGATGTTACAATTAATTAATAATAATTCTAAAAAGGGTAGAATAAGAAATTTACTTATTAAATAATCCTCTTATTTACTTTCTTATAATTAAAAAACTTAAATGTTAATTATCTAAATTCTTAAGCATTCTGCTTGCTTTAATATCGAAAATGAGTAAGTTAATAATTTTGATGATTGGGGAAATACCAAAAATTAGAACTTTTTTGAATAGTGCAATATATAGATTTAGTTTATTTTTATTTATAAAAATGGCTTAAGTGTTTAATTCAAAGGTTAGCATTATCACAAAATCAGAAATAAGATATGAGGGTACAATTTATTAAATTAATCCTCAATAACAAACGATTGCATTGAAGGATGTCCGTTCATTTGGAACGGAGGGAAGAAGACCTGGTAATTTTTAAATAATTAATTTAAGATCATGAAATACCCCCGAATTAACAAAGCTATGATATTTTGGTGTTCAAGGCAGCTGAAATTAAAGGCTTCAAGACCTTGGAGGAGAACAAATCTGATGACATCAAATTCGAGAATGTCAAATAAGATAATTAAGTCTAATAACCATAAAATCTCTAAGCACCATAAAATATTGACTAAATTGAACAATAGTAAGAATTAAGAGGGCAATTCTAAAATAATTTCCCATAAAATCAATAAATAAAATCTAATGGAACAAATCCTAGGGCTTTTGATTTCGATGAGATGCTCCAAAAGGCTAATGAAATAGAGAAAATTAAAAAGCAAGAGGGAAAACCTAAATACAATCCTACTTCGTTTTTCGATTCTCTTTCTACAAGTACTCAAAAATAAGATAGATAAACTCAACAAAGAAACTAAAATCAGATTGACACCGATACGTTTGGCAATTTTTATAAATAAAGATAACATAACAACAACAATAATAACAATGGATAAAGGAGAAATAATAACAACAACAACAATAATTACAATAATAATAATAAACATAATAACAATTACAGAAGAAAAAACAATGATTAATAAAGAGTTGTTTATGTAGAAAAACAATCTTTGGAATAATATTAATAATAACCACAATCACAATAATAGCAATGAATATTTAATTTGTTATTATTAAAATAAAAATACACAAATAAGCACTAAACATTCATAATATTTATAAATTCTTTCATATTTAATCAATATATAATTTAAATAAATGGTAAAATATTGCTAAAGTTGTAATGTTCAGAAAGCATTCATGGTCAGACCAAAAACTGGGAACCTGATTTGCCAAAATTGCTTCTTTTAAGCATTCGAGGAGGAAATTCATCATACAATCATATCTACATAAATGTTTAAGCCAGGCGAAAAGATTGCCATTGCTGCATCCGGAGGCAAAGATTCTACAGTCTTAGTTCATGTTATCACTTTGTTGAATAAGAAATATAATTATGGGTTGCCATTTATACTTATTATCAATTGATGAAGGAATCAAAGGATATAGAGATGATTCACTCGAAACTGTTAAATAGAATTAAATTACATATGACTTGGATTTAAAGATCCTATCATATAAAGAACTCTTTAATTGGTCTATGGATGAGGTTGTTGCATAAATAGGTCTCAATAATAATTGCACATATTGTGGGGTTTTTAGGAGACAAGCATTAGACAGAGGTGCAATACAATTAGGAGTTGATAAAATTATCACTGGTCATAATGCAGATGACATGGCAGAGACATTTCTAATGAATCTATTAAGAGGTGATATATTTCGATTGCCAAAATCTACAGCCATTATCACAGGAGATGATGGAGACAATGGAATTGCCACATTGCCTAGATGCAAACCTTTCAAATACACCTACGAGAAAGAGATCGTAATGTATGCTCATTATAAAAAACTCATTTATTTCAGTACTGAATGCACCTACTCTCCCAATGCTTTTAGAGGACATGTTAGGGAATTAATTAAGAATTTAGAAGCTATTAGGTAGAATCCTATATATTATATTTTATAGACCTAGTGCAGTAATTGATTTAATCCACTCTTGTGAATAATTAGATGCTCCTAACTAAAATTAGAAAATACCACAAAAGCAACTATGCTAAAAATGCAATTTATTATCCTCAAATAAAATTTGTAAGGCATGTACTTTACTTGAATCATTAAATCAAGGAAGAGCCAAGCAAATCTTATAAATTTAAGAATGATATTATATTAAAATCTTTTAATAATATCATATTTTGTAAATTAATCAAATGAGGGTATTAGTAGAAACTGAAATATATTCTCACCCTTTAATTTTGTCAATATGATACTATATATAATATAAAAAATTGTAAATAGAGAAAGGCAATATTATTTATATTCAATTAAATTTATTAAATAATTGTAAGTTGAATATTAATTTACTTTAAATGAGTTTCATAAAATGTCTTTAGTGTAAACAACCAAAGAGTTAGACTCTAAATACAATATAACGATATGATTGTTATGTTTAACATAAGATATTCAATATGATTGGGACGATCTTAGAAATTGTCAATGTTATTATGCAAATATTAAGATGCACCTTTTAGACATAGAATTCTAAATATATTTGATATGTTTAAAGATACATTAATAAATTTCATTTTAATTTTCTATCTTCTCTCAATTATTTAAAAACCCCAGAGATTATAAACAAGGCTCCAATAATACAAAGTTTACTCATAACAGTTCGGAAAACTAAAAAGTCTATGATGATAATGTAAATCATTTAGGAATATGAATAGTTGCAAATCTTATCATAAGTAACCATAGTTTGTGCTCTAAATTTAATGACTTAAGCCAAAAGAGTAAAGATGCTAAATCCAAAGGAATAGAAAAAGTAATCATCAAAATACTCAAATGTAGCTACATATTATTATTATACACTTGACAGAAAGAGCATGATGACATTAAAATAGGTAACAGTAACAGAGGAAGGAATTTCAGTGCCAATTTATTTCATTATAATAAAAGCATAAGATTGAATAATGCTGCAAGCCAAGATGCACAAACATCCAATTACGTGTTAGAGTTGATCCTAAGATTTTAATTAAGGATTCGCAATTAAAATCACACCTATGATGCATAATATTGAATTAAAAAGTCTTGATTTAGTTATTCCTTCTTTATTCATTATACTAACCATGATTTAGCTCCAAATAGAATTTGTGCAGAACAGAATAACTGCCTCTGATAAGGAGATTAATTTAACTCCATAAAAATAGAATAATGTTCCAATACCAATGCCTACTTGGGACTTAATAATGTAAGGCATTTTTTCTTTTGGATACATATTTTAATTATGTTGTACAAGATAGAGAGTTATAAAGGAAATAAATGAAGTGATAAACATGAATTATGGGACAACCGTGAAATGACCGCGCTTATAAAAAGTTGCTTACACAGCATGGAAAAAATAGGCAATCAACATATATGCTATTGCCATCGGGAGTGTATGAGTATTTTCTAGTTATTTGATTGAAACGGTAATCTTTCGCAACATGAGGTAGAGTCTAATTAGAAATATGAACGTACTTTATATAATGACAGAATCTTAAACTATATTATTGAACTTATATATCCACATAAAATAACAGTGTTATAAATATTATCGATATAAAATGTCTTATTCACAAAAAAACTTTCTAAATTAACCCTTCTATTCTCCTGCAAAATTTGAGAATGATTAAAAGGATTTGATGATTTCATAGTTGAAGGCTGAGAACTTCGAACTGAAACAAAATGATAGAGATTACTAAGAATTGGCTACACATTTGAAATCATTAGAGCATAGGTGAAATCATACTTAATAGTAGATATAATATGTTACACGAAGAGAAGATGAGAAACGAAGTGGAATTTAGAAATAGAAGTGATTAGACATTAAAGACTATTGCTAATTTGAGAAATGAAATTGATAATTTGAAATCGTAGTTAACTGATAAGCATATTGAAAATTAGGAGATGAAAGCAGAGAATTTGGCATTCAAGGAGATTACAGAGCATAGATCTTAAGAAAACCAAAGAGTTAAAAAGTGACATAACATTATTGTAAGAAAACAATAGGAAATTGTATGAGGAAAAGCTTAGATTAGAAACAGAATTGTAAGCAGCTAAAGATGAGAGGAAAAGGTAATGAATAGGAAGTTTTATATGGTAGATTATTGCATGATAGAGAAATATTGAATAATACCTATGAAGATGTGTTGGATAAATTAAATGAGAAAGAAAAGCAGTGCTCTTAATTATAGACTGAATATGATAATCTCGAAAAGTAGGCTCTGATTTATAAGGCTGATTAAGAAAATGTAATTATTATATTGGAATATCAAGATCAATAATGAAGTGAAATCAAAGAATGAAAATCTCAAATACACAAGAATGCAATATTAAGAAGCTCAAAACTATATTTCTTAATTGTAGAATGATCTAGAGGAGTTGCATAAGTAGAAGGAGAAATTTAAACAGGAGAGCTTGCTTTATCAAAAGAACTATTAGCAAGAGGCTGACACTTGCATGGAATTGAATGCCCAGGTTATTCAACTCGATCAAACAGTTAAGCATCAGGAGAAGACCATTATCGATTAGAAGAATGAGATTGAGAGATTGAAGTCGATGCATATGGAATGTTTGGAAACTACAGAGGAGTTGAATCATGAATTGGAATTGGCTAGGAGGATCAACGATCAATTGGAACATCAACATAGAGATGTAGTTCAGTTATGCTAATGAATAGGTTATGGAGGAGTTGGACAAGTTGTCATTGACAGAGGAGTAAGCAGCCATGGCAAGGGCTAGTAAATATAAGGAATTGAAGACCAAATTGATTATGGGAACTAAGCAGTTATAGTAGTTCTCATCTCCGTTCAAGAGGTTTTCAACAAACAAAAAATCTTAGCTGAAGTAATATGAATTTTGAAAGTGATTTATTACTATAAATATTTTAATTTTTAACAGCTTTTGAGAATGATTGAAATAAGAAGACCACTTTCTGAAAAAAATTTGGGGAATAGATCAAGCAAAGATTTGCAAAGACCAAATTCATCCAGTTCACAATAGAAATAGAATTTGTAGACTATGAAAAGTTCAATATAATTACAAAAACAAAATCAGAACTTTTATTCCAAATATTTTAGTAGCAAGGATTAAAAAGAGAATATTGAGATGCGTGCCAATGTTGAAAGAAATCCATCAGCCAAATCTAAATAGACACCTTAGGACTATAGAAAATTGTAAGATAAATTACTGTATTTGGAAAATAAAATCTCTTCCATCAAATCTCACATTGATAATAGTTAGAGACAATCCAAAAACAACATAGCATCAAAGTTTTTTTCATAAAACACACAAAACAACCAGAATTCCACCTAGGTCTAAAAGTCCGTCTAAATCGACTTTACCAATAGATAATAGAAGGAATAACGGGAATTCACACCTCAATAATAGAATAAATTAAAGTCTAGTACTCTAGTTAATAATAATAACGAATACAAATCTTCCATTGAAGGTACAATAATTAAGAAACCAAGTTTGTCTACCTTTGTTACTTAGGTCAAAGCACCCTTATAAGAAAACAAAGGCAACTTTAAAAACTTGAAGCCAGATTCAGCAAAGGCTGGAAGTTCAATTAAGACAAATTTTAAAAGGAAAAACTCTTAAGAAAAAACAGTGGAGTCTTCTTTTTTATATTACATCTCCTCAATTATTAAAGGATATATGCAACCTGAAATAACAAGACCTATTGAATTGATTAGAGAACATTTGCTCTAAACTATGCAAGCCTCCTAGTTTTAGAAATCAGTTAAAATCATAAGCAATGTTGAAGATAAAAAAGTCAATCTGCCATCTACAAATAAGAAAACAATAGTATTTGATCTAGACGAAACTCTAATCCATTGCAATGAGTCAACTTAGGTTCCAGGAGATGTGATTCTACCAATTAAATTCCCATCTGGAGAGATTATAGAGGTACTATATAAAATGGATCTTTAGGCTTCAATCAATATCAGACCTTATGCTTAACAAGTGCTGTAGACTTTGAATAAGCATTTTGAAATCATAGTATTCACAGCATCACATTCTTGCTATGCAAATGTAGTTATCGATTACTTAGATCCAAATAAAAATGTGATTGCTCACCGATTTTTCAGAGACAGTTGTATGTAAACTGAAGAAGGTGCATACATAAAAGATTTAAGAGTGATTGGGAATAGATCCTTAAATGATATGGTTTTGGTGGATAATGCTGCTTATTCTTTCTGTCTTCAACCCCTGAATGGAATTCCGATAATTAATTATTACGATAATAAAATGGATTAAGTATTTGTTTGTAATGATTGTAGGAACTGTTATATTTGTAAAATTATTTGATGTCAATGAGAACAGTGCGAGATGTTAGATAATACAATAGTTAAAATCTTAAGTTAGATAAATTTGCTCAATTTACAGATGCTATTGAGTTATTGCAATCTCTTCATAAAGATTATATCCCTTGATTAGTATCATAATATATAATTTTATTTAAATTCTTCATATCATTTAGAATCAAATAGTTTGATTCAATCTTCGTTGTATTTAATAACAACAAAAGTATTACTGATCTTTATTATTTAAAATGGAGATATGAAAATGACCAAAATGGATTTAGACTTTAAGATTAATTGATATGATATTTTGATGTATTAATAAAAATAATTATTGTGCAATGGAAGAGTTCGAAATATTAGATTTTCATGAATTATAGCAAGAATAGGAAGGAATTGATAAGACTGCGAGATTTTTGTAAAAGAAGATATAAAATGGTTTCAAAGTCAGTATAGTGATTAAAAAATAACATAAATTTGGATTGGCTCCTTTGCAATAAAAGAAAAATGATTTATTTTCTAAACAACACAAACCTATGGATATAGTATAATTAAGCATAATAATAGATTAGTTAAAGTTCTGAGCAAACCGAGAATAATGATAAACAAGGTTCTTCAACGTCTTCGCATTCTAGTATCAAAATGAAAAACAAATTAACTATCCCTCCAACCCAAAATGAAACTCCTGAATAGAATCAGGATGAGCAAAGGACTGAAAAATCTGATGATGATCAAATTTCCTTATATTCTAACTAAATTAACAATTTTGAACATTTGCTGAAGGACAATTTATTGAGTCAAAAGATTCAAATCGGGTTGTCATTTATGAGAGATGGTAATTCCAAAATGGCTCTGGAGAAGATGATGGATGCATATAAAGAAGGAAATGAGAAATTAAAATAATGCCAGGATTAATAGTAGATTTCTGTATTAATTATAATCTGCATTTAATCACTGTGTTATGCATCTCAACTTTTAATGGAGTTTGGACAATTCAGTGAGTCTTAAAAGTAATAATGAAATTCTGAATTCTAGATGTTTAGACAAATGTTTAAATTAATTCGAAATCAATGACTTTGATTTAAAATGCAAAATATATATTGCAAAAGCATAATGCAACTTATCCAATAATTAATATTTGTAGTGTCTAGATAATTATACTAAAGCATTAATTCAATATGAATAAGTGAATTGGAAGTTGGAAGTTGCAAAATTATTAATTAAAATCTCATTTGTTTATGCCTTGCTAAGTAATCTATATTATACTAAAAAACAGATGATTTTGCTGATGCCAAAAAGATCTGTTATGAAGGCTTGTCAATTTTGTAGACTAAACTCTCTAATTCCGATCCAAAAATATACGATGCTTATTATACTTTGGGATGTATTTACTATCTAGAAAAGGAATACGATTTTGCCTTGGAATACTTGGATCAATCCAAAGAAGGATTCATTAAATTGTAATAAAATCATCGCAATATCAATTTCAAATAGATATGGAGAAAAGGATCTAACCATCATCAAGATTCTAAATTTATAGGGTGTGATCAACCATCTCTAAGGAAATAGCATCAATGCCATGGAACTCTATGAATAAATCGTTTGCTTATATGGGTATGTTTACAATACCAAATTTATAGAGACTCCTAAAATATTGGATTAGCTCTGGTGCTAAACAATCTAGCCTTGGTATATTTGGACAGAATGAAATTTAAGAGTGCCAAGTTGTCTTTTGAAAAGTCTATTGCTATTTTGAAAGGATATATCAATGAATAACATCCTACTTTTCAGAGAATTGAGAAGAATAAGAAACTTGTTGTTGCAGCTACTTTATCTTATCTATGATTTTAATGATTTTAATTTCCTAATTTTTTCAAAAATTATATTAAAAGATTTTCATTAACTATGGTATGAATATTTCATCTATTATACAAAAGCCTAAAGCACCAAAGACCAATAAATCAAAGAAAATTTCCAAGAAGATCGCAGACAGAAAGAAGAATCCTCTCTTTGTTAAGGATGCTAAGAGTTTTAGAATTGGAAATGATGTTCAACCAAAGCGTGATTTATCTAGATATGTGAGATGGCCTCGTTACATCCTTCTCCATAGATAAAAAAAGATTTTATTGCAAAGAATTAAAGTACCTGCAGCTATTCATTAATTCAGCAAAACACTAGATAAAAATTAAAGTAAATAACATTTTTAACATCAGGTTCCAAAGTTTATTCTTTATTGAAAAAATACTCCCCTGAAACCAAGACTGAGAAGAAGCAAAGATTAATCAAAGCTGCAGAACAAAAAACTTAAAATTAAAAAACCGATTCTAAAAAAGTAAATGTTCTTAAATTTGGATTGAATCATGTGACAACTTTGGTTGAAACAAAAAAGGCCAAATTAGTTTTGATTGCTTATGATGTCGACCCAATTGAATTAGTCGTCTGGTTACCATAATTATGCAGAAGATAAGAAGTACCATTTGCATTTGTTAAAAGTACATATATATTTTTATTCATTTCCTAGACAAGGCTAGATTGGGCGCTTTGGTTCATCAAAAAACAGCTACTTGTGTTGCATTGACTGATGTGAGAAAAGAGGATTAAGCTGAATTTGATAATTTAGTATAAAATTATACAATATATTAAGGCTAGAGATTTAAGATAACATTACAATGAGAATCATGAATTATTGAGAACCATAGGAGGAGGTCAAGTCGGAATCAAGTCTAGACATTAATAAGAGGCTTTAAAGAAAGCAATTGAAATAGAAGAACTCAAAAAAACAAGTTAATGATGTATATTATTACAGTATCAAAAATATTTTTAAATTTAAAGATGTCATTATAATATTTCTATTCCTTTTTAAAAAGATGATTATAATGATCTTTACAATTTATTATATATCCATATATATATAGATATTTAAATTGTTCTAAGGCTACTATAGTTTAGATCTAATAGATTAGTAGTAAATTGTAGAATATATATAATATGAATATATAATTGTTTTTATTAATATATATTAATAGAAATGTAAGAGTATTTCTTAAGATGACAACCATAAACTCATTAAATTAACTCATATTATATTAGATGCTTTTTCTTAAATGAAAAGTCCTATTTTTTTTTCTGTTACCACTTTCCCTCATTCTCAAAATAAAAGAAAGGTCCTTTAATAACTTTATCATTTTCTTCGTCTTTCTATATCATATTATTTCATATTACATATTGGTAATGCTTATCCTTCTTCATCCACAATCCATGTTTGGTGTTGTATATCCATTAATTCTTAATCAATTCTCTTGCTGCCATCAATTATTCAGTAGGCTCCTTATGATAATAAAAGACATAGAACAATGTGTCACTGCTGAGTTAACTGAAAACTGAATGCGGCAACATTTTGTATTTGGGTAACAAGCTGTTTAGATTCAATTTTTCTTTAAAAGTAGGAGGCTAATAATAATCATTTTTCTAGGGCCTATCAGCGTAACTAAAGTCCATCATTTTAATTTTATAAGCAGCTGAATTTTAATCTACTAATTAAGCTTGTTGAGTTGCTGCTTTTTGATCAAATGGTTCAATGGTTTATCTATTGGGCAATAGGACTCTGTCATTCCATACGGTTTATACAATTTTAGTTTAATATAATTGAGTGATTAACTAGGGAATCGACATTCAATTTACTTAATTAATTTCTTATTCGTGTTCTGGGTTATCTAGATTTTAATACATGATTTCCAAAAGGTTCAAAAATTTATTCCATTTTTTCTCCTAAATGAGATATAAATATATTTTACATCAATGGATAAGTGCAACAAATCATCATTCAATTATTTCATTTTATCAATTTGATTTTGAAGTGTTTTTAATTTTATTTATCTATCTTGTCCTCCTTATATTTTCCTTTTCTAATAATGGAATTAGATTATACTTTTTTAATGTCTTAAATGATCTCTTAAGCTCTCTGTTCAAGCATATTGATTTGGTCCCTCAATTATACTTGACGACTTTGAAATGAGATGCCGGATTATTAAATCATTAATAAATATTATGAATATTTCAGAATTGTATTGATTGCACTTTTGTTTTGAACACTAATTTTGGAACAACAAGCTTTTCATAAATAAATGTAATTCCAGCATTAATGATAGCTATAATGCCTAACAGAGTCGTCCAGGATTCAGGCATAATGTATTGATCATCGTAACTCTAGAAAATGAACTATAAATATAAAAATGGAAAGTATACCCCCATAATGTCGTCAATATAATCAATTCTCATCAGAAGAAACACAATGGCAAGAATGAATAGAAATATTGTACTTCCTATGAAATAGAAATTGGTATAGAATGGTTTTCTGAAAGGTTTTCCATTTGAATAGGCCAAGGCTATCATAAGGTATTAGAAATTGCCAAAGATAAACAGGGTTGTATTTTCAAAACAAATCTTCATGGAATCATCATTGAGATCCTCTTGATTCAGTTATTCATTTGGAATGAACCACGATTAATTCAACAATAGTAAATAGACTCCCAATTGAAAAGCCAATTAAATAATAGTTTGTCCTATAACTGAACCCAATACAGAGAAACTTATTAATGAAGATCCTGGTACAAATTTATTGATTTTAGCTGCCTAGACTAACCCCATAGTCATACTTAAAGGGAATATAGTAAATAGATCGTTGTAAAGATATTGATTATCTGTTAAATTTGATTGCTTTAGATAGAGTATAGTCACTTAGATGAATTGGATCATTGAATATAATGCCATAAACTTGAAACAGCAGAATGAAGTAGTCAAGGCTGCTCTGCCTTGAGCTAATAAAATTGGAACACATGAGATGTCTTAGATTTGACTGGTAAATGGTGCAGCGATTGAGGCTTCAGCTTATGATAATGAAATTCCTGCATCAGCAGTTTTCAAGGCTCCGCAATCGTTAGCACCATCTCCGCAGAACCCTATTAAAGGCAATGATTTATGTTTCTATAACTATTAAATTAAATTAGCTTTTTCTTCTGGTCGCATTCTAGCATAGACAATTGTTTTTTCAAGAATATTATTAAGAGTTGCTTATGATCCATATTTATTTAAATGCATAAATGCACCACCTGAAATAGCTAAAATGTAATTCTCATTTTCATTCCATGGTTGTTCTTCCATGAAATCTCCGTCAGTATAAATTTCACTAATATTATCAACTTAAACGTTCACAGGAGGTGGATCTTCCAGCAAAGATTTATTTTTCACTAAATTTTTAGAGAATGATCTCTAATTTAAATATTCGAAGTCTTACTGAACATCTACATCCTTTTCGATTTCATTCAGATTATTAATTATTTATTATTGTGGTTCTAAAGTGTCTTCGTTCAATTCATTCTAATTATATTCAAAGTCTTTCCAAGATACATAATACTTTCCATTCAGTTTCTTCTCACTCAATTCTCCCAAATACACTCTCTAATTTTCAATCAATCCACATTATCTTGCCACACTAATAGCAGTTAATACATTATCACCAGTAACCATTATTGATCTGATGTGAGAATCCTTCAACTACTTGATAATCTTGGTTGTAATTGGTTTCAATTTGTTTTCCATTATAATAAACCCTATAAAGTTTAAATTTGATTCTACTTCATGGCGATCCATATCTATTGATTATACTTACTTTTATGCCATTCCTAATACTCGAAATCCATTCAGAGCATAAAAATCCAACACTTAATGGAAATTATACGGAATCGACTAATTGTTACACAACTATCTTAACTTCTCAGGCGATCCCTTCATATATGCGATGTATTATCCATTCTCTTTAACTATCACTGACATTCTCTGTAATTTGGATGAAAACTCGAATCTCTTCATTATTTCCACATTGATTCTATCATTATTTCTAATCCTTATTCTACCATCCTTCTCTTCTATCAATTCACAATTTGTGGACTCAAACATCTTCAATTCCAATGGATCACCCACTAACTTACCTTTCACTTACGATAACCCATGACAAGTAGCCATTCCTTTGATAAAATTAACATCAGTATTAGCATCAATTGATGTTACAATCTTTGAAAATCTCTGATTCTCTATCATTCGAATACCATACATATCCAATCCTTCTTCTGTTAGAGTGCCTGTCTTATCAAAACACATTATGGTTACTTTTCCGCTGATGTTCACTTTTTAAGGTGAAATGCAAAATATTTTAGAACTCTTCAATCTTGCCAAGGCTATACTTATACCTATTTGTAAACAAGTTGGCAATGCTGGCGGAACAGTAATTGTAATCAAATCCAGACCTTCATTGATGAATTCCCAAGTTGATATTGAATCATCCAAGAGATATTCAATTTTATTAGGCACTGTTATTATGAACCCAATCACTGCTAAAATTGCCATTATTCCGACAAATTTCATTGAATCAGCATAAAATTTAAATGAGTTCTAAACTGGAAACATTATCGATCTAATTAATTGTCCTTTCTGAGTATTAAATGCTGTTTGAGTAACTAAAGCAATTACTTCTGAACCTTTTGTTTCCATACAGGTTGTTCCTGCAAACAAGGTAAATTATTTGCCTGAATCTTAAGGATCATAAACTTCTTTATTATTTGGAAGTTCAGTCTTCAAAACAGGGATGGATTCTCCTGTTAACATAGCTTCATTAAATATGACCTAACCATTTAATAGAATCGCATCACATGGCATTATCATACCATCCTTTATTACCAACTTATCACCAGGTACTAAGTTTGTGGATTCAATTTCCTTCACTTATTGTTCATCTATTATTTGGACTGGAATGTTAAATTTGGACAATTACTATAAGCGATAGAAACTCCTTCTTTATTCGTAAAGTGTCATAAATATTGAAATTAATGATGTAATTAAAATTACTGTTGCATATCGCTGATATGATGCCCAAAACCACAACAGCACAGAACAAAACTACAATTTCATTGATAAATACCTAAAAGATATAGAACGGGCTCAAGACTTCATCAATAAGAGTCTTTGCGATTCCTTTGTCTGGAATTTCAGTGTTATTGCATCCAAATATGTCCAGCTACTCAATTCGATTTATCGTTTACTGCCTGATATCTTACTAGACCATAGTCTGATATTTAGTTTCTATAGGATCGAATCCAAATTCTGTGTATTAGTACCTATATAATCGATATTCAATAAACAAAATTCCATCTTTGGAACGATTCGATTTAACCAGGGTTTGGGATTAATCTAAAAGAGATTAACGAATTTGCTTACCTTGACCTATTATCAAAAAGTGAGTTGCGGAATTGGGAACACACTTCTTGGCACGGAAAAATAGGAAAATTCTTAAGTCCCACCTTGTAACTAAATAGAGTAAGCCACAAGTGATGAGGGATAGGAAGGCAAATACAATAGTTTTGAAAAGTGAAATGCGACTGGGTATTATTTCTTATATGAGACCTTCTTATTGTATGTTGATAGGATGCTTAAATTAAACCCTATAATTGTGATTTATAAATGGTTATTTCATTTAATTAAAAATGTTTAACTTAAAATAACTTTTAATTGCACTACATCACATCACAATAATACTGTATTTTAATCGATTGCAATACTCAATCTAAGAAATATTGCAAAATCAGAGCAACTACTCTTACAAACTAGTGAATGACTTTTCTGCTCAATCAAAATGGTTTACTAATCCATTGGAATATCATTGGCATTCTATATGATTTTTACAGCATCCTATGTCATCCAATTAATAGTGTTGTTTTTCAGAAGCAATAAAAACTTGAATAGATACATATATTATCACATTTATTTATTAATACTCCTTTATAGTGTAGGCTAATTAGTATAAATTTATTATTACAATTTTTAAGAAGAACTGACTAAATTAACAGCATATCAAAATGAGGAGAACAAGCAAGATGCTTTAAAAGACTTGCAAGAAGAAGGCCAATTGGCATAAACTATTTGGCAATTGTATTTTATGTGTACTGTGATAATAATAGTAGTATTCAAGATATCTTATTTGTATTTTGGCTTGCACTAATATGTTAAATTCATGGAGATCGAATTATGAAATTTATATATGCATTGAATGATTATAAGATGTTTACTTTAAGAATCACATCTAATAAGTTAAGTCTTTATCATTGCCAATTTAGATTCACACATTAAAAGCATCTCTTTACAAAATAATAACTGCTAAAGCATTGAAATACAATCAATTTTAAATATTAATTCAATCATTTATTTGTCTCCAATCTTCACCTCGCCAACATGCCTCAACTTACTTAATAGTTCTGGGTACATCATTAAGTATTTCTGGGCCGTTAGCTGTCAATAATATATCATCTTCTAGTCTCACACCTCCTACATGCATAAATTCTTCAATTCTTTCTCTATTCAAATACTTCAACTTATTAGGGTCTTTATAAGCTTCTTGTAAGATAAAATCAATGAAATATATTCCAGGTTCATTAGTAAATATCATTCCTACATCCAAATCTCTACGAAACTGCAATTAAGATAATTCTAATTAAATTAATAATATGATATTACCTGGTAATCTTGGAGGAGTACCCTTATTGTATCCTCCGACATCGTGAGTTCTTAACCCCAACATATGACCAAGTCCATGTGTGAAGAATAATCTACATATACTATTTTTAATAAGATCCTCCATTGATCCCTTTATTAATCCTGCATTAAACAGATGTTTGGTGATAGTTCTTTCTGCCAATAATTGCATGTCTCCCCAATTTACTCCTACTTTTAATGAATTATGCACTTGTCTTTGAGCATCAAGAACAGCATTATAAATAATAGCTTATTTTTATGTGAATCTCCCATCGCTAGGAAAAGTTACGGTAATGTCACTACAATAGCCATAGAACTTGCCTCCCATATCATTTAATATCAGTTCTCTTTCCTATATCGTTTTCGAGTTTTCTTCGTAGTGCAACACAGAACCATTTGTGCCAGATGCACAGATACATTCGTATGGTGTAAAACGACAACCATGGTTTATAAATGTATGATATTAATAAAGAGCTTCCATTTAATACTCTTTGTTTCCTTTCCTTATGTTTTTTATAACCAATTCATGAGCTTCACTGCTAATTTTGCAAATGAATCTCATGATATCTTATTCTTATGGTGTCTTTCTTACTCTACACTCTGTAAGGATATAGTATAACTCATCATAATCAGAGTTATAATTTTTGTAAGAATGATTATTCAGGTATGGGTAATGAGTGATGAGAATAATCATCAATTCCATAAAAATAATAAATTAACGATGGTTTTCTATTGCTCAACCAAGATTCTATGTCATCATTATATAACACTTCATCTAATTTAAATTTTTATTTAATTTCTTCATTGTTCAACACAACATTCCACATCTTATAATTGGAATCATATTAGGGCACAAAGACAACTGATTTACCATTATCTACATCTATTATTGCATAACAATTAAGAAAGTCTACTCCAAACAAATAATGGAAATTACTCTCCTACTCCACTCTATACTATTAATCTACAATGTCACTATTGAGATACCTTCATCATGCTTATTGATTTTGCATGCTCCCATCAGCATAATTACGCTATTCTTTGCTTTATCTCCCACAGTGTAACGAAAGAAGTTGAGGAATCGAGTTCTTATGTTCTAATGAAAATCCTCAGGAATCACATATTCTTTAGGTGGAGGTATGGGATCTGTATTCATTTGATAATTTATATTATGACATCCTTATTAATTTATAATGTAATTTCAATTTGATGAATATATATCAGTTCATTGCAAATCTATGTCCTTTGGTAGATTCTATTTATACATAATTCTCACTTTAATAACATTACAATTACATCATCATAATTTGATGGATATGGAAGAGAGATGACAAAATTAATTTGAGATTAATAATATATTCTTATTTTCTCTTATTCTATGTTTTAATTATATATATCAATCAGACTTTATTAAAACCACTAGTAAAGATCTAATCATTCTTCATCAATCAATCTATTTATTTGACTTTATGGAGTTATTCTATGCTGAGAGTAAATTCGATTAAATAAAAACACTGGGATCAGATTTGCGATAGGAAAATATAGTAGCTCATAGAAAAACCAACTTAATGAGCCTTCTGTTGAACATGAAAACGAACCTTTGGATCCATATTTCAACACTATTATTAAGTTGTCTTATTGAATCATTAGGAAGAGGTTCCAACAGATTCTCAGACCTAACGCGCTTGACAATAGGATGATGCTAATAAAAATCTAAGTTATTGTCATAAATTACTCTGCGTTTAGTTAAATTCGGAATTTCATTTTGAATTAAAATGATGTATTTCTAAAAGAAAAATGAAACCATCAGAAATAATACCAGCATTAATGTTGAAATAATGGACACTATAAGATTTACTATACTAAAGATTAAAATACAAATTACCTTTTTACTTATAAGAAATAAAATAGACCGATGCATAGATTCATAATAACAATTAATATTTCAATTATGGAATATTTCTTTACAAAATCAAAAATAGAACTCTAAATGCTTAATTTTAGTAATATTAGTTCACCCCTAAGGTTTAGTGATGTCATTACCATATTAATGTTGATTTCCAACAACAAATCTATAATGATGTCACATATGTCACATTGCAGATAAAATAAATTATAGAAATAATATAGTAGTTGTTATTTTGGCAATCTTTAATGAAAGCATAACCTACACATTCAATAAAATAAGAAAATGTTTGCGCACATATATTTATTAGCAGAAGTCTCTTAATTGCCAACATATCTCTTTTTTCTTATTCCCTCTTGATATAAATTCTTCTGGTGGATTGATAATCACTCCAAATTACCCAAATAAGCCATAGTCCTATTATCGTAAAAGCGGAAAGCAAAAGACATTCGTACAGATTTGTTACATCTATCAATTCAGAAATCATATAATCTTCCCTACTCATTAATTATATTATTAATAATATCAAATAGAAAACTAAATAAAATTAGGAGCGTGAGTTATTTATGCTTGCTTAATATTTTTAAGAAGAGGTTTGATTGAATTGTAATTGAAATTTGAAATAACTATTTATATTTATTAATAATTATTATTATTGAGTGATGTCCAAATCATCTAAGTCCAGTCGTAATTTTAATATTTATACTCTTTAGGAAGCAGTCCATCCAAGAGTTAACATCAGAGTCCAAGTCCAAAATCGAAATCAAATTCACATCCAAATTAAGGTTAATCACACATCATATATCAACATTCAAAATACCTCACTATCAACTACTTCAACATTATCAACATCTAGAAAAATTATGCCTCCATGTCTCCAATTTGTCCAAGAGAGTTACCGACACCGAGTTGAAAGAAACCTTCGAGAAGTATGGCCAAATTGAATATGCCACTGTCTGCATGGAGCCCCGAAGCAAGGGGTAGTAATTTCCTTATCAATTATTTCCACTAGCCCTGGCAAAGTATCTAGAGGTTTCGGATTCGTTAAATTTGCCAAAAAGGAAACTGTCCAAATAGCTCTAGAAGCAATGCAAGACAAAGAATTGCATGGATCGAAAATTAAAGTGGAAGTATCAAAAAGAGCTGAGCCAAGAAGAAAGACCCCAGGTCGCTATGCTGGTTATGCCTACCGTCGCTCTCGATCCAGATCACATAGAAGAAGAAGATCTATATCGTCTGACTCTTACTCAAGCAGTCGTAGAAGACATCATAGGTGCCCAATTTATCAATGTTTCTTAGTCGTCGACGACATTACAAAAGAAGATCGATTTCAAAATCCCCTTCGAGAAGTCCAAGTTAGAGTCATAGAAGGAGAAGAAGATGAACAATTAGATAATATTTCAAATAATCAAAATATAATTTAACCTTTTTAAATCAGCACTGGCTCTCTGCTTAGGAATTATATAGAATTTAGTTGAAAAACTCTGCAATATTTAGCATAAATGGAATTCCAAAATTTTATATTTTATAAGAGCTTTTATTATTATTTTCCTAAATAATCAAAATTCACTATAACTAAATGAAATCAAATTAAATTTTAAAAATTTATTAATAATCTGTAATTGGGAATCATTATAACATTATACTTAAACAATATTTTATTTTCCTTTCTTTTTCTTCAATCTCTGACAGTTATCACCAGAAGGCTCTCACACAATGAACCTTATCAAACAAGTTTAATGTTCAAATAATCTTTCATAATTTTTCTTAGAAACCCGTTAACTAAGTAATTCCCTTTGAGAGAGGCAATTAAAAGAGTCAATAGTACTAAGAGATTAGGGAGAGTTCTAATATCAAAAATTAGACGATTTTTAAGCAAAATATCATTGTCAGAATTACACTACTAAAAAAGGAACTATAAAATTTATAATAAATATTTCGAAATATCTTGTTCATTTCATGCCTTGGATTCAAAATTAATGATAAAAAACTTAATGATTAGATAAGGTTATTTCTTCTAGAGTTGAAAATAATGGTTTTTTTAAAAATTTTGTTTCTTGACATGATGGAGATTCGAAGATGCTTATTTAATGATGTTGATGGTTTAGTTATGATAATTGGGTCGCTAATGTTGAAATTTGGATGTATTTAAATTGATAAGAGAAGCATGAAAAAGGAGAAACAAATTTAAAATATTATAAATTTTTTATAAAATTATTTAAATTTTATAATAAATTAGAGTTAAAAGTGCATCATTTTTAATGACACACTATTATTTTGTACTAAGGGGTTGGAGTTTATAAGGATTTATAATAATTAGCTATAAGATATAATTTTTTCAAATAAAATATTATAAAAAAAATGGAGTAACAAGATGCATCATCAATTGCATAAAATAACTTGACTGGACTGGCAACAGTGCATGGAGCAAACGAGCAGAACAAATTACTATCAAAGTTGAGTGAATAAAGCAGTCCAATGAAAACTGATACTCACATAAATCCGAATAAAGAAATTTATTCAGAGGAGGAAATGAGGAACTTTACAAAAAGAGGAATAATTTCATTGATTGGAGGTGTAATTCTACACATAGAGTTGGGAACATTTTATGTTTGGGGTTCAATCAGTAATAAATTAAAAATAATTTTGTTTAGGTCCTTATGTTTGTGCTTGGATGAGAGAGAAAGACAAGGATGTCACACTAAATTTCATGGCTATCATCTTTCCAATCCTTGGAATCATCACAATGTCAGTCCTCTCATTTGGTATAAAGATAGCTGAGAAAATTGGATTTAAAGTGACAATAGGTATAGGTTCATTTACTATTGCATTGGCTTTCCTGATTATATCATTTATCCAACAGATAGGAGGATTTATAGCAGTGTATTGCATAATGGTTGGCATTTCTGGGGGTTTATTATATATGCTACCAATAATTTGTGGATGGAGATACTTCCCTAACCGAAGAGGTTTAGTATCAGGAATGACAATTGGTGGTTATGGATTTGGATCATTCATCTTCAATTTCGTATGCAAAGCAGTAGCAAATCCCAACAATTTGAAGCCATCAGTAATAGAAGTGGAGGATGGCAAAGATGTGAAATACTTCGACAGTGAAGTAGGAGACAAAGTTCCATTGATGTTGTAAGTTCTTGCTGCAAGCTATTTTGGATTGGGAATTATAGCAACAATAATGGTTAGATACCCAGCTGAAATTGATCCAGATAAAATGTTGGCTACCTTAGAGGCTGAAGAAAAGAAGAAAAGAAAAGAAGGAGCTCCTGCCCCTCCTCCTCCAGTTTTACCAGCTCATAAAGAATGTGTTGAAATGTAAGATATCATATTTATTTCTTTAGTAAACGAGGAATGAAACATCCGTCCTTTGTGATTCTCCAATTAATTGTATTGATGTCCTGTACTTTTGGTATGTTGATATCTAATTGCTATAAATACTACGGATTAGAGTTGGGAATAGATGATGCTACGTTAACAGCTACTGGTTCAGTTGCAGGAGTTATGAATGGATCATCGAGATTCTTCTGGGCAACTCTAACAGATAAGACTTCATACAAATTTACATTTACTCTCATCTCTATTCTCAATCTCATCACAACTGCCATATTGCCATACAATAAAGATGGAATTGGCTATCTCTTACTGATTGCTGTAGTCTATCTTGCAGAAGGTGGACTATTGGCTACTTATCCAGTTATATGTGCTAAAATCTATGGAAAGAAAATTGGAGGTCTCATGTACGGGTTCATGTTCTTCTTTGTTGGAGTAGCTAATATGATTGGATACATACTATATGCTTTTGCAAGAAAGAAAATCAAATGGGAAGGAGTGTTTTGGATTTGTTTCGCATTGAATGTCATCGGAATCATATTGGGTTTGGTTCTTAAGGAAGTGGGCTATGATTGGAGAGATTAGGCAGTGATCGATGCAGAGAAGGAAAAGGAGAAGGAATTACAAAACAAAGGACAATTGGCTGCATTCTAAAATTGAATTAATATAATTTTTGGCTTCTTTATATTTAAGACTTTGGTTTTAACTAATACATGTATTATTGAATAATTTTTCAATTCAATATTAAAAATATTGCAAAATGGATAAAAATGGAGAATAAATCTTCACTTCAGAGTTTTGGAGAGAAATAAATGAACAATATTTCATTGTCTAATCTCCAGTTTAAATAACAGATATCGATATTCTCAAAAGCAAATGTATTCTTGTTATGAATAGAAGTAGCTCGAAATGGCAGATCATCAAAATTTGTGAGTCCATTAAATAAGGTAATTAGGTAGAACAATCGAACCAAGCTGTTCTAAACTAACTTAAACAATTTGAAAACAAGATTTTAGTTGCTCTTTATGCAAAGACAATCAAAATAGGAACCGATAGAAAATTTAATAGATGAAATGATAGACGAAGTTTGTTTTGATCATCTGTCAACTGAATTAATGAAGGCATAAGAGTTAATAAAGAATATCACGCTTTGTTCGGATGCATAGCAATTGCAGATTTACAATCAAGAAGCAGATTTGTTATCTAATTTAATGCAACAAATTGATTGGCCAGATGAGTTAAGTATTTCAATAGAACAATATCAATAATAACTTGATGAAATTACTAGTTGCAACAGAAATGCATTGCAAATGTATTCATATTCATTGTAAATTAGTTTGGAACAGCACATTCATCAGATAAACTTAACTTTATTGTATACTTACAATAGCTCTTAAGTTGGGGAACATAAATTGAAATTGACTCGATCGAGACTGTCCAATCATTAAAACGAATTAAGTTAGCTCAAACACCTAATAATCTCACAGTAAGACTATTAAGTGGCTGAGAGTATTGCCAAAGCAACCTTCAATGATTAAAGTAATTATCACAATTATCCACTTCAGACAATACAGTCCATGTTATTTTCGATAAGTATTTGAGTAAAACTCCCATCACTATGAGTGTGGAGGATTTTGGCAATCTCCAGAGATTTCGAGAACAAAAGTTTGATTTAGTTACCTAACCATGCAATTTGAGATCTGATGTAATTCTGTATGTAGGATAGTAGGATGTGTTCGAAATGTAGATGTGCCATTATTGTAAGGAGATGGTGGAAATCAAAAATCTGAAATAGTGTCAATATAACCATTTTTAAATGGGTTTGCATGAATACAACGAAGATTTATTGATCTGTCAAAGGTACTAAATAAATGCCAAGTAAGCAAGATAATTTCTCATTGATTTTTATGCTGAGAATTATGTCATAGAAAGTACGAATATTATGTTTATCATAGACAAATAAATAATGTGTTAGAGGTACTTCTGTTTAAAGTGTCTAAAGTACGATTTTGATTCTTATGAGACCACGTCTTATTTGTGGATTTGTCCTTTGTGCAAAGTAAAATTTCATCTTTGAATCTAGGGATTCTGCACTTGCGAAAGATGCGAAAGAAATGACATGATCTATAAGATGAAAAGACAATTCTTAGAACTTAACGGCGATCTGGAAGATATTTACAGGACATCCTAATTTGAGAGTTTGGTCAAGGAGAAAAGGAGGCAGTTGTTGGACATTCCTTTAGAGTTCCTGAACAACACAAAAAATGATGAAGAAACAATTTATTAGAAGACGAATAGGAGATAAAATTAGAGTAATTAAATTAGGAAGAAGATTAATAAAGATGACTCACATTTAATTAAGAAAAGCCAAAAATTATATCAATAAGAGAGTTCATCGTCTTCGATCAAGATGAAAAGATCAAAAGAGACAACAACTCAGAATACAATTTCTAGTTTGGATTCAATTAATTCACAAATGTTTATTTGATGATTTGTTAATTTATTTTGTTCTTACTTCTAATTTTATTTATTTTGCATAATTGAAATTCATATTTATCCTTTAATAAAATAGTAAATTAACTTGGTATCAATATATTCCATAAAAAATTAACTTACTCATGTTTGAAAAGACAAAAGATGTAAATAAGATCCCTTTAAAATCGATATCGATAATAGAAACCCACTTATTAAAATTAATCAATGCCGACTATTTATACTGAATTTTAAAGTTCCAATTAATATTCAATATCATATGAAATTTTCCATTTTGATAATTACGCTCTATATTACAACTACATTGGGAATGTTCTGCAGCTACTACCCCTTGGATCCAGTTGCATGTGTGTAGAAGACTCAAGGAATAGCATGTAAATTTGGCTATAAATAATTCAAGGTTAATTTAGTTTTTTCGAAAATCAATGCATAGAGGTTAAAAGTAGCTCATTAGGATGCTAGCCCACTCTTAATCTGCAGGCATGCTTGATGTAAAAACAAAATTTGAGTGGGAATGAAGCTTAATGTAATTATCTAGAATTATAGAGAAAGGCTTTTTTGGAAAGAAATGCATAGATGCGAATGAGTTCCATTTGAGACATCTAGAATGCAAGGATCACTTTTCTATCTATGGTTGTGTAAATATCCATCAAAAATAATGTTATTGGAGTGGAACAATTTGTTCTTAATATGAGGGACCCATTCCATCTGGAAATGATTGCTCATTAATTTTCAACACAGCCGTCGCCCCTGAATTATGTTCCCAGATTTAGGAGATTCCATGTATAAGATTTAGTAAAATACTGCTAGGTTATAATAACGGATTTGAAGGTGGATATTCTTGTGAAAATGTGTCTGACATTATGCTTCAAACAATAACTTGCGATACTTCCGGGTTGAACTAAGTAGCCTGCACATCAATTAAGACTCCTGGATAGAAATGTAAGTAATAGTTAGAGTTTTAGGCATTTTTTAGCATGGGATATGTAGATAATTTTAACAAAAAGATGAAATTAGTTGTTTATAACAATTAAATATTGAGGCCTGTCTTGGGATTTCAAATCCAGCTGTGAGATGTGCTTGGAAATAGACAGGGTGTTAGGATTACGAAGTCAAAGAGAACACTAAATGTTCGGATGTTTCAAATATTAATCCAAGTGTTTGTATGGCTATGTCAGAATTATGTGAATATGATAAGGAACACAGAACATGCACACCAATTACGGCATTAAATTAGATAAGTTGCAGGACAAAAGGATTAAGCAAAAATGCTTGTTTATAAATTCAAAATGATAAATGTAATTAATTTTAATTAAACTAAGGTATATTTGATGATGAATTGGGATGTTCTGAATTATCTGAAGAATAACTAAAGATGACTTTATGTGAAGATAACATAAATGAGATTTCATGTATTAGCATCACAACTCCATTTCAAAATTGTCAATGGAATGGTCAAAAATGTCAGAGAATTATCATCAACCAAGACTTGGATTGCCCTTTGCCTTTGATTGATGGTACTGCTTATAAGGTGAATGGAAATGTTTGTTAATCAATATCTAAGAACGGTGTTGGTTGTAAATACGATGCAACTCTTCACTTGTGTGTAAGAAGCAATGGATTCGAAAATTGCACAACTCCATTCATCAATCTATATGCTTGTGTCAATATACAATAGTAGATATCCTGCAAGTGGAATGAATAAGTAGGTTAGTGCGAGGACGTGGAAGTCATTGAACTAAATACCCGTTGCAGTGAACTTAAGTTCTCAAATCCAAAGTCTTGTTCCTAAGTGACTGAATTCAAGAATAGCAAATTCATTGGGTGTTACTATAATGAAGAGACTTCACTTTGCACAGAGGTCAACCTAGTAAGTCTAATTGATATGGAATGCGAACAAATGGGATTAAATAAACATGGCTGCACAATGATAAGTAAATTAGGGTAGAGGTGTAGATGGTATAGAAGTTAATGTACAAAGATAAAGAGTAAGGAATCTCTGTCACTTGTCAATTGTATAGAATTATAATTTGTCAATCCTGCCATTTGTGCATTGGTTACTGCTAATTCAGAACCTTGTAAGTATAATTCTGATGCTTTTGGATGTGTAAATAGTGTCAACTATAGTGACACAGGTGATTATTGTACAACTCCTGGATTAAATGCTTTTGCATGTTCTTAAATTACAAGAAGCAAAACAGGATGTTACTTTGATAAGACTAACAACATCTGTGTGACTGCTCCTGATAGTAAATCAGTTCAAGAGATTGATATACTTGCATCTAAAGAATTATTGACAACGGCAAGATGCGTTGCTAGTTCTCCTACATTAAACATTTGCATGGCCATCAAAACATTAGGTGAATCGTGTATTTGGAATACAAGATCTTCTAGATGTGATTACAATTAAGTTTAGTTGAATGAGAAATGCCTAGATTACAATACCTAAGAAAAATAGAAGTCTACTCCTGGAGCCGAGGTCTATGTGAATGAAAATGTATGTGCCAGTGTTGTCATGAACTTTGTAATTTATATTATCATATTCATAGCCAAATAATGATCCAGCCAAGGGAAAGAAGGTAGATGTCCTTAGAGGTTATTGTGAATATAATGGAAAGGGAAATTGCATCTTATATTAAGATAAGCCTTGCACAGATAAGTGTTGTACTACAGTTTCAGGTATCAATGCCCATGTGTGCAGTCGATACACAGATCAAACAGTTTACTGTTATTTTAATGAGTTCAATAAATGTGTTCAATTGACCAATGAATCAACAGATCTAACCTCAATATAAGCAGTCAAGGATTATTATAACTTTATGAAATATAAATGCTCATCCATGAATTCCAAATCTTGTTGGATGATTGAATGGTCTACTACACAGAAATGTTATTGGGATGGATTTGTATGTACTTAAATCAATTACAGTGACTATCCCACATTTTCAGCTGGAGTATTCCCACCCACATCATTAAGTAGATACGGATGCCAAGGAGTTGAAGCTATCAAATCTAATTATGCAAAGTACTTTAAATATGTGGATACCAATTATTGTGCTGTATATTTAGTACCTCCAATGTTGACTGATTGTGAAACTGAAGGAGTCAACATTAATTATTGTTTAGGATACTCAGCAAACATTTATTGCAAGTGGAATAAACTAACCTTGAGTTGTGAAAGAATAGAGGATTACCTCACACTCTTGACTTGTGATGAAAATCAAAATTAATAGGCCTGTATCTCAAATCCCTATGTTCCATGTGCCTTTTTGGATGGATCTGACAAGTGTGTATCCAGTCCTTAGAATGTTAAATGCAATGACTTCTCTCTAGCATCTTCTCCTTATTTTGCAAAAGTGAATGAGTAGGCTTGTAAAAATATCACCATGCCTGGATAAATTTGTAAATTCTATGAACCCTTAAATTATTGTGTCTATTCTTATGATACCTCAACGAACTGTGATCTCCCAGGAGTTAATAGTATTGGTTGTTATGCCAAGACCTAAGGAAATTGCAGATGGGATTCAACCTTATTAGAATGCTATGAAGAGAGTGATGAGAATGCTTTGAATACTCTGAAATGCAACGATAACATCAATTTGTTCTTATGTAAGAATCTAATGAATGACAATTGTGAGTGGTCTACTACAAACTTAATTTGCAGTTAAAAAGATGCTCTAAACAAGGTTAATGTTAATAATTTATATAATGCCCAAACTTGCACCAATTTGGTTGGAGGTGGTTATTATTTTAATAATTTTAAATGTGTTGAACTGTTAACATCAAATAATGATTGTACTTCTAAAATAATGAATAAGCATGCTTGTTTAACTATGACTAAGAATCACAGATGTATCTTTGATCCAAATTAACCACCTGAATTGAAATGCTAAGAATTTAAAGAAGAACAATTAACATGCTCAACAGACAAACTCATCAGCATTGATGTCTGCATGAACTTACCAGCCACTTGCTACTTTGATCTAGATACCTTAACATGCAGATCTATCGATATTACAGACACAACCAAATGTTCTACTCTCATTTAGACCAATTAAATTTTCAACAAACTAGCATGTTCTTCAATAAGTGAAACTCTCACTGATGCTTCCTCTGATGATGGGACCAGAATTTGTACCAGCGATCCTGTTGCTGATAATGCCTAACAATGTTATTTTGAATCATATTGTGCATGGGACACTACCAATTATGGATGCAAACTTGCCAAAATAGTGAATGCTCAATACAGTAGTAATTAGAATGGGGCATATTGTTCTCTGGCACCAGTCTCTTTTTAATGCACAAATATCTACTCTAAGGCCATTTGTCTGTAATTAGCAGATAATTGTTATTTTGACATCACATAAGGTGGTTGCAATGATTATACTGCTAACTCATATAAAGTGTAAGCTTGTAACTAATTGAATGGAAGTTCCTGTATTAATAGTAAGACTGAGAATGCTTATTGTAAGAAGGTAGCTTTGGATGGTTATGATTTCACTCCTGCATGTTCTGTTGATTCCCCAATCACTGATTTATGTGAAGATGATGTGTCTCCATCATCTAGTTGTTCATCAATTACTCCTCTTAAAGCAGAAGATTGTTCCTTTTCTTCTGAAAAATGCTATTATAAGAATAGTTCTTGTGTTATTCCCTCTAGTTCAGATGTCATTACATGTACAACTCCAGGAGTCAGTAAGAGTTTATGTTTGACCATAGATTAGAAATGTGATTTTTCATCTGGAAAATGTACTAATCTCACTATCCCTTCATTAAATGCTAACAAATCCAATTATTATTATGTGTGCAATGAAGTCAATTATTTGATCACTCAATATAAGGAATATGCTTGTGGTCAAATATCAGCAATTCCTTGTAAATTTGCTTAAAATTCCTGTCAAAGAGCTTTCTATGATGACTGCTCAAATTTAATAGGCATCACATCAAATAAAAAAGCTTGCGTTGAATGCAAGAACAAAAATATGATGTACGACTATGGACTCTCTACTTGTTAGGAAAAAACTGATTTGAGTTCTTCTTGTGACTCCATTTCAACCTAAAATAGTTGTCAAACCCATTCCACTGATTGTGAATGGAATGATGTCATAAGCAAATGCATAGTAAATCTGTAAAGATTAAATCAAAACAGTTGCATAACTCTCTCCAATACGATACTTACTAAATGGGATAGTTCCACTGTTACCTGTGTTAAATTGAGTTTAAATTCTGCTCAATACGCTGCAAGTTGTGTGGGTTTGGGTAAAAAGAGTTGCTTGACTTCAAAGAGTTCATGTTGGTTTGATTCGCAAACGTAAAGTTGCATAGATATTGATACAATCCCCTTATCCTGCAGTGAAATTAATGACGTTGGTGGATAATAACAACATTGTTTGTTATCATTCAAAGAAGCCTGCAAATGGGTTAACAACTTGTGTGTTTCAGCTAGTCTTGAGACTGACACTTGTTCTGTGATGAATAAGTTTGGGTGTCTCAACATTAAATAGAATGTTCCCTGTGGATGGTCCAATTATAATGTGGCTTGCATCAAATACACAAACTATAATTATTTTGGATGTAAGAATTACACTTGGAATAATAATTACTCATAAGTCAATCCTTACTTCTGTTAACTCTTGTCAGGCACTGAATCTTGCTTTTATGATTAGAAGACTTACAAATGCACTAATGTGGGCTCTACTGATTTATATTGCAGCAAACATCAAGGTATCAATAAAGTAGCTTGCTTGACTCGAACCTTGGATAAATGCAAGTTCGACTCTAAAGTCAACAAGTGTGTTCCAATAACTGAGACTGATACTAACTGCAATAATTCTTTGAATAAAGTGTCTTGTCTTACAGTACCTGGCAAATATTGCAAATTTTATCAAAATGAATGCAGCACTTTAACCTTAGCGATTGCAACCGTATATGCTAGAGCAACACCACCAGTTGGCCAAACGTATTCTGCTACTGCCTGTGTTTATTACAATAACGCATTCAATGATGCTTATTTCATCTATGACAATAACAAACAGTATTGTGTAGATGCAGATTACGCAAAAGAATACCCCAGGAAATTTATCGCTCTTTGTAGATCAACATCTATCAATAATAGAGTCTGCTTGAGCAAGACTATCAATACTTGTATTTAATCATATTTATATAGGTTAATATGTCGATAATCAATGTCTGGATCTTAGTGCAGATGAGATCAAGTTAGAAACATCTTGCAACGCAGCATTCAATTGGAAAGCATGCATTTAAATAAACAATTTGTGTAAATTTTATTAGGGAAAATGTCAACTAATTACTGCAACTGATACTTGTGCTAATTTAGTATCTACTACCGCTAATCCGCTTTATGTTGGCCCACAAGTCTGCGCCTCTTTTGCTACTACCTTATGCAAATACGACTCTGAAGGCTATGATTGTAAAGCAGCTGCAGCCACAAATGAAACATGTTAAACTCCAGGGCTAAGCAAAAAGGCATGTTTAGAGTCGACAACCAAATCCTTTTGCTATTTCAATGCAATTACTAATAAATGCGATTTCACCTATGACAATACCTTTTCCTGTCAAGATGACTAAACTCCCAAGACTTGGTATCTTAATATAGCTAGATGCTATTATCTACGAAAAACTGGCAGTGTATATAAATTATAATATTTTCATTAGACTTGTTAATTTTTAAATGGAGAATGCACTGACTTCCCATAGACTAAATTAGCTGAATGCAATACTGACATTAAAACTAATTTAATCACTTGTTCCAAAGCTACTGTAGGATTCTGCTATTATATTCCAGCCACTAATTATTGTTACAAAGGAAATGCGGTAACAACGAGCGTATAAGATTGGAATATTGGATAGTCATTTAATAAGAACGCATGTTTAGGCTACTAGCATGCCACTGTTAAAATAGCTACAATGTGGGATGACCTTAAAGGTTGTGTAGAGGCTACTAGCAATGATCTTAAGAATTTATTATGTGAGTCTCCCATTAACATCTATGCTTGTTTATCCATAACGAATCCAACTCAATTTTGTTAATATGACTTGGTTGCATAGAAGTGCAAGTCATTTAACTATATAGTACCACCTGGTTAAATTGGCACTTGTGTGACTCTGACTAATGTAAATAGATTTGAATTCTGTTAATATACTACAGATGATTGTGCATACAATTCTGCAACTCGCAATTGTCAAGTTTTAACTACTGCTGATTTCACAATTGCATCAGCTGCTGATTGTTTTAATAGAGGATTCAGCAAGTCGTTGTGTAACAAGTTCCCTCAATGCAAGTACAGTGATGAACGATAATTATGTTATGGTGGTAGCATCTTCTGCAAAGATAAATCACTCGACACATGTTCATCTGTGACTATCGAACCATGCTGGATTAATAATAGCATCTGTACAGGTATTACTTATGCACAATTAAAAACTGTCAAATGTTCAGATGTCATTAATCAAGTTGGATGCACCAGTATTACCAATCCAGATTACAAATGCTAGTTTAACATTCAAACATCAATTTGCTAAGAAATAACTCAATTGAATCTGAAATGCACTGATTACACCTATGTTAATACCTATTCTGTTTGTGAAAATACATTAGATGTCCCTTGTAAATATGATTTTGTCACCAAATCATGTAAATAAGTGATAAAAACAGATGTTTTTGAGTGTGATCGTGGACTTAATGAACAAGCTTGTTAATTATACACAAGACCTTCATTATAATGCTTATTCAAGAACTTCTGTTTTGGCCCAACCTATGGAGTCAATTAATGTTCTGACTCAATCAACAAAGAAGTTTGTTTAGGATATAATTACCTTTGCACTTGGGATTCTGTCAACAAAGTTTGCTAAGACTTTGACATTACGGGTAAAACCTGTTCAGCATTGGAAACCTCTCATAAGGTTGTCTCTATTCAAGTCTGCTACAATAGTTAAGCTGATTCGGGTGCTTGTGTTTATAATTCCTCGACTAATACATGCAAATTGATTTAGCCAATATCTTGCTATGAATTAGAAACTTAAGAGCAATGCACTCAACTACTAGATCTCCCTTGTATTTGGAGCAATAACAAATGCTCCTTCCTTTAAACTACTAGTACCGACACCTGCAATTAAATAGGAAATGTCGGATCCAAACGGGCTTGTCTTGACATTATCAGATAAGGGTAGATGTGCCAATATGTCGATAAAACTTGTTAAACACATGTAGAAAGCTTTAACGATGATAATTGTGTAGATAATGTTAACAAAGTAGCCTGTGTGACCCAATAGACTAGTCAATGTTTATGGAGCACAGAAACCAAAGAAGTCTTTATTAACAAAACTGACAAGATCAATTATACTTCTGGTGTCTGTACTTAATATACACCAAATTCTTAATAGGATTGTAGTACCTCCCTAAGTTATGCTTCATGCTTTTCTGTTAGCAAACCTGGGTCTTTCTGCAGATGGCTAAATGGACAGTGTGTTTCCATCCCAGTCTCAATGGCTTAACAAACAATTAACTATAATACCTACATTCTAGTTAATGAAAATTCATGTGGATTGGTTAATGTGGATAAAGTAAAGTATTCAGAAAAATCTAAATCTTGCGTAATTCTTAATGACAATGAAGTGATTTCTTGTAAATGTGGATAAGAAACTAAAGGTATCAATATAAATGCTTGCTTGAGCATTAAATATCAAAATTGTAAATGGAATAGTTTAAACAAAAAATGTGTTGAATAAAACTCTAAATGTGACTTTAATTGATATATATAATTAATTTATTGAATATATTTTGAATAATTAATTTCTATTTTAAATTACATCAATTAATTAACCTTAGCAATAGATCAAAAACCATATCGTCTCATTTAAAAGACTAATCTTATTAATACTCTCGAACGTGGGGTAATAGCTCATTTGGTAGAGCGTATGCTTAGCATGCATGAGGCGCTGAGATCGAAGCTCGGTTGCTCCATATTTTTTATTTTTTTTAATATATATAAATTGAAATTCTTTTTTTATAATTATTATCTTTTTATAATTTACATAACCTATAAGAAAAATGTTATTATGCATCAATCAATTAATGACTTTATTTAATGTGTTATTTTCTCTATATCCGAGTCCAATCGCTCAATTTAATTAAGCAAACGATAATCGTAGTCCTTCTCCTTGCCCTTTATCTTTTTTTACATTTTGCATAAATTCTTTTGCTTCTCCTTTATCTTCTTCTCTATTTCCTTGACTCTCTCCACATTCTTTTACTATCGTTTTTATATGAAATTTGAATTAATTTCATGCTCATTTTCCTAATCATATTCAAATGACTGATTCTATGAATTAACGTGAGATTATTCTTTAACTAATTTGTTTATGAGTTAATTTTAACGTCTGATCTAATATAATTAAATCATAATAATACTTCCTAAATTTGTTATTTGTAATCATTAACCAAATTTATGTTATCCTTCAACTAAGTCATCAAGAGATGATGGTCTTGATCATCCAAAGAGACTGACTAAGACATCTCTTGAAATCCTCCTATTTCAATCTCAGTATTTCTAATCATAACCAACTATTCTAATTCTGCTATCATTCCTAATGATTCTTAATATGCTTTTTATTTTGACAAAATTATTTCATAATTGTATTCCAATTCCAACTCCAATCGTTTGAAGGCTTTTTAGAGGCCTCCGAATATTTTCTCTGCTTAATCTTGAAAACTCATAGCTGTTAAATTGAGAAAAATTAAAATTATTTAAAATTTCCTTTTTAGTTTTGTTGCTTTTATTGTAATATATATAAATATTAATTAAGTGATATCGTATCAGTATTGAAGTGTGTTCAAACCTGTCTATATCATACTCTTTTTCCTCTCATTTTATTTTGAATACGATCCCTGACTCAATATTTACGATTTTATCAAAGGCTTATCTTTTTATGCATCCAGCGATTAAGATTTTGAGCAATAATATCTTTATTATATCTATTGCAAGGGCTCTTTGCCTTAAAAATTGTATTCAGTATTTTCCAATTTATATTGACCTAATTATCAAATTCAATCTCTTACTTAATGCCTCCTTCGGGATGATAATCAATTGGTAATCACTCAAATTAAAATTTGTTTACCCCGTCTTCGATAAGGTTTACTTTTAATTGCTATTAAGATCTATTTATGATTTCGACATATTGAGATTGGAGCTTGGAGTTGGAGGAGATGCCAAAGAGGATTTTCTATTGTGAAATGCGCTAATATTAGTAATTATCTTCGGGTCCTTGCTCTTAGGCGTGAAATCATTCGAATAGAGGGACTGCTTCTCAGAATCAGAGATCGTGTTAGATGCCGTTGTAGCAAGCAATGAGCTAAGACTTTAAAAGGTTGGTAATTTCTCTATAGGATTGCCGTTTGATTTAATTATTCCAGTTACCCCTTCTTTCTTATTCATGGTTTAGGTTCTGCCTTTGAATCGAGTTAAAAAATCCATTGATTATTTAATTATGAATGGTTAAAAGAGATAAATCAAATATTTATAGCTATCAAAATTAATTAAATAGCAAGATATAGTTTAAAACATAAATCATTATGATATCTATTATTCACAAACTCCTCTATTTGTATGTTATGTATAATTTTATAAAAATAATTTGATGATTAATTAAAAGAGAAAGTTCTTCCCATAAAATATAAAGAGAGCTAAATTTATTAAATCACAATCTTGATTTCAATAAAAATGAGTAATCTAAGGGAGATAGTGTATGTAGAATGAAGTAGTTATTAGATTTGTAGTAACACCTATCAATCAATAATAGTAAAGTTAGATAATGCATCAATAATTTACAACAAATTTTCCACTTATTCAAAAGTAAATTACACATATATTTTTTAGGACCGAATTGCATATCTGAGGTAATTGGAAAAACCTTAAGATATAAATTGAAAAATTAATAAGTATATCAAGTAATAATCATGATAAAGAAATTTGACAGCATTAAATTCAGAATTTACTTAATTAATGATTGATTACTACAAAAATGATACAAAAATAACACTATACTATTGGGATATAAATCATTTATTAAAGGACTAAAAAATCAAGCTTAATAATCTGATAGAAATAGTATTTATAAGAAGTGAATTATAAATTGGATGCAAATTATAGTAAATGTACAATATGATAAAATTATATCAAAAATTAATACCAATAAAGTTTTTCTTGATTTTCTATTCAAAGAAACTAACATTTACTAAGAATGAAAAATAGTAAGAACCTTGAGTCTAAGAATCTCCGATATATTTGTGATTTAAAACATCAGTACCGATTATTTTAATTACATAACATCATCTATATTATGATTTTAATCAATATAATTTATTTAGTATTTTTCGTTATGAATTAAGGTTTGAATAATAAGAGCAAGGCTATTATAATTAAGTAGCCTTACCCTAACTTTATGAGAAGCACTGATTTTAAGCAAAAATACTAAATCGAATTATGAAATACCCAAAGAATAACAATAAATAGCCACCTAGAGAACTTAAAGAACCATCATACCTTCAATGTATGAAACTGAGTTAATATTAAATAGAAAATCAATCTCAAATAAAAATAGTTAAGAAAAGATCAGAGTTTACGATGTTTTCAAGTAGATTCCCAGAAACAAAAGCCAATCTTATCACATTAACAAAATGGATGAATCAAGAGACATCTTAAGTAAACTTAATGAGTAGAAAAAAATCAATGTTGGTAATATTTTAAGTTTAAATGAAGTAAAGATTGTTAAAAAACATCTAGATTCTTAGAATCAGTCTTAACAACTCATAGGATTGAACCTCCTTCTTCAAACAAAATAAGATCATACAGTAATGCGTAACCTCTAGATAAATTATTTAAGATGAATGACAATTCAATATCCTACATAAAGCTCCCCTTTGAAACGTAAAGAAAAATATCAAAAAACTAAGACTAATTTAAAATTATAAAGAGATGATAATATATTAGATTTGTTACTATTAAACACTTGTGAATTAAAAAAAAAGTTATTACACAAATCAAGTAACAACAGCAGCTTTATTTGTATTAGACCTGGAAAGCTACCTAAAGACTTCTTTATATATAATTAATGATATATAATTAATAATCATTTACGAAATTAATAAAATGTAATCAATGTTAAAATGTTTAATAATGAGATAAATTTGTTTGTTTGAATAAACATAGAAGTCACTTTCATTACCTAACATATTTGTTTGATTATATGTTCTTTTGTATCACCAAAATCGATGTCTATTGAATTAGAATTGACAATTAACACAAGATAGTTAAAGAAGTAGTAGGAAGTAAGTAAGTTAATATGGATCGATTGAATTATAAAATGAGAAATAAGATTAATCAAGCTCTGTATTGATTTTTAGATAAGAAAAGGAAATACAGAATCTCATTAAGAATTATTTTTAGAATATCTTGAAAATTGAATGTATAATCTTAATATCAAAATGAATAAAAGTACTATTTTTGAGAACATTTAATTTCAAAATGAATTCTTCAAATAAATTTACAAGTTTCACTGATTAATAATTGGCTGAGCTATCCAGTTTACCTTTTTTTCACTCATATATTAATTGAGATAAATCAAATCATGACTTAATATGTTACACTTTTATTACGCTTTTAATAATAATGAAATATAAAAGATTACAAAAAGATTTATATCTAGATTAATATAATAAAGATATCAATTATTATAATCATTAATTAAAAAAAACATTGAAAACAATAAACTTTTAATCAATTTTGTATTTCATTAATTACATTAGTTTTATTCGAGATGCCCATACAATATTCTAAAATTTAGGATATAAGATTACCAATCTCCAAATAGTTCATAATGCTCAATCCTTTCGTATAAGTTTTCTTGAAATCTGGTTGCTTACTTTGAACATCAATCTCAATATGCTTTGAATCTAGGATTGCAAATTGAATTTTATCAAAAACACTCAATTACTATTACTTTGTTCTAGTTAATGTGATCCTATCTGAAACCTTAGCTGTACTAACTATAGGATCTGAACTTTTCCTGTCTAAAATGGTATTAAATTCTGATTTGCCTGAATCGGAATAAGTCTCCGTCTTGATTTTGACTATATTTTACGGTTACTAGAAAGAACTGTTAAAAGTGGACACTGTTTCATTGTTGCTGTTGGATTTATTATTCATTATCAAATCAACTATATCGATATTTGTATCTTCTCCTAAACATTTTTCTTTAATCTGCTCTAGAATTGTTGTGGATGCCATGCTCGTTTCTTGACTACCTAACATTTTGAGTTTTCTGTTCTCTGGGGCATATAAATCAACTTTTGGTTATAGTTTTACAGGTTTTTATTCAATATTTTTGGTTTGTTGCATCTTTTAGAGAGCAGATATCTCCATTTCATTTTGTATTACTGAAATTTACGCTTTAAATGGGATTGAATTCAGGCATTGTATCACATAATTACCCACTTTGGTAAACTGATAAATAAATGTTTGATTTTCATATAGAGGAGGTGTTTCTATTTCTTCTTCATCTTGTTGTTGATCAGATTATGAAATTGACAAAATAAAATATCTTTCTTAACAATATATCTGACTGTTGGATTAGATTTTGAGAACTTTGATAGTTAGAACATTGTCTAGTGAGATTATTAATGATTAAGGAATAAATTAGAAATTTTTGATTTCTAATAACATTAAATTAAATATATAATCAATTCTTGAATTGCGGCGATTCTGAAGGAAACAAGCTCTTTTGGCAATTTAATCCCTTCATTAATAATTAAGTAAATTATGAAGTCTTATCTGGGATTCTGACCACTTGTTAATCCTTCATAATCACCTGATCTTCGTCAATTGAATTATTGGTTTCACAGGTTTGGAATAAGTTTTCTTGTAAATGGTTGATTATTTGATTTTGCTATTATTAAATATTGCTGAATTCTTTCATCTCATAAAAATCCTCCTTATTTTAGAAAGAGATATATAATGACAAATAGGCTTATAAGGACTGTTATAATTGCTTACACAAAGAATGATTCTGTTGAGTGAAGTTCTCATGCAGTTGTTTGAATTGATGCATGACGATGTCTTATTGATTTAACTACTGAACAAAGATGGAGTGTTCTTTGAATCTCTTCTGGTAGATTAACATAATTTCATTAAAAGGACCCATAGCCATGAATTCTATAATGTTGAACTCATTAGAGAGGATATCATCCTCCATCTTTTTCAAAGAGTCAATAGTAGAACGTATTTGATATTGTTCAGCATTTATACACTTCTCAATTTGTTTAAGCAACTCGCTCTAATTTCTAAGTGTTTAATCTATACCTTCAATTAAAGTAACGGCTAAATGGTTTCATCAAATATTCCCTCTATGTATTGTTGCATGTCCGCGATACTAATATTCTCCAAACTTTGCTTTGTTTATGTAATCAACTATTTAAATTGCGATATCTATTCATGTCTGATCTCCTTTTCTCTTAATTCTGGACTCTGAGTACTCTAATGGGTAGGTTAATTCATGTTATACTGTGTATGTTGATAATGAGATGGTCTTAACTTTTGGAGAGGGATGATTCGTCTAATTCAATGAGTTATATTGATTTGTGTTCATTCTTTTCTCTTCATTGCCTTCATTTTAATGATCTTCAATACCTACACAATTGTTGAAATTCAGTTTCACTCCTGCATAACAATTCTATTATGTCAATATTGGATTTGTTCTATTTTATATTTTCATTAATGATTTCAGTATTTAACTTTCTTTATATTAATATCTATTGTACAATTATGCAGTTTCTAATCTGAAGCCTGAGTTGAAATGTTTTTCTTCGGTTGATTTGGGGTTTGATGTTGCATCTCATTTAAGAGTGATCTGTTCGAATATGAACTTTTCTCAAGAGATGAGGTCTTTTACTTACTCTTGTTCAGATACGAAAATTTTTGATTGTGAATTGCTTTCATGTTCTCCTTCATTAATGGACTCTTGCGCATTAAAATATATTTTTAACAACTTTTTTTATTAATTAATTATGCAATTAGAAATTTATAAAGAAAGAACATCATCAAATGAAAATACTCAGTAAAACAAAGCTGTAGAAACATTACATTCTCTGGTACAATATATAAATGATCTCACAGAAATTGTTAATTAAATTAAAGTTAAGAATTAAGCAGAGTTTGTTATCGCATATTAAAGTCACATGAAAAAAATTAAGGCAGAATTGAAAGAATTAAAAAGCAAAACAGAAGAACAACAAAATAATCTTGAACTAAATCAAGTTAAAATGAAGTCGAATGATAATGAATTGGTAAATTTTTAAATAGCATTTTCTAATAGACATTATTTAGAGAAGAATGCCTTAAATTATATGAGAAAATCGAGTAAAAAAATAAAGAGATTTAAGAACTCAAATTTTAGATGCAGGAATCAAAAAAATCAAATCACTTTCTAGAATAATAAATTAAAGGATTGATGAAGAAACTCAAATAATCAGAAATTGAAAAAGAATAACTACCTACACCCTTATTAGAATAGACATTCTGTACCACTACTCCTGCTAATTAATTTAGTAATGCTTTTTGCTAACTATAATAGAGATTCCAAGAAGAAAATTGACAGACTACAATTCCAAATTAGATCTCTCTTCATCGATATCTAAATATCATTATTCTTCCATTAGAGAAATGTTTTCTATTGAAGAATGCAACAGTAGCACATCAAAATTTGATGAGATAATTGAAAGGATTACTAAGTAACTATATTCAAATATAATAAGATATGTTACATAAATTGAACAAAAGTATTAAAAGTAAATTCAAAATTTGAACACAAAAGTCAATAATTTATTAATTTCCCAAAATAAGAAAAGTGTTATTCGTAGCGATCTTGAATCCTTCTTTTTAGACTGTGTAGAAACTGTTCGAAGAGATATTTTAAAAAAAAAGCGACCCTTCGGAAATACTTAATGGTAATAGAATTAAATTGAGATGATTACAGACTTTACCTAATTTCATAAGGAAGATAAATTAAAAATACTAGAACTTGTAGTTAGCAATGAAAAAATCTTAGTCTTTTTATATTAAAAATTATTTCCAAATCATGTTAATTTAGTCATAAAATCAATACGTGAGGACATCAGCATAAATAACTTTTTAGAACAGAGTGTTAAATGTGATTTATCAAAAAGCAATCATCATTAATCTGGTGACTATAAAGTTGAGGTACCAAAAACAACCAGAGAAGTTCGTTCAGCATCAATGAGCAAATAATTAGAAGTAAAAAGAGGAAAACTATTATTTAAATAATATTGATTGGTTATATTAATTATCTATATTACAATCACAACTTATGTCTTCTACTAATATGGTCTTATAATTCTTTTTGAGTTTTAAGTACTCTTCCACAATTCGGTTGCATACATGGAAAACCTTCCTCTGGAATATTATTGATAATTTAATTGATTAATTGTCTTGTATTTGAGAGTTCGTTATTTTCTTTTACTTTTAAAACCTAATCACAAACAATTCCAAAGGATTGGACAGCTTTTTCTATTTTAGTTGCATATTCTGAATTCAAATTTGAGTCTAATAATAAAATTAAGCATTTCAATCCAAGATTAGCTATATCATTTTCGTTTGTAGTACAATCATTCAAAACCTAAGTTATATAATCAATAATATTTATATTTTCTTTTTTTCTAATGATAAATCAGATTTTTACTTAAACTCTGAGTCCTATAACAGATTGAGAATTACACCTAAGCAATAGTATACAACCTCCCTTGAATTTGAATCTAATAGTACGATAACACCTTCTGAAATTCTTGATTTCATTATTTATTTGATTAGATCCTTCTACCTTGATAAATTCGATAAAACTCTAAGTCCGTCACAACAAATCTCCTAATCTTCATTTTAAATGATGAAGTGTCCAAGAGTAGCTATCAATTCAAATTTAACATTTTTGTATTCAAAATCATTTAAAAAGGTTTGCTTCTCATAAAAAGTTAAATTGGATAGGCAACTTAAAGTGCAAGAAATGATTTCCTAATTATAAATTTAGGCTTACCTATTGTTTTGAAATGGCAGTATTCTTTTGTAACAGTTTTAATAGTTTTGATATTAATATTCTGTATTCATTTGAGTAATTCTTTAAGATATCCAATCCAATTTATTCAATAGTCAATATATTTGCAATTAATCTAATGATTCTGATGAGAGCATCAATATCTTTTCTATGAAATAAATTATTAAATATTACTCTGATTGTAATATTTAGAAATCCCAAGCTGCTCTACTTTATGAGAATTAATCAATTTGATTTAACTATTATGGAGCAATCTCTTTTGCCCAATAATAGTCAAAGCATTTAAGAATATCACCAAATTGATTGAATTTATAGTAAATTAATTATCTTATTCCCTCAAAATATGTAGTCATATTAGCTAATAAAAAGGAAGCTCTGATAATGATGTAAATATTTGTTTAATATGTTTTAAAGAAACTTGAAATATTTTGCATAGCCTCAGTACTTTACAAGAAGTATTCACAACATTCTTTACTCAAGGACATCTTTGACATAATTCTTAATGTATTTAAAATCAATTCATAACTGTTACTGAAGCTAACCATACTGATGACTAACTTTTTAATAATTCCATTCTAAAGATACATCTCCACACTATTATTTTCATTAGCCAAGTTTCTCAGAGTAGCAGTTATTGTAGTATATAAGTTTAGCAAGTCTTTCTCATAGGTTTGATCAAATGGGAATGTATGTAAATAACTATCTATTAATTGTATATAAATAGGTTATAATAATTTTTGTGCTTCCTTTTGGTTATTGGCTATATTCTTAATGATAATGAAAATTAAATTCAAATAAGGTAATTGTTGTGAGGTAGTAGGTTAGTCCTTTGGTAATTGGGTGAAGAGTTTCAATATTCTAAACAAAACAAAACTTAAAGAATTGTCATTAATTAAATTCACGAATACATTCTCATTACTTAATTAAGCAGTCTTCTATAGAATTGCCAAAACCTATTAAGGTTGATAAAGTAATGAGGGTAGTTATTCTTGAATTTTGGAACCGCTTTTTGGTCTTCTTAGAAGAGGTTTAGGCTATTTTTGAAATAATAGTTCTAATAAATTTAAGGTAGTGAATCCAAACAATGCTGCTTTGATTGCGTATAATCTAACTTGCAGATCGTTGTAGTCTAATAATTAAATGCTCTATTTTAATATTTGTTCTTTGCCTTAATCATTGCATTCTGTGTTTTGGGTCCAATCTTTAAAAAAGACGTAACATTTTTATATCCATTCTAACTTACTTAGATTTAAATTATTTAATAAATATACTTTTCTTATTATATATTATCGACTAGCCAATTTATATTAACAGATTGAATATCAATTTTTGAACTTTAGGGTCTAGAATCAAGTTGTTTATTGAGGGTGATTTTTGGTGGTAATCCAATCTTTTGTAGGGGTCGATTTAATGTTATTTTGTTGAGTGTCAATTTCTTTTCTGGATTCATGAATTCGAAAATTGAATATAATTATAGTAATATATATTATATATATATTTCAATTTAGAGTAAATCAACAATAAATACACAATATTATAATGAATACTAGTGATTAATGAATATTGGAAATAATTTTTTCATAGATTATAAAATCATCATTAATTAAGGGGAGTATTCTAGAAACTCTCTTCTGCTTTTTTTCTTTTGACTTCAGGTCCATCTTAAATGATTACGCATTTTGTAATTTCTTCAAGAGGTTCCTCATTTGAAATGGATTATTTAAATTTCTTTTTATTACTGGTTGTTTATTCTACCTACTCTTTATAGCCAATTATGGTAGTTAATTGTTCTAGAAAGGTATTGAGTAGGATTTAGAATTTCTTTGGTTTTCTGCTCTGATGAGTTTTATGTATTCGAAATAACTGTTACCCCAGATTCATTTTAACAATCGACAATAATTCAACATTCGATATTTTATTCAATAATTGCGCAATCTAGTTTATCATAGGAACAATTACATCATCCATTTAATTGTCCTTTCTTATTAAATCATTCAATTTAATGACCAGACTTTTAAGTGCATGCTCATTCAAATTATCGAAGCTAGGCAATATGTTTTAATATTATCCTGTCAGAATCTGATTGGCCAATTCGATTGCTTCTTTCAATTTCTTCGTTTCCATTTATGCTGGCTTATCATCCCATTTTTTCACTTTTTCAAGACGTAAATCAGCGCTATTATTTAATTGAAACAAATACTGCGTTCCATCTGCTAAAAAATTCACTCTGCATTATTAATTTGTACCAGTCTTTCCATTCGAAATTGACGAGATCTATTTATGATTATTCTATAATTACTTATGCTGGCCACCATGGATCTAAAGCTTAAAAAACTACTTACAGCCTAAGACTTTAGCCCAAACTACTTCATTTATCTCGAAATTCTCATCACAGCCCTATTACATTCTCTCTCTTTTAGTACTGTAAAACAAATAATTAATTACAAGATATTATAGGATTTTTTTAAATTCGTTAATCATCATTTTCATAATTAATTATAATATGAATACAATCTCAGAAATAAATCGATGTCTCTAACACTTATTTCATTATTCCCAATAGCCCCCTCAACCCAGCTGCATCATGTCCATGAAATCCTATTATGATCATTTCATAAACTTCGATAATTATGCCATGTTTGAACCCCAACTTTTTCAATTTGAAGATTTGAATTCTTCCAATTGTAACCATTGAAAATAATTAAAGTTAGTCAATGAGCCTCCCTTTTTGGATTTTCAATTTGAAGATGATCTAGTACTTCAAAACGATGAGATGAGCCAATTTGAACAAGAAAATTTTAAATCCTCCAATCTTCAAAAAGTTCCCTCGATGCCAAACTGTAATGAATAATCTCAAGTTGCCTTGATTTAACTACGTAACTTCAGATAAAGCATAAACAAAGAGATATAAATTAAACATGTTCCATTGGATGTTTTTACCAGATAACTTACACCTAAGAAATCAATACCATCTCTTTTTGATGATGAACCACCTATGGATGTTAAATAGAAGCAAATACAAAATTATAGGCCTTTGAGGGAAAGAATACAAGAAAAATTATCATAGAAATAAATAGACAAAAAGGAGCAATAAGTGATAAGCAATAGATTTTCAAATGCAACTTAAAACTCTGCCAGCAGATACCATTCAAAAAGTCCCTAATCGTAATTTACGAAGGAATTTAAGTAAAAATTTCAATTCAATAACTCCTAATCAAAATTTTTAATACAACTTAAAATAATAGAATGCAGATTAATATGCTAGTCATCAAAGATCATCTTCGAACTCTAAAACTTTATCAACACCTCAAAAAAGCAATAAAGAACAATATGATTCAACTGTTAAAATAAGAATTGATATTCAAAATTTTCAAGAAAACCATAAAAAGTCAACCAATTAGAAACAAGAAAAGGAAAACAAAATACTAACACCTATAAAGAATTAAAGCAGAATTAATTCTTAAGATTTTAAACTTGTAACTAAAACCAAAAATTTTGTAAGAAATTAAAGAAGCAAAAGTCCTTAAAACCTATCTAAAAGTCCCATTAAAACTCCAGAAAAAGAATAATGCAAATATGTAGTGGTTAATTTTTATTAAAAAAAATATTGATTAATATTATATGACTAATTGGAGTATTCTATTCTTAATAAGAACATTTTAGTATAAAATGGTTTGCAAAAAAAGAAATTGCAATTTCTAATTATATATCAATCTTGACTTTTGCCTTGGATTATGATAAATTTTATTTTTTAAATGACTTTTATTATTTTTTGATCTTACAATTTATAATAGGATAATTATTGATAATTTTTCATTTTATCTTCTTCAAAATTATATAATGTTTATATATAGACTTATCCGATGACAGCAATTAATTACATCAAATAAATTTATAATATAATGATGTCCTTAGATATTTAAAATGACTACTTAGAATTTGCATCAGTTTTGGATGACAAATACTATATAATTGATACAATTGGATTTGGAAGATATGCAAAGTAAAGATTATTGAATAACAATCTAGAGTTAAATTGGCTATTGATATGGAGGATAAACAAAAGTATGCAATCAAAATCATGAAAACTGACCCAACAACAAGTTAATGCAGATCTGATACATTTATAAATGAAATTTCAACACAAGCTGAATTTGATCATAAACACATAATTAGAATCATTTATGTATTTATTCTATATCCAACCAACATAGTGTAAGATGAATGGAAATTATAAAAAGATTGATGGAAGAGTTCAACAGGTTTCTTATTTTGTGATGGAATTAGCCAATCAAGGAGAGTTGTTCTAATTATTAGAGCAAACTTAGCAATTTTCTGAAAAATTTGCAAGGAATATTTTTTCATAACTAATAAAAGGTAAACTGCTTCCTTTATTGCTAGCATAGGAATTGAGCATCTGCATGAACGCGGTGTTGTTCATAGAGACGTCAAAGCCGAAAATATACTATTTAGTAATGGAGTACTCAAGTTGGCAGATTTCGGATTTAGTACCAAGACAATCGATGAGAAAGGATCCAGAGTCCAATTTGAAATATCTCAGCACATTGGCTCTCCTGAGTATAATCCTCCAGAATTATATAATATTGGTAATGATTAGGCTTATTATAATTTAGGGAAATAAAAATTTTACAATCCAGAACAGGCTGACATCTTTGCCGCTGGTGTCATTTTGTTTACAATGGTTATCAGATCAGCTCCTTTCAAAACTTCAAAATCCACTGATCCCTACTATTCCTTATTGAAAAATAATAAGCAATCCTTCTGGAAGATCTTTAGTGAGATTGTAGACTCATCTGCTCAATTTAAAGATCTGATTGAAAAGATGTTGGATGAAAATCCATTAAAACGAATAACCATAGAATAAATTAAACAACATCCCTGGATGTAAGGTAATGATTCATTTATAATTCAAAGGATAAATGCTTGGTTAAACAGAATTCCATAAAGAATTGAAGAACAGATACGACATGATACTGAGTTAGTAAATAGTAAAAATAACAAATAAGAGAGACACAAAATTTTCAACTAGAAAATCAATTAAAAAGGTTGAAACAGATAACATAAGTAAAAATGTCTCAAAATACTGTTATGAAAATCTTGAATTGATTGAATAGGTAAATATATTAGTTATATTTTTAGATAAATGCAAAATTGTAAATCAAGCAGTATTCTCCAAAAGAATAATTTAAATAATAATCAAATAAGAGTGAAAAGTTAAAAGTTGGAATATAACAGAAGCAATAAAATTAATACAGTTCTAGAACAAATTAAGAATCCAAAAGATCAAGTCCTGGATCCCCTTCGAACGATTCTGACAATTGATACAAACCAAATTATATATATATATATATTGTAATCATTCAAAATCTTTAAAGTTTGAATTTTGTTGTTCTTATTTTGATGATTAATTGGTTTTAAAAATAGAATTATTTTGATTCCAATCCTTACCTACAGTCTTTGATAATTGCTTTATTTATGGTATTTAAAGTAATTCCCCATTGATTCTTCTACTTGTGTAATTAAGTATAGTTTTATTTTCACTAATGTTAAAAAATAAATCTATTTTATTGCTTGTTGTTTGAATTGGTTAGATGTTATAGATTAAATCTAATCCATCATCAATTTCAGTTTTCATATGGATTCTTTTAATATTTTATCTGAAATTAGAATGCTTTTTCTATTGGTTCTCTTGTTTATTGAACACACTGGTGAAGCATTCATTGCATAAGGAAATCATTTAATTTAGAAATACAAGATTCCTTTTGAATTCTTTGTATTCTTCCATGGTCATTTTTGGATACATAATTTTGATTATTCTCGGTATGAGTTATTGTTAATCAATTTTAACTTAACCAACATGGAGATTGTGATTCAATTTTAAGATGTTGTCTCGAGTAATTTTTTAATTTTATGACTTTCTCGTCAACACATTGTTTTCCCAATTCTCAACAATATCCTTTAGTCGAACCTTTGAAAATTCAATTTAATTTTTATCTTTATCACATCCAATACATTTAGAGTTATCTGACAATATTATGGCCTTTGGGTAGTTTATTAGTTATTTTTAGATTTTACTTGAAATTTCAAATTCGGCTAAAGTATAAACATATAAAATACGCTAATTCAGTTGTTTTAATTCACTATTTGAGGTCAACACTTTAGAACTGAATAGGAGGAACACTTTGTTTTTTTTGGCTATTTTGAACAATACTTCCATTTGACATATTTATTTTTAATTTTAAGTAACATTAGCCACATGAGAGACTATCAATCCGCACAACAGTTCCAATCTTTAGGTAAGAGAAGTTCCTTTCAAAGTTCGCTACTCTATGGGTCCATTCAACATCTCAAAAGTTACTGCTCTTTGATATATGTCTGCTTTCGAAAAGTTAATCTAAAATTTATTAGAAAAACATTCAAAGAAACATAAGTTATTAGTCCAAGTGCATTTAATTACCTCATTACAACTACCTAAAAAATGTTGTTTATATAATATACCTTTGGGATAAACAAATCGCTATAGATATCCTTTAGTGTTATCTGGTATTTTGGATGTCAACAATTAATGTAATAAGTGTTATGACAAATACTCAAAAGTTGTTAAATTTTTAGTCTTATTTATCCATATAGCACAAATTAAATGCTAATCTTCTCTATCAGTTACAAATTCATTCAGGATGTCTTCCCAATTAAGTTTCGATTTGCTTTTTCTCATTATTTGAGAGTCATGGCTGTAATACCAGAAATATGGCTATCCTTAAATTATCTCAATGGTATCTGGAATGTCTATTTTTATGTTGTTTCTAAATATTGGATCTTGTAACCATAACAAATGAAACAGATTAAAGTTGAATCCATTTTCATCCAAAACAAATCTTTAAAAACTCATTCTTCTTTTATATAAATTATAAAATTAATAAAGAATAAGCATAGACAGAAATGCATTATTCAAACAGTATCTGAGAACTAGTATTCAAATGGCATTGCTATTTTGGATCTCGGAGATTACATAAATTAAAAAAATCGACAACTTTAAAGTATGAAGTTCTCTTGTATTGATAAGAATAACAAAGATAGTCATTTCTAAATTTATTAATCTAACTAAAGAGTTTTGGGTATAATCACTTTTTTCTTTTTCCCATCCTAAGTCTCCTTGTATTCAACTCTTTATTCAGTTACTATTTCTTGCTTCTTGGACTCTTCATTCTTCTTTGAAACTTCTTCCTCCTCTATCTTATCATTATTATACAACACTTTGATATACTCAGGTAATTCTAATTATAATAAATCTCTTTACATTCAATAGGAACTTCTTGACCAAAATATCCTTCCTCAATTTAAACAAAAGAGCAAAAGCCATCGCATGAACTTACAGCAATTAAGTTGGATCCTACATGCATAGATAATTATGATACCTCTAAAACAAATATCAGTTATGGAGGCATAATGAAGATTTCCAAAAATCGCTAAAGGGATTGGGCTGTCGGTTGAATAAAGTAGTAAAGAATCAATTGTTCCGATTGCAAATATCATTTTATATGGCAAATCTATTAATGGCTATTGAATGTCTTAGTTTCTATTATAGTATTTAGAGCAAAATCTGATAACTAAGGCAGGAGTCTTGGTTGGTAAAAAGAAACAAGGAACTTAAGGAGATTATCTTAAGAATCCGTATGCACCCATGATAGGTTTATTATCAACCCAGAATTCAGCAGCAGGTAAAATATAAAATGAACCGTCAGGACTCCAATCTGGTCTTCTTACAAAAGTGAATAAACTAGTTTCACCTAAAAATATTCCATTTTATTTTTTCTCTTCTGCTTATTATTATGATTATTATTATTAGTCTTATGAAATAGACTGTTATCCTTCAGGTTTTTAAGCATTTTCTAATTTTCTTACAACATGCTATGGATAAAATTATAGATTATTCAGATTTTTTTTTTATGCTTTCAATACTTTCCATACTCTTGCTGATCTGTCCTGACTCAATGATACTATAGATTTAAGTCTTGGATCAATTGTTATTCCTTATACATATGCAGTATGTCCATCCAAGGTTTATAATTATTTTTATTTCTTAACATTCCAGACAATGACATATTTATCCAGCCCGCCTGAAACTATAATTTCACCATTCTTTGACCATTAAAGATCATAGATTTCTTTGCAATGCCCAGTTAGAACTGCAAATGGCCACCATTACAATCTGGGTTCAGATTGACCAAAAGTTTATCTCACTTATTAGCTCCAGATTATAATTTTGTAATCGTCAGAACCAGATGCAAAATTCTTACCATTTGGGGAAAATTTCAAACAATTAACAGTTTATTCATGACCAGAATTTATAGCTCCTGCAAATTCAACCATCTTAGTTGAGTTTTCTAATATTGTCCACATTTTAATGACTCCTACATCTTCACTTATATTATCCTTTTCAGCTATTCTAGAATCTGAACCTCCTGTCATTAATAAATTCTATGTTGGATGTATAGCTATGGCCATAATTCTTTCCTTCTCTCCATGCCAAATTATAATTAGGATATGACTAATTTCATATTTAATTAATTAAATATTAGGCGCGTAATTTAATTATATACATAAATATATCATTCTAAATCAGGTATATCATCATCAATTTGTTAGGTTAATTTTGCTTAAGCTTTTTATATTAATAAATCTAAATTCTATTTCTCTTGTTTCTACTTCATCTCTTATTGTTTCATCTACTCTTATTATTTCTACTGCTCCTCTTTTTTCTTTCTCTCAGCTATTTATTTTAATATTTCATTAGGATTCACTTTGGGCATAGTAATAACCAATTCCCCAGTAATTTCTGATCTTTAAATCTTAGATTTTTCAGCAAACACTTCCTCATCCAATCTAATCTAAGTAAGTTTTCCCTTCACTCTCACAGACACATATGTAGGATTCACATTTACTTAGATCAAGGAAGTGTCCAGGTATTTAGGAATAATCATTTTGAATGTGACATTTTCTGGATCTTCCCAGTTATTTACAATAGGCTTATAACCTCCCTCATCACATTGTCTGATTCTTCCGTCATTCATATACAATGGGGTTTCTTATTTTACTATGAACTTCTCTGGATTTCTTTATCTTTCTTTTTCCTCTCTAACTCCATAATTGAATTTAAATACTTTTCTTTTGCTTGTCTCAAATACATCTCTTTACGTGTCTCTGGTGTATAAGCTACTTTGTCTTCACTATTTGGATTCATTTCTTTTCTGATCTTCTCCTCATGAATTCTTTACTCCTCCTTAATCTTCTCTTCCTCGATTGCATATATTAATTCCTTTTGCAATTAAGGTAATATTTATTTTGCCTTTATCCTCTCAGTATGTGTTATTTCTTTGCCATCTAAGGAGTGAAGAGAATCCACTTAGCCAATCACGTAATCTCTACACCCTTGCCAACTATACAATATTATTTCGATATTAATACTCGGTGCATGGATTCCCTGTTAAATACAACTCTTTTAATCTGCACTTCTGTAGACATTGCACAGACTTTTCTAAATTCTGAAGATCCACAAAATTGACTGTCAAATCCAGTTTCATTAAAGATTCACAATTCTCAATACCTTCTATTAGTTTGATATTGTTTAATGCTAAATTTAAGTATTCCAATTCTCTCAGTTTATGTAGGTTTTCCATCTTTTCGATTATATTGTTTTGTAACAATAATATTTTCAAGTGTCTACAATAAACATCTAAATTCTCAATCTTCACTATTTCCTCCTAATGAATTGAAATTTCTTCTAAATTTGTTAACATCATTTCATTATGCTCTGCTCTTTTTCTTAACAATTCCTAGGTAATTCTAGACATTTTAATTATATTTATAAATAATTAAAACAAATTATTCTCACTCATTCTAAATTTCTTATTTTACATCCTCTTATAATTTATTATGCCCATATTTTTCATTACTTCTCCTCTGCCTTCTTTATTTTTATTTCTGCAGTTTCTAAGCTTTTATATTAGCCAAACTATTGGTTCCATTGATTTATTCATCCAATTTTTCTTTTAATGCTTTTATTGCATAATTCTTATTTGTTTCGAGATCTCTACTTTTTTGGCATTTAATCTATATTCCTGTTGGGGTGTGAGTCAATTGCACACAATTTGAAGTTTTATTGATGGCTTGACCCCCTGGACCCCCACCCTTAATGAACTTCCACTCTAAATCTGTCTAGTGGATTTCAACAGGCTTTCTGCTCATTTTCATTTCCTTTATGGATATGAAGGCATAAAATTTAGAATATTACTTTAAAATATTAATCATTTTATTAATCATTATTTAATCACAAATTTTCTATGAGTTATAAATTAATCTCTCTCTTGTTATTAGCTGTGTCTTTCTGTAAGAAAATTTAGACGTTTATTTTCTAAATAATTTGCAATAATTACAAAAATCCTCTTCCACATGGGGTTCATTGTTATTTAAATTTTAGAGATTCAATTTGAAATCAAATTTCTTATGATTTTATATTGACTAAGTAGCCATCTAAATGTATTTTTTGACTATGTCATCTGTTTTTTAAGAGTTAATGTTCAAAACCTTGGATTAACTGTGATTTGCTTGTTGATGCTAAGACTTGGTGCCTAAATCGACTGCAGCAACCTTCTTAGAATATTAGGATTTCGCTTTGGAATTACTATTCATCTTGAAATTAGTAAGTGTATTGTATTGGGAGGGTATCATATAGTTGAATTCAGGTTTCTTTTGTTAATCAGCATTTTATGAGCTTCTAATTTTCAAATCGTGCAATTTGTGGAATAAATCTTCAGCAATAGGCAATTGCTTAGTGTTTCTATCAGTAAGGGAGCCTCCTTTGGTAATTTTATCCAATTAATTTTAATTTATCTTTTTTTATTAAATATTGATTGGTTAATACACTTTTTTTAATTGTTCTTGTCGTTAAGATATGTTCTGTATGCTGCCATTGTTGTTATTATTTTGATCTTATTTGATACTCTTTTAAGAACCCTAGAATCCTTAGATCACAGTAGATGTGCTAGCGACAATCAGATCTTAAGAAATGGTTGATCTCAATTATCGGTTAGTATTTCCCTAGTATTCTCTAAGCATCTTCTAGATGACTTGATTATTATCGTGTTTCTAGGTTTTATTCTTCTCTTCCAAATCAATAGGTTCAATATGAGCAGACACATATTCTTGAAATTAATCCACTTATTGATCAACTGAATCCTTGATTTTGGACATTTTAAAGCTGGATTAGGAATGCTTGGATTCGCTCTTGGAATTGGCGAGAATGGCTAAAATGTAAAGGAGAATGAAATACCCTTCTTTTCACGCAAATCGACATGATTAGTTCTGCGTTTAACATTTTTCATAGCATGTAAATCCTTTATGATATTGGTGGAAATGGTTTGTTAACTTTAGGGAGGGGATCTCAGATAGAAGTGCGATGGTAGTTTTTTGAGTTAGTTGCTCATCTAATTTATGGTGAGGTATTGCTTATCGAGCAGCTCATTTAATTATTAGGTTTCTTCTTGGAAATTGATGATATTTAGGCCTTTGAAGTCTAGACGGCTGAGTTTGTTAGGTTTGTCTTGCGATGAGTAAATGTCATGCTCTTCGGTTTCATAACTGATTTATGATTTTGAGGATAGTTTTGAATTGAGGACGTTGTTAATAACGATAGGGTTATTTGATTTGTTTGAATGCTCACTTTATTAGACTCTCTAATAATAGAGTTTGTCGATTCGCTTATTGCGCTTAATCATCAGTTGATGTTAATCGACAATCAAAAGATAGGGATGTGAATCTTTGTAATTGGTCACATAAAATTCAGTCAATATATCTAGTCTTGGTTTGACTTCTTCCTACTTATAATATCTACAATTTAAGGAAGTTCAACTACCTTTTCATGAATTCCTATTGCTCATCTAATATCAGATAATCCTTATAATAAATTACATGAGGAGCGTTCGTAATTTAAGACAGGATTTCATTTATAGGTTTAGCGAAATAGAAATTGAAAGCTTCGAAGTATTTGGTTTGTAATTTATCCAATATGAGTTACTTTGTACTTTATCGACACAAATTACAATTATTCTTCATTTAGTCAAATTATCTATAAAATTAATCTAATTATGAAAAAGCTGAAAAGTAAATTGGAAAGCACTAATACAGATAGTTTTGGGATTTCTGGAACTGATTTCACAAGAACACAGAAATCCCATCGTCGATTTTTGATTACCAGTTAGATGAAGATGTAAACTGAATCAACAGAATAATTAAAATTGGATTTACCTCCTCTTGTCAATCTGCCTTTTCAAAGCAAAGTAAGATCACAGAAGAAATCTCGAAATATGCTACGAAACAGCGATTTATTCAATGTATACAAGGCACCTTAGACATTGGTAACAAACCCGGAGACATTATTAAAGAAGACAAGATAATATCAAATATCGCAAAGCATAATCAAGTATTATTCTGATGAAGTTACTGCTTTGAAAGATCAGTAGAGTTTGGATGAGTAGGAAATTGAGAATTGCATTACCAAATATCTCAATGAAGCAATACAAAGTCTGGAAGTTTTAATTAAAAAGATACAGAACTTATAGCAATACAAACAAAATCGAGAGAAGAGTGAGCAGGAAATGAAAGAAATCATGTAGGAATGTTTTAAATAGAAAAATTTGTGTATACAATAAAGGTTTTGTTACATTTTTGGTAAAATGGAACAACTGTTCTTTAATCCCTTATCAGGAGCTATTTATTATAAATTATGCAAAAGATTGTCAGACAACGAAATCTATTATAGGAATAAGATGAAAGCATACAGAGGATTAGGTGAATGTCTACTCCGAGTCCGACCAAAATTAAGCCAGTTATATTTTACGAAATATTTAATGTCAGCTTGGAAACTGAATGAGAAGAATCATGAACTCTATGCCTATGATCTATTAGGTAAATATTACTTTTATGTTGGTCAAATTGAAAAAGCAAAGCAATTCCATGAAAAAATGATAGGAGGCTATTGTGAAGTATGTAATATCTAATCATCACTGTAGGTTCCTGATTCGAGAGTTAGAATATTGGCTTAGAGTCGTTTAGAATAGGGGAGCTTATCCAATAGAATCAATAGGGAGCATCAAGTGGTTGACATTGATGTTGTAACATCGGATGATGAATGCTATGAAATTGTCTTGACTCAACCTCAATAGATTAAAGTAGCCACTGTAAGTTCTGTCAAATATTTCCAAAGAAAGATTCCAGATCCTAAATCAGTCAAGGAAGAAGCCAATACAAATATTAGACAGAAGAAACCTAAGTATAATTCACAGCTTTTAGAAATCGGAGGGGAATTTGACATGTCTAAATTAGTTATATCTAATCCTCATTTGAATATAGGGGCCATTAAGGATAGAGTGTTATTGAGTCATATGAGTCCAAATAGAAAACTAGAGATGTATTAGTATCTCTGTCTGGCCAGTGACAAAAATGCTTTCAATAATGTTAATCTACTCTCTGGGTTGTATGATAGATTTGAAATCAGTAAAATCAATAAGTATCTAACAAAATTGATCTCACTTTTGAGCACAGTGTAACAATGGCTGTTGAGTTAATAGAAGCAAAAGTAAGTTACTCGTAGATTGGCTTTAGTTTGAATTATATATATATTTAGTTTATATACTATTTTATATTTTTTATTTTATATGTCCAACCGAAATACAAAATCTAAAAGCCCTAAGATCAAAAAACCATACAATTTTGACAAAGATCTAATGAAATATCTTATTTTATAAAAGATAACCAAACCTTCTGCCCCTGTTGAGATGATCACCAAAACTTAACCGGATGAAGATTCAGAAGTTGATGATTTTAAATAAGAAATAGAAATCAAGTATTCTATTATACCTACACTTATTCCTAGATTTAAGAAATGTAAAATCAATCACTCCTTCAAGTTTCCCAAAGAAGACTACGAATCCTCCTCCGATAATTCTCTCTAGTCTCTCAAAGATGTCACTCTCTATTAATTGAATTAAGACAATATAGAACGTTTCACAGATGCAACTCAACCATAATTCATTAAACTGCTTAACGAAAGATTAATCAAATTAACAGATTTGATTCAAGATGATACTCTTTCCATCCAAAAGCCAATCCCGAATCCCAAATCTTCAAGGTTGATCTCCCAATAAATATCAAGATTATAGAAGATGCGTGGTTAGAACCTATCCAACTCCTCCTTAGCCAAGTAGACTGATTAAACAATGGCAAGTCAAGGTCGAGAGAGTGTGACCAACAAAGTTCATTCAAATATAGGCTTCAAAGCCACGCCAACCTTGTCCTCAGAAAAGAAGAATCAATCTAAACAAATTCAACAAATATTAAAAATTGCACAATAAAAGTAGTTAAACAATAACAGCAAGTATTTTAATTTGGTTATTTTAGTAATACATTCTATAAAAGGTCTGCATAAACCAATACTGGCTACTTCAATCGCAATAATAATGCTGGCGATAGAAAAAACATAGAAAACATTAAAATCAAGACAGAATATGATGATTAAGATGCAAATTTAAATTAATTTTACATACTTCCAAAATCCAGGTACATATTAATTTTATATTTCTCTCCTACTCAGACCTAAAAATAGAGAATCCAATTCTAAATTAAAAAAACAAGACACTTCTTAAGGTCATAAAATGTTAAATTACACTATAGACAACCATATTTTAGAATAATTAAGAGGTACAAGGAATGCTAAAAGTTAAAACAAAAATTATAAAAATTGATTTAATTATTTATTTATAATTTGTGTTGTTTACTTATAAATCCAAACTGGAATAGCTTGATTTAAAATCATCATTATTTTAAGAGGAATTTATAATATAATCGTAATAATAAAGAAAGATGATTATAAAAACGGATTTGTGATTAATTAATATATAATGAAAACTTTCATTGGGTTTACATTGTTGTATTTGATATTGGCTAAGTATTTTATGCATTTAACATCATAGCTAAGGAATTCAATCAATTTAGCCAGATAAATTACACCCCATCTCTAAAATCATACTTGGATTGTCAGAAGTATAAGCAAAGGATTTCAATTTCTAATAATTATTTGTTGCTCTAGATGAATTGGCAGAATCTTTCTAAACCAGAATTAATGAGGAGAATTCTTCATATGAACTTGATCAGCAATCTTACTTTTCAGATGTCTAATTCTATGAGAATTAAATAAATGACTTTAAGAACAAAGTTTATTTTAATCATTAACTCTTAGATTGCACAATTGGAAATTGAAATCAAAGAATTAGGTGATGAGGGATTACGCTTATAAGCATTTTTAACTGAAGCTAATCAAGATCTAAATGATGCAATTAAACTATTGGCCTAAAAGGAATAATAAATCAACTCAGATAATTCTGTGTTTGAATAGCAAAATTCAGAATATGCTGATACAATCAATATTCTAGATTAAGCCATTGCCTTACTTAATGAAATCAAAGATGAAACTTCATTAATCTAAAAAAAAGAACATATCAAGGAGGTATCCTAAAATATGCATAAAAGGTATTGACTTACATATTACAACTCTTAGTATGAAAAAATTATCAGCAAAAAGAGTATTCTATCAACCTTTAGTAAATGTACTTGCATAATTATCATAAAACAACTATGTAGATTAGGAGAATCTTAAAAAAGTCATCAATTTTATGAATTAACTTAGATAAAATCTGATTGATGCTTAAACAACCTTATAAAATCAACATGAATCATAATCTAAATTATAATAAGATATACTATCAGAAACATAAGCTAAAGTCAGTGGAATATAAGACGTTTTGATTCCATTATTAGGAACAGAAATCTCAACCAAACAATCTGAAATTAGAGCATTAAGTGCAATATTATAAGATGCTTAAAGTAATTTATCCGATGCATAAGAAAACCTTGTTGCAACTTAAAATAGATGGATTGAAAAGTATTTAATAGTTATTTATAATTTATTAGAACTGCAACACATAACAATTTATTGTAACAATACAATAATGAATTATTAGCTATTAAAGATGCTGAAAATGCATTAAAGAAAGGTGGTATTTTTAGATAATGATTTTTGCTTTAAACAAAAATAATTATTAAAAAGTAAAATTTATAGTTCTGACTTACGATTTTATTTCCTCAATATGTTCTTCTTGCATAATAGTTTTACTGAAATCAAATCAATCAAATTTTCATATTTTCTTTATAAATCCATGAGATAAAATTAGTTAATTCAAATGATTCTATATAAATTGGAACACTAAAGCATTGCTATTGGATTTCTGCTCTATCAATTCTTCTATTTTTATAGATTTTCGCCATAAAAAGCAAATTTATGCAATTTTTAGATTACGTATGTATTTATCAAAAATAAATCAGCTTATTAGAGTATAAATACTTAGTATAATGACAGAATTGAATGAATTCCTTGTTTATCAATAAAATGTGGAGTAATAATATATCAGTTTATTATTAAGATATTTATTTTTAGTTAAATATTCTTTATATTATTTCACAAATAATTGTTTAGTTAGGTAAAGACAATTATGAAGTCTGTAAATAATACGATAAGAATCGGCACTCAGAAGTACTCCAAAATTTTATTATGAAAACAGACAGCTAAAACATAGGGTTTTAAAAGTTCCAAGAAAAACGAATCATCACATAACACTTGATCCAATAAACAGATTCAATTAAATGAAGGATTGTGCAACTAAGAAGATGGACTTTAAATTAGGGAAATTGATTGGTTCTGGATCACAGGGCCAAGTTTATCAGGCTATGAACATGGACACAGGAGAAATTGTTGCATGTAAAAAATTGCTAAATCACTTAAAAGATCAGTAAAAATTCGATGTAAGATGTACAGTCTTATTTAGGTCGAATTGTCTTTTTTATAAATTCTTTAACATAAGAATATCATAAAATATATCTCTCATGAAAATACAAAGGATGGCATCCTAATTTATTAGGAATTTATGCCAATGGGTACTTCTAACTTCTAAATCTTAGGATCTATTTCTTAGTTGCTTAGTGATTTTGGGCCAATCAAGGAGGAGACCGTGAAAAGATATACTCAGTAAATTCTCAACGGCTTGGAGTATTTGCATAAAAAAGGAATATTGCATTTAGATCTGAAATCAAGCAATATATTACTAGACTCTAATGGATATGTGAAGATATCCGATTTTGGATGTAGTAGGCAAAACAAAGAAAACTTATATTAAAGCATTTTACAAGGTAGTGTTCCATGGATGGCACCTGAAGTCGTCAGATAAGAAAGAATTGGACCTGCTTCAGATATTTGGTCTTTTGGATGTTTGATTCTAGAGATGATAACAGGTAGACCTCCATGGAGTGAACAGATAAATTTTGATAATCCAGCAACTAGCTTATTAAGTATAGGATTGAGTGGAGAATACCCTAGAATCCCTCAGAGTGCATCAATAGAAATGAAGGAATTTTTGTTGATGTGCTTATCAGTGGATCCATTGTAGAGAGCTACCATAAGATAACTCAAGTAGAGTGCTTTTTTATAGTGATTTTAGTTTTATTATAATTTGTAATCCTATCAAAAAAAAATATTAATTTTTCCAAAGAGTTTAAAAAATCGATTTGTTTTAATAATTCTAAATGATGATTATATAAATAATCAAAAAGATAAAAATTATTACCACCATTTATGAATCCTTCATAGGAAGAAATTAATTAACGGGAAACAGAAAAAGAAGTTAAGTTATAGATTAATTCTTTAGTTTACAAATGAAGTTATCAGAATTGGCATTTTTAATTGCGCTTTCTAATTTTACATGATAATCTTTAGTTGCAAATTAATCTGGTTATTTGATACTAAATATGTAATTATATTTGCTTGGTTCATGGATTTGGCCTCTTTTATTATCATTATGCTCGATAAGAATATAACCAAAGTTTTGTCTGTGGTTAATTTTGTAGAGAAAGTATTGAGCATATCTTTTAAAGTAAAATAATTTATTATGAAAACATAAGATTACGATAGTGATCCACTTTGAAGTTAAAGAAATGAGACTCTACTACATACCAGCAGCTCATTTATTAATTGCCACTGGATTATTTCTTTTTTCTGTTCTCAACCATGATGCATCCAAAAGGAAGCATATAATTGTACTAAATTATTCTATTAATTAGATTGCACATTCTTACTCTGTTCTGTATGCTATATAACTACTACTGTTATCCTTAAAGTGGAACAACCTATTTGAATACTCTTACTATTAAACATTCATAATAGCATGGACGGCCCTTGGAATCAACACATTCCTAATAGTATTGTTATTGATAACTATGGTTGAGAATTGCTTCCTCAAAAACATTCCTTAAATAAATGGTAAAATTATAATTTTATTAAGGAACAATCATATTTTGGTTTATATTTTACATCTTGGGATTAACAATACCTCCTTTCTTTCAATTAAAAACTATTTGTGAATTTTATGAAGAAGACTCTTCATAAAGTAATATTTAGTTGGCATCTATTATTATATTAGTCTTTGTTCTAATATATCTCTTTTTATTTATTTTCTTTACTTTAAGAATTAAGAAATAATTGATGTATAATACTTTTATTACTTTAGTGGTGTATTGCAATTAGATCATAGGTAAAATACGATACCAAAAACATCACCAAAAGGTTCCTCTTCAAAAAAATGGAGAAAATTAAAAATTCCAATAATGTTCATTAGAATTTCAGCATCATATTATAAAATGATTACTAGATAATCAACTGTGGACACTAGTACTCGTAATACTAGTTCTATTCCTATCTGCAGTGATGTATTACGACCAGATTCAATTAACTTCAGGCAATCGCCATATTAAGCAATAGTGAAATAGATGAAAAAGAAACCAAAGAATCAAGATTCAGGAGATTGTTGTTTGATTTGTTTTGAAAATGAACCCGATGTTGTATTACATCCATGTAATCATGGAGGTATTTGTAATAATTGTTCTGAAAATCTTATAAAAACAACCAAATAATGTTTTCTTTGTAGATCAGATATTAAATATGCTTTAAAAATTAATTAAAAAGACGGAGAAATGTTAGAAGCTACTGATGTATAAAAAGTTTGAATTATAAATCAAATATTCTATTATCAATTATCAAGATTTCTTAATTTTTACTTTCTTCTCTATTTCTGTTGTCTTTCCTTTAATTATTAGATTAATTCTTCAGTTTATTTAATTCTTTTGAGTTGTTATTCTTCTTCTAATTTTTGAGGTTCCTTTTTAATGCTTGGTAGAAGTGGCAATAAGGGGGTTCTCTCTTCAGTTCCATTTTTAGTGCTAAGTAATTTTTAATATTAATAGTAAATTTACCTTTTAATAATTAGAGGTTTTGATTCTCCTTCAATGTCCAGTTTTTTAGGCTATTTAAGAGGATCTACCTTGGATTGCTTATTTGAGATTCTGGCGATCTTTTTTACTGGTGGATTGTAAATAGAAGCCACTTAATTATTTTTAGGTTGGTTATTTTAATACATCTCAAGTTAAGAATCATCGACCTTTTTATTGTTCTTAGAGATGACTGAGTTCTCATGACTGTCATCAACTCTTTTATTATTCAATCTTGGCAAGAAATCAAAATTCATAGAATGATTTTCTTCCATATTTTCTTAGTTCTGTTTCTAAACAGCCAAAGTTTAAATAAACTGATATTTATCTACTTTTGTCATTCTAATAGGATTATAATTAGGTTTTGGTAGTCTATCAGTGAGATAGTGCATATTTCTGGGAACTCTGATAGTCTACAATAGCAATTTGGCACCTTCCTCTTCCACTAATATCTTATCGTCCAATCTATTCACAATGGCCTGAAATTACAAGATTTTATCGCAACTTGGTCTAAGATGTGGTTAGACTTGTAGGAGTGCTCTTATCACATTGCTTAGGTCTTAACTATAGATAGTGGGTATTTTAGGGTAGTATCCTTTGACAACCTTTTTATAAAGACCACTCATATCTTCTGCTCTAAAGGGTGGCTTGAGAGTTGTCATTTCATACAAAACACAGCCCAAAGACCAAATGTCTGACTTAGAATCGTAGGGCTAATCTTTCCACACTTCTGGAGATGCGTAGTAAGGTGTTCCAGTTTGAGTGTAGAGCAATATTTTCTTGGCAACTTTAGATACATTCATATCACCCAATTTGACAGTTCCATCACTATTCATAAATACATTTGCTGATTTCAAATCCCTGTGGTATATTTTCATGTCATGCAATGCTTTGAGTCCCTTTACTATCTGAATTATTTATAAATTATTCAACATACTTAAATTAAGATATTCCATATATCTTTCTCGGGCATGAGAACTCCTTTTTTCTGACTCTCTATTATTTTTTGAAACAGATCACCATCATCTGCATATTCCATTACAATACTAATAAAGTTATTTTGAGAAAGTTACCACAAACTTTAAGACTATTCTTCTAAAAACGCTTCTTTATATTGAATGACATTTGCATGTCTGACACTTGCTAAAATCCTTACCTCATTGAGAGCATTCTGTTTCTCCTTATCAGAAAGCGATTGGAGTTTAACCTTTTTTAGAGCATATTCCTATTGATCTGCAATTCTCTTTATTTTATACACCTTTGAATACGCTCCTTCACCTAAAAATTGATAGTTTAAATTGTTACCTAACTCTTACAAAATCTAAAAATCCTTCAATGACATATTTTATATAATGATAAATATAATTAACAAAATAGACAGAGAAAAGCACTTAATATAAATTCATTTAAATTATTTCTAATATAAACTTCTTCTGCGAAAATTCGTCATTTCATCTTATTGAACTTCCTCAAAATTTTACTGATAATTAGATATCAATGGCAATTACCTACCCTACGTTCTTTATGAATGTGCTCTGATATCTATTTTAGATAAGTCAAAATACTTTGATTTGTCATAGACATTTGTTAATCCCTATAATCTTTACTTTGAGTCTCTCTGAAGTCCTTCTAAAAGTTCCTCTAAAATTGAGTCACCTACTCAGGCAAAAACCCTAGTTCCTCCACCATCATCGTATTCTTCTTAATAGTGGACGGCCTCTTCTGAGGAGACTATGAATCAGGATCCCCCAATCGTTCTCTTAACTCAAAGTTCTCCTTCTGTAAAAATTGAATTTCCCTATACATAGCCTCACACTTCTAATTGATCTGCTCCTCCCTCTCCCTCATCTCCTTATTAGAAAACAACAACTCCCTCACCATATTGATTGAATCGATTAATCTCTCGTTTTATTACACTTAATCAAATTTCTTAACATCATCATCTGAAGATTCCTACTCCAACAATCTCTATTGATTTTTTAACAAGTTGTCAAAATTACTCCTAGTTTGAACACCATTGAGGCTTTGATTGTTATCCTTCTTTTAAACAATATTCGATAAGGATTCTATATGTTCATTAGCCCTACTCAATTCCGCTTTTAAACTCTTAATCTGCTATTTTAACTCATTAACGACTTTGAGTTTTGGATCATCATTTTTCATCGGAAGATTGGTTATGTAGGCTGCCTAAGTTAATTTGAGATCTTTACTTTTGTAGCATACTACAATGTCGACACATTCTCATCATAGAAGGAATCCAAAGGTGCTATGCATGCAATCATTAAGCAGAAACAATTGCCTCCTATGGATTACTTCAATAAACTAGTTAGCTTTGAATCTCTATAAGGAGGAATGGTTTTATTGTTTGCATCACTCAAAATTGCTATCACTTATCTCAAGGTCATCAATGATTTGTTTATTTCAATACTCTCCTTAGCTTATCTACCTTCAGTGCCTGTGAGACTGATTCTTTCAGAACCTGCCAAATCTACCAATTCTAATTTGGAAGTTATGAAATAATCTGGATTTTTCAGATCCACACTTTCTATCTTGATTTCAAATATAGAATGACTTCGAGAAGACGAAAAGTTCAATTTATGACTGGCTGTTATTCTATTCCTGCTTCCCAATTTGAATAATTTAATAACTTCCTCCGCTGATTTGCATTGATAAACAAACAGGTTTTCAACAACAAACTGATCCCTCACATTCCATCTCATTTTTAAACCGGAAGTTTAAATACCAAAATTAACCTTGCTTGCTTCTCCCAAAAGATCATAAATTTTTTCATTGTAAATTTACAAATAGGAACAATAGACAGAAAAGTCTCTTTGAAGAGCATTTTATTTTATTCTATTAAACAAACTATGAATTGTTTTAGGGATTATGCCATCTTGCTTAATTGCAACTCCTTCATCGTCTCTTTAACCTTCCATGGTATGTGTTTTACCAGACCCTGTCTAACCATATGCAAAAACTGTCACATGATACCCCTCAATAACAGATTACACTAATTAATCTATTTCGCAACTCTTAAAAACCTAATCTTATGAGGCTGTTTCAGGTAACACATGATCGAATCTACTTGATTTACATCTTACTTATAGCTTTTTTTATTCCTCTCCTCCTTTATTATTACTTCCTATCCATTGCAATCTATTTTTGAATTAGAATGTCCCTATTTTTTCTCCAAATCTAGCAAAGGTCTAACACGAACCGCCACTCTTATTTTTTATTGATTTTACATATAGTTTAATATAATATAAATAATTTAACGAAATATATTCAGCATCACCTTGGTAACATGCACATTTCTGAGCCTATACAAAAAAAAACCATTAAATCAATAGACTATTAAGTAATTCAAATTATTAATTACATTTTAATATGTTTCAGAGAAACCCATCTTATTTTATGTATAATTATTAAGAGTATACTACAGAATTGAAATTACTTGAAGAAATTTCAATTTGAAGGGCATTTGTTAGTTGAATTAAGTTTCCCTAATTGTTGATATTTAAATTGATTGGATTGACCATTTAATCAATAAATAGAATTGAACGATTGTTGAAATATATCAAATAGTTCATTCGAAGACTTTTCACAACAAATTATGAAAATGGCATTTTATTAGAATATTAAAGAAAAAAAAAATTTGCAATCAGGACTTGAATTTCATCAAGTAGCGTTTGATGGATACCATTTCCTCTAAGGCTTTTTGATTCTAGTCTTACAACAATCTAGCCTTATAGAAGTATTCCTCTAATTTTGGCAATTTAAAGGCAGATTTTACTTTTTCTGGTTTCTATGGTTTCTAGTTATTTTGCTTTATTTATGGTAACATTATTTAATTAATATAATATATTTATATGCGTAATCTATCAGTTCTTTTTATTTGCTATTTGTTATTTAATTTAAGCTGTTTCAGGTCTCTTTTATTTATTTAATGGAGACAAATATTAACCAAAATATTGAACATAAGTCTGCTTCAACTATTCCTTTATTGAAGGTGATTAAGATCTCTGTCCTTAATTCAAATTAGGAGAAGCATTATATACAGGGGATTAAGATCTTTGCTTTTTATCAAAGTTTGCTCTTATCCCTGACGGTTTAATATTCTCTAACTCCTCTAGTGCTCTTTTAATAGGACTGACTTCATTTTCATGAGTTCTTTTAAAAGTGTACCCTTGAAAATGATTTTGCTCTCTTGCTCTCTTCTCTTAAATCTAATACCATGGATCTTATTCATCAAACTTATCAAAGTTGGCAGTAATTTTCGATTTATCAGGTATATATGGAGCTTTGATGTTTCGTATATTGTCCCAATCGATTCCATTGAAAAAGGGATGCTTTTTGATCAGATTGACATCTCCCAATCTCTCAGATGAATCAGCCATTAATCTCTTAATTAAATCAGCACAAGCAGGTGATATCTTGGGTTCCTTTGGGATTGCAAAGTGTTTCTTCCAATTCACAATCTTCTGACATGTTTTTTAAGGAGTGTCACTATAAAAGGGAGGATAACCAATAACCATTTCAAACAGTATGACTCCAACACTCCACCAATCCACTAAATCATTATATCCCTTTTTTAAGAAAACACTTCAGGTGCAATGTAATCAGGAGTTCCCACTGTTGAAAATGCTAATTGTCTTCTTGGTCTATTATTGTTATGCTTCCTGTTTTCTTTCCGTATAGGGAATTGAGAGTATTTCGTTTTGCTTATTGCCCAGATGCTTACATAGACCAAAATCAGATAATTTAAGATGTCCACTTTCATCTATGAGGATATTGTCTGGTTTTAAGTCTCTATGAATGTAATTGAGTTTGTGCACAGCTTCAATTGCTAGCACTATTTCGGCTGTATAAAACTTAGCCTCTTTTTCAGGGATGATATCCTTTTTAATCAATAGTGTCATAAAATCACCACCACTTAAAAATTCCATTACCAAATATAAGTATTTTTCATCTTAAAATGAATATTTTAATTATACAACCCATGGACAATTAGCTTGTACTAGTATATCTCTCTCTGCTCTGATATGTCCTAATTAATTTTTAAATATCATCTCAGACTTCTTCATTTTCTTAATTGCCACAATCTCCTTAGTTTCCTTATCTCGACAAACACGAACCTCACCAAAAGCACCTCTTCCAATTATTGCTATTGGTTCAAAATCCATCACAGTGATCTTCTGTCGCCTTGAAATGATAAATTATTCACTTTTTTCGGAGTTGTATGGCCTCTTTGTGTAGAATCTCCTTCTTAATCAACTCCTATTCAATTGGAGTGAAATTCAAATTCTGCATATTTTATTGCAATTGTTGCCAAATCATCTTCTTCTCCATTTCCTATTAAAGACTTAATTGATATTTCCTTTCAATGTAGGATTTACATGCCGCAACCCTATCTTTAGTTTGATTGCTAAGTTTAACTTCAGCCCATTATAATTATATATAAAATTTATTAAAACATTTCACTCTCATCATCTTATTATTAATATATAATACAAAAGATTGATAAACTCCATTACACATACTCTATACTACATTTTTGTAATCAAATTCTATTAAAGGCTGTTTTAAGAATAAATAAGTAAATTCATTATAAATTGATATCAATAAAAAACGAATATCTTTGGAACACCCAATATACTTATAATGTAATCTATTCTTATAATTAGAAGTTTATGATTAATTAACTAATACTAATATACTACTGTATTTTGTAATAGTCTAACCTAACCTAAATTATTTTGGATTAAATATAATGAAAATTCTAAAATTATTATTTTTATTATGAATAATTTGCATTGTTAGAAGAAAAAAAGAATACATGAAGTCACATATGCATAAAGAGTCATCAATTCTGTTAAACCAGACATAGAAAATATCAAACTTAATGAAAATTTATTTTAAGCTTAATAAATGGCTCGACATTCATCCACATTAATCAAGGACATTCAGAAGGACGTTAGATTGACTCTTAAGAAATATGATTCATACATCAAGATGAGTGAATCTAACAGAAAAATGACTGATAATAAGTTTAGCGAATCTACTAGGAGGTATCAAAGTGAGAGTCCAATTAAGTAATAAGAATCGACAGAAAAGGAACTTGAAACCTTGAGATAATAACAAAAGATTCTAATGACTCTGCTTAATAATCTGCAACAACAAGAAAAACTAATTGTTTCTTAAACATCTCCCAATCCAGAACCACATCCTAAGCCTATTATTGATAAAGAGTGGTTTGAATAAAAAACTAAATAATTATAGTAAATTTAAAAATCATAAGCATAAATTGAAAATCCATCATCTAAAAGATTAGAGAAGAGTGATGTTATATAAATTGATATTAGCAAAGTTAAAAGATCACCAAATAGTAAATCTAGTTCTGCTTAGCATTTTTTTAGTCCATCTAAAAATCCTATTAAGAATTCTGTGACCTATTTTTAAAATTCAACTTCAAGCTATGCTAAATTACATAGAAAATAATCTAATTCTCCATAGAAATGGGGTTAATATGGAGTCATTAACCAATAAAAGCCAGAGAAGAATTTGATGGTGAGTAGAAGGAATGAGTAATGGAAACAGAGGGTCGACAATAAGATAAAGAATGAAGTGCTCAAAAAGTAAGAGAAAGAAATAAAAGCATGCACATTTAAACCAAAAATCTTGTCTAAGACTCCAAAGAGTAATTAAAATAGCAAAGAAACCTCAACTGATTTCAATGAGATTATGTTTTTAATTGGTGATATCAATGAGTTTAATGATAAATCCAAGAGATCAACAATTAAAAAATGATTACAATCATATATATATTTTAATATAAAATATTAATTTTTGATTAAATAATAGATATTAGTTTCATAATCAATAGAATATTCCTTAAAAGTAATATTAAAATTTATCATACCACTTCGCTCTCCAATTATCTAGAGATTGATTGATTAGACTAATAATAACTAAAGATATTTTACTTTTATGTAAACACTGATATTTCTCCATCATTTGAACAAGGTGGATTAAATCTAGATTCAAGTTCATGGATAGCAATCTCCCCCTTGCTAAAACATGGCAAAGTATACCCATGTCCACTATACATCATTTTAACAAGTAACAGTATTTAATCTTAGTGTTTTTGACAAGCAACAAATCCCTTGAAAAATAATTTCCTAAATAGATTAAACAACTCAGATTTAGTTCCTCCCAAAACATCAATATATTCAGAGAGCAGTTTAAATGGAACGTTCTTTTCAAATTCCAATCCTTTCCCAGGTGATATGCTAATAAAAAAACCAAAATCAATATGCAAGATTTTCCCAGACTTATGCAACAAGATATTCCCATTGTGTCTGTCCTTTATTTACAAGAAATAACATATTAAACTATAGGCAGCTAAACTGCAACAAAAGTTTCTCTAAGCCTTGTGTAAATTTGCCCCATAATACTTCTTGAAAAAGAGACTTAGAGTAATATCCTTATCAATGGAATTTAATTTCTTTTTAAGTGAATCAATAGTTGCTGCATCTTTGACCATTTCCATGATACCTGAACTAGGTCCTAGGGATTAAATGTCATATGTTGTTAATTTTAAAGGAAGTCTTTCCTTTTAGAATATCATTTAAAATTAATTGATCAATTGGAGTGCAAATTGTTCTTATTTCAAATTGTCACCAGTTTTAACAATTAAATGAACTAATCTCCAAGATCGGAAATGACTATATGGAGACTAGTGCCTAATCCTTTCACTTATTTAATTTGAATCTTCACCAAATATCTCCTATCCAACTTTCTCAAAATCTAAAAGTACATTATTTGCCCACTTCTACTCCCTACTTAATTCTATTTCATAACATTCAGCTATTTAAATACATATTAATTTTACAAACACCCAAGCTTTGATTTGAGACCTAAGACATTGCTAAATTAGATTGACTTCTAAAATCGCTAAACATAGAGAGTTCAAAATTGAATTCGGAATTCTTCCTTTCTCTTTTATCCTCAAATTTACTCTCTTCCTTTTCGACATTGTAGACTTCTATACAAATATAAAAGGGGGCTCTTTCTTTAGTAGAGAAGATTTTGGTTTCTTGAACAACAATATTTAGGATTTTGTAATGTCTCAATTGATCTAGAATATCTAAATTAATTGTACCTTTCACAAATGGGATGTATACATTAGCAGGTAATCTGGTGTTTATTTATGATAGATCAGCTCTTAAAGAAATGATCTTCGGATCAGCAAATTTTAATTTGTCTGAAATTGATATGATATCATTCCAAAAATTGATGCAGGACATAAAATCATACCCTTCTTCTTATTCTAGAGGGATATATTTGGATAATTGTATATGCTCAGGTAATATTAAGCATTTCAATTAATTTTATTCAAATTGAGTTGTGCCATACAAAGAAATCAGTTCTTTTACTTTTTCATCCTATTCCTTTCTCTAATAATTCGTCTCATGATTCAAAACCATTCTTTTGACTAGATTTTGCAAGTACAATTTTACTCTATTTTATATCAAGGTAGTTACTTTTAAAATTCGGTTACTTAGTTGTTGAATACTATGGCACTTGTTGAATGGAGTGTCCAATATACCAACTATGCAAAGTAGAAATTATGAATGCATGATGTAAGTATAAATTAACTGATGTTTTCCTAAATTTAGTAAATGTTTATACGTTTAGCATTTCTTCATGAAACACTAAGTAATTCATCAATTAAGGGATATAAAATTCTAAGTCGTTTCTCGGACTCTCATCATTCGAAATCAACTTACATTGGTATAAATATTGATAGGCCCAAGACTTCTCATCCAAGGTATACAACAATATAAGAACATCCAAAACTTGGATTTCTTCTGGATTCTGTATTTTAATGAGTAACAATACCAATTAAATTGCATTCTAATATTTTGCCATCAATTTAACAGACAACTCCTTTCTATTTCTCGATGTTAAAATTGAAACATCATCAGCCTAAAATAGTAAAAATATATCATTCAATAATTTTATACTTTACAACAATTCATGCATCTTAGACACCATAATTTAGAACATAATCCATACTATTTTTTCCTTTTAATTGTTATTTCCTCTCCTATTTCAGCCATCCAATATAAATAATCTTATATATTTATAAAAATTATTTTATGTCAAGTGATTCAGAAGAGGAGAGCTAAAATTCTAATTAAGATGAAAATGTGATCCACCCTAGAAAAGCCTTCAATAAGAAACCAAAAGATTTAGAAAATAAACTATCTGAGGCTAAATTAGAGATTATCATGAATAACAATATCGAAAAAGCCAAGCAGATTCTAGATGAGATTATTAGTCAACATGCAAGGTACTAAAGAGCCTTCATAACGTATGGCCACATATGGAAATTATAAGGCAACTATGAAAAAGCAATACATCATTTCACTATTGCCACTAAAATAAAAACATCTCCAAAATTATGGAAGAAAATTGCTTTTTTGGAGAAGAAGTTAGCACAAAAATTGGAATAAGAATAAATATAAAGTGAAGCAATATTTTATCATTACTACCAAGCTGCGAAATATCTTGGTAAGCTATTGAGATAAAGAAATAAAGCTCCAAATATTTAATTAATGTCTGAGAGAGTTGATTGCTTAGAGAAATGCTATGAATATGAAAAAGGAATTAAATAATTGAAAGTTTTGGTTGAAATTGCTATTAGTTTATAATAACATCAATTACATCAGGAGAGTATTAAGAGAATGGCTAAATTATATGTAAAAAAGAATTAGTTGGAAGATGCAAAACAAATATTAAAATCAATTCCTTTGACTGATAAATCAACGATTATGATATGCGAAATTTTAGAGAAGTCCAAAAACTTGGAAGAAATGAGAGAATTACTGGATGGATACTTTGGATCAAAAACTATGACAGCTATCCTTAAAAATCACAGTTATCGCTTAGTAAATTTCTATTTATAATGCTTATAATAAAGTTTTACGGATTATTAATAGATAGTAGACTTTTATTTAAATAGTGATAAGAATACGTAATTTTAAGAATAATCTTGTAAAAGTTTGATTGAATTGATTGACAAACTAGATAATATTCCTAAATAAGAACTTTTATAAGTGTTATATAACTATAGAGATTAATTCAGTCCTCAATTGAAGTAAGAAATTCTCACTAAATTCAATAACTTCAATTTTAATTCTGATGCATAATAAATTATTGAAGAGCCTCCAATTCCTGTTTAACCAAGTACAAAAGATTAAATTTTATTTCTATATAAGAAATTGAAACATACCACTGATGTTAATGAAAAGTATGATTTCTTAAGGAAAATACTGACTTAAGAGGAAAAGTCATATAACAAATTGAAATACTTTGATGGTATTAAGAGAGAGGAGTATGAATAACTATTTGGAAGGAAGCATAAAAAAAGAAGATTAAGAAAATTTCACACTATCAGTAACCAGTTAAGAAAGAAAACAACGAGTCTTTCAGTTGAAATTGGATATTAAAATTTCTTTACGATTATATTAAATGTGTTCGAATCGCTATTGGAGAATGATAAATCTTAGGAACTTTTTAAATTGACTCATTTGGTCTATCAATTGAGACTCAAAAAAATTGCTAATAATGATAATAAGTATTATGAAGAATTTATTTAAAAATTGGCTTAATATGGGTTGTGGGCATCTTTAAAGGAAAGAAAATATAGTTATGCTCCAATTTATTTAAAATACATTGATGAATAAAACTTGATATTATATCTAATTTAGATTATAGATTAAAATATTTAACCTAAATTAAGAGGTATTTTTAATAGTTTCACAAGAAAGATTTCTTGCTTTTAGCAAAGTGTTATTCCATATAAATTAGATTAATTATTAAAGTTACGAGAGAATGATCAAAAGAATCCACTATATAACCTATTAATATGTGTAAAATATTTATAAGAGATGACAGGAAGACTAGCAACAGACCAGGCAGAACTGTTCAAGAAAAGTCTTTATTACTTTGATTGTTATAAAGATTGCTAAGTTGATTCTTTGGAGGTGAAATACAATCTGGCAAGGTATTATTAGTGTTTTAAATAGAATATACTTACATATTAATATAGTAAACAAAGGGATGGAAATACTAGAGGACATTTTGAGTTTGCCATAAGATCATCCAGTGAAATCCAAGGCTGGTTTTGCTTTGATGTAGATTCATAAGAAATTGGGAAATAACGAACAAGCTTTTTATTATTTAAAATAATATAACACTTTTTAATGATTATTATTTTGCAAATAAAAATAGTAAATTTTTAATAAATTGAAGTACTAAAAATATATTATTCTAAAAATGTATAGATTTGCAGGAAGCAGTATTGTTACACAGAGGCTACTGCATTTGTTTATTATTTTAATAAAGAATTATTATATGTTAGATTATTAACAGTGATTCATGAATTTACAATAATTCTTGAAGAATTGATTGGAATTTAGAGCTTCTATAATAAATTTCGAGAATTGGAATCCCTAATAAATCATGCTAAACGAAAACTCTATTATTCTCTATATGAAAAATCCAGATCCTATATTTTATGGGATGATGGATGATCTGGTCATTCAGTGTTTAAAAAAAGATAATGTGAAAATAATTGTAACTGATTTAGAAGAATTAAGTGTCATAATCGGAAGTGTATTCAATAAAACAAATAATAGGAATTTATATTTTTAAGAAATGGAGAGCAAATATAATTTGATGCATTTTTAGGTTATGGATATATGGCACCAAAACACTACATGGATTATATGTATTTTAATTTTGCTGCATTTTCGGCTGGGAAGGTAACACTTTATTCACCATAAACTGAACATGTATTGTAAAACAAACTATTACAATATGCAAAGTTTAGTGAAGGGTAAGTGCCATTTCCTCGTTGTAGTGCTTCATTCTCTGTATAATAGTTTAAGAAAAACTTATCTCAATTTGAAAACAAAGCAATCATGAAAGAAGTTGTAGGATATGAAGGAACAGGTGTTAAATTGTCAAGTAATAAAATTTAAAGCACAGAGATCTTCTGCAAATCTCTTTGGAATGGAGAACAGGCTATAATTTAAGATTTTGTTGGTGATTCTGTTGGTCGATCTATCAGAGTGTTAGTTATCGGTGGAAAAGCAGTATCAGTAACCGAATTCTAAGATAATATTGTAACATACTTTAATTATGAAAGGATTTTAAATCCAATGGCTATAGTGATGATTTTAAGATTGAATCGAAGATGGATAGTAAAAAAAAAGAGGAATATTTTAGATTAGCAGAAAAGGCTTGTTTAGCAATTGACTCTAATCTGACAATTGGAGGAGTCGACATAATTGATTCAGAAAAAAATGGACTAGTTGTTTTAGAAATCAATTAATGGCCAGAAATAACATTCTCTGAAGATGTCACTGGATTACCCCTTTTCGAAATATTTGGTTAAGAATTCATAAGGAAAATACAACAGAATAATAATGTTAGACTATGACAATATTATTTATATGTGGTAATTGTTATAATTTGATACACACTCATTGCTTCTCTGGCTTTTTTCTAAACCATTTCCGCATATTATAAGCATTTTCATCATCAGCATAATATTTCTCTTCTGTATCAAATGTTTCATAACCCAATTTGTCTCTGTATAATCCCAAGGCTGCTCTATTCGAAACTCTAACATGCAAGGAAACATAATGCGATTCAAATATCTTGTCCATGTCTCTGTGTGTACTTTACATGACTTTATTTGCCAATCCCAATTTTCTGTGTGTTCTCAAGACTGAAAGGGATGTTATATGTCCATGTTCCAACTTTGTGCCTTCTTCATCTTCTTCATCTTATTTGGCCAATACGTACCCAACAATTCTGCCACTATTCTATTCAAAATCTATTGATGTTAATTACAATGTCTTCTGCAACATATAATAATGATTGCCAAACCATTCCATGATACAAGTAGTATTTATATGTGTAATTTTCTGGCAAACACCACAAATTGCAGTGTTGCATATGTTATAGATCTTGCATTTCAGCTCTTCTTATTGATACCATAATTTAATTAGAAATTATAATTATTAATGAAAAGGCCAGAAAGTGCACATACTAGTTAAATTTCAGCTAATAGATTCAAAGTTTCGTCTAAACAATCGCCTATATCAACTGAGGGAGATGCTAAAAGCAAAAACTAGAAGCAATAATATCAAAAGTAAAAACTCAATATACCCTTAGACATAAAACTAAATTCGGAGGATCAAGATATGAACAGAGTTAATATTTTTTAAATATAATCATGGAACTCAGACCAATTTGATAGCATTCCTTCTCTAAAAAATACAATCTAAACCTAATAGAATGAAATTTTTATTTTAAAATAAAAGTTATTGTTCCATTAGAATCTAGTTAAAACATAACCAATGAAAGAATTATAAACACAAATCGTAAAGTACTTTGAAGAAACAATTGAACTTAAAAAGAAGCTGGATGAAGCATTAAATAATTAGTCTGAAGCTTAAAAGTCATCACAATACTAAAGCCATATATCTAAAATTAAAGAGTTAAAACAAGAAATCAATGACATTAATACGGTCAATGAAGGCTTGCAAAAGGAAATTCAAAAATTACAATAATAAGTTAATTAATAATCTGAATAATTATAATAAAATTGTAATCAATTTTAGTAATTTTAAACGCCAAAGCAACATCAAAGGGAAAAAACTTAATTGTCATAAAATAGACTTGTAATAAAAGAAATATAAAGTGAAGGAGAAACTGTTGATAACTCCCTGCATGCAATAAAAGAAAAGGACAGTAAAATACAAGAGCTCCAGCTAAATTTAGCTAATCTGAATGCATAAATTAATTAATAACGGCAATAAATGAAATAATAAGACTTACTAATATCAGAGAAAAAGGATATCATAGAAAATCTATAATAAGAAGTTAAGAATTTGGAAACAAAATTAGTCGAACTCTAAAGTTCTTAAAAGTAAAGAAAAAAGAAATAAGAAGACAAAGGTATCTAAATTCAAAATAATTCAAAATAGACTATTGAAGAAATTAAAGCAATTTTAAGGTTTAGATTAAAAAGATCTATGGTAGAACAAAAAGAAATATAGAACTACTTATTAAAAGATGAAGATTACAGATTTTTCTCTATTTAATCGCAATTTTAAAAGTATTTTAAATCTAAATCGATAGATTTCCATTTTTTTTGAATGCTGAAGAATCCTACGATATAACCTTGTTTCTGTTAACTGAAGAATCACCTTATAATTAGAATGTACTAGAAAGAGATTTAAAACTTACTGTTCTGAAATCTAGAATTTTACATCTATTACCATAATATGAGTTAATTACAATTAATGAATAAGGATAATTATTTCAATAGATCTCTACTAAGATTATTAATAAGCTAAACTATTTACAAGATGCTATAAAAAAAATTAAAAAAACCCAAAAGTAAGTGTGATTTCTTCATAACATAGATCAGAGATAGGAGAGGAATTTTGCCTACCACAGTAATTTTTAGAAGCATTTACATTTATTTTCGAATACTCTCTCTCCAAAAAGGAAGCTGAGTACTTATTTTAATTAAATTTTGAAATCAGTAATTCTCCAAGTTTGATCAATTTTTTACGATTGATTTAATTATTTTAAATGAAACCAAAATTTGGAATAAATAAAGTCTGTAATTTAAGCGATTCGTTATTTAAAGAAAACGAATTAATTAATATCCAAGGGCCATCATTAATTAGAAATGAAAGTGCTGTTCCAAAGGTTTCTCCTAAATAAATTAATATTTATGCAAGTAAATTTCAATAAACAGATGAAGCAGAGTTAGGCATTGATAGGAAATAGAAAAAACTGCAATACTAAAGCATAATAGGGCTTAATCGGCCTCCAACCTTCGATAAAGTTGAAGTTGGGGTTTGTTGTTAAAAATAATTGGTGATTGTTTAATAGAATGAGTTATCTTATAATAATAATAAGGTGAGAGTTGATTAAGATAATTTGGAAAAAGTAAAATATGAATAATATTTATAATAATAACTACAAAAGGAAAAATAAAAAGAAGAACTTTCAAAAGTCGAATCAAATAAAAATAAAGAGATTAAAAGTATTGTTTCTCTTTACTTTGATCAATTATTGTAGGACTTTATAAATTCATCAAAATAAGATTGAGTTCTAATGTTTTATATAATACAGGAGGCACTTACATATATAAATAATATTATTTAAAGTCTAAATTAAATATTATTAATTTAAAAGTGATTAGAAAATTATAGATTGTTAAATGACATCAATATAATTACTTTATTTTTTATTATAATGAGTTTTAGAATATCCATCTCTCCTTAAAGAAAACGTAGCAGCACAGGAATGCCATAATCTGCTCGACCCATGAAATCATCTCTGAATTCGACTCTTGTTAATGTTGTGGAAGAAATTAAGAACATGATGTAAAATTATACAATGATTGAAGGAAACAGCTCACTCCTTAGTTTCAGAACCTTTTAAATTAATTAATCAAAATAGCATTTGATCTGGAAAAATAAAATACAAAATTTTCTAATGCTCTCCAATCATACAAGGCATCTAGCATTTAAAATGGAGATCTAATTCAAAAGGAACCGTCGTCTCATCAAGATAGGAATAAATCTAAAGACTGCAGTCCAATAAAGAGAGAGTGCTAATCTAAAAACATAGAAATGACATCCAGCAGCAGATTAGATCCGACTCCCAAATAAAAATTTTTAATCCGAAGAAGTTCCCTAGATGTAGATTAATAAGTGTCAAAAGTAAGAGTTAACTTTTAACTATGAAGGATCAATTAAGAAAAATTAGTTAAGAAGCCATAGATCAGAATTTTATAATTAATTTACTAGATTTTAAGCCATCCAATTTAAAATCTATGTCATATAAAAAATTAATTTAGATCTTTACTCTTAATGAAAAAGACTTATATCAATACTTATAGAAAATAGAATATTAAGGTATTTATCATGTTGTTCAAATGATAGAGTATTTATTGTACCTTTTTGAACCACTCAAATTTGCTAAGGATTTATCAGAGAAGTGCATTATTTATATTGAAAAACTAAAGAAAATTATAAAACTATCTATTGAAATACAATAGTTTACACCATCTCAAACATTTGAAAGCTATTAGAAATTGCTTTTAGAATTATTCGAATGCGATCGAGCATAAGTTTATTTATACGACTCGAAATTTCACATATTTTGGACTAAAGGCTAAGATGGTTAATAAAAAGCTTATTATCCATTCAAAGGCATTTTAGGGTTTGTAACTAAGTAAGGTCAAATTTTAAATATAAATGACGTTTATTAAGATGTAAGATTTGATTAGGATTACGATTTAAAGTAATAGAATAAAACAAAATCAATGCTCGCTTGTCCACTTTATGAAAAAGAGGAAATCATTGGTGTGATTATTATCTCATCAGTTTATCAGTAATTCAAAAGAGAAGATGAAATTTTGATCTAAATGGTTTCTCAACTGGCTGCTATACATTTCTATTAATATGTCTTTTAAGAGTATAATACTAAAACTTGTGAAACTTTGCAATAAATCTTGAAGTTTTCTTTAATTTTATAGTAGTCTGTTGACTAAAAATAATTTATGATTTTAGCATAACAAATACTATCTAAAACATACGAGTTAAAATAAGTATAGATTTATTTTAAAGATATGTAAGATAAAGAAGCTTTATTCACGTTTGTTGAGCAGCATAGGAAAAAAGTACCAAAGACTTGTGGGATCATTGGTTATGTTTATAAAACAGGATAATTCTATGTTTCTGATTCTTGTTATAGAGATAGATATTTTAATAAATTGGCTGATATTGAAACGAACCTTCCTACAATAACCATACCTATTAAGAATGAGGATAAATGTATGGGTGCCATACAATATATTGACACTAAAGGCATTGATAATTTTATTGGAAAACAATTAAAGAACTACTAATTGTCTAATTTGGATTTGATTCAAATATTTGCAGGAATGCTAAATTTTGTAAATAGTAAATTGATTATATAAAAATATTGATTTGCATCGTATTAAATATTGCTATTTATTCTAACTATTTTGTAATAATATTTACCTTAAATTAAAATTAAATGAACAATCCATTTCAAAATCCAATAGGCAATCCAAACGACCCAAATAATCAATTGCTCTTAATGTCTCTTGCTTAAGTAGATTCACAAAATATGTTCTTCTTTTTAATGCAAAACCCTGATTTTGTTGAAAAATAAGATGAAGTATTTGATTGATAATATTAATTCAGACTTTATTCAAAAAGACTGCAATAGGATTTGTAAGAAATACATTAGGTATATTTGCTTTGGGAACAGTGCTTAATTTATAAATGAAAAGAATCCCTAAAGTAAGATCTAATAATATTTCCAAAGTTTTTGACTTGGCCCATTTATGTTAAAATTCCTTTAAGAATCCCTGTCTTTTTTAGCCCATTTTTCTTATTTTAATAATCGCTAACAAACTAACTTGATAACTTAACATAAATGCATCACAAATATTATACAAGAATATTAAGAGTCAAAAAAACTGGCGATTTACGATACTTTGATCCATAAGGTGTATTGCAAAAATAATTTGAATAAAAAATGAAAGAATTAATGAAATGATTTATTATGTATCAGATGTTTTGCCTTCATTTTTATTTTCAATTTTTATTCTAAAATTGCATCTCTTATTCAAAATGAGCATAAACTATTTGAAAATAAATTAGAAATTTTTATTAATTTAAAATAATCATAGATAGATAGCTTTTTAATTTAGACCTATATGAAGAATTATAACTTTAAATCTAATATCATTATTATGCTATAATATTAAACTTAAAAAACATAGATAAATAAAATTATTGATTGTAAAACTATTTGAAAATTAGAAATACTATGTCAAGAAAAAATAAAGTCATGAGATCTTAAAGTACATCCTAGCAATTTTAAAAAATAAATAGGATAGTAACAATTGGGAACTTTTAAGATAAAAATTGGATTTAAAGAAATAGATAAATCTCAAAAATTATTTAATCAAGTATCCAAATCTTATTTAAAATACCAAATAAATTAAAAAAAAGTATCCTCACTTTGTACTCTGCGATTTAAAATTCATAATGTTTAAGTCTTTATTAATTAGATTTTTAAATTTTAGATAGAGCAAATACTTTAAGTATATATCATAATATAGTTTATTTACAAGCCAAAAAGATTTAATATGGATGATATCTAGAGAAAATACTAGAGTTTTATGAATTTTATGATATTTTATATATTACACTTTTATCATTGATTCTTGTGTTGCTTTTGTTAGAGCTCTTAAATGGCTTCTTTTATTTAATTTTGTTCATGTTATTACTCTTGCTTTTGATTTTCTCCTTTTTAATTCTGTTTTTCTTAAGATTCTTTCGTACCATTTTAAGCATGAACCATGAACATTTCAATTTATTAAATTTATTTTCTTAAAAAATTAAATCTTGCCATGAGTTAACAATTCGATATTATAAAAACATTATCGTATTAAAATGGATTTGATATTAAGTGTAAAGAAATAAAGTTCGATAAAATATAAGAAATGCCATTTTCTTCTTCTGTAATTTAAATTAAAAAACGAGCATATTTCAATCTTTGAATATTTCCACTAATTTGTTTCAATAATATCTTTTTTTTGGGGTATTGAATTTTATAATTATTTTTCAACTGAAAATATCTTTTAGTAGTTATGATATTTTTCACAATTTCAGATAAATGAATAAAAGAGTGCGTGCTATAATAATTTAACAAAAAATTAAGATAACAAGATAAAATAATAAATAAAATTAAGCGTTATTAAATTCATCATTATATTTATATAATATAGGTTTCATTTAGTTTTTTTATTTATTTCAAAATATAAGAATGCATTTTCTCTAATCCTATTGTTTAACTCATCTCTAAATAGAGTACAAACAATCTCAATTCATTCTATGAAAAATTAATTAAATTATTGAAAATCTTTAAACTATCTTTCAGGGGATAACAATTATACTTAATCATCATTAAAATGAAATTTGTATCGTATTCTTAAAGTTCTTAATAGTTTAACATTAAATGTTAAGGGATATTGAATTATTTCAAATTATCTGGAAACTTTTACTCTAATAATTAAATCATAATGGCTGTGCCTTGCCCTTCATTGAATTTATAGGACTATGCAAGGATTTAATTAATAATTTCTGAGTCTATTTATAGTAGCTGATCAAATAATTTGTTTTGGTAAGTTAATTAATTTATTATTATCTCTATGTTTAAAACATCAATAGAACTTTGAATTACTAAATACAAAAAGTATGCTTAAGCCCTAGATAACTATACTTTTATTAAATAAAATAATTTACATTATAATTTTCATTTGCATTTAGAACTTGAAGTAAAGAAGTATTTAATTAAAATTTATTTGTTTTAAAAAACCATTTAAATAAATGAGAAGCATCTTCTTCGGTTTTAATTGATTCCAGCAAATTCTACCTAAAACGCTTATCAAATCTATCCTCATTTCTTAGGCTCTTTATCTTTAAAGTGTAAAGTTATCTAATTTTTGGACTAAAGTAAGAGCAATTACATAAGGCTAACAGTAGTGGCATAGAGCCCATTTTATAATATTAATTACCAATATATTAAGGAAGTTGTATTGATGGATATTCTTCAAATAGTATAATCAGATTAACGATGGATGTCTTGGATATTTAAATATCATATTAGTTTTCTTCAAAGAAATTCTAATTATTTAGGTTTTCTAAATAGGGAGAAATATCAACTTCACAAATAAAATGAAGATATAAAAGATTTTTAATGTTTAAGTTTATATTCTAAATTGTAAGATTTTTTAGAATAATTTTCAAATACTCCACAAATGGTTGAGATTTGGTCTTTTTTTCTAAATAGTATATTGACATTTAATTGACATTTGATATATTATAATTTTCCTTAAGCAAGTTTAAACAAGCAGATTCAAGTTTGAGAACATCTTTATTATCTATGTAATCAGCTTGTATCAAATTCTACAAATATTAAATTAAGAAATCAAAATTAAGAATACATTATTGATCTTCATATTTTTGTAACATTTATTGAACTTACTCATGTATGAGCAGCAAAAGTGATTTGTATTCTTCAGGATTTGAATATTTGCAATTCTATAGGATGGCAATAATAGATCCTGATTCTAAGTATTTAACATTCTATTTGGTATATTCAAATTTATCATCTAATTATTCCAGATACTATTTCTCTGTTATATGATATTTTAGTCTCATGTTAATGAAGGTCTTGGTCATAAAGGCATATTGATCAACATCAAAACTCTTGCGCATATTTTTCGAGTAGTTTAAAGCTTGCAATATACTATAGAGGTCAACTCTCTTCTTTAATATGAATTTCTTATTTATAGAGGTTAGAAATTGCATGAGTTAAATAATAGTGATATCGTTGGTAGAAAAGACATAATCAATGTAAAATTTGTTTAGGAATTCATCATTTGGGAAGATCATTTCTACACATTCATATATCATGTTTAATTACCTTGGTAGGAACTAATTTTCTTCAATGTACTTTTTAGTAATTTATTGCAATTATTTACGATCCACAGAATTTAGGTATTCTGCACTAAGTTTGTCATAGTATAGTTTCTTATACCAATATATGAAGTCACCAAGATCTAGATTATTTAGGGTGGATATATATTGGTTGAATTATCTTATTAGATTTTAATAGGATTCATTGAAATAATCATTATGGATTGGTAAGCTGTACATTCCTTGCATTTTGGCTGTGATTTTTAAACTCTACAATAGATGACGATCAGTAAATTAATGTTTGTATCTGTTGTAAATATCAATCAGTTTGGTTGGATCTAATTAAGTGCAAATCAAGGTGGTCAACTCTTCTGATTCTAAATCGTCACGAGCTAAATCTAGTCTTGAACTGCAAAGTTGAATTTCTTAAGCCGTAGTATAAGACTTAGATATCCAATAACTGTGAACTTATCTAAATGATTTTGATAAAATTTTATTCATTAATTAAATTAATTCAACCATCATTCGAAGCATAAAAGAATCTCGATCTCTTAGTCTTAATCTTTCCTTAATTGTTGATATCAAAGGCTCCTGATTGTGAACGCTAATGTTTTCTCTTTTGTATTGGATCCGGACTGTTTTACTCGGAATCTAAATGCATATTGTTAAAGTTTTGTTTGATTGCATCCATTGAATTCACCGAACTTGTTGAACCATTAATGGATGATTAAGCAGATACACAAACCAATTTTTAAACTTTAGGCTCTTTGTTGGAAGATGATCCACTATTTTCTTCTTCTTTTATTTAATCTGAAATCAGTTTTTCTGAGCGTTAGGAACTTAGAGTTCCAATAGAATTAGTTGGAGTATTTTGTTATGATGAATATACATTGAATTTAAATTGTTACTATTATTATTACATAAATTATTAAGGAAGATATTGGGCTTGGTACATGTTTGGGATCATCTATTATTACTATTGAATTAATTGTTATTGCATTAGCTATTACGAAATTAAATTTTGATGTTGTGGAATTTAGATACTCATTCCCTGTAATTGTTATTGCCGACAAGGCAGGATAGGGTTGATTGGTTATAATTATGGTTGAATTGTTGGGATTGTTTAGATCTAGGGTATTTATGGAAATTATTAATAGTAATATTATTATGGAGCTATTAAATAGGGATATTAGGGAATCTAAGAGAATGATTATTCATTATTGTAACTTTATTATTCTTACTGATTGCTTTTCGAATTCTGTGAATGATCCACTGGTTTTAATCTACTTAGAATTGAACGAATTAGGAATTCAGTCATTTTATCTAACCCATGTTTTAGGGGGTCTTCTTGATTATCCTAAAGCAATTCCTGGGGTGTTTAGACTATCTTTTTCTCCTTATTGATGATGCTCTTGAACCTATTTTTTACTTAGTTCTCTGTTCTATTTTTTAACTTCTTTGATATGTTCGACCATCTCAAACCTTCGACTAATGTGATTTGTAACAAATTATAATCGTCAATCTCAGTCCAAATACCTCTTAGATGATAAACCAACAATTTTACCTATTTACTTAAGGATTCAGATAATTATTCCATCTCTCTCTATACTGTTTTGCCTTTCTAAAATAGATTCCTTGCGATTAAATAAACATTTCATATTACACTTCAAACCACTTGATGTTTGGTTCCTTTGTCATTATTTTATAAAGCAACTTATCTTCTTCAGGCAACCAATTCTTATTGGAAGGAACAACTCTCAAATGAGAAAGCCATTTAAATTAACAATTTAATGAGTCTTTGAATGCTATTATTTCAGATATATTATTCCAGTCCTATCCTTACTAAAGTAAACTTATATAGATTTACAAATTCATCACTGCTTTTTTAATGCAATTAGCAATACTACTACATTACCCATAATAGTATTTTCCATTCTTCATCTGTCCAATTCCTCGAACCATGCATTTTTAAGAACTCCCTAATTTGTTTGTAAAAAACTCAATTACTGCGATTAGCAATATTCGTAAAAGTGAAGTACTTCATTAAGAGTAATAAAAGTTTATTGAATTCTCAACTCAAGTGTGCTCTACAACTTTGATAAATCTACTGAACTCGTGTCCTCTGCAAAATTCTAAATGAATTGCTGTAATTTTGGCAAGTGTAATTATAGGTTGGTATTCATTAATATTAAATTAATTTATGAAATGCTCTTATTAATAACTTCCTATATAAATGATATCATTATTTTAGTAGCATTACTTCAATGAAGTTTGCACGCCCTTTGAAAGTACATACTCTACTAGTCTTACTATATTTAACAAGTTTTTTCATTTAAATAGATGTAAAAAAAATATTGTAACTCCAAAAAGATCAAGAAATACTTTTGAGTTTGTACTTGAGTAGTGATGAGATGTTAAATAAAAATTATTATATAAATTTTTGAAAACTTTTGTATGGCCTAGAATATTATAGTGGGAGCTATTAAAATAAAGGATGGTTTATTCATAGGAGATGAGTACGCCTCACAAGTAACCTTTTAGTTATAATATAGGATCGAGAATTCATTGTAAATAATAAAGTTACTCATATCATCAATTGTTCTGGTACAGAAGTGCAAAACAAGTGGATCATGATCAATGTAAAATATCTTACATTCAATTGGCTTGAATAAGATAATGAAGTAAAACATTCCATTTAAAAGGTCTTATTTGACGACAAAAACGAAAATGTCAATAAAATTTATGCATTCATCGAAGAGTGCTTTCAATAAGGCGAAAGTTGTTTGGTTCATTCACTCAGGGGTTAAAGCAGAGCATGTTGCGTATTGGCAGCTTATTTTATGAAAAAGTTCGTTAATTTATTTAAATTCTAAGGTATTCATGGACACTCTACAAAACACTCGAATATCTCAATTCTCGAAGACCAGATCTTGAAATAAGGGCGTCCTTCTTTTATTAACTAAATGCATTAGAATCCAAAATGAATAAGAATGGGCCCAAGAGAACTGCTTCTTGGAATCAATTAACATAGGACGAGCTGAATCCTCAATAACTCTAAGATGAATTAATTATAAGAAACACATTTCTCAATTCATAAAATGGACCGGTTGATGATATCTACACCAATTTACAATCCAAACTAGTATAAATTTAAAATACATAATAGTCAGTATTAGGAAAGGTTTATAATCAGAAAATTAAGTGGAAAGATTAATTGAACAAAGAAAACATTTAGTTATCTACCTTAGTCTATTCAGGATCTCCAGATTTTGTATAAATTACAGACACTAAACTGAAAGAAGATATTGACTACCAATCTATTTTAAAAGTAAGCTTAAGATTATTATAAGGGAGTATAAAAAACTACTTTAAATTAACCTGCAAAATAACCGTAAATCTAACACAATTTTCCTAAGTTTCCAAACTAAAATAACCACATTTGTAAATAACTCAAATAAGATGATTGTGAATCATTTAAATAAAATGCTTAAATGAGTAATAATTAATCCTTTTAAAATTTACTAATGCATTGTGCATAAAGATAAAAGTAAAATTCATAATAGGAAAAAAAGACTTCTCCTATATCATCAGATCAAATGTAAAGTCCTTAGTTCATTAATCAGCCAAGTGGAGTGAGAAGCACATCTTTATAATAAAATGATGATAAGAAGAATTAAAATGATCTTACGAATAATCGTCCAAGTTCTGTCAAATAAAAGGATGCTTCTCCATCTCTCTTAACTAACTTTTAAGAATTTAAAAATCAAGTATAATAATCATTACATTATTTTAATAAATAGTCTGAAACTATATTAAATATGGATAAACATTTAATGAACGTTGTTTAATAGTAATAATAATAATAATAATAATCTAATATTTCAAATTAATCTTAATAAAATGATTCAAAATTATAAATCTAATTATCTCCATAACAGCAATTAGCATCCCAATAAAAGACTAAATTAGATTAATTAATTAGTCCAACATTGATTTCTACTATGAGTTCAACAAAACATTCAGAAATTTAAAAAACCTTAACTTAATCCATAACATAATTATAATCAAGTTATTAAAAGTTTTAATAATTGTAAATGAATAATTAGATGAAACTATCATAGTCGACTAGTCAAATTCAACAGCAACAGCAAAATAATAGTAAAATTTCAGCAGAATAAAGTACAACAAATATAGCAAACATTTCTAAAATTTAAGATAGAAGTAGTTCTCTCATAAAAAAAGGAGAAGATTTAGACAGTAAGAATAGGCCAAATAGCGCTGATATTAAGGATCAATAAAAAAGCAATAGCGTTTAAAAAAAGGAGAGTTTATCTCCATTTCAAAAAGATCCAATTAAGAAAATGCATTAATATGGACCCCCTTTACCTTAGTCAAATTCTTAACTTTATCTTAGAAATGTCTAATGTCGAAGATAAGCTGCATCCACATTAAGGAATCAGTAAAAACCGAATAATTCATTTCAAGATAAATATTTAAATCAAAGTGCTAATTAAGTACAGAATAATAGTAGTTTTAACAACAATAGTAATTCAAATATAGAGCCAGATTCAAAGATGCAGTAAAAAGTAGTTTAGGGATTGGCTTCTGATGTAAACCATCTGAAAAAGTTGATTTCACCTTAAAGTTTGACAAAAAGTTAAGCATAATTTTTAAAAAATCAACCCATTAGAGTTTTATAAGAATTGACAGAAAAAACTTAGAGTATCAAACAAATGTATTTGTTTTGAATTAACCTATTTAGCAAAGGAAAGGATAGTATTTAATCAGCAGCCATAACATTTGTGTAAAAACCATCAACAGTGAATACAAGAACATTCTCACCAGCAATTAAAAGTAAATATTATACAATATGAAATTACTTAAGATGATCAAAAGTGCAAAAGCAGTCATGTTGGGAATCCTTAAAATTTGAGGTCGAAGATAAGAAATTCATCCCCTGGTAAGATTTTGCCTGATTGTAGGTTTAAACAAAGATTAGGAGAGTTCAAGTTCTTTTTCGTATTCAAATGTAAATACTACTTAGCCAGAGAAGAATAGTTGGAAAATGCTTTGATACATTTAATTCAATTTTGTTTTTGTTAATTGATATGAATTCTAACCAAGTATGATCTAGAGTGTTCTTGGAATTTAATTATTAATATAAAATAAAGAATTATAGAAAACAGTGTAATAATAATCATCTTCTTTTGGAACAAACTATGTGATCCAAATTACTGAATGAATATTTGGGTAGTATTATGATAAAATAAAAATTAGAAAGAATCTCTGATTGATCTATGAATTATTAAATTATTATATTCGTTAAATTAATGTATTAGAGGTAGTCCATACAAACAAAAAATGTAATATATTCTATTAATAATGAACAATTTTGTTTAAATATACATTTTGTTGCTCTCTCTTCACATATACTATATTTTTTACGATATATTGAAAAATTTAAATTATTTTTAATGATTTTTACACCCCGGTCATATTTTTAAAGGGTTTCAAATTGGAATTCAGAAAAAAATAATAATTAAAATAATTTGTTTTCAAAAGAATATCTCCTCCTTTAGAAACCATTACAACAGATATGACTACCTTTTGTGTACGATTTAATTTTAATTTTTGATTCTAGCAAATAGAGGATATTTTTTAAGTTCATCTCACCTCTGACCAGGCTAGAGTGATTGCTAAGAAACTACCCTTTGGGTTTAGCGTTAGTTTAAGCAGATAATCTAAAAGAGACGTCAAAGTTTTATTAAAAAAAATATAAATTTTAGAAGGTCCAATAGGATATTTCATCTGAGGATGATAATAAAGTCGTTAAAAAGCCTTATGTAGCACCATATAGAGTTGAAAATTCAGCTGACATCAAAAAATGTTTGGCCTTACTATAAAGATTGAAAAAACATTAATTGGCAGCTCCATTTTTAAGAAAATTGGATAATGTTAATTATCCTTAAGAATTAGAATATGTTGACTTATAAACAGTCGAACTGAATCTCAAAAATAGTATCTATATCTTTTTACAATGATAAGATGTTTATCAGACAGCTACTTAATTTTGGGTAGACATTAAGAAGATATGGTAAATGTCCTATACAATGAACAACAAAGGTTCTTAATTATATGCAATGACTTAAGAACTGGAATAACATTTTAATGAATTGTATAAAGAATTAGATAAACCATATCCATAAAAATAAATAGTTGATCAACCAGTTAAAACTGATAAATAATAAAAGAAACCTCCTGCAGTGCATTAGACACCAGCCCTTAATAAGAAGCCAGTGTATAAATATCTTATTAGATCCTTAGAAAGCAGCCTAGTCCTATGGAATAACCGATGAATATGTAAGAAAAGAGAGCCTTAGTTTCAAATATAAATAGTTTACCACCTGAACATTTGAGAGGAGTTTGGGAGATCGTGTCTGATGGATTAAAAATCTAAGACTAAAGTGAAGAACTGGAATTCGATATAGATACACTCCCTGTCAAAAAAACTAGGCAATTAGAAAAATATGTAAACACTAAACTGGAACACTTAAGAAAATAGCAAAATAAGAAAGTCGCAGAAGAAACTAAAGAATAAGATAAAACCGATAGGATTGTAAGATATTAGCAATATCAATAAGGTTCATACAGCTAACACTGCATATAACTATGCTTCATAACCGGCTATTCAACAAAATCAACTTGACACTGGAGACAGTTCATTTAGCAGTGATGCTGAGAGTTCTGGGTGAGCATGATTTTCATTTTTATTTTTTTGATTAAATCATTTAAAATAATATTTTCTCATTTTTAATTAAAATTTTCAAATTGTATAAATTTAAATTCTATTATTTTCTAATGACTTTTCTCTATATTTTAATAATTTACTTTTGAAATTTTAATAATTTAAGTTATCATAATCAAGACTTTCTAGTATATTTTGGTTCATTTTTATTGTTTAACAAATATTAACTACAATAGCCTGCTACATTATGATATTAGTATTGGGATCTCTTAATATAATAAATGAAAAAGTAACGCTTCACTATTCCAGAAAAAATAACTCATTCTCCAAAAACGATGATCTTGCTATTGATTCTGATTCACATAAGATAAAGTAAAATAATCGAGGGTAATATGAATTTGATCTAATAGGAATGAGATTAGAGAGTAATTGTATTAAACTATAATTGTATTTATAATAAAATAATTCTATAAACTATGGGGGATTTAAGGGACATAATCACAATGGTAATCTTAATAAAACAAAAAATCCTGTGTTTCTAATTCACAATATTAAATATGAGTATCAATTTATAATTTAATACATTAGGATTAGATATCAATTTAAGTTGATTGATTAGTAATAATCTCTTTCAATTATTCAATCTAATTCTCTTATATATATATTTACGAAAAATACTATTTTCTAAATAAAATAAAAAAGATCAATCTCTGTTCACTCCTTTATCAAATTTTAGCAATTCTTTTTGAATTTTATTTATTTTTTTTGTATTATATGCAGGTTACTGTTATGTAGGTTATTAGTAAGGCATAGTTGCATAAGGAAACCCTTAATGATTAAATGCAGGCGAATTAAACAACCTTAATAGACAAGCCTCTGATTGGGGGGCACTTTAGTCAAGATTGTTAGTAGATTTCATATATTCATCAAAAAGCTGTAATTAACTAGAATAATTCTTATTCCTCATTTCGTAAGGTGAGGATATATTATTTGGACTCGACTCTAAAGAAATAAAGTAAAAAATTACTAATCAGATAATGTAATGGAGAGAAAGGCAACATTGGAGAAAATACAGGTAATCCAAGCATGAGTGATTATTGTTGCTGTTGCTATTACAATTACTGTTGTTAGTTTAATAATTATTATTGTTAGAGCATTTATTATGATTACAATTATTAATCTTATTAGTGCTCTTCTTTTATTTCATTACTTTCTATTTGCATATTCTTTTAATCATTACTAGTAGTTTAATATACTGTGGCATTATTATTATTGTTGTTATTATTATTAGAATTTTAATTATTGATGTTATTATTATTAACTGTTTTTCTTATGCGTTTACAAGTCAATGGTAAGGGGCCTTCATAGTCTTTTCCCTATAAATTGGCCAATAACTTTTTGATTGCTATATCTTCGTTATCTAGCTACTAAAGATTTAAGGTGTTTCATACATTTTGTCTTCTATAGGTGTTCATCATCGAATTGTATTGATTTTTTACCTAATTTTCTGTTCTTCCTGATATTTTTTTCGAAATAAGGGACCATCTCTTACCCATTTCTTAAACTAGCAACAATAGTTGTAATTATTCGGGTTATGACCACTCAGATCTAATTAAAAATTTTGCTATACTTTTTTAGATCAGGATTCAAATAGTTATTCCATCTTTCTCTAATTTATTTAGCATGTCTAACTATTTTGGCAGGATTTATTCTATTGAAATCAATGGTAATTTAAGTCCAATTTTTATTTTCGTTTGGATCTGTGATTAAGCTTTGCAATATTTCATCTTCCTCAGGGTTCCAAGGGGCCATTTTCAGATTGGTTTTGAGCATGCTGATCCACTTTAAATTCAATAGCTGTTCTGTTACTCCTAAGACATTTGATAGATAATGCCAATCATCTTCAGACTATCGTATAAAATTCGTATTACAGGGTTTAGATCGTTCTTCTTTATGAATTCAAAATATTTTAGCACAGTCCATACAAATAAAATTTTATCTTTTCTATGCCATTTAGTACGATGTTCCTCATTTGTGCGTCTACATATAAGTATTATAATCTACTTTGAAAATTCCTAGAAGTAATAGTTCAAGATATTTTTGCAAGGAGGAAAGCTTTTCTCGTTAATCTTTAGAACCTTTTTAATCTGTTTTAATTTAACAGGTCTCTCTTTAAAATCACTGATGTCCTCTAAAAATTATGAAAACTTCGACATTTTAATTTAATTAAAATATTTAGATTATTACGGCAAAAAGATTTTGGAATATATTATGTGATTCAGAAAACCAGGCTGATATAAATTGAATTTATTAAAATAATAGAATACTTCAAATTCATTAATTGATAACTTAATTACTAGTGTGTCAAAAATAACTTGATTCCATTTTTTAATCAAGTTCTCATTCGAATTTGAGTATTTTTATATTCTATTTTATTATACTTCACTTTCTAAATTAATTTGTATAATCTGATTTCAAGAGCATTGGATAAATATGAAGAACTCATCTCAAATATAAATAAGACTTAATTACTTAACCAATATTGAACACACACAAATTAAAATAAAAGAATATACATATTTATAAACGAATTAGCCAAATTTGAAACTGTATATCCAATTCTTTCTGGAACTACAGTTTGATATTTATTTATAATTACATCCTTAAGAAAATCTTAAAGTGTATAAAAATAAAATATATCATATTGTTTCATAAAAGGTAATGTTTCAAAAACAATAAAAAAACATTCATTTTATAATAAAAATTATCAGTGTAATTTAAAGCAATTTAGGGCGTATTATTAAAAATCAAGTCACATTATTATTTAAATTTAGCAAAATGATTGACGTAAACATAAGTCCTTTCTAATCAAATAGGGATAGTTCTTTCATCATCATTGTAATGTTGATTTTGATGGCAAATGCAAGCTACATGATGATGATTCCTCTCTTTCCCCCATTAATAAAAGAAAAGGGGTTCACTGAAGCTGGAATTGGAATTATTATGTGTTTTTACCCCCTGGGATGTATACTAGCTTCTTGGAAGTTGGGTAAAATGCATAGTACTAAAAACATCATTTTTTATGGTTTGATTGGATAGTTGGTAATATCCATAATTTTGGGGATTTCATATTATTTGAATGGGGCCCTCTTTTTTATACTCTCATCAATTTTAAGATTCTTTTAAGGCATTGTAAAGCAATTTATTAAATATTTAGTCAAACACCATGATTTAGGTTCCTTCATATTCCATAACTGGACATTTGTTTTCAGAACAAGTATCAGAAAAGATTGCCAAATTAGAAATGGCTTGCAACTTTGGTTTAATTTGTGGCCCTTTGATAAGCGGTGTTCTATTTATTCTAGCAGATATATATAGCTTTAATACTTTTCAATACTCCTTATATTTCGTTGCCTTTCTATACTTTTTCATAGCTATTTGTGTTGTCATGTTTTTAGATGAGAGGATATTCAACTTCAATCAAGAGCAATAGGAAGTTTCAATCAATTATTATGAGGTGTTTAAAATTCATGAATTGAACGTGACTTTTACTTCATATTTCTTCCTAGGAGTAACTGCATAAGCCTTGCGTACTTATTTGGTAATTTTATCAATTAACATTAGTCTGTTTAATTATTGGAAGTTTATGAACTAGATGATGCAAATTCTTAATTCCTATTTATGATTTACACTATTGTAAGCTTTTTTGGAGCTTATTATATAGCCGAATAGAAAAAGTATACTTTAAATTAGCTTTATACTTACTGTCTTTATATTGGAGCTTTGAGTCTTCTACTTTATGGTCCAACCATGATTGGATTACCAAAGTCTATTTACATTATATGTTTTGCTGATATTATAAGAGGCATCGGAATTGGATCAGCGTAATTCAATTATTAATTTCTAGACCTGCCATTATGATGCCGTTGATTGTACAAATTATGGAGAAGTTTAAACATAAAGATTAAGCAGCAGAGGTTGGTTCAACACTTTTAATTGCAGGATGGTCATTAGGAGATTTGATTGGGCCTATTATAGGAGGAATATTTATAGATTAGGTTGGCTTTGATAAGACTAGTGTAATCATGAGTGGAGCATTATTTGTTATAGGCTTTGTGTACTAAAAAACCAGTCATATCGACTAAGAACAATCAGGAATTGAGATGCAAATTCTAATTCATTGAAGTTAAATAATTGATTTTTTATTTTTGTGTAATAGTAATTTTAATAATAACCTGGATCTTATTAATGTATTCTATTAAAATCAATTATTATTTGTTGAAATCTTGAAAAGAAAATCTTCTATCTAAAATAGATAAATTAATTTTATTAAATTTATACAAATTATGGCAATTTATTAAATTAAAATTGAAATATTACCAAGAATCATTTTCTACATAATTATAACCTTAGTATTTTTTACTAAGTATAATATTTAAATTAGAAGAAATAAAATTTGGAATTTGTAAATTACCAATCAGTTTATTTATCAATTAAACTTTCTCGGTTTATATTTCATTAAATGAAGGATAAAAATTAATTCATTGTAATTTATTTATCCTAAGTAAATAAGTTTGTTTGATTTTAATTTGTTTATGGAGTATCTCTCAATATCTATTGATATTGTAGTTATTATCCAAATTTTATAAGGTAGCCTTTGGTATTTCAATTAGGTTATCAGATTGAATTTATAAAGAAGAATGGAAGAAAGAATAGTAGAGCGGATTCGATAAATCTGGAAAATACAAAATTTGTGATGGTTAATTAAATTATGTTAGTATAATAATATTAAAAATATTTATGAAAGTTTCACTTGATCATGATGTCTATAAATGGCTTTTGTCCCTTACTATCGTTAAACCTCAATAAGTGAAGAACACTGGTAAGGTTGAATTGGATGAGAACCAAAGCAAATTATTTATTAATGGCATCAAATTCGGAGAAGCCCTAAATAAAATGCTAGAAGTGAGATCCATTGTAAAAATCACATCTTAATTTTAAGCATGTCCCAAATTTAAGTGAACAAATGAAAAATTAATTAACTCCAGGAGTTAAATTATTCAATTGGAATATTTTATAAGATGCATTTCAAAAAATAAACTTGCCTTTAGATAACGATATTAAAAATTTAATTGTAAATGGCGATACAGAAATGATGAATGAATTGCTAAAAGATATGATGGAATTAGATAATCAAATTAATAGAAAATAATAAACAAGAGGATCAGTTAGATCCTCAGAGGATTCCTCCTTCGAATCTTAAAAGAAGCCTCCCAGCAGACCACCATCAAAATTACCATAAACGAAATACGATATTCAGGGAAATAATAACGAATTAATTTTAGATGAATTAGATATTAAAAAACCATTGAATGATTCTAAGTCCTTACTTGAATTTTTTATTACAGGACTATCTAAACATCTAACTTTAAAACCTTAACAAGCTGCATCTTTATTATCAAATGGTAACAAATATTTAGCCCATTTACTTGTTAAAGGAGTCAAGGGAGAATTTGAAACTTTGATAAATTGGTTAAGTGATATATATGCCAATATCTCTAGAGTATTCAATTTTCTAGAATAGCAAGACTCAAATGTGCACTATTTTTTTGCTACTATAAAACCAGGTCTTTTATCTAAAGAATAAGAAATTACTCTTTGGACTTTAAGGATAATGGGAAGAACCTATTTCGAACTTTCTGAAATGGAAATGCACTAATTAGGATACGAATGGTTCTGCAAGGAAAATGGAGGATTGGCAGCAACATTTCTATGCATGTAAAGGCATCCAAATTTACTGAGTTAAATCTGTGAATTATACAGTTAAGTAGCAAGATTTAATATTGTTGATTTCTTTACTGTGTAATTCAAGAAATAATTAGCAGATAAATGTGTTGACATGTTAAATTCTTTGATTGAATTTCTCTACTAATAGAAAACATTGAAGGATGAATTAATTCAATAAGGAATTGTGTAATATTGGGCTTCAGCAGCATTAAAAATGTCAGATTCTGACTAGTTGCCGATTAAGATACAAGGGCTTAAGTATTTAACTTTAAATTGGTTATTATATCCCATTTAATTTGAAGAAGACTAAAATTATCCAAACCAATTCTTGTTCTTGATGAAAAAGGGCACTAGAGATTCCTCCAATAATTTGAAATATTTCTCACTTAATATGCTATTCCGTTTGCTAGACAAATTAGCTACAGATAGAAATCCATATGCAGCAGTTCTTTATAAGAAACTGACCTTTACGCTAATTGAAAATTACAATGAACTAGATGTCAGAGAATTCATGTTGAACAATTTTATGTATTTAATTCAAAAATACTCATCTATTCCCATCGACATTCTAATAGAACCATTGATTAAGCAAGTGATGTTGAATGATGCTTTAGTTAACTTAACAGATATGATGTTATTTAAATTTATTAGTAAACATCCAAAGATGAAAATAAGGTTGGCAATATTATTATTGGATTTGCTTGCTAAAATATACTTAAATAGTGTGACAATGTCGCATTTATCATTAAATCCAATTCAAGTGCTTTTGGCTCGATTTGCAGAATCACCTTTGTTGAGAGAATATGCTTTTAAGCTTTGCAAAATTGGACTAGCACTACATTATGGCAGCTTAAAGAGTAAGAGATAATAGGTTAAAACAAATGATTTGTCCATCCTCTCTGCATTACAATAACACAATAATGATCATGAGATACTGGAAGCTTAAAAAAGAGCCTAAATAATTGAATTAATTAAGTTCATAATAAATATGCAGTAAGATGAATTAAATGAATAAATTAAACCCTTGTTATGTCATTTCTATATCGAATTGTATTATGTTATTGTTTATAATTAGACAAGCTATAAGTATTAAGGATAAGGGAGTGATTACGCTATTGAATATGTTTGGTAATCCCGATAAAATAGTTTAGACTATTAAATCATAATGGGAGGCTGAAAAATAGGAATAGGATGAAATACTAAAGTAATCTCAACTAATTATTGATAATGAGTTTGTGTAAAATTAGCAATTGCATTCTGCTGAGCAAACTCCTTAAACTGTAAAGAGTGAGAAAAGATATTAAAATGATGGTGATCCTTTTAATGCTTTAAGACAAAAGGAATTGGAGGATGAGAAGAAGTTTTTGGCTCAAAATGGTGTGGGGTTCAAAAAGAGAGTTGTTGAATTAGAGAGAGGAAAGTAACCAATTGCTCCAACTCCAAATACTTAGTAGTAATAAACGAAGAAGAAGCCTTAATAAGTGGACCCTAAAGTCTTAGAAAATATTGCTAACATAAAATTAAAGAAGGAGGAAGAACTGCTGAAGAAATAATAGGAAGAGGAGGAAAAGAGAAAAAGAATAGAGATATTACAAAAGAAGGCATAATAGGAGATTTAGAAAAGAACTACTGGGAAAGTAATTGAGAAAGCAGATGAAAAGAAGGTTGAATTGATTGATCTTGATGATCATGAGACTCACGACTATGAATCGATGAGCGTGGCTATTAAGAAGAATCATAAAGCTATGAAATATCTATTCTCCAAATACTCTAACACGACTAATTAGGCAAGTAAAAAATAGTACTTTGGGGAACTTTAGGAATAGTATGAAATTATATAGTTATCTGATATAATGAGAATGTTGAAAGATTATTAAGTGAATATGTCTAAGGAGGAAATTCAAGCATATGTCAAAGCTATAAATCAGAAATATTCTGAAAATAAGAGTGATCAATTTAGTTTAGATTAGTAGAATTTCGAGAGGTTCCTTGCTTAACTGTCGATGAAAATTGAAGGATACACCTTTTAAAGAAAACCAGCAGGATAATGTTTGGAATAGTTTATGCAAAATTTTGGTTCAATTGCAAAATCAAAAAGTATAACATTTATAATAAATTAATTAGATGAAAATCACCTCATATTTTTGGATCCAGATAATATCAATATTGATCCAGATAGAGATATTATTAGATAGTTAAATTTACAGTTGTAAACTCAAGATGTACCTGTTCCTAGTAAGTTCAAGAAAGTTACAGAAAAATAATTGAATTAACGATATGAATACAGATAGTAAGCAATATTGGGAATTGAAAATGCATGGCTTGATTGTCATGAAATAGTCAATTAATTGATTTCGGAAACATTTAAAACTAATGTTATGGAACCTTTATCGGATATAAAGATTATTTGGAAAGTCAAACCAAATCCACAGCAATAACAGGAGCAAGTTGTTTAAGTGAAATAGAGAGATAACTCATAATAGAAGAAAGTCATTAATAGAGCCATTGAAGATAAATTATTGAAGTAATAGGAAGAAGAATAGAAGAAGATGGATGCTGAGGAGAAAAGACAAAAACATTAGGAAAAGTTAAAATAGGAATATTTGAGAAAAAAGAGAGAGAAGGAAGAACAGGAATAACTTAAGAAGTAAGAGGAGAGATAAGAGATGATTGAAAAAGCAGAAAGAGAGAAAAAGTAATAGGAATAATTAAAGAAAGAAGCAGAAGAAAAGAAGTTAAAATTAAGAGAATATAAAGAAAAAATGGCAGAAGAAAGCAAAATAAAAGAGGCTTAGAATGTGGAAATACAAAAATAAAAATAAGAATTAGAAAGAAAATAAAGAGAGGAATTTTAGAAGAAATAGAAAGAAGAAGTAAGTAAGTTGTTGGAACAAAAGAAGAAAGAGTTTAAGGATAAAGAATAATAAGAGAAATAAAAGGAATAGAAAGCAAAAGAAGAAATGAAGGAATGGAAAAACAATGTGGAGATAATGCTTTAATAAGAATAAGAAGTAAGATAAAGGGAGAAGTAAATGCATCAAAAGATTTAATAGATGTAACAAAATTAGGATATTCAATCCATATATAAGAAATATGATAAATAATTATAAGCCATATATCATGCTTATCAAGAGTATACTGATTGGAAAATTGAAAATGCAGGAGTCGAGAAAGAGTTATTACAATTCAAAGGGTTTACTAATTTTGCTTCTTAATTCAGCATTTATCCAGCTATTATTACTCCTGAAGATGCATAACTAATCTTCAGATCAATCACAAGAGAAAGAGAACGATAACAATAATAATTGAATGAAAAAAATGGTTTTAATGCTATACCACCAAAGGGAATGAATTATCATGAATTTTAATAGGCATTATTGAGGATTGCCATAAAAGGATAGAAATATTTTGATCTCCTGAATGAAAAATATGAAAATAACATGAAAACCATAGATATGATTGCATTAAAAAAGGATCAAGCAATTTCAGAAGAAGGGCCACTGGGAGAACGAGAAGATCAATATTAACAAGTGGATGCAACCAGTTCAAAGACTATGCAAGGCTTAATGTACTTTTTGGATATGCCTGAGGAAAAAACTGAAATGAATTCTAAATTAAGAGCATTAAAATTAGAATTCTAGAAAGTTGCAGCACAAAGAGATAAAAAATAAAGTAATTCATATATTATTAATCATAGTGGTTTAATAAAAGTTAACAGAGGAAGTCAAGTAGCCAACAAAACGAAAATAGTCTTTAGGATAAAAGGAAGGAAAAGACAAAAGTTAAGAAAAATGTAATTAGATATTTATATCAAAGAACAACCTTAGAGGAATAAATCTTAAAATATCAGAGTTGATTCTGCATAGAATAAAATGAAATCGTCTTAAAAAGAGTAAATACAAGCAGTTGATGAAAACGAACTAAACAAGCAATCTCCTAAGAGTATTTTTAAACTATATATATCTAATAGAAATAGAAACTGTAGGACCCGATGGAAAAAAGGAAAGTTGGAAAGTTAATTAATAAAAACAATGATGATATATAACTAACTATTAAATTATTTTTATCTAAAAATCAAAATAGAATTGGCTCTTCTCAGAATAACAGATTGTAATTCTATTCGCTTCATATTAAATATACTTCCATATGTATTTTCTATGGCAATATTCAAAAGATAATAATTCCATTTGAAACAAAATCAGAATTTTTTCACAATTTCAAGATACACATATTCTCTTTGAGCTTCTTATTAAACTGAACATTCAGTGGTCAAAGGAATCTTCAAGTTGCACTCTTTATATATACTAATGAAAAGGATAGTATATTGATATAGATTGCTAAATAGTATGTGCATCTGAAATATTCAAAAATTGGAATTAATATATAAAGTTTATCGAAATTTCATTCTGCCAAAGCATCACTAGATGAGTTATATTCTCCATAACTCATTAATTGATAGGATTTCGTTTAATTTAGTGAAAAAGAGAAGAAACCATCTTTTTATATAATGAATTTATTGATGTTTGATATATTTTATTAATCAGATTTCTACTTACTTATTGGTTTAACCAGTGCTATCATCTTCCTATATTGAATGTTCGTATCCGTTAAATGAAATTTGGAAACAAATACCTGTCATTGCAAACCAATTTGACACTGGAATATTATAATCAAGGGAGGTGTCTTTGAACTTATTATATTGTTAAAATATGAACTTGAGCTGTGTCTGACCCAATTCCCATTCCAATTGTTATGAGAATCCATCCGATTAAACTAATTCCTAATGATCCATATCCTAAGGCCGCTTAATCTATAGCAATTTTAGCTAAGCTTATCAACAAGCCCAATAAGAGACAACTTGCTCCTGCGATATTCATTATCACCCATGTCTAATAATGGTCCATTCCTGTTAAGTCTGCAATATTGTAGGATTTTGCTTGATAACAGTATTATGCCATCCAGCAAGAAACATACAACATCATTCCGATATTACTAATAAAAGCGCTATAAACGAATTAATCTAATATTTTACTATCCTCTTGGTAACCTAAAATAATAATATTCATTACATTTGCTCCTCTTGTGGAATAATTTAGAAAAAATAAATAATATCAAAATATTTATTTGCAATCGCATTTAAACTAATCCGAAACGAGACCCATCCAAAATTTTAACTATTAATGCTTCCTCCATCAAGATTATTTGTATATCCAATATCGAATGATAGAGCAATAAATTTAAAACTAAATATATGTAATCCATATTTTCATTATATAAAAGAATCAAAAATGCAAATGGCTTCTTACATCAAATAATCAAATAGTGAAATTAAGCAATGAGAGCCTTGATCATTATTTGTTCTCTTCTTTTATTTGTTATAATATCTTTTAACAAAGCTATGAGTATAATTTTAATTGTTATTTTAGGTTTGTATATTTTAAGTAAAAATTCTATAAACAATCATCATTATCGCATTCATTCACTCAAATGATACTGCTTCATCTCCAATGACTCCATCGGCATGGGAGGATGCAAGAAAATATTTATCAATCAACCAAGCTAGAAATTAGGCTTGTCTTATCTAATCTTTTTTTCTGCATTGTTAAATGAGAACTTTTAAATTTGCTAAAACATTCCTGCGATTTCATTATCAAGGAGCAAAATAATATAATCCTAATATTTTCTAATTTCTGATATTTTCTGGAACTAACAAAAAACTTAATCTTATCGATGTAATTGGTTTGATGATTGGATGGGAAAGACATTGCATATTAAGAATTTACAATTTTGGATAATTGCATATATATATGATATTATATTAATTAATGTAATTATCTCCTTAATCCAAAACTACATTTCAATCCTTATTCATTGATAAAACTAAAGATCAAATTAGTAATATTCTTCAATATAAACTATCCTATGCAAATTAAGCTAGATAAAGGTTTATAAAAAATCAGATCGACAGGCCTAACTCTTCTATGATTTAACAAACAAATGAGATTGATTTCTCGCAGAACCAATACGAAAAGTTTAGAAAGATTTCAATGAATGATTCTTAGCTTACAGTTGTAACGATTCGCAAACCATAAAAAATTATGCATACTATAGAACTCAGCCCTCAAATTACTCCCATAACTTCATTTAATTCCTAAAGAAAATACAGATAACCGCAAACGAGTGAAAAATAGACTAATCCAACATTAAACAGTCCTGAAAATGAAAAATAATTTTATTTTAAGCAAAAATAATATAGAAATAAATTGCAATTAAAGAACAGTTAGAATAATAATATTAAGCTAAATTAATATATGAAGGAACATTGTTCAAATAGTAAAGGAATTTAAGAATTTGTTAAATATCAAGATGATTTGGATGAATTATTTAGGGACAAGCTATTTTAATAGCAAAAAGAATTACAAGATAAAATTGAAAACCTTAAGATGTCGACTTCGAAGCCCGATTAATAATTGTAACAATCAGGACGCTTCTAAGAATTGAGACTTTAAAAAACTAAAAAAAAACAATAATTATGATAATTTATATTAATTAATTTATTTTATTGTTCATAGATTTTTCACTTACAAGTTTAGACAAAGTTGATAGCATGGATTAAATTAAAAAATAATTAAACACTAAATATCTAATGGATATGATATTTTAGAAATATATATTAAATCAAATTATAACAATAAATTATAGAAATATATATTAATATATTATCTTTCAGGAACTCCATCATAAAAGTGTCATTAAAATTGGATGACTAATCAAATATTAAATAGAACAAAATCAATTAAATAGAGGATTTGATTATATAAAATGAGAATAGATTAAAGAATTAAGTAAAATAAGAATTCTAATTTTGTTATTTATACTGAATGTTCTACGATATCACTTTAATCACTGTGAATATTCAAATCTACCATGGAAGCTAGGTGCAATTAGCTAAGGTAATTATAGTAAACAGACTGATTAGAAGGATAAAGCATCGACGATTTCAACAAAAGATTTATCTACAGTTCCATCAAAGATTACAAAAATTAACCATCCCTCTCCTTTTTATTTATTCTTATCTTATACAAATAATGCTTCTGTTAAATATTGCTCTTATTAATAAAATCTTCTTTAACTATTTTAAGGGTTATCTTCATCAATTCTAATAATTCCATTAAACCAATCATCCTTTTCTTATAAATAGTTATTTAAAATTACTTTCTTAGATAATTGCATAGGTGAAATTCTACTTTGAACCAACGTCATCATCATGGACAATAGGAAATTCAAGATAATCATTTAGTATTTGTTACTTATGTAAAATCTCGCCTGTAAGTGGATTGATTATCAAACGATCATAGGAAGATTTAGAATCAATAAGTCCATTTTTAAGAAGATTCTCAACAAAAAAGCTATTGTATAATTCATAATTAGGATAAGTGATGGCTTATGCAACTACATTACCATTTTCATCAACATAGCCGTTTGAGTAATGCCAAACATTAAATTTGAAATAATTAATCCTATTTGCAATTAACTAAAGATTTTTTGATCTATCGAAAACAAACACTTATATTCCTTAAGAATCATCATCTAGTACATCTTAACCCAATGACTTTCTGCCCAATAGAATTTTATGAAAGTCTGTCACAAATTAAGAATACATAATTGCAATCAAATAATTGCCTGCTAAAATAAAGTCATGTAACATAAATCTTCTTCCATTTACTTAAGCAGAGTTTCTTCTTATAATTTACCCATTTTAATTCATTTCATATACATTCACCATTTAATTCATTCCATGAGTCAATCCTACATTATATATCATTCCTGATTTTGGATCTATTTTGGGATGAGCAGAAAATGTATCAGCATTTTATAAACTATTGGCATTGGTCAATCCAATGGTAGCTAAATCACTTTTGTTTAGATTTGTTGGTAATCCTCCTTCCCATAATGCTAAAAGTTCTCCACTCTTTAAGGGTAATACTGATGTATTAGCAGGATTCTTAAATGAGAAAGAATTGAATATTTTGGTAAAGAAGTTTCCTGTATAAGTTCTACCCAAGCCAGCGTAAATATACTCTAATTATAAATAAAATTTATCTACCATCTCTTTATTATTCATTTACATATCCTTCATTTTAAACAAATTTATAGGTTGCAATTGCCCTATCTTCTTTAAATTCTATCTTCAAAATCACTCCATCCTAATCAATATATTTTAAATCAAAACCCCATCAAATAAATGCCCAGGAAATCCATTTCTCCTCTTTTTTGTTGAAACTGTATTCCTATATAATGACCCTCTTAAGCCTTTTGGAAGTTCTCCTTTGCAAATAACCAATTATTGGTCTACAAATTCGATTGGATTTAATGACAGAAGTTTTTTCCAACTCATATGGAATTAATAATAATTCCTTAAAACTTAATTAGATTAGTATATAATTATATATTTATCATAGTTTTTATCGTATATTCTGACTGAAGTTATGACGAGATGAAGCAAATATATATTTAATTGAATAATATATATATAAAGATAAATAGCCATTTACATAGTTTTCATTTTGATCTTAGGCCCCTAACTTTGATAGTTAAGATTAATGTTAAAGGAATGATTTAGAATCCAAGGAATAATACAGAAATTAATCAATCTTTATGGTTTGGAATACAAAGCCAAATCCTAATTTAAAAACTTTAATTTTACAATTATTATTCTGATATTTTGGAGTCAATTTCTCTTAAAGTTGATAAAATTTCAGAGTCTAGTCATGTCCCAAAATTAATTCATTCTCTGGTGTATTGAAATGGCATTATCCTAAGATTTATTTAATTCCACAATAGATTTACTAAAAATCTATATTATTATTTTATTTCTGAAGAAACATCAAGAATTCTGAAATCTTATCCATGTTAATACTTATTGCAACCTGATTATAAATTTTTGAAAGAAGCTGATTTTAATTTATTTATAAAATAATTTATGAAAACTCATAAGAAGATTTAAAAAAGGAGGAATGAATTTCCATTAAATGAATTCGATGAACTGAAAAAGTCAAAAATCATTCAAAAAGAAGGTAAGAGTTGCAAGAAATTAAAAAATAAATTAGAGATCTTCAAAGACTAGTAGATTAAGTACAATAATGAATTAAAATAAGGGCCATTTAAATGAAGAAGGAAAATAGATTAAATAATAAGATCTAAAGGCCAAATAGAACAACCAAATTAAAAATAGAATGAGTAAAAAGAACTGGAAATTGCTGAGAAAAGAGAACCACTATTTGCATTAGAATCTGAAATAAAAGAGAATATAAATTCTGTCAAATATTACCCTAAAGATTAGAAATATACTTCATTATCTGGTAAGAATTTGAATGAACATGCAAAAGAATAACAAGAACTATTAATGATAAGAGCAAAAGAATGTAATGGTTAGTGAAGTATAAAAATAAGTTTTAATAAAAAGAATTGAAAAAATATAGAATGATTTAGGGACTCATGTTGATGCTGATTTTTTAAAGATGAAGAAGATGAGAAGATTATAGGCAAATAATCTAAGTTATTCAAATTTTCTAGATAAAGAAGACTATCTTAACATTAATTTGCAATTCTGAAGATTAAGTATTGTAAATAAAAAGAATAAAAAATTTGAAGAAATAATAAGGACGCATGAAAGCAATTGAATAATTGAGATATCATTAATTTGAGGTTAAATATTGGAGTCGATACAATAAAATATTTAGTTGAAACATAAAACAACAATAACTATAAAGTTTAAGATAATATTGAAATATTGATAAAAATAATTTTGTAATTCACAATAAAAATATCTATTCATTATCTTACTTGGCTAATTAATAAATTAATTACCTTTAACTTATTAAGCCGATAATGCTTGTAAATAGTAGTTGACTAGGATAAGATTCTATCGTTTTATCTAAAAATTATATTATTCAAAGGGGTCAAATTTATATATCTTAAATATCTAAATTCCAATCGACCTTAACCAACTTTAGCATTTATTCTAGAATAATTAATATTTAGGAGATAAGGTTTTTTGTATTTTTCTACTAATTATGATGAATAGAATTTGATAGATGAATTGTTTTTGAGTCTTTAAAAAGGCAAGAATAAATATCTGAATACCTTTCCTATAAGTATTAAGAATAAAATGAATATAAAATTGTATTATAATAAACATAATGAAATAATGATTAAAGGATCCTTTAAATTTGTAAGTAAGGAAAACTAACTAGTTAATCAAATGCAGAAATGATTCTAACTCACATTTACTTTATTGAGACAAATAAAATTTCGTATAGTGGCTTTTTTTAATAACTCAAAAAATTTAGGATAAACTATGAGATTTATATATATCTTTTATGAATATTGTGATAAGGGTAGACTTAAGTAAAATGCTAAAAAATGAATAAAAACTAGTTGGTAAGTTTTGAATGGATGAATTTGTTTACTAAAATTTGAGAAATGCAAGTTTATTTGCAATTAAACTTGTAAATAATATAGTTATAGTTCAATTATTCATAATAATACGAAAATTTTAATGAAAGATATTGTTTTATTGTGAAATAAGTTAAATAATTCGTATTATTATTAAAGTTATGCTCAATTATAAATGAAAGATAATTTATTTTTATTAAATTACTCATGCTTCTTAAAATAAAATAAGACATTGAGTTATTGTTTGATAATGTTCAAGCCTTCAAAAAGGAATCTCGGCCAATCTATTCAAATCTGGAGGATTAAATTGATGTAATATATTGACATAGAGTACATTTAGGAAACAATTAATCTCATAAAACTGCAATTTTACAACGTAGATGAAAAGATTATCAAGAACTATTGCTATAGAATTTTAGAGGTAATCTCTATTTTAAATGATAGCTGAAATAAATAAATAGTACGATGTAGGATATTAAAATTGCTCTGGACATACCAACCATAGTAGGATCGTCCGTGTCAAAAAGGAGTCATATGCTTATTCAACAAGAGAGCAAAGGGTATTTCACTATATTTATAGAAGGAGTGTTGCTTCTTTGCAAAAGAAAATAATCCTTAAACTTAATTAGATTACAGAACTTAGTGAAATACAAGATGTTATATATAATGGGAGTGAGTTTGATGGCATTTGCATTTTCAGATTACATTAAATTTATCATAATGAAGTGGAAAATCTGTAATAATAGTTTTAATAATTAAAATCATTTAACAATGAAAGATTCAATAGATTGTATTAATCATTCTCAGACATAATAAATGATTCCTAATTTCTTAAAATATAGGGATAAATTTAATACTATTCCGAAATAATCAATCTAATAGATGAGTTTCGAGATAAACTTTGTGAAATAATAAAATCAAAGAATGATTCGATTCTCACAGTTGATAGTATTTAAATGACTAATCATTTTTAGGAACTAAATCTTTATAAAATCTAACATCTGTGTCTAAAGATTTTCTGGACGAAGATGATCATTACGAAGTCAAAAGAGGGAAATATAACAACTAACTTAAATAGGAAGAAATAAAGAGCAAAAGAAAGGAAAGCTCATCAGAAACATGTATAAATTGTTAAATATTTTGAATTTAATTATAATCATTTGAAGTAATCAATTATTTCTTAGTATTTTAAATTCTCAATCCTTCTATACTTTTCATACATTCTAATAGAAATATAGGTTTCTTATCTAAAAATCAAATAAAAACTTACTCTTGTGTTAATGGAATGTCACAATACTCAAATGCCTTCTTAAACTAAGTTAGATCACAATTATCACCGTTTAACATTAGATAATCGGTTAACTTGTTCTTGTTATGTTTGAAAATCTATTTTAATTCTTGATGTATTGTATCATAATACTGAGGGTTAAGCAGTTCAAAAGGCTTGATCAGATTTCGGAAGATGCTAATAACAATTACAACATCATTCGTCTAATAACTATCATAATAGATCCATTCTTCTTGTTCAGGTTCAGCAAGAAATCTCGCAACTAATAAAGCCTGGTCATCAGGTAAATCAAACGGAGATTACTTAAGAATTTCATCAATTTCACTTAGATTAATTATGCCTCTAGAGGATTTAGAATAAAGGAATGAGTCTAATTTTGAGAATGGGATTTAAGCAAGTTACAGTTTCAATGCTAATTCCTTTCCTATGATCTCCACCTCTTTTAAACTAACCTTTTAAACCTTTTTTCTGTTCAACACCACAGTTTTTTGTTTTTAATAGTTTTGGGATGCTTTCCTTACTGATTTTTCAGACAAGGACTCTTGTTCATCTGAACTTTTTTCAGCAATTTGCTGATTTTCTAAATGTTAGATTGTTTCTTTAAATTATCCAATTTAGATATTCAAATTATCAATTTCTCTCTTGTAATGTGCCTCTTTAAGTTAATAAGCAGTTTTGTCTTCCTTTAGTGTTTTTTCTAAGAGGTTGATTTTGTCATTTCGTAGTTTTACTTCTTCTTCCAGTTGCTGATAGAGTTACTTCTGGTTTTCTAATCTCATTTACCATTGTCGATTTAAATCATTGATTGTTTTTTTTGGATTGCTATATTCAAATTGTATTAGTTGCAATTCTTTTTCTTTATCAAAAACTAATTTTTCACTTTGCATTCTTTTAAAATCAGAATGATGTAAATCTTGTTGTATTTTTTTGTTATGTAATTCTAATTCCTAGATTTTCTATTAAGAAATAAGTAATTCTTAGCTAATTTTAATATTATCTTTCAATAACTCATCTTTTTGACTGAATTGGCTATTGTATTTATAAATAAATATAAATTACATCTAATGAATTAATGCCTAATATTTAAATTTCATTTTTTCAAGCTCTTCTTTGATAATTTTACATTCTATCTTAAAGAATATGCATAATAGTCAACCTAGCATTCTTGTAACTTTGTTCTTCTTGTGTCTCTTTTTAATTCTTCAATTTACTGTTGGTTGTACAATTCCCTAGCCTTGTAATCTTTGATTTGTTTTTGATATGCAATAATGGAACATGTCTCGATATTAGAACTTATTATATACTTCTTCTGTTTTCATTCTAACTTAAAATTCTAATTCAGATTGTTTGGATTCGGCTTTGGCTTGTGTATTCAAAATGAGTAACTTTTCTTGTTTATTCAATTATTTCTAGATAAGAATACATCAAAACCTCGAAATGCAGTATTTACTACTTCAATTGTTTGTTTTCTTCGAAGAGTTGATTATTGGATTGCTTGACTTTTAATAATTATTCGTTCAGATTATCAATTTCTTGTTATTTTTTTGTTTATTTGGTTTCTTAGACTAAGGAATAGACATACTTTTGGAGATGAAAAAAGAGGCTTTGTTCTCCACATTTCTACAAGTAAATGTTCTTTGGGCAGAATATAATCTAAAAGGAGATTGCATTGAAGAATGTTATATTATTTTATAATAATAAATCACCTACTTTGAACCATCATTATTTTATAAAAATGAATAATTAACAAACAATTTCAAATAACTCCATGACAGAATAAGCAGTAGAGGATCAATCATATGAATAGGAAGAGGACGAAGATTTGGAATAATATACACAACAATTAAACCTAAAATAATTATTAAAGAACTCAGGTATTTCAAAAAAACTCAATAATTTTTAGATTCTTTAATGTAACAGATCAATTTATTGAATGAATAGGCTACTGTAAAAATCAAATAGCAGAAATACAAGGAGGCTTTGAAATTATTATAATAATCCGAATAGATGTTGGAAGTAAGATAGATTTCAATAATCTTAGTTTGCTGCAAGTTGTGGCAGGGTTATCGACAGGAACCTTATTATAATAATTTTATATAATCAAGCTTGCACTTATTAATGGTATAGAATGCTTTTATTTAAGTTAATGGGTTCTGGATAAATGTTCTAAATATTTGGATGGAGTGATCTATAATATGGAATTAGCAATTAAGGAAGATGAGCAGGATCTAGAGAATTTGGCTAGTGCTCAAGAAAAATAAGCATAACTAGTGAAGAGATACACTTTTTTAGCCAAAGCTTATTTACAATATACAGCAATTTTAAGCCAATTGGGAAAGTAATTGAAAAAGAATAATTGATAGGCATAATAAAGCACTTATCAATTCATAAAAAGCAGCCTCGATTATGAGAGAGTTGTTTAAGATAGCCAATCAATTCTGTGTTTAATGGTTGCAGACTAATGGATCTTCAGGGACTGCCACCACTTCTTAATCTAATATTTCAGTCAGGAGCAATCAGCAAGAGTAACAATAATAGGAATAGGATAAATAGAAGAGAGGCCAAAAGTATAGGATGAAGGATGAAATTGAATTCAGTAAATTAGTAATTGATGGTGCACAAGAAATATTGAAGGATATGATAAAATAAGTTGAACTCGAAAAAATTCCAGTGAATGAGAAACAATTATTGAAAGAAGCCAAGAAGTAATTATATTATTGGAGGAATAATCCAGAAAACAATGAAAAACATTTACGAAAAGAATTGAAATTAGTATCTCAAAATGAAGAATATCGATCATTATTGGGAATTCAGAATTTGGCTGAGTGGATCAAGAATTTTAACATTGGATCTATAATGCATATGGCACCCTAACTTTATGATGATTTCACATAGTTCGGTGAAATGATTTATGAATTAGCCAAAAGATAAATACTCGAAAAAGTAATCTACTTCTCTATTTCTTACTTTACTATAGCTACTGAATTAAGATTTGTGGAATTGGACAAAGCTAAGCAAATGGGCTTAAAAGAAGATAAGATTGATACTGAGGAATTCAAATTAAGTGAATTGTACCACTTAAAGTCTATTGAAATAGCCTGTCGTCACATTACTACCTAATCTCCCTACATCAGTCATCTGATTACTAGTTATCACAAACACTACAATATAAATTTGGATATCATAAAGGAAGAATCGATATTATCAAGTACTTCTGAGAAATAAACTATTGTGAATCCAGAACCCTAGAAATAGAATCAGAAGTTGTAAATCCAAATTTTAAATGATGATAAGTTCATTGTTAAATAGGATCAATCTCCTAAACTAACTAATAACTTCATTACTAAGTTTTTGAATTCCAGATCTCCTCCCAAAACTTCATAGCAATCCAAAATTAAAAGCATTATTCAGAATTAAGCTGATTTGATTGAACAGATGATTACTCAGAAGAGAGGATCTGATTACTCCCCTACTAATTAATAGAAGAATCTTAAGTAATAAAATTAAGGACAATTTGATTTCAGTGTGTATCTTAAGAAATAGTCCAATCCCTGTAATACTAGTAATAGCGAGATCAATTAGACTCAAGAGTTCATCAATAATACCATGGCTATTTAATTGCAGCCTCATAAGAATAATCCCAATTTCAGAGCCAACCCCATATAACAAAGTCCCACGAATAACAATAACTAATTGAAATCCCTGCTTTCCGATGTCTGTAGGACTGAGAGACAGACGGCAATTGATAAGTAGAACTCGCACACTCCCATTAGTTATAGAGTAAACAACAAATCTCCTGATTCTTCTTATGTCAACTCCTAGAAACCTAAGCAATAGTAGGTGCATTAAAATAAAACACCTTAAAATCGGCTTAGAACTAATACAGAATAATAGTAACCATGTACTCAATATATAAATTGTAGGTTTTCCATTTAAGTTCGATACTATTCAATCCTTACTGAAGAATAAAGGAAACATTCTAAAATATAAGTGAAATATAATAATATTGTAATTTTTTCATTTTCTATCCTCAATGTCTGTCTATTCAGGATTTGCTACTCGATAGTTGGAAGCCTAATATAACAAACTCGTTACTACTTTGCTCAAAATATTATAGCGTAGAATAATTAAGTTCTATAATAATGAATTGGCTGATGAGCCGCAGTTCAGGAGGGTGGTGGCAGAGGTATTCATGTGATATTTTTCAGACTCTTATGAAATTGAATCAAATGGAACACTAAAAATACAATGAACCTTATATTAGTGCTGTGATGGGTGAGATTTGCGATTATTTGGCAATATAACAAAATTGTGCAACAGGTTGCGTCTGCTAATGTCATCTTCATTTGAGAAAACAAACATTTTTGACTTAGGATAAAGAAATCCCATCAAATTCTTCCTCTTGCAGAAAGCAAACAGTCAGTTCTAGGAAGGCAAGTATCAAAGGCATCAATAATACTACTTTTATTGAAAAACCATAACTATCGAAAATTCAACAATACACTCGTGGGTCATCCTCCTACAAATCTCCCTATTATATGAGTCAAAACAATCAATAGTATGGGAAATCCAAAATGAACTTCTACTAAAATACATCCAATGCCACTCATAATAGTTCTATCGAAAGGCCTACCACTAAAAGTTATTAGAGACCGCAATCGAAATCTCCAGGGAGAGGCATTACGTCGAGAATCATGAAGTCGCAAGAGGGATAAAGGGCTAATCCGAATGAGAGTTTGGAAGAGAGGAGATACGAGAAACCACAACCACAAAAATTCGGCTAATCATACAATAAAATTTTTAAAAAAAGGATTTTTTGAAAGTAAATAATTTTTATATTCAATTCAATGATTATATGATTAAGTTGATCCTGCTATTTAATAGATTTGATACCCTTTCATTTTATAACCAAATAAATTAGATATTTTTTTATTAATTAAAATAATTAATTTAAGGTTTTCTGTGTTCTAACGTGATCTTGTTGTAAATACATTTCGCGTGCTTCACAAGTAAACCGAAACCGTAAGATTCTATGTGTCTTAACCAACACTTCGATAGTTGGTTGAGATGAAAGAATCGCATAAACAGTATAATTGTTACTGCACTTGTTGCTGATATTTGAGTTTGTTGATCAATCAAATAATTTCTCACAGGTGCTAAAGAAATTTGGATTCAAAAAAGCCCGATGTAATTCATTTAATGGCTGCATCGGCGTCGAATACCAGATAATATAGTATTATAATATTAAAGTATTAATTCGAAAACATCTTCAAATATACAAATATATCTTTAGAGAATATCGATCCAAGAATCCCATACATGTATAATTATTGTTTTCCTATTGAATACATATAAATATCTTCTTCATATCGTATTATAAAATATATTAATTATGATACAAAATATTATAGTTTTTGTTCATACTTACAAAATTAGAAATATTTGAAACAGTTCTTTATTATAATATGTATTTGTGCTCATTTTGTAAAATTTGTAAAATAAAATTATTGAATAATTTCCTACTTAGGTATTCATCTAAAAGGTGTAAGATTTGTGGTAAGATTAAAACTATAAATTTAGATTAAAAAAAGTATATTTCACAGACGAAGACTAATTCCTTTCATCAAAGTATAATACAATATTACCATGTATTTGCTGAACTCTTGCTTGATAGGGAAAAATAAAATATGATTTACGCATTTAATTAATGAAAGTTATTATGAATGTGGTGTTTTAATTCTTCAAAAAAGTATTTTTCATACTAATTCAAGAATTTCTTGAATAAACAGATGGATAAATATGATTCAATAAAATAATTAATGATTTAAAATTCAACAACCACTCCTCCAAACGAAGACTCGTTTCGTAAGCCAATCATTTAAATAATGACACAAATTAACTCTTAATAAATGAGAGTGCGCAATCCATCTCAAGAAACTCGAAAATTATAAAGTGAAAGCCATTAATTTAAAATTACCCATCCGAAATCCCCCACTTTAACTTAGATCAGTGTATAGTTAGCATCTGATAGGATGTCTCTCAATAATCAAAAAGATATGCTTCTGATTAATGAAGAACCAAGCAATAAGGAGGACTCTCAATAATTGAGTGTGATGAGGAAATCAAATGATTGTGAACAATTGTATCGCAAATCTAATTTCAATGTATCAAGGACCCCTCCTCCATCCTTAAGATTATTGTACTTCTCAAAATCGAACTTGTTTTCGAATAAAATATTAACTAAATAGCAATTTAAAATCATTCAAGACTTGTCTTCAGTATATATCATTCCTTTAAAACGATAAATTCTCATTAGAATACAATAAGATTCTATCGCTAAATAAGTGATCTACGGCTTCTATATATGCTTTTTAGTCTTCTACTTAACTATACTATTAATGGAATTGGGATGTAATTAATTGACACTCTGCAATCAATATATTTTCCATTATTTAATGGCTATTTTTTAATTACTTGATTGTGCTTATCAAATTTTAATTAATAAATTTTGTATCGCTGGTATGTTTGCAGACGTGATCACTCTATTGCCACTTTTTGCATTTTTATTGGACCTAGGAGAAGCCCAGAAAATATTCTACTTGCTGTACTTAATAAGAATATACAAAATAACCGATTTCACTTAAAATCTGAATTGCTATCTAAATTTATATGATCCCCTTTTTGTTATTCAAATCACAATCTAGATTCATTTTGTAACTATGATGGCTTAAACACTTATATATATGTTAGCAGAACAACAACAAGATTACATCAATTACATTTAAAATATATTTGCAGTTCTATTTTTAAATCCCAGCATAATCAAACGTTATTATTTTATCATCTATTTGATTAGAACCCTCCTATTGATTTTCTATCTGTACAAAATCAAGTAGATAATAAATCATCAATCCCTACCTTTGGATTCGTATATCAATTATACTCCCAAAACCCTGAAATCTGTAATCAATTATCAATAAGAAAATCGAATTGCCAAATTTGATATGAGATCACTACCAACACAACTGCAATAGCAGATGAAGCGAGAAAAGTACTTCAAGATATTGTAAAGTATCCCCATATTTCACTAATCATTCTCTAATTAAACCTTACTCGACATATGCGATATTATAGAGGAAGACATTTTAGAGCCGAATAAAATAGTTAATTAGAAACTGTGTCTTCATTTTCTGTTGGAAGGACAAGTTGAAATTGTTTAAAAATGTTAATCGACCTATAAAGAATTCAAATTGACTAAAATTTCCAAGACGTTTTAGATCTTCAATAATATCGCCTTTTTTAAGAATTAATTATAAGGAATAGAATTCTAAAGCATTGGATATTCTAAAATAGCTACTTTAGATTAAAATCAATTTCAATCACTGATACGATAATGTCCTCGAGAATTCTAAAAATATAGAATGCTTATTGATACACTTTTGATTGAAAATCAATCTCATTTGATAAACATTTAATGCTTTAGTTGTTTAAAGTAACATGATATAACTGAATGTCCAGTTGTTAATTTCAAGCCTAATAAAATCTAAGTTATTCAGAATTACATCATAAATAAAGATTAAAACAGAGTTATAGATTTCCGAAGAGTAACTATCTTTAATTATTTAATTAGCAAGCACGTGTCAAACACAGAAAGTATATTGCTTAACCCTAAATACGGGTATAGGACCACTCTGAATCTCTAGCCTCTAAAGAATATGAGAGAGCGGAATCCTACTAAAAGATCCTAGCCTCCTCCAACTCTTTACAAAGCTAAAACAACAACAATGTCATTAATCAATTGGAACTAAGCTCAGTTCCATACATCAATTATTCACATAGTGGGCAAACCTTATAATCGAAGAAAATGGAGTCAGATTATTTTTCATCTTCACAGGGAGTGAGTAGTAGTATCAGCAGTAGAAAGATCTTTGTTAATGAAGTTAAAGATGCTGGTCAATCCAAATTTTAAAGACTTGATCACACAGAAGAGCAACAAGGGTCCTCATTTAATAATCATCCCTTATAAAGAGTGCAAGACAGTGTGTTGCATACTAAGAAAAGACTCAATCAAAATGGGTTAAAGAGGGATGACTTTTAGTAGTTGCAACGATTTTAAACTGATGTTCCATCTGAGTTTAAAAATAGGGATTAACGAAAGAATCAAACTATGGTTGCTAATCAAATAGAATAATTAGATAATTATAATAGAGGAATATCTATTGAGAATAATGTTTTGGAGTAGTTTGAGAGGATCAACTCATATGATGATTATTTTCCGCATTACAATGTGGATAAGTAAATTAACTACTATCAGCAGATGCAACGCGATCAAAAAGGATTAGAATTGATGATAACAATATGTATATAATTGGAATATTTATTAAATTAAAGTTTCAATACAACACATTATATAATCATATGATTCTCTAATTACTCAAAATTCTTTTAAGGTAAAAGACTTACCATCCTGTAATAGCAATTATGCCTATGACTTCAATCAAACTGAAAATCAACAATTTAGCATTAGCTTTCGAAACCTCTCTTAATCCCCCCTCAAATTGTTAGGCAGCCATTTTGTCATAGAAATAATTATCCTTAATCATATTAATTTAATTTACCCTCATCGCTGTGGATAATCTCTCAATTCTGAAAGCCAGAGGATCCAAATCAGCCAATTTAAGGAACTCTTAATGAGAATCGTGAACATCAATTGCAAAGGTTATTGTTAAGGGTTCTTTTGTCTACAATAGAAATGAAGAATACTCTTCTGTTTATGAAGATGAATTTATATTCTCCTTTTTCTGGAATATCTATTTTAAAGATGCCCTCCTGAACTCTTTCCTTTGAATACAGCAAAGTGTTATTAGAAGTCTTGATATAGAAATCAATCTTCTGATCCAATTTGAATTAAGGGATGAAGTATGCCCCTCTTATGGTTGTTGGCTTCTTGATGGTCTCGCACAAAATCTATGCTTACTCATTAAAGTGGATACCTCTGTGGCTCCAGATTGTAATTCAAAGGTAAGTAGATCTTCAGGATCAAAATCATTCATTAATTAATCCCATTAAAGCATCAAAGGATCTGCATCAACCTTTTTTAAGAGATCCTCAACAGGATCCACCAAAATTGCAGCCTTCTCTTGAGCATCGTTGTCTTCTGCTTCTGGTTGATCATCAATTACTTATCCATCACTGTCTCTATCTTTGTCACCGAATCTAAGCTAGGATATTTGGTAGATGCATAATTTACCCCAAATAATGGTCTTAATGCTTCGAGCAATTCAAACATATTTTCTTCTGCACCATCTATAATGTCTGCCAATTCTTCACTATCTATTGATTAATTATCTTCTTCCTTTTCACTTTTTTTGTTTTTCTCATCAGAATTTTCTTATGGATTCTATTCCTAAGTCGAATTTATTGCATCTGATTCCTGCTCTTCCAATTTCTTTATATTATCCAAAGTGTCATCCCCACTTGTTTCAACATTCTCTTAAGCCAATACTAAACAACTTGCAAAGAGAAACAAAAATATTAATTTCATTGTTAATATTATTGATATATATTAATTTTACATATTGGACAAGTTGGCTTTTTCTTAATCCAGTCACTCAGACATGATTTATGATATCTATGCATACATTGAAGGATCAGTATCTTCTCATTATCAATATATTCATCTTAGCATATACAACACATCTTAGCAGATGGAGTTAAATTGCGTTTATTTATAAAATTATATTCGATAAAGTTAGGCTCACTTTTCGGTTATTCTACACCTTATCTATTATTATCTTCTTAGCGTAATCTATTGAATTATTCTTAGTAAACATCTATCGTTACGGGATTTGGTTGATTGTTGAAAATCCTCTCCATTTAATGAATTTCATTGGAGATAGCATTTCCTAATCTCTCAACGTTTCTTTAAACTCCTTAACTAAATCCTCGTATGAATTAGGTTCCCACATTAACAAATTAGTTTCCAGCATTAACAAATTAAGTGAGTGGACCCTATTGCTACTTTTAACACTGAGTTTCATGCCATTAAAGGAGTTACGGATCCTATTCTTTAAAATTTCTCAATAGTACATTTCTTGCAATATTTGCACTTTGCTTCAAATCTATTTTATCTTGGAGGACCAAAGATGGGAGGTCTTCTAGATGAAGGAGGGTCCATAGCAATATTTTAAACTATATTATAATTATTAGAATATCAAATAAACTCATTCCATTTATAATATCATTATAAGTATTTTATTTTATATTTACTCATGAACACATACAACGTAGGAAATAGGTTCTGAACGTATTTAAATTCATAAGCGAATTTTACAAATTTAATGTATATTATTAAAGTTCTTGTAAAATATGATTAAATTATCATACCACACAAATATGTATGGGTTTGTTGCGTTAAAAAGTTAAATGCAATTTTAATGAATGCAATTTGAAGTATACATAAAATATGAGAAAGTATTACTCTAGATTGATTGAAGAGTGAAGAGGAGAAGTAGACATGAAAGTCAATATTATGTTTTTGATAAAAATTAATTATAATATTTAAAGGTATGGGATTTTTGATTATAATGTATTTGTGAAATATGAGAGGATCGAAGAAAGTTGATGGATCTTGATGTGGGAAGTGTAAAAGTGATAATAGAAGGAATGATTGTTTCTGATAATATATATGCATCAGTTATTAATTTAAATAATATGCAAGCATAAGCAAATGTTTATTAGTTTGAAGCTGAGCCACAAGTATCTCACCCCAAATACCGAGATTAAGATTTTTATGAGGAACTCACAGACCTGCCTGATGATGAATCGAAGATAAGACCGGATTATTATATTGATCGCCCTGTATGTGTAACTTAATAGTCAAGCCAACTCCGGAATATAAGCCATTACCGAAGGGAATAGATGTGGAAACACAGATTGAATCTTATGAGCCTGATTTGTTTGATTACATTTTAGAGGTGGAGCCTGTTTTATAAGTTTTAGTGGGCAAATCGGTAGAATAGGCAAGGATGGAGTTGATCGAAGAATTAGAGAGACAAGAGTTGCAGATATAGAAAGCTGCCTTTGAAAAAAAAAGAAATGCTGAATTAATGGTAACTCAGAGAATGGAAGCAGCCTATGTTAGAAGAAAGGAAGAAAGAGTATATAATTATAATGATAATTTACCTAGGAAAGGAGAGTCTTGTAACACAAATTATATCAGGATTAGATGAAACTGTCATAATAAAAATTTATAGCTAGAACTCTATCCAAAAATGTAGTGAAGGGAGTGAATTACAGAATTCTCAAGGATCTTGAAAATTTGGGATTACTGAAAAATGATTATTTATTGGAATTGAAGGTTCACTCATTGCCATGGCTGATTCAGAGAATAAAATAAAATTGTGAAAATAATTAAAATTGTCTTCAAAATATCAATCACCTCTTGGATGAAGTCCAAACCCCAATCACACAATAACATTCAAGTTTTTATAATTAAGAACAACAAAGAAGAAGAGCGATCTTGGATGAGAGGGAAAGAATTAGAATTGAGATTGAAGAACGTAAAAAGAGAAAGGCTGAAATCAAAAGAAGAAGAGCATTAAAAGAAAAAAGAGAAGTCTAAAGAGGAGCATTCTATAATCTCACACTCTCTAAAGCAGAGTCACTCAACTCAATATTTCAAGCTAATATCTAGGAAGGCACCTCAGAAATCGGATAAAAGGGAGTGGTTTTGCACTTGGATCTATTTCTACTATTAGCAGAAGGATTAGATCTAATAACTGGAGATTAATTAGATTAAATTGATGAATCAATCGTATAAACTATTTGGATGGATATCCTTATGAACAAGTGCAATACATTCAATATCACAGTAAATTCATCCCTTTAGCAAATAATTTAAGAAGCATTTGCTAAGATGGAAGAAGATTTATACATTTTCGAGAAAAATTCAAAATAAGCAACCATTGATTAACTCAAAAATTAATCACCATTTTGGGCATCTTATGTTTCATAATAATATGCTCCTAACATTAGAAAAACTATATTGAATAAATTGTTGGATGGCTTCTTTGATATTTATTTTAAATCAGTAAATTATAAAGAGCCTAAACCAAAAGCAGAAGTTAAATTAAAAACAGAAGAAGCAGACTAACAGCAATAACCATCTGACTAAGCCCCACCTTAATAATCAGAAGATTAATAATAGTAATAATAATAATAACCAGAATAAGTTGAATAATAACCAATCGAGGATGAATATCAAAAACCAGAAATTACTTAACATGATTTAGAAATGGTGGAAGCTAGAAAGAAAATTAATCTCATCTTCAAATAACCACAAAATTAACTTGAAAATGTCACTGCAGTAGTCAATCTGCTTGTTCCTTGTTTTGTTGAAGAATAACCAGAATAATAACAAGACCCAGTCAATCCAGACTCACAATAAGCTTCACAACAATAGACTGCAGAACTGTAATAATAATAAGAATCAGCCGAACCAGTCAAACCTGTTGGAAAATGGGACTTTGATCCTAAGACAATAGATATTTACGATGGAGAGTAGCCATTGATTCAGGAAGGGGAAAGATAAGTAGTAGACTGTTTATTCTAATATGCATTCTAAGAATAAGTAATAGTAAATGATGAAAGGGCAGTTGAATTTTGTAGATCCTAAATTTATACTTATCTGAAAGAAAAGTATTTTATTCTATTTAATTCTAGATTGGAATCATTTATGAATGTTCCTGAATTTTAAAGTCTTTAATTTAAGAAGCTAAAATATTCCAATCTTAATGTCCCAATATATGATTTCGAATTATGAATGGCATTGGTTCCTTTATTATTAAAAATACAATAAGCTATCTTAATTTATTATTAATAGTTTTTATTATATTGTTCTTAAAATTTATATTAATTGTTGTATTATCAAAGGTAATAACCTTACATCTTATTTATTCTAATATATTATTCAAAAATCTATCATTTAGACAATCTTCTAAAATTTTATTAACAGCATAGCCTAATACTATATTTACCCTAAATGTGAACATTTTTTAATAAAAGATCAATTTAATTAGATAATTGGTAAAAAGTCATATATAATCAAAAATATAACAATATATTACTTGATTATTTTTAGTGGAGAGTTAGATTATAGAAATAATGAGCAAGTTCGAAATTATGGAGTGTCTGAATATTTTGAGGAATTTATTAAAGAAAATAAAACACCAAAAATTAGGAATATGCTATATAACGATTTATTCATGTACAATAATAATTATTGATTATTAAATAATTGGTTTATTTTAATATTGAATTAATAATTATTTTTTTCTTATTAATAAAAATTTAACAATTGAGTTAAGAATTAAGAAATTGTCGAAATTTATTGCTTTTTCTTATGTCGATAATTAATTACACGTTTCCGGTAAAATATATTTATTAACGATAATTCGAAGATTTATAAAAGAATATTTTTTAATTTATCAAACGATGTTCATATCCACAATCTCTAGACACTTGAAGGAAATGGAAGATAAAAATACTTTAAGAGCTGCAATCATTTACATGCTAGTTGCTTATTTTTTTCATGCTGTGCAAATAACATTTTTTAAATATGGTCATTTTAGCATAGTTCCACAGAGTTTATTTATTAGATCAATTTCCTCCTTGATTCTTATTTTTCTATTTCAATAATAACAGAATTATTATCCAAAGTTAAAAACACAATATTTAATAAAATCATAGTTTCTAGGAGCTATTGGATCCTCGCTATACTTTTATGGATTGAATTTTATTTCTCTATCTGAAGCAGCAATCCTTTTTTCCACAAATTCAATATGGAGTTAATTAATTGTCAGCTGCATGAAAAGAGAGCATATCACCAAGTCAAGACTAATAAACTCTCTAATTTGTATCATAGGAATAGGCTTGGTGTCAAATCCCACGATTAACGTTGAGGATCCTTTTATGCATATAATTGGATGCTTGAGCATATTAGTTTGCAGTGTAGTCCAATCACTATCCTATATCACGATGAAATAAATAGGATCTGAGGTATCGGCAACAATCGTTACTTCATATTTCCACATTATGATCATCATAACTTCAAGTCTATGGCAATAATACATTGGTAGATTTGAATACTTTACAGGATACTGGTTCTATATATTTGGATTTGCCTTTTTTACTCTTTTTGGATAAATTCTTTAATTCAGAGCTCAAACAATTGTCACTTATGATAAAATATGCAATTACACCTACTCTTAAACTTTATATGTCATTATTATAGATTATGTTCTCTTTAGAAAAATATTGAGTTTGAATGGTTTCATTGGAGGATGTTTTATTCTATTTGGGGTTTTCAAATAGTTATCAGAAGATAAAAAAATAAGGGGTTGATAACATTTTATATCATAACAAATAAATTCGATTGATAGAATCAATATTTTAAATTTCTTTATATATATTGAATGCTATATCATTATAATATCAAATAATATAAAATGTTAGCATCCACATAGTTTTATTCCTTATTAATTTTCCATCAAAAGATATTTTTAATTTCTAAGGTTTGTAATTAAAATTAATCAGAACAACTTATTGATTTAAGACTTTTTCTTTAAATAAGAATTTATATGAAATTAATCATGATATTTTCATAATAATAGCACTTAAAGTAGATAATTTATCTAATAATTATAATTCGTAATTTTGAATCAATTTCAACTAATTATTGAATTTACAATACCTCTTTATTATTTTAATAGGTCTACATATCAAATAATGTCTGATAATCTCAAATAAATAGAATCTTACTTTCTTATTTGTAAAATATCAATTGGTTTAGATGAATTGGCATCCTTAAAAATAAATATCAATTAGATGGAGTTTAGTTTTTGGGCAATTGCTGTTATTTTAGTTGAATTAATAATATTAATTATTTTTGGGCGTGTTTTAGTGATTATTGATTTAGTTAACGAATAATAATATAAATAATATATTATTTTGAATAATGGATTAAACAATCTTGTCAAAATAAAACAACTACCCTGGTTCTTATATAAAGCAAGATTTGAAGGAAGCCGAAGAAGAACACAAGGCTCATAAAGAATTGCAAGATAAGAAATATGGACTATATTTTCTATTGTTTTAAGGATTAGTTTATTTGATTGCTATAATCAGTTTTGGATTTGGGAATCCAGATTAGTTGGGGAAACCATACGACACAAATTGTATTCAAATAGACTCTATAAGTTTTTAGAGAATGTATGCGGAGTTGATATAGGGTTGGAAGCATATAAATTCATATACTTTACAAATCCAACTGATTCAAAACATTTAGACAGAACAGTGTGTGTTAAGGAGTGTCCAGTTTTGAATGTAGATAATGAAGCAGATGGTTCTATTTTTAATTAATACAATAGAATCGCTGGAATTAGAATGCTACCCAAATCAAGTAATCAATTCGTGCAGAAATAGACCATCCATTGATGATCCAACTTACACCATGTTATATTATGATTCTGTACCATTCATTGATATTTGTCTTCCAAAAAAAACTAGTTATTTTGATAACATTAGAGAAGGCCTACAACAATCAGGAATTATCACATTTTTATCAGACATTAGTAATGGGAAGATCATGATATTTGCCACTCTGACACTTTGTTTATTGTTAAAGTAAAGTTTGATTTAATAATAAACTTAGTTAGTTATTCTATTTCTTGATGATCAAACTATAACAGACTGCTATATGGGTGATTTCAATCTAATCCATAGTGGGTCTGTTTTTGTCAGGATTCTTGGGACTATTTTATTATTTGAAATAATCTCAATATACTGAACCTGTACATAGTACTTCCATATCTGGAGAAGAGGCAATAGGTATAATTTAAGTAGAGGAATCTAATATCACCATCATCTTAATTTCTAGTATCTTTTTCCTTTTGTTTGGCATTTATTTCTTGGTGGATTTAATATTGAATCGTAAGACCTATAAGACAATGGGAATCAAGATATAGATTGTCAATTATTTTTTTGACTTCTCCTCTTCTGGAATTCAACAACAAGAAGATCAACCCTCAAGATTCAGAGAAATCCTGATACTATTGATTGGCAGTGCAGCACTCTTATTGATGTTTTGTGGATTTTGGGTGTGGATGGCAACGTATTCTAAATTCATTATATTTCAATAGTAATCTCTTCTCTATCGGAAAGGCAGAATCAGGATTTTATGCATTTAATACCTTTTAGTTGAGTTGGACCACATTCATTATGGGATTCATTCATGTGTTTGAATTGATTATAGTGACCCTAGCCATTTTAGGAAGCGAACACGTAATATTGATTGGCAAAGTCATTGAAGTGTATAAACGAATGGGAATTCAGAGACAGAAAATAGATTCTCGTGATCCAGAATTATCATTGATGGATATATTTGAAATTTATGCTTTCAATAATTTTGGCTCGGTCGTATTTGGAGAAGCACTCATCTTCTTATTAATGATTCCTAGATTATTCATTAGGATTTATGTGTGGGCTAGATAGAAGAGGGATGCTAATTTTTAAATCCCAGCTAGATTGTAGGAGATACTGTGCATAAATGACAGAGCCTATCTATTGGCTTATTTAAGAAATGATGAATTCCTATTGAGTGCCAAATCTCAATATGTTTTTGATTAAAAGTTGAAAGAAACAACTAAAGTTCAATATCATGGAGAATAACTATCAGTAACTTATTGCTTTGCTGTTGCTAATTTATGTGTATCATTTACTTACATCTTGATCATCACTACCAGCACCACCATTGGCATTCATTAGCCAGTTTATTTCCTATTGATTTCATTCATTTTTTCCTATTTCGTAAATATTGATCCAAATATACTTAGATATCTATGATGTTCTCAACAGTCTACGGAGCAACAATTGACAATTTGACTATATTGTTATACAGAGACACCACAGCTGATGGTAAAGTAGTTGGAACCTGTGTAAAGAATATCGTTAGATTGATGAAAGAACCAGAATTGAATGAATAGGATCATTAATAATAAAATAATGGATAAGATTGAATAACTATTGCAATACAGTATCTAAAATACAACAAATAATAAACAATCAATTATTTTCCTCCTCTTACAATCCCCCTTCTTCCATATCCTCCTTGTCCTCTTATTCCATCTTTTAGATCTCCTCCCTTTCCTTCATGCACAGATCATCTGTGTTTTTTGAAGTGCACTAATTAAATATAAAAGATAGCATACATCCTCAACTTTGGGTCTTTATTCTGGAGCCACTCTATTACTGAAGTGACTGACAATCTATTAACTCTCTTGCATATCCCAAACAAATAGTTCTCCTTGACTAGATCCACATCCATAAGTCCAGGGAGAATCTTAATAGAATTAACCACAATAAAGGGATTCCTAAATTCATTGATTAAAATCTTACTAATTTTGGGTTGTATGAACTTATCAATTGCAATTAACCATTCTTTATAGGAGCATCTGTATCATACACTCTAATCTTTCCATCCAAACAGGTAGTAGCCAATAATCCTGGCACTCCAGAACTCATGTGTACACTGCTGAGTGCCTTTTTATTTACATTGAAATTAGCTAATGGTTATTCACTTATTTTTCTAGCATCTAACAATATCAGATTTCCATCCTCCGTAGAATAAGCTATCTAATATCCCTTAATAGGATCCCAACAGGCACTTTCCAATACTCCTAGCATTTTATGTTAATGAATAGAATCTGGTGATCTAGCATCGAATAAACAAAGCTTTCCATCCTCACCTCCTGATAATATTACACTTTCCTCTTTTGTATTGAATTTAGAGATTTAAACTTTATCTTTATGATGATTGTAAGTAAACACACATTTCTACAGCATTAAATCCCATAATTTAACCGAATGATCAGCTGATCCTGATAATAAGATGTTGGGCTTAAAGGAATTCAATGACAAACTCAATACTGAATCGGTATGACTGTCAGGTTTATATGATTTCTTATTCTATTTCTTAAGGTTTTTCACTTTCTTATAGTTCTACTCAATCTCTCCTCCCAAGACCATGGATGGTTCCAACACATTGACTACATCTAAATTCCAAATTTCAATTTCAGGCAAAAATGATGATACTATTGCATAATTTCCCTTAATTGCAGATGTACTCTCGACTTAACCTGGTTAAATTGGTAACCATTCTACTGCCAAAGGAAATGCTGACAATTAAATCTCATGATGCACAAATAAATTGGCCTTCTCCTCCTCATAGATATACACTTCCAATGATGAAAACTCATTTTCCTAAAATTTAGTATTCATTTATTTGATACGATTTTGGCTGCTATAACCAAAGCATCTGAAGATTTGATTTAGTAATCCTCCTTCTCTTCATCACTCAAATCCTCTATTGCCACTGGATATCCATCTTCTGGCAATGACTATTTCCCATGCATTTCCAAATCCTAACAAAATACTGGGAGATTGTCTTCACTCGAATCTTCGTCTTACTCTTGTATTTTACCCAAATCTTGTGTCAAACTAAACCTAAATTAAATGCTTTACTTCTTATTTATTAGTTTATCTTGCTTCATCTAGTTGATCTCCTCTTCATCTAAGTCGAATTCTTTGGGCTGCTTAATTGCATACCCTCTTGAAACCCAAGCTATAGCTGATATTAAATTTTATGCCATAAATTATAAATTTTTATTATTGTATAAAAAATCAAATGTCATTACTCATTCTCATTAATCCCTTTTTAATTTAATAATGTTCATAGCTGCTCTTACAACATGGCATTGAGGAATCCAAAAGCATAGCCTTCTCTATATCATGCAAAGCTTATATATATTTCCCGTTCTTCAAGTATAAATTGGATCTCTTTTTAAAAGCATCTGAATCAGCCTCATTCTTTTCAATATACTTCGTTAACTAAACTTCTGCTTAACCAAATTGGTTTTAAGATATCAAATTGTCCATTTCTTTCATAAACAAATCCCTATCTTACACATTCCCTCCGTCTTACATCAATTACTTAAATTATTTAACTATTTTAATTATTCCAGCAATCTTAGTTCATTTAAATTATAAATTCAAAGGCTTTTCTGGACTTTTTGTTTACCCTCCTCTTTAATTTTTCAAAGAACATATTTTTTTAAATATTCTTAGATAAACGTGACAAAATTTAGAAAAATAACTCAACCTTTCTATAAATAATCGCATAAAATTAAAATCATTATTTGAGCATATTCATGAACATCTATCGTTTTAACTCTAAAAACAGTTTTCTTTCCTTCTTGCATTTGAGCAATCTTATAATCACTTTGCAAGCCAAGAACTTTTCGATTTCGTTATCATATTGTAATTACTACTTTGTTTTGTTTTCTTTTAGCTTTTCTATAATTTATTAAGCATAATGTTCTTTTTTATCCAAATCCTAAATGATATTAATATACCTATTACATCAATCATACGTATTTATTAATCAATTCTTTCTTATAATTGCTGCAAAGTTAGACGAGCCAAGGCTAAGTCTTCTCTTCGTTTTGTATTAACTTCTATCATGATTTTTTCTTTTTCTCTTGAATCCTTCAACTAATTGAATATTTGAGCAGAGGCAGCATCATTATTTATCAAAGTCTTTTCGAGTTCTTCTCTCATTCCTTCTAGTTCCTATTTCCTTTCTTTGGCATTTCTTGCTCTATAAATAAATTTCTTCGGATTTTATTAATTTGAAGTCAAATTACTTTTGGAGTCTGCAGTAGTTTTATTTTAAATTTGATCTTTACTCTTAAGATTTTATTATTATTATTTTAATTCATCTCCAGTTTCAACAACTTTATTCTCTTCGTAGGCTTCAAACTCATCATCCTTTCCATATTCATTATCTTCCTCACTATTAGATACTAGTTATTGTTGAATAGTAGGCTATTTTATTATTTAATCTTCATCCTCAAAATCGTTGCCATACTCCTCTTGTTCCTTTTCTTTCTTAGTTTTTATTTAATCATAATATATTAATTGATTTTATCTCAATTATTCCAATTTTGCTTCTTTTTTCAAAATATCAATCTCTTATTGCTTGAGGATTTCTTCCTAGGTTGATTTAGCATTTTTTGCTTTTGGAGTATTCTTTATTTTTACTTTTTATAGAAATTGCTCTCTATTTCCTCTCTCTATTGTTTATAGTCTTTGATTTTTCTGCAGATACTAGTCTGCCTCTTTAATGTAGAATTAGTCATCCAATTCGTCATCCCAATCGAAAACGCTGAACACTTCGTTTTAAACAGGTTTATCCAAAACGATTTGATTGATTTGCTATGGCTATAGCTTATTAATAATCTTTTGTTTTGGTGTTTACTTTTTAGATACTTAAGAACTATTAGGTTATTTAGTGAGTTATACATCTGAACTAGAATTGAAGAGATTAGAATGAATCAAAGGAATAGTTTCAGATATATGAGTTTTTCCAAACTTGAGCATGTTTGAAGTAGTTTATAATGGTGATTATCGATTTGAACTAAGTTAGGTGGGTTCTTTGTATTTTAAGTATCTATGTTTTTCTTGTGGAGTCATTAAATACTTTGCCTAGGCACTCATTGGCCTTTATGGATTCCATTTTGGACTTTGAATTTTTTACGCTTGTCCAAACTTTCTAACATTATACATTTGCTCTCTCATTTGATCCATGAATTCTTTTGTATAATTTGGTGTCAATTCATCACCAAATTTAACTTCACTAAAATCGAAATTTAATGAAGGTTTCATTAATATATTTTATTTTTAATACACTACAATTCATATAATACATTAGATTATTCCTTTATGGTTTATTAAGTACCAATAATGACAGAATATATGTTGATAATTGTAACAAGGAGTACATTCTTAATTGTTCTTAATGATTCAATGATTTCTAAACTGAATTTTACTTAAAATGCATGAGAGTATAAAAAGAGAATTTTATTAACCATATTATTATTAAAATTTATTTGCAAATGAACTCACAATTAGATGACTCAAAAGAAAGTGTTTAGTCTCAATCTATGGAAAGATATCTGCAGGCAGAATCAGTTGGCAATTCCCTTTCCCCTTAAAGATAAGTATAAACATCGAGGAATACTCAAGTCGGAGCATCGATATTAAAATTGCAGAATGGCAAATATAGCAATTAATAAAATGTATTCAAAGAAGCACTCAATAAAAAAATGACTGAATTGCATAAGAAATAGCAAAAACCAATTGTTGAGGCTCCTAAATATCAAATAGAAATTAAGTAAAAATAGCCAAAAAGTAATAACATTATAAATGTAGAAATGGATAAGGTGCAGTAAAACATTAAAAATGTGTAACTTAAGGCAGAGGAAGTTAAGAAAAAGAAAGAAGAAGAAAAACAAAAAGAAGAGAAAATGAAATAGAGTAAAGTAGAACATGCTTAAGAGGATCTCGACGAAGGTAATTTCATCATTTTTATTATAGTATTTTAGGAAACAGTAAACAGATTGTACAATTATGAAAAGTAAAGATTGAAATAGTTGAATAAAATGATAGAAGATGAAAAAAACAAAGATAAATTAATTATGACTGCAAGACCCATGATAAATGAACGAAGTTGTAAATTATTAGAAAGAAAACTAAAGTAACTTGTAAATGAGGAGGAGGATTACAAAATGATATATTAATTTAAAGATGCAGATGTTTAGGTTGATCTATTGCCAGGTTTGCCCAAACTGAAAGACTATCTATCAATAAAGTATAATCAAATAATAATCAATAGTGTTAAGAAGACAATCAATTTGGGATAGGAAATTCAAATCATCAAGGAAGAGAATATAATGGAACCTATCGATCCAGCTGAGGATGTCCAATATAAAGAGGGTTCATGCCATGCAATTGTATAAACCAATGAAATTAAATTTAAAATTGGAGACACCATTAAAAAGTAACAATAGCAATAACAGCCTTAACAATAATAATAAATAACCTAATTTGCAACCCAGGATACTCCTAATAAAAAGGTGCAAAATTAAAGACAAAAACGTTTAGACTTTATGGAAGCCTAAGGACAGCGAGTTAAAACTGAATGTTAATATTATGTGCCATTACATATTCGTTAATAAAAAATCATTTAAAAAAAAGAGGAATGGATGAAATCTTAGATTGAACTCAAAAAGTAAAAGGAGGAGGAATCCATCAGAGCTGAATAGGAACAATGGGAAAAAGAGAAGTTGAAGTGGTCTAAAAGGAAAGATCCAAATAAATCTATGTAATAGGAAATTAATGTTGAAGAGTTTGCAAATTCTTAAATCCATTGGCTAGAAAAAAGAAATGAACACATTTTAACAGAGTAGATAAAGAAGGATAAGGACATGCTATCATCATTAACTTTTAGACCGTAAATACAAAAAAGAAATATTGAAAATTATAATACTACTAAAGTTGAAGATAGATTACTTGATTATCAATAAAAAAAATAAGAAAATTTACAAAAACTAGAGAATAAATACTTGCCTACTTTTCAACCGAACATTAACTAAAAAACTGTATATACTATACATAATAACTAGGTTCTTAATATGGATTGGGCATCAAAAAGCTTCAATAATACTTCTTCGAATAAACTATGGCAATGAACTGTAATTATTTTTAATTTATTTAACTTCGAACTCTAAACTAATAAATAATAATAATTCGGATTCATATTCTAATTAAATAATTAAATAATTAAATATATATATTGAATATATTAATTTATTGTTTTTCATATTTTTGGTCATAACAAATGTGTTAACAAAATTATAAAACGCAATAAACTAATAAATTATGTCATACATTATCAGATGTCATTGAAGGGGGAGATATTCAATAATTTATAAGGATTTGAATTTAAGATATTTCCTTATAATATTATCAAAAATGAAGCTCATATTTATAGCCATTCTATTGGTCACCTCTCTAGCTAGCGCATCCAAATTATCTCAAGAATAGCCATTTAATTAGTAGGAATATTGTAGAGAGCAAGAAATTGCAATCAATCTCAAATTATCAAATTACATAATCTTGAACACAGGTGGTGAATCAGCGCTTTATCAGAAGCCATACTCAACTCAACCTAGAAATCAAGATTTGAAAACATTGTTCTACAAATTGTTAACTATACAAGTCTGAAAAACACAGCACTGAATGACAATCAATTTATTCATTACATTATTACATTATTGATTATTTATTAATCTCTCCTAAGCCTCAGTCTCCTCTTCACAGGCTTATTAACATAGGACTAAGTTGTTATGATTTGCTTATTAATAATAGATATAATATAACATTAATCTAATAAAATATATAAACATTAGAATAAAATCAATTTTTATAAAGTTGCTCTTATTCTATTCATCTCTATTTTATTGTTTGCTTATTGAATATCACATTTTTGCACCATTGATGTCTAGTACCTAAATTGCATAGTTTCAATTCTAATCGAAGTGATAATTTGCAAAATGTATTGGATTGAGTTTGTTATTATGTCTGATTCTTTGAAAATTATAAATATTACATTTGACTTTTTCAAGAATTTCTAATTTATCCTAAGCCATGAAATCTTATTACATAGTAGTCTAAGCAAAAAGCAAAGCTGTCAAAGATTTTTAATCCAAAAACCACAGAGCATCAAGAGTCCTCAAAAATAACTATCCTGGTAAATTATTGAAAAACAGTACAATAATTGTTTGAAAAATACTCAGAATAATAATTGCTCTAAAAATATAATGAGTCTATAGGAATCCAATAAATAATGAAACCTTCTAATTTTTGTCTCAGCTTATAGCCGATTTGGATGAAAGAATTTTAAGTTCTATCTGCTATCAATTATCAAAATTAAATTCAGATTCTTATAATTTAAAACTAATAAATTAATATTAAATTCATTCAAGAGGAGAACATTAATTATTATTCTCAAAAGAATTAGTCAGATTACAAATAACAGTCCCTGTACTTAGAAAAGAGAGGAAATGCAAAAGAAAATATAGCTATATTGAGATGGCTCTCAATTATTATTAAATTAAGATACAAACAGTTTAAACAGTTTGACAAACAGATGAATAATCAAAATAAACTTAATTAAAGAATAAAACTTATGAGTATTTTGAACTTTGATCTAAAAATGAATTGGAGCAATTTATGGACATACCAAACATGATTGCAGTAGGACTCCTAAATTTAAATGATATAAATCAATTATTTATAAATTTTAACAACTCCATTTAGTAATCGCAATTATTTTTAGTTTTTGTTAAAATGCTGAGTGTTTTCTAATTGAAGAGTCAAACATTAAAAAATCCCCCATCTTAGGATATGATTGGATTTGTGGTGATATTGATTAGTTTCGAGGTGGATGAGAATAGGGAATTCAAGGAGGAATGCAAAAATTGAGCAAGTAGATTAAAACCTAATTTAAATGAGAGCGATTAATTTAGAGTTTATGAAAATACTAATCAATAAAAGTAATGGATCTGATTCAAGTCTAAGTTAAAAGTAACATTCTTTTCTTTATTCTTTGGTTTCTTAGGAAGTCTTCTTACTAACTAGAAATTGCTCCTAACATGATGGAGCATCACTATGGAGATTACAACGATTAGAGTGACTATTGCAGCTATAAAATATTTGCTTAGGTAAGGTAATTATTCGGTTGAGTGGTTCCTATATATTTACCAAATTAGAAAGGGAGATTCCATAAAAATTAATTTATTTTATGAGTGAATTAGAACAATATTAAGAGGACTTAGCAGAAGTTCAAGAATGGTTGAAGACAGCAAAAAGGCCAAATAATATTGAGTATTTGAACAAGAGGATAAAATTCTTGAACGACTCTATCAAGATACTTCAACCATAAAAGGTTGAGAAGGAAGAGTAGATAGAGTAACAGTTGCCTTAGATAGATGAATTGAAGTTCGAGAAAATAACTAAATACGCATTCGACTAAGAGGAAAGCAAGATCACAATAATCATCAATATGGAAGGGATAGGAGAATTACCAAAACAGAATATTCAAGTTGAGTTTGGAAAGAATTGCTTTGATGTCCGAGTGATAGGGTATCGCAACGCCAATCATAGGTAACAATATTTGTAATGAAGGTTACAAATTAAAAAAACATTTGGTGACTTTCTGCATAAAATGAGTAGCTTCAAAGTAACAAAGAATAATATTCATGTGATATTGATCTTGCCTGATAAAACATAATGGACTCAAATCAAAACAACAGAAAATATTGTAAAATACATGTTAATTTGAGATTGATCAAAAAAAAGAGGAGAAGGAGAAAAAGAAATTTGAGAAGGATGGCCCATTAGAGGATGACGTAAAGGGAGTGTTAAATATGTTGAAGGGATTTTATGAAAGCGATGATCCTGAAATGAGGGATACAGTTAGATAATTTATGAGGAAGACAGCCAATTAGTAGATGTGGAAAAATTGATTTTATTATAAAGAATAACAATCGATAATTATTGATAGATGGTTTTAATAGGAACAAGCAAATTAAGCTGAATAAGTTAGGGATAGTGAGTTCTTAATAATTTTAATAAGAATAATTAATTTAGGTTCAGATTATGATTATTAAATTTTATTCAGGAGTTATAAATTCTAATAATTAGGAATTGGATGCTTAAATGATTATTAAAGAATTACTTATTAAATTTAGAGTAGTTTTTAAATTATATGAATTTGAGTGTTATAATTGCATTTAAATTTTAATAAGAAATAAAACAATTCGATAAGACTTTTAAAAGTAAAACCTATGTTTGTTAACTATTAATAATTGATAAATATTTATTGAAAGCATTCTCAATGTAATTGAATAATCGGTCTTGAATTCAATTAAAACCATAATGGAAGTCTTTCATAAAAATATTGAATCATCAAATAATATGATAAAGTTAGATTAATAGTGATATCTTACAAATTTTCTCGATTAAAATATATTAAATAATTAAAAATCATTTAAAATCTTAAATATAGTCAAGTCAAATTTATCTGCTCATTTATAAATGGGATTCCATAACAACATGTAAGTGTTAATTTAAACATATTGTAATATTGTAACGAAGGAACTGCATTCAAATTGATATTAGAGAATTTTATCATGCTGCTATTGCAAATTGATTGATAAAATTTTAATATTTTAGTAAATTCAATACTTCAGAACTTAATTTTAAAAGGTTTAGACATTTTCAGTCTAAAACAATTCTCACAATAATGGTAACAGAGGTGTCTTTGCTTTATGTTTTTATGCCTAGCAATCAGAGATGACTTGAATACTTATCTTATTGATAATAAACATTTATATTATAAAGAAACGTTTGAAAAATAGGTTGAAATCGTTTAAAACTGCAACAACAAATAAGAACTAGAGGCAATTATTGATTCTAATTTAATCGAAAGGATTTAAGTATTTTTCTATCAGTAAATTGAATGACAAAAATATATTCATTTGAGACAAGTATTGAAATCAGTCAAGTACTATTGACACTTATGTGATTTCAAAGAGACTCTCCCTTAAAATAGGGAATGCTTAACTAAAGTGTTTGTCATTATAGAGGTATTCTATAATTTCGGATGCTTCTTGCATTGATTTGATCTTCTAAGATTAAGTTGCATTTGAATTTAGTTTTTGCTTGATCTCAAATAGAGATCTAATTCGTTCTTGCAAGTACCCACCCAGGGAGTGAGTGTCTCCAACCAATTCTAAATATAGTGACAACCGTTAGCAAGTGAAATCTAATTTTTTTTGTTAAAGTCCTTCACTTATAGTCCATGAGTTGCTTTTTATTCTTTTCCTGGAGGTTTGGCAAGTTCCCATTTAAATTTCTAGGTATTATGTTTTAATAGTTTAAATTAATTTATCATTACTAAATTATTAAAAGGCTTTTTGAATTTAATTCAACTTCTTTTCTAGTGAATTAATTTATTTTTCTTATGATACTAGAAGAACAAAAGCCCTTCACCACTGAAGAACTCTATGAATACCGTAAGGTCCTAGTAGACTGGAAATGGCGAGGTCCTGATGCCATTTACTTTGTTCTAGGCTAACTATGCGTAAATACCATATATTCTATCAATTTAAGAAGGGAACCCTAGAAAGAGAGGCGATTGTGCAAAGCAAAATATATAAGAGTGTCTATATCCTCAGGGAGTCTATCAGGAAGGCTCCCTCAACTGATATGGCATTATATAATAAGGATTAAATCGCCACCATTTTGGTCTAAATAATTCACTTAGTTTTAGTTAAAACTCAAGTCCATTCATAATTAGATCAAAGAAATAATTTCTAAGCCCCCTAAGCGAGAAAATAAAAAGACCATATTTTCTGTTGCCAAATATGTATTATGCATAAGGATGTTAATTTTTAGACTGATAACATCCAAGGAACCTAATCCAATATTCAACTGGGAGACTACTTGCCTCAAGACTAGAGGGATAAGATCAGAGCTAAATTGTCTGAGTATCTACAGAAATAACTTTAATAAAAATAATAATAGGATCTTTTTTAGGAGGAAAATTTGTAATAATGCTAAAAGCTATTAGTTAGAGTGGACAAGTGCAATAAGTTAGCTGATGCTCTTGAAAACAATTTATACAACAAACATTATTAAACAGTAGCACCAGGAAAAAATTATAGTTCTGATTTGAAAACCTTATACCAAGTATAATTAGGATATAATTCAAGTACTTGGGCAAAGACAAATCAGGGAGAGTGCTACACAAGTTATTTGAAGGCTTTTTTACAGTGAATTAAGCATGTTAATTATAACTGAAGGATTGGTTGGATGAAGAAGTTATTAGAGAGTTAGAAAATAGAAAAATTGTAATTAAATTTGACTATCGAATATTAGTCTGAAATGAAAGATGACGATGCAGATTACTATAGATAGATTCGCATCAAGGAAATGACTCAATCGAAAGGTTAGGAATGTCCAAGATGTCATAATAATTATTTATACATAATTGAAACTAAATAAATAAGAAGAGCAGATGAACCAGCTACAATCTTCTACGAATGTTTTGCATGTTAACATAGATACAAAGTTTGAGTATTTCAATTAAAATTATAATTTTGTTTCTATTATAACTTAAATGATCTACCAAGTTACCAAATGCTATGATTCTGAAATTTAATATAAATAAAATAGGTATATAAGTAAATAGATTGATATTTCTCATTTAATTATTTGCTATCCTTTTTTTTCAACGGATCTTATTACACCAACTGCAACTGTTTATTTCATGTCTCTTACAACAAATCTTCCAAGTGGTGGATATTCAGAAAAGGCTTCAACACATAAGGGTTTGGTTGGTATTAATTTAATAATAGCACCATCTCCTGATCTAATATATTTAGGAGGCACCTCTATTATCTTGCCATCTCTTCTGTCAAATTTTGCAATGATTTCATCAAATGTACAAGCAATACGTGCTGTATGACAATCTACAACTGGACAATAACCGTTTGAAATTTGTCCAGGATGATTTAATATTATCACCGAAGCAATAAACGAAATGCATTCTTTTGCTGGATCATTCTGTTAATCAGAAGCCACATAGCCTCTTTTTAAATCTTTACATGCTACATTTTTCACATTAAATCCTACATAATCTCCTGGAAATGCAACTTGAAGTTCCTCATGAAAAGCTTCTATTGATTTTGCTTCAGCTATTATTCCAGATGGAGCAAACTGGATCATCATACCTGTTTTCAATACTCCAGTTTATAATGTGCCTATAGGAACAGTTCCAATACCACCTATTTTATATACATTCTCTAATGGAAATCTTAGTGGCTTATCTGCATGTTTTTTAGGTGGTGTTATAGTATCTAAAGCTTCAAAAACAGTGGGGCCATGATACCATAATAAATTGGGTGATCTTTTCAACATATTATCCCCTTCCCATCCAGATATTGGAATAAACATAGTATTTTTTGGATTGTATCCTACTTTCTCTAGGTAAGTTTTAATCTATTCAACTATTCCATCGTATCTTTCTTTAGAATAATTTACTGATTTCTCATCCATCTTATTTATTGCACATACTATCTATCTAATACCAAGTGTATAGGCTAATAAAATATGCTCTTTAGTTTATCCGTTCTGAGACATGCCAGCCTCAAATTCTCCTGCAGCTGAGGAAATCATTAACAAAGCAACATCTGCTTATGAAGTTCCTGTTATCATATTTTTTAAAAAATCTCTATGTCCTGGTGCATCAATCACTCTATAATTATAATTATTTGTTTCAAATTTCTGCGTTGAAATATCAATTGTGATCCCTCTTTCTCTTTCATCCTTAAGATTATCCAATACCCATGCGTATTTGAATGATCCTTTTCCAATTTTATTAGCCTCCTCCTCATATTTATTGATTGTTTTTTCATCTATTCCACCTAACTTATAAATAAGATTTCCTATTGTAGTTGACTTTCCAGAATCAACATGTCCTATGACAACTAGATTGATATGAGCTTTATTATTTGCCATCTATATTTATTAATGATTTTATCTTAACTAGTTTAGTCATTTAAAAATCATAAGGCAAAATTTAATGACTAGACTAATAAAAATTATAATCAACCTAATTTAAATTTATAATGACTTTGTTAATTTTCTTCACCTTTTTTTCGATTAAGCAAAAGAGTTCTAGAGAATAATCTGTTTTGTAATACTCTGTAATATGATAAACAGACCTTGCAATTATTCAATAAAAGCAGTAAATAATAATATATCTTAATCAATTATGTTAAAAAAAATATAAATGAATGCATGCATTTGAATTTTTCAAGCATTATTTAATAACTAATCCTTTTTATTACTAATAGCTGTCATTAAAGCAAATATATAATTTGAAAAATTTAATTTATTTTAATAAATAATCTATTTATTCAGCATATGATATTTCCAAATCATAAAAACCTATCATTCCTTACATTAGGTTGGTACCTATGTTAAAATTTGAATTTTACATTGATTATTGTTAATTAAATGATGGAGGTGTAAATGTTTATTATTAAATATATTAAGATATGGCTGGTTTTTTCAAAGGTGATGTCTACTCATTTTACTGAGGGTATGGAGAAAATGATTATGAAAAAGTTGGTTATTTTTAAAACTGTGATTGTTGTAAGGACTATGGAGCTTAAACTGGATTAATTTGACTGTATTGACTAAATTGCTATTGGAATGAAGGGTTTTACTACGAAGTCTAAAAGTTTTAATTGAATTATGAATTCCCTAATTATGAATTCTGAATTGGTTGAATAATGGATGGCATTCCAGGTTAAGGAAGAAATGAGGCACTTGAGGATTACAAAATTGGAACATAAGGATCAGAAGTTTAATACGGATTGCATTTGGACATAACTTCTCTGCTTTTTTGTAGAGCTCTTTAGATAATTGGGTCCATATCTAAGAAATTGGGCTGGTAAGGATTTTGTATATTTTAATTAGGAAGTCTATAAGTATCGCTTTCATCTTAATGAGTAAATGTAGTAGGAACTGTAGCTGCTTATTACTAAGGAATTTCCCCTTTCATGAATTGAAATCTTTCTTTTAGTTGTCTTATTTTATCCAATCCTTCCTAAGTGGTTAGATGAGTTGCTTAATGATTTGATTCATATTTTGAATGAGTAGCAACTTCAAAGTCATAGCTTTATTTATTGACTTCAGTGATGGGAGCAGATTCTAAATTGGCTTAGAAATTAGAGGTGACTTGTCTGTTAAAGGAATCATTTATAAGGTTGTGCTGCTCATACAGAGATTAAGGTTAGCTTTCGATAACTTATTCTTATACGAAATTAGTTTGACTCTTGAAATGCAATGTTGATTTAATAGCTTAATCTTGCATATTCAATGCATATAGATTTGGAGATATTCTACTAGAATCGACATGAGATATTTTATCTAAGATTTCAAGATATGTTGGTCGATGATAGGTGTTGAGTTGCAATAGATCCTTTAGCAGATGCTTCATTGGATCGGAGTAATTGTACTTTTCAAAGGAACTATTCAATTTTTGATTAGCCAGTTCTGAATTAAAAGTGAAATTATTATAGAACTTTTTCACATCCATATTAGTTATGCACACCAAGAAGATAACGCCAAGTATGAATACATTTTATTTTTCAATAGAATATTCTTACTTATCCTTAAATTCTAGATAATGATAATTACATTTTAACGTTCATTTTCTAACACGTACAATTGCTCTGGAGAAAGATATTCGACTTCTCTTATTTAAGTAAAGACTTTTTGATATGCGCTTTGCTGATTGGCTAAGCAACATAGTTCTAGCAGTTTAACTTCCCCACTTAACTTTATCCTTATATTGTTGGGGTGCAAATCCTGATATTGGAGATTATTCATCTGAAGATCTTTCAATCCAGAAAGTATGGTCTAAGTTAAATACCAAAGCTCTCCCTCATTATAACTATGTTCAATATGTCATTATTAAATACGTTCTATCGTTGGCTCTTCGATTTAGGATGTCATCTTAAAGGCTTTTTTCTAAATATTCCAGCCCAACATGCAAAAGATTTATATTGCTGCACAAGTCCTCGGTTGTCTGCACCTAAAAATCCAATATTTTAGTAAAGTATTGATTGTTTTATTGTTTTCTATATAAAATAATGATTTACCTCATTTGAATTAAGTTAGCCCTCTTTTCCATATCAGATTGATCGTAAAATTTAATAAGTGCCATTTAATCAGTTCGTTTGATCTTATTGCTAAATAATTGGATTTCTCCGTATCCGTCATCTTATGCCACATTGAGAAAACTGTATTCATTTAATATTTCCAAATTTTATTTTGAGCTGTTAGCTCCCATTTATAAAATATTTATTATATATAATAAAAACAGTTTTGTTTCGATTTAATTCAATGAGATCCCATCAATCCAATACACTCTAAATCCTTCTACACAATATTTGAGCCAAGAAATTTTATCTATTTATTTCCATTCATATTTAAACATGCCTAATAGAGAAATCAAATATAGGGGTAAGTTCTACTATTTACTAATTCAAAATTAGCAACTTATTACATTAAGTTATTGCATTAAATAGTTTATATACTTTAAGATAATTAACATTTAAATGATATATAGAATAAGATTGATATGAATTTAAAATATTAAAGAGTTCATAAAGATACCTCGAAATCCTGATTGAAAAGTGTGAGATTAGTTTATTATTAAAAATTAATGATAGTATTCATTTTATTCACAATAATACATTCAAAATAAGTCTCCTTCTTAAGACACGGTATCAGATCCCCCAATGATTACAATGATTTAGATAAGGAGTTATGGAGAGACTATCCACAAGGATACTTAACATAGAAAGGATTTGATTAAGTGAGATAGATGGCCCTTAATAATTTCACAATTCATGATGGAAGTGGTATTTGCAATTATGATTCCTTTCATTTGATCTCCTCTGCGAAACCAAGGGTTATTCATTCAGTGATCGCCTTTATTTAAGGATTATGTCCTTAAAATTATAATGAAATTCTGGTGCAATATTTTAGAGACTATTATCAACAATATTCTACAGATCAGCAGAATTTCAATAAAATAATAAATTCTAATTTCAGTGACCCTTTCTCATAAAATTTTGAGACCTTCAAAATGACTAATGATTTCATGTTCCATGGACACAAAAGTGAACAGTGCCCATTAATAGATGTTCTTGATGATGCACTTTATAGTAGTGCAGAATATAATGAGATAAACAAACAAGTGAGATAACATCCATAGTTCAACAATACTTTTAAGTTGTTTAAGAAATGCAATCCTAATTCAAATGTTACAGAAGACAGTATTACAATCACTTAATTAAAAAAGCTATATTCAAATATTTTGTGTAATGAGGCATAGGGTTTATATGATTATAATCTAAACCAAGAGTAGGTTGAATATTTGATGAATATTTTTAAATTTTAATATTTCGGAATAGATTATTCACAACCACTTCAACATTAAGCAACCTTATCATACATACTGAAATGGTTGTTTTAGGAATTCTATAGTGAAGTAGAGGAAAGTTTCTTTTATGGACATGATGATAACCAGTATGCTTTATTGTCAGTAATAATAAAAGAATGGCCGTATGTTAAATTTGCAGGTAGGTTGCAATTCAAAATTACCGATGATTACGTGAATGTATTTTTAGATGACCGATTGCTCATAACCAATTTCTGCAGGGAAGGCGTTAATTGCCAAATAAGTGAAACTATTAAGTACCTGAACAAATATATAAATCCAAACATCGAAAGAGATTGTTAACTGATTATTTGATTTAAAATATTAAATACATGAAATGTTTTTAGTCCATTTAAAAATGGAGAATATTATTATTCTTCTATTTCTATTGAGAAGGCCTCATATAATTAATCTAATATATTCTATTGTGAGGAACCCTGAATTGAAAGTTATGCAAGATTGAGTAGAAAGAAAATGGTTTAGATTTCTAATACATTAGATATACATTAATTATTATTAATTTGTGCATTTAATCGCGATGAAAGGACCTGTAATTATTATAAATCTTATTTTAGTTTCTATGGGGATTTGTGTATAAGTCGTTATTCAATTTTAGAAGTAAGATGGTAATGTTTCTATACTAGAGCCGACTTTTAAACTCCTACAAAGTCCATTTAGTTTAAAAAAGGATGATTTAATTAAAAAGGCTAGCAACATTCCTGATTATAAGTTTGACTTCTCACCCTTCATCTAACCAGATGCTACGTTCCTTGTGAAATAATTAAATATTTAAAAGTTGCGGCTCTTACAAAAGGAATTAGCCTCTGATCCTCAAAATCCAGAGAAGGCATTCAAGTACATTCGATAATTGAATCGCATATAATTATACGATGAAGCAGTTCGTGTATTCAAATAAATAGGTAGGATACAATTTTATGAGTAGAAGACTGTCGTGAAAATGCTACTCCAAAATAACATCAATAATTATAAGAATAATATGGGATTGCAGTAAAACATTTGAAATCCAATCAATATGGAGACAAGCGTAAATCACTAATACTTCCAGGGATGATCTACTTGTTGATAGCTGCAGCCTTCCTTTATAAGATGATGTATCTCTTCTAACTAGTTCAATCTAAGTAAAAAAATGAGAAAAACTAGAAAGATGTTCCTGAGTAAGGAACTGGTAGAATTGATCGTTTTTATAACATTTTACGCAACAATCAAAGTAATTTAAGAAGAAAGAAACATTCCTACACGCTTTAATGACGTTTTGGGAATAGATGAATTTAAAGAAGAATTAGAAGAAATAGTAGAATTCTTGAAGCATCCTAAAAAGTATACTGATTCAGGTGCAAAATTGCCAAAAGGAATCTTACTTGTTGGCCCTCCAGGAACAGGTAAGACCCTTTTGGCAAGAGCTTTGGCTGGAGAAGCAGGATGTGCCTTCTTTTATAAATCTGGATCTGAATTTGATGAGATGTTTGTAGGAGTTGGAGCTTCACGAGTTAGGGAAATCTTTAAGACTGCGAGACAAAAGGCCCCTTCTATTATTTTCATTGATGAAATAGATAGCATTGGAGGCAGAAGAAGAGCATAGGATCCAGGCTATTCCAGAGACACTATAAACTAAATTCTTACAGAAATGGATGGATTTAAATAGAGTGAAAGTGTGATAGTAATTGGGGCCACCAATTTTGAGTAGGTAGGATTATGATTATATTAATAATATAGGTTCTTGATCCAGCACTAAAAAGACCAGGAAGATTTGATAAAATGATTCATGTGCCATTGCCAGATGTGAAAGGTAGGGAATAGATATTTTCCTATTACTTGTAAAAGATTAAATTTGATGTTCAAAAGGTATTGCCATCCAATTTGGCAAGACAGACTAGTGGATTCACTGGAGCTGATATTTAAAATATGGTCAATGTTGCAATTTTAAATGCAATAAAATATGATAGATAAATTGCAACAACTGAGGATTTTGAATTTGCAATAGATAGAATTGCTATGGGAGTAGGTAGAAAGAATATGCACGTTAGTGATAAGGAGAAGTTGATGACTGCTTATCATGAAGGTGGACATGCTCTTACCAGTTTATTGACTGAAGGAGCCATGCCTCTTCATAAAGTTACAATTCTCCCAAGAGGTGGAGCTTTGGGATTTGTATTTATTATAATTTTATTGCTTTTAGACTTCTATGCTACCAGAAAAGGATCAACTTAATTATACAAGAAAGGGAATCATTGCATCAATTGATGTGGCTATGGGTGGTAGAGCTGCAGAAGATCTATTTTTGGGAAAAGATGATATCACTAGTGGATGTAGTAATGACTTGGCTAAAGCTACTAATCTTGCTTATATGTTTGTTAAATAATTAGGAATGGACGACAAGATATCTTTGATATCAATTTAAAGTGATAGAGTGAAAACTAGTGATCAATTCGATTATATGGTTGACATGGAAGTTAAGAAGATATTGGAAGTATCATAAATTTAACCATTTTATAGGAATCCTATAATAGAGTCAAAAATTTGTTAAAAGTTAATGAATCTAAATTGAAGGACTTGGCTACAGAATTAGTAAAGAGAGAAACACTTTCAGCAGAAGAGATCAGAAAGTTATTATAAATTAGTTGAATATAATTTAAATGATTTTACATTTTAATTAACAATGTAGTAAATTAATAAATTATTTGGACTCATTGTACAGAGATAATGAGAAGATGGAAGAATTAAACAAGAAGAAATTTCATAATTACCTACTGTTGAAATATTCTTAAGTCTGGCTTTTGAGAATTGAATAGAAAAATCAAGTATAATTAATAAGTTTCATATAATGAGGAAATATTTAAGAATAGATTTCCTTCTCTCCTATGATTCCAGCCATAGGTTTGTTATAAATTTATTATGAATTATGATATTTTCTATTTTTAGAATTTTATAAATAATATATGAATCCTAAGCTGAATTTTCGAAATAAATGAAATAAATTTTCTGCAAATTCCTTAGACAAAAGCTTAAATTTATAAAGTTTTTTGATGTTCCTCAAACGTTGAAATTCTTTTGGAAAACTACATAATCAAACAGGAAATATAAAGTTACACACAAATTGGAGGTTAATAAACGATTCAGTAAAAGTTTATAATGGCTAGTTTATCTATTGCTTTGAGAAAATGATGCTTATGTCATAAAACCACTCATTTATTTTGTTTTAATAATACAATTTGTGCAATAAAGGAGGATAGATTTGAGTAATTTAATTTAGAAGATCAAAATAAATAAGGGGGCAGAGGTTGTATGGGATTGATGTTTAATAAAATATTAATAATGATAAGATTTATGAACAACATATTATGTTAAATAAATATTAATAATAAAGAATTATAAAATTGTAACATATCTTATATATTAGACAATATAAAAATCATATTAAATTCCTCCCATAAATCGTATTATTAATAAATGTCGTCTGATGAATTGGGTGGCGAAAATGAAAATTTTGATTCAATACAAAAAGACTCCTTATGGAGAGATGAGCATAAGATGGAAGAATCTGCACAACTTATACATTTCCTTGTTTTAGGCCTTATTTGTGGACTAATCTTGAGGGAATTAAATAAGAAGACCAAGTAGGAGAGTTCAATATAATTAGCATCCCTTACTCTCCTATGATTCTTGCTCTTGGTTTGGCTATTGGTCTTTCGTAGAAATATCTTGGGAAAATAGGGAATAGTGCTTACATTTTATCTAAAATGCATCCTCATTTGATCGTCTTCATTTTCATTCCAGTTCTCCTGTTCGAGTCAGCCTTTAACTGTGACTGGTACACTTTCAAGTACTAAATTATTAATATCTTGCTTTTGGCAGGGCCTGGGTGTGGATGGGTAATTTTATATAATTTATATAAAAGGGAGCTATATTGTTGGGAGCATGCTTTAAGATCATTCTGTAATATAGCGATGATGATATGAACTGGTATGAAGCCTTTACTTTGGGATCAGTGTTATCAGCTACCGATCCTGTGGCAGTAGTTGCACTCTTGAAAGAATTGGGAGCAAATCCAGCTTTTAATCACTTGATTGAAGGGTACGAATTAGATGTTATATTTCAGGGAGGCATTACTCAATGATGGAGTTGCAATGGTTTTCTTTAATGTTTTTAACAATATTTCAAAAGCTTCTAGTGGAAAAGGAGAGCCAGTTAATGGAGGCGATATAGTGTTAAGTTTCATAAGGACTTCGCTTCTGGGACCAGTGATGGGTCTAATTTTGGGTGTGTTGGTTGCTTTGTGGACTAAAAGAATATTAGGAGATGATATCGAAGTAACTTGGTTGACATTCGTATTTACATATTTTACATTTTATTGGGCAGAATTTGAATTTTTTAAAACAAGTGGACTTTTGGCTGTAGTAGGTTTAGGTTTGTTTTGGTGTGCTTATGGAAGAACAAGGATAAGGGCATCAGTTGAGCATTCAGTCCATGCAGTTTGGGGATTTGTCTAATATAGTTGTGACACTCTGGTATTCTTATTGGTTGGTATCATTGTTGGTAATGAAATAATGGAGGAGAAATTAATAGTGAGTTCAGACTATTATAAAATGATTGGATTCTATTTCTTAATGATTTTGGCTCGATTTTTAATGGTTCTGACATTCTATCCATTTCTAAAATGTAATATTGATTATGATTTTAAGGTTTTGGATACCCAATATCAAAGTCTGAATTGATTGTGTTGGTTTATGGAGGATTAAGAGGAGGATTGGGACTAACACTCTCTTTAATGGTAGGTTGTGATGAGGATCTCCCTGCTCGTTTTAGACATTTAGCTGTTTTCTATGCTGCTGCCATGGCCTTAATCACTAACATGGTTAATGGAACTACTTGCAAGACCTTAGTCAAATGTGTTAAGATGATAGATGAACCAATTGTTAAAAAGAAGGTGTATAAGAAATATTTGGAGGAGTTGATTGTTATTCAATAGGAATTAGTCAAGGAATTAGAGACTGATGATTTCTATAACATGACTGATTGGATGACTGTGGGTAATCTGATTGGGCAATAGGATTTTATTGAAAAAATTGATAAAGTGGAAGAAGATATTAAAAATATCATTTAAAAGAAGGGGTTTTAAGAAATGATTTATGAAGGATTGCCAAATCAGGATGTTTTTGGAGAAGTCAGATATAGAGTCTACAGAATTCTTAAGGGATTGTATTACCATAAATACGAAGAGGGTCTTGTAGAAGAATAAACGGTAAGAATGTTGGTAGAATCCAGTGATGTTGGATTAGATAAATTAAATTATAATCTTGAGATTTGGGATGAATTATACAAGAATTTTATGAATCTTTGTAGTGTCAATTTCTTTTTTAAAGTGAAGCAGAAGTTTCTCATTGGATTCTTTGCAAGGGAATACTTGATCAAACATCTCGGTTTAGTTTATGATGTGACATCCTCATTCATTATATGTGCAGAAGAGGCATTAAAGTTGGCAGACAATTTCCCTATGAATAAAGAAGCTATATCTATTATTTAAGAAGAATTAAAAAAAGATATTGAAAAGGCATAGACCTACTTTGGTACTTTAAATGGAAGTTTCCCTGAAATAGTCAGAGTCCTTCAAACCAAAAAGGCTTCCTTCTCTATTTTGACTCATTCCATTGAACATCTTCAATCTACGCAACGTCGAGGTCTCATTGATGATAAAGAATATAAAATCCTATTGAAAGATATTAACAACAAGCTTGTCAAATTAGAAAGTCATTCATATGATATGAGTCTTCCCTCTTTTCATGTTGTTGCAATGCAGTTTCCAATCTTTTAAGAGATCTCTCTTACTGATTTGGATATTATCAAAAATGTTGCTATAGAAAAGAAATATGCATTAGGATAAGTCATCTATGCAAAAGGGGATGAATGCAATGAAGTATACATTATCATGAGAGGATACGTTGTCAATGATTTTAACGGAATTCTCATTACTAAAGGATTGGGATCCTTAATTACCCACTAAAGTCTTATTGTGGATGGTGTGCATATGAGCACGGCTAAAGCAGCTGTGGAATCTTAATTGTACTCCTTGCCTACCAAAGTAATCAAAGAAGTTATGATCAGAAATAAAGAATTTGAATTCAAGGTTTATCTACATTCTCTTGGTATTTAGCATTTTCATATCCTTATTAGAATACATTAGAAAATGGTATGAGAGTAAAGTCGGCCCACTTGCTTAGATGGATTTAAAGAGATTGAATGAGTTCTTAAGAAATAAATGTAAGCTAAACAAACTCTCAGCACTATCTCAAACTGAATTTACTCATGGAGGCTTCTTGTTTTCTGGAGAGGTACAAGATTCTAAGGCGAACACATATTATAAATATGAGTAAGAAATCTTCAGTCTATTTTTCAAGCTATATTCCTCCAAGTGAAGGACTTTTAACTACTGTATAAAATGCAACATGCTTTACATTTGATGAACCTATAGAAGTGCTCCAGATGAAGCGAATGAAGGAACTTAAATTAGATAGTCAAAGAGATTAGGAAATTCACGAAAGATATTCAGAGATAAAGAGAAATTCAATTATGGAGTTGAGCAAAATAAATATTACATGATAGATTAAATTTATATCATTTACACTTTGTAATAAGAAATAATATTTATATAAAAACCAAGAATATTATTTTATTAAGAATAAATAATCAATTTTAATATTTATAGTTTTTCTATTTTTAGAATTTATCATAATTTCATAGCAAGAGATTCTATTTCGAAAATTATCCATCTTACAATTTATGAGGAATATTCAAATCACTATTTATGTTTTATTGAATATTCCAGAAATTTTAATCAACGGTTTTTAGAAGTTATCATCCAATTATATTGTATATATTGATTAATCTCTAATAGAAAGATAAATAAAATCATTCATAAAAATACAATTAATTAAATATACAATATTCAGTTTTATTTCTTATTTTTTGCAATTTCTGCATCCAATCTCTTTTTCTCTTTTTCTTATGCACGTCTTTCGAAATACGGCTGTATGTATTTTCTATCCAAAAAACAATAGGTTTGATATATTATAAAGACCACGAACCCATAACCCATACATGATCTCATGTAATCGAAATACCACCATGCTATATTCAATCCAAATACAAGAATAATCAAGAATGTGTATCTGTATAAGCCTTATTGTATTTTTTTATCGTATTTCTCCAAACGATCGTGATATTGGATTATTATTTTTTTGTATTTCTCATTGGTTTGATTTATGCAATCTTCGTCTTCGTACTAAGTCACTTCCTTCTCCCACTTATCCCTATAATAGTTGTATTTGTATTGATTGGACACAATTCTGAACAATTTAATGAATGCTAAAATAGAAGAATAGGTAATCAAGGCCCACATGCTTCCAATCAAACATCTAATAACAACATCCAATATCTAGACTGATATCATAGCCTAATATTTAGCTCTCAGAGCTTGAATCGAATGCTCTTCCTCTTCCAATTATTCAATTTACATTTTCTTGATTAGAAATTATATAAATAGATTTCCAATATAATTTTAAATTTAAATTAATAGTGCGCCAAATTATTCTCAGAAATGAATTACTCACCTCCAAAATCTTAATCATTCTCAGCAGAAAGGCGTCCCACATCTATTTTTCTTCATCCGTTTCCAAAACCTCCCAGCTGTTCTCAGATGCCAATATTCAAGATTGATTTCGGCAAGGAGAATATTCCACCATAGAAAATAAGCTGGGAATAATACTCGTTATCCCTTTAACAATCAACAGTCTCTTAAAAGAAAAAGCCAACTTAAAAATACGTTGAATTGGAGTCGCAGACTGATTCCAAAATCAAGTTCAAATTCCCCCTATATACAGATCATTAGCTTGGCATCAAATCGGAATATTAGAATCTCCTATAAGAAGCTTACGATAATGATGATGATATCAATACAAGAGAAAGTGTAATGAATTTTTTTATAGATGTTTGTAAAAGAGATCTAGTATAAGGAATGATGGAAAATCAATAAATTAAAGATTAAAAGGGGTACTTATTGAGATTTAAATAGAAATCCAATCCTAAATTTTTCGGGTTTAACTTAAAGATTGAGTGTACAATAAGAATCTATGAACTAGAAAGCAGAATGATATACTTAATTATCAATGTTTATCACTCAGCTCATTTTCAATTTTATTCCAACACTTCCATCATTGTTTGATAATTCTTGCAAATAATTCATAATATTTTAAAGTAAATAACAGTCACAATTCATCATCATTATAATTCTCATATAGTATTTCTTCGGATAATGATTTTAGTCCTTATCCATCTATCCTCGAATCGAAAACTAATTCAAAGTCATTAGTTTCCCAATAATTCTCTATCAATCTCTTTTTCTCTTTTGGCCATATAGAAGGAGGAGGAAACAATAGATCTAATCCAAGTTGAAAGACATTGTCAATCAGCTACGACGTGAAATCTTTCATAAATTCCACATCTTATTCTAATATGGGATTTGGCTTAGTACTGATTAAACAGGGTTTACCTTTGTTATCAATTAACATAACTACTTTAATCAACTATTTAATCAGATTTTTAATACCTCGAAATTGTGATCCTTTACTGGCATCTAAATAAATATAGACTTCAGATATTCTCCTAATATTTATTTTATTATTGGGTAAATCGTAGATTCATAATCAAAATTATACAGATAAAGATGGTCCAAAATATTCTTCATCGAAATATACTAATTGTTTATTTTTGAGTTTGAATTTTCGATAAAGTAAATAGAGGATCCATCTTCAAATTCAGATATTGTTATTGATGATTTCTATCCATAAAATTATTAGAATAAATATCCCCTTACAATTCCATTTATTTGAGTAATCAATAAGTAATAACATAAGTCTAATTCGATTTCTTCAAATTCTATTGGATGAATATATTATTAAACTATAAAACTCTACTAATTTCTATTTGGCATCTTGAATTGTTCATTAAGATAATTAAAAACACTTTAGGTATTTTGACATACAATAATTTTATCCTCCTCTTATAAATCACTCTTTCTCAAAAGCCAAACATTAGTTGATGTTTTGAAATTCTTCAGGAATGCATAAAGTAGATTCTCACCTAGATAATCTACAACCATAGAAAGAGGAACAAAGTTTTCTACATATTACCTTGTCAATTAACAATATTTAATTATCGAACAAATCAAATTTTTTTTAGTCCATAAAGGCTATGAAAGATCTATATGATTATGCACCTTAATTTAGGGTGACAAAAAATTCAGTTTATTTTCAATTGCATATCTCATTTAATCCTCAACTCCTTGAGATTTCTTTAAAACCTATTCAAAAGGTTGAAATTCTATTTTATCACTTATATGTCGTTATCCTTACTTACTTAAAAAAGATAGGGAGGCTTGTGAATACCAAAAGAATTCAATATCTTCATCTTAATTGTTAGACTCTTACCACCACCATCTATAACTAAAGCATCTTTTCACTAGCTCCTCATGTTTAGCATCTTTTATAAGATATCTTTGGATCCTAATTGCTGAAGGTCTAACATATATCATATGCATGCATTAATTTTCAAAAAGGGTTCTCAAAAAACACTTGAGTTTTCTATTTATTGTATCTTCATTATTTGAAATTTGCGGGAGATGTATCGATTTTTTTCTTTATAATTTATTCTTTATTTTTTCTTGTGTTTCCTTAGATCTAACAAGCGGTTTTTTTAAAGGATAAGTTAGGCTTTTCTCAGGTGATCTCGAAGAAAAAACTTGTTCTTTCTATTTTTAGATAGGCTTCTCCTTTACAGATTTCTCTATTTAAAATGGGATTAAATGCTTGAGATTTTTGATTTGCTGAAAATTATGGAAATACCCATTTTTAGCAATTTAGAACTGAGGAGATTAATCGATTTTTTTTTATTTACAAACCTGAAATCTACTATCATCTAGTGCATTTTCTAAAATTTTTCTTTAACTTTGTAGGTTATTGATAGTTGAAAAAGATTATTAATTAGTGAGATATGGCGATAATTGAGGTTTTAGGGATTTTTCTCTACCTCTAAAATTCGTAAAACCATCATCGATTTTATCTTCTCTTTTTGAGAATGGACTTCCTAACGACTCCACATTAGAGAGGTCTAGAAAGCTTTGATTTTAAAGATTTGATTTTTAGTTAATAAACAATTGCGGTTTTTAACCATTTATTACTTTGAGAGTTGGTTGAAAATAATGGCTTCCAATCAAATATGATTTTGAGTTTTGTAGTTATATTTGATCATAATGTTTTGTACTGTCTAAATCCTTTGTTGAATAACTTATTTGTCTATTTGGTTCAGTTGGGAATTTAAGAATTGAGGGCATTTTTAGGCTCATCTCCAATTTTATTTGTATTAATTACTTATTTAAATTTTATGAATTCTTTAATGATCTTCGGCAAATGAAAGTTCGTTCTGCTGTAAATTACAATTTTCAAGAGGGAATTTAGAGAATGAGATTTTTATTATTTTTTATTTTCTTCACAATTTTCAACAATTTAATGAATATTTTTTAAACAAATTCAATAATTAAAGAACTCTCATATTTAAAGGTCAATCATTCTCTTAGATTGAATTTACTCAATTGAATAGATTTTCTCACAATGCTAAATAAACTTATATATATACATAAGTATTTCTCGTTTAATTCATCATCATATGAACTATAATTAAAACCATACGTAATAATTAATTGATAGCATAAAAGTGATCAATTTTGAAAAAATTTAATACTTATATATGTCATTCGAGTTTGAGTTTACTCGAGGATTTATTAAGGTGGTTGATTATGCAAGATATAATCAAACCATAATTCCAAAAATAAAGGATTAACTCTCCTTCACTTAAAACAAATAATTCATAAATCAAACGAACATTACTGTTATTAATCTTTTTGGACACTCAAAGCCTGGAATTCAAAACAGATCTTTATCGAAAAAGGAAAGAACTAAATATAAATCATTATTGCATGGACCTAAACCGGGTTCAAAATGAAATAATATAGATATTCATTATCAAATAGACAACTTTTTATCCTATAGTCAACTAAGAATTTTAGAGTTTGTAAATTTATTGACTATTAAGAATTCAGAAATTCGATTTTTCATTTTTATAGATTGCTCAACAAATTCCTTGTACAAGCAACGTTTCCCCTGGTTACCTCTGTCAATAAGTTTAAACTTAAAATTTCTAACTCATTTTTATGTTTAGTATGAGATAATGGACACGCTAATACTTTGTCTTCCATTATTCTTCTCTGGATGTTTTTTTTTTACTATAGCAATGCTACAGTTTTTTATTATATTATTCTTCCTCATCTTGAATTATAATACAATTTATAATAATATGAATTAAGTTGATGAAGACATATAATTTGAAGAAATAACAAAGAGAAAATAATACCAATTGATTTGTTTGCTACTAGCCAAGGATATCAAGTTCTATCATCTTTTTTAATACTAAAATCAATAACCTTTGCTGCATAATTTATTAATTGAAAAGCAAGTTGAGGTAGCTCATTATGTCATTAACCTAATATAAAATTACAGTTAAAACCCTCTGTAAATACTCGATTAACCAAACCCCATACAATAAACTCCTTTTCTAATTGCATGCTATTTTGGATAATTGTCAATAATTAAACATCTAATGAAATTAGGCGTAAATATCAATAGCAAAGATCAAAACAATTTTACGCCTTTACTATTTGCCATTAAAAGCAATTAAACCTACATTGCTATATATTTGATATACAAGTAAAAACATTATTTTATAATAGAGGAGCAGAAGTACTAGTAAAAGATCTTAATGGATGCAGCTTAGCACATTGGTCAGCCTACAATAACAATTTATTTATGCTGAAGATATTGAAAAATCTGTTTAAATTTAATGTATTTGAGATGGATAAGAAATAAAAAACCCCATTAACTAGAGCCTAAGAATAGCTCTCTTATGAGTGTTCAAATTATCTTAAAGGTTTACTAAAGAAAAATAATGGCCGTAGTAAATATTTAACATACCTTAAAATACACTATCAATAACACATATGTTTCATTGCAATAACAGCTTTAAATTTATTCATCTTATCTAAATTTACTGAATTTAAAGAACCTATTTTGAAGCATGGATCACTATTTTTATAGTTGTATAATGTATTCTTTAACTTTATTCTATTTTATATTATAGAGAATGCTTCTATTGCTAAAGATGCATTTTATACAAATAATAGAAATAATGTGTCAAGTTTTAATATGTCAAATGAAGGATTTGGAGATGTATAGGGATGTTTAGAAATTGATTAAACGATCGTTCCATTCATATAAGATGAATAAAACAATAATCAATCAATGAGTTTAATTTGTGATACCATAGTTGAAATCGAAGTAATTATTAAGTTATACTTGAGAAACCATTCATTAGACACATAATCTAATCAATAGACTAAGGCACGCAGATCCAATTTGAACCTGATTAATTATGTTTAGATTGCATGATAGTAAAATTGCCAAGGACTGAACATTGTGATCACTGCAAATGTTGTCATCCAAATTTCCAGATGCATTCATCTTTTTATAAGAAATGTATATAAGATGATGGAATTTATTTATTTTACTTTACACTAATAATAACTTAGTTTTTAGGATTTATGATCTATTTGTGTAAGTTGTGATGATTATAATAGTTATAAGATTTCTATGCATAAGGGATTAATTTTGAATTGGATGAAATAGAACTCAACTTTACCTTTGTGATTGCATTTTTTATAGCTCTCTTGGTTATCCATCAATGTGTATATATAGTTGTATTGTTTTATGGAATTGTTACAAATAAAACTTAGTAATTGACATTATATCAGCTTTAGTTTTGAATTAATGAATCTGGAGAGATGTTGGTACAAATACATAACGATCACGTAGCAGAATGGTCTCTTAGCAAGAGTTTTATAATGAATAATTATGTAAATGAAAAATTATAATAATTTAATTTATTATCAGATGATTTAACTTCATTAGGATTTATTACAGCATATAATAATCTATAATATTAATAACAAATGAATCAATTAGATGACTTTGATTAGATTGGATTCTAATAATCTTCTAGTCAAAACGCCAATTTCGACTTTGATGGCAATATGAAGAATATGCAGGCCTCTACTAATCACAATCGAAAGATGAAGGAAAATACAAAAAATACCTATATCAAAAAAATTAGTTCACTTATGAAATTATCTCCCACACAAGAAAAAATTGAAGAGAAATCAATGTAAATAGTTTGATTAAATACAAAGGCCAGAAAAAAAATTATTAACGAAACCATTTTAAAGTCAATAGTAATTTAATTATATTTCACAAACAGAAAAGGAAGACAAATTAGCAAAGAATAGAGAATCAGCTAGAAATAGCAGAAAAAGAAAGAAAATATATCTTGAATTACTTGAAAACAAAGTGACTAAGTTATCTGAATAATTGGATTTATTTAAAGATGTTAATGATAAAACCTATAGTTTGGCATAAAATTTGTAAATTAAATTAACACAAGTAAGTAATTACAATACACAACTAGAAAAAAGAACAAGATTAAACAAAGTGTATTTTGTTCAACAATCTACAAACGTCATTGTAAAATAATGCATCGGAAGCAAATGTTGATTCAATAATAGACTCTTTAAATGTAAGTTATTCCTTAATTTAGAAAAAATTTGGTTCAGCATCTCAAGAAAGACAATTCTTAATTGATCACTATGCAAGATAGATAAACGAAAATTGTTTGGCTCCTTTTTGCAATTATATCATTTAAATAGCTAAGAAACAAGATGATATCTTCGCTTAAAATGAATAGTAATGCATACTATTATAATAGAAATATGAATCTTAATTTGTTAACTTAATTGAAATTGGCAGATAAATAGAAATAAATACTTTTGAAAAAATAATAAAAATTATCTAAGCATTATCAGGATATCTCAAAGTATATGCAAATATCATATGTTAGTGCTGTTACTTAAATAATGGATACAAAATCTTAGATCTAAAAAGAACTTGCTTCATTTGATTCAACTCTTGATTAATTGAGAAATGAATTAAGACCATCCTAAGTGGCAAAGTTACTCTTAGCGATTGAAAAGAAGGACATGCAACATAACTTTAAAGAATCATTCGAGAAATTCTTTGGGCATGATATAGAAGAGGATGACTCTTTAGATTTATATTAATTTATGACTGAACGAAATCAATGTAATTCTCTTGGAATTGACATTCAAAATACCTATGATGTTTTTAGAGCTTCTCATGACTTTCTTTTTGGCAAAAATGAAGAATTAGAAGTTAATTAGATTAATGGTAAAGATATTTGAAGTATTATAATAACTTTTAAATTTAAATAATATAATTCAATCCTTATAATCTAGTAATTCTGTATAAGCCTCCTTAAAATAACACATCGGAAATCGTTAACTAAGTTTAAAGTATACAGCAGAACTGTATGGAAACACAGAATTCTGAGAATTTGTACTCGACATAGAAGGTGATCTTTATAACTATTAGCCATTGTGGTTTTCGTAGAATTGTTCGGACTAAATTTATACATTAAATTTACATCGTATTGCAAAATTTCTAAGAAATAGGATTTATCCATTTCATCTAATACAATTTTCATATTATTAGGATTTCTAAACATACAACATAATAGAGTAGGGAACAAAATGTTCTTTAACATTTTATCAACGTAAAATTGAGAAGGCATTTGCAATAAATTATGTAATACGGAAATCTTTTTCATTGATCCTACAAGTGAATTTTGATTATTTGGGTTTAGAACACAATAATATCCTATTAAAAGAATTAATTCATTGAGCAAATCTTTTAAATCTTAACTTTACTCGAGGTTGCATTTACAATATGTTACAAGTCTTTATATTATCATATGAACTTCTTATTTATTAGATTGCTTATTCATAGTTTCCTACAAAACTATAATATTTAATCTAGCAATATTGTTCAAAGTTTTAATTCCTACCATGAAAAAACTTATAATTGTTTAGGGAAGCAACTTGTTTGTAGTAAAACAAACTTCCTCACCAACAACCATTTAACTAATTAATTAGATTAAACCAAATAGTTCTGTTTCTTTAAGCACAAACTTGAGATGCTCTTCAAAACTTTTAGATATTCGTTTTCCCTCTTCATCAAATAATGATTTATTTTGTGTCCTATGATTATTATATAAATGTACTCAAATCCATGGTAATTAGTGGCAGCCTCTATAAATGCAACACTCTTAACAAGAGCAACAGGGATTTTACCTTCAGAATTGATGTAATCTTTTTCAAATGATAGAAATCTTAATTTCATCTTATTGAATAATCCACAACAATACATATATTCCAAGGTATCTTCTTAAATTCCCTGAATATTCAAATCTGAAAGAGGATCAGTAGGTAATTTATGTTTGATAAGTAAACTAAATATTTAAAAACATTAAGCAACGAATTGATAACTGTATATAAATTTGGTTGGCTTTGAAGCTAAAAAGTTGTACATAAAATCAATAATAGGCAATAATTTATTGCTTGCCAACATATAGGTTCTATTATTATAAACACTACAAAACTGGTAAACAATTTCAGTTGCCTCAATGATAATTAATAATATTTACCACTCCAATGATTTTAAGATATTAGGTGTATTCGTTCTTGTGACAGGAAGAGATCTTTTTAAAAACTTCGATAACAATTTATATGAACTTCATTTATCTTAGGTTAATTAAATCTGTTTCCTGGTTCACCAATTTTAGTAATTCCTTCATTTGCTATTCAATTTAATACAAATCCTTAATTTAATTGTTCAACAATTTATCAAGATCATTTGATAATTTCTAGATCCTCTACCTGTTATAACTATTTCCTGGTTCTTTATAACAATAAATATTCATATTTTCTAATTATAGACTCTTTTATTGTATTTTTTGTTTAATTTTTTGACATCGTTTTCTGATTGACTAGAATCTATTCTATGAGATCTCATCCTTAGATCCTTTTACAACCAAGATGTCATTTTAAGTAGCTTATAAGTTATAATACTGTTTTGTTTATTTATGAGATTTAGATTAAATGTGTTTATTGTCATCTTCATTTTCTATAATACTATTGCAAATCTAACAAAGTTTGAAAAATTGAGGTTCTTCTTCCTTCTCTTTTTTTGGAGTAACATTTGTGCTTGAATTTTCTTCATTTTTGAAAGTAGGTGATTGTGGTTATTATTGTTATAGAATTGATTGTAAAACTAATGAATTATCTTCTTATTTGGTACGAATTAAAATTGGAAATATTATAGATTTCTTAATGGTGGGTACAGATTATTCTCTAAATGTTTTTGATGGCATAATTTTTTATTATTTCTGCTTCTTCTTATTTTCCTTGATTTCAACCTCTTTTTATTTCTGTAATTTAAAATATATGATTTGATCACTCTCCAATGCCTATAATGAATCTGATAATGATTTGCATTATCTTTTTTTTTCTACTTCTAATTCCATTGATGCATCATCAGAAACAGATTGATCTAATAAAATTTTTAATTCATCTTTCCTTTTAATCTTTTAAACATCTTTTTTCACCTTCTTCACTTAAAAATCTTTTTTTTCTTATTTCTTCAATAATTTTTAAAGTTTTTCATCCTCATTTTCCTTCTTCTTTCTCCTTACTTCCTCATCCTTTTATTTCTTTTACTATTGCTTCTCTAACATATGTTTTTCTAAATCCTTCTTTCTTTCTTAAGATTCTATTATTTTTTCATCAAACTCTATTTTTTTATTCTATGCCTCAAGCTTTTAAATAAATTATGCCTCCCTCGCTTTATCAGATTCTAACTTTGCTCTCTACTTTTTCTCCTCTAATCCTTTCTAATATCTCTTGCGCAATTAATAAATAAACATACTTAAGTAGCTTCCTCATATTTCTTGAACATTTAATCCAATGAACATTACTTTTTTCTTTCACATTATTCAAATTAATTCATATAAAAGAAATTATTAATTATAATGTACAATTTTATATAATTCTTTATTATATAAAACTTCTAGTATTGATTTAAAAGTCAAAATTCTCCTGTCCTCATATCAAATAACTAAAATATAAGCAAAATATATTAAAAGAAACCTAGCTTTAATGAGACTAATAAATTATTCATTATGTTTTTAAAAATATTAACAATTACTTATTAATGGTAATTCATATACATATAATTAATTTATAATGCGTAAAATCATGATTATGATCAGGATTGATGAGATTGTTATTTAGATTTAACAATTCCAATTTTCGATTGATCTTCGTCAAACCAAACATAGTGATGGATGAGAAATGGCTATCCTAAAACAATTAGTTCATCTCCAATAATTGGATTATTTTTAATATATGGAATACAAATGTCTTTTGAGAATAAGGCATGAGTGTTTCTTTTGAAATATTATGATCCTGCTAATGTAAATTTGATCCCTCTATCCAAAACAAATGTCAGATCTGGAAATGTATCAATATTGCTGCACAATTGATAACTAAAATTTAAATCATGTTTAATATTACACTCCAAATTTCTAATAAAATTTCTCCATAGCATAAACAGGGAAACTAATGAATGATGTGCCAGAATCAATAAGACCTTGGCAATTATTGCAATCATCAATTCTTTAATCCCCCAAAAACACTGCTTTAATGTTGATTGTCCAGAGATTATCTGATGTAACGTCAAAGAATTTGAATTCCTCTCCAGGAGCAATCAAATGCAAAGAAATGCCTCCAAGAATTAGCTCACTTGACATATCATCATCATCTCTATTACTCAAATACAGTGAAAAATTTCGAGTGTCAGTCTTTAAAAAGAGTTACATGATATCTTACATCATATTCTAGGTTGTGAATGTAGGAAGCATTTTTGACAACTGCTTCCTTAATTCGTCCCAAACCCAATATCCCATCGAATTTCATTTGACTAAATATCTAAGATTCAATTTATAGATTACATCCTCTGACTGTTCTACTATGCCAACAATAAACTGGTTATTGACACAGTATTGATTCAGACACACTCTGTCCTCAAAAAATACACCAACTACACTTCCTGATGCAAATTGAATGTCAATCTCATTGCCTACTTCTCCCTAGGTACATATACACAATGTACATTTGCTAATTTGATGGCTTCAATGTAGTATGATGTAGTTGATAAGGATGGATTGTATGAACCATGTTGAATGCAACTGTTTTATTAGCAGAGAGATGAAGTAAGTAGTAGATTTGGGCTTCCTGTATCAATTAAAACAGTTAATTTTTATTCGGGTGTACCAACTGTCATTTCAGCCAAATAGAAGTTCTTTTGATTTTGTATGAATTTACTTCGTGCTTTTAGAGTAACAGTTCTATTGAATCCTCATTTACGTCCTTTTTTAATTATCATTATAAAATTACCATTATACTATCCAAAAACTTTTGAGATTTATGATGCTTATGATGAGCTTGCTTTTTCGATAACTTAACTGATTTCCCTTGATTGTGTGCTACACATAAAAGGATCAATTAAAAGAGTAACAAATATTTAAAGTTCATTCCTTCTAAAAAAACGATTTATATATGTATTATTAATATTATTTGATTACAAATTTAAATATTAACAAATATGTCTAGTTACCCAAAAAAAAGAATAAACTTTTCAGAATTGGATGATCATTTCGATGATGATTAATAAATTGATTCTCTAAGATATAATGCAGAAATTGATAGCGCAATTCAAATTAAAAAGTCATCAGATCATGAAAAAGTAAATATATTATATTAAATTCAAAGCTAAATGAGGTACAATAATTATTACAATTTTCACCTCATCCTTAATAAGAAAATTAGAAATTATCATCTGTTCGGTGTTCATTTGGATTGAATTCAAATAACAATTTCAATCCAAGCAGATTACCATTCTCCCAAAATTAAAATAGTGTAAACTCTTCAATTCAAATTGGTTCACCTGACACAGCCTAATTTCCATTATAGAAGAAGTTTCTTAAATTGTACCAAATGAGATCGTAAAATTCATTATTATGCTCTATCTAGTTCAATTGAAGAAATCAGTGCGGAGAATGATCTTAGTTAAAGCAGAGAAAACATGACCAAGAATTCAAATCGCACATTAAACACTGAAGAGGATAAAAATGTGCAATATAATCAAGATGAGAACTTATAAAATGAATTATACGAAAATGATTCATATGCTCTATTTACCTAATTGCTTGAGTAATTGGAATAGTCACAGAACTAAATATAAAAGCAACAATTACAATATCAAGAGTTGCAATCTAAGTATGAAAAATAGTAATCACAAATTATTTATTTGACCAAATTAAATTAAGAAATCACAAAAACCCTGGATGAAACTCAGAATCAACTACAATTGTTGAATGAAACTAATGGACTACTAAAGAAAAAGATCCAATCTTATAAATAGTATAGTATCACAGAGTAGTCTCAATACAATGGAAATACCAATAGATACAATAAAGAGAATAATGATTATTTAAAGCACCACAACAGCACAGAATCCAATTAATCTATTGAACTAGTTAACAATCTCAAAAAAACACAAAAGGTTACCAAGACATATTCCAATGTCATTATGATGTTGCTATTGATGATCTAAAAATGCTTTTATTTAGATGAATCAATTGATAAAGAAGGAAAAGAAGTTATTAATAAGATAACTCAATAGATAAATCAAAGATAATTGGTACTTACTTTATCCAATAGTCATAGGATAATATTGTATTTTCAATTGAATCCCTAATAAAGTATTTTGAGCAAAGATTCTCAGATATGGCCACCAAAAATAGTAAGGCGTCATCGATGAGCAATATCATGGATTAAATCAGGTAATTGGTTGATCAAAGAAGTAATTGATATAATTAATAGTTAATTTCTATATATTTTACTAATTTAAATAAAGTTATAAAATATGGGGCAGAGTTGTTAGATGTAGCATCAAACAATTGATCAAAACGAAATTTAATACAAATTGGTGTTAATCAAACCCATTTCTCATAGAAATTAGATAAAGAGACCGATCTTTGAAATCAATTAAATCAATAGTAGAGAAGAAACTATGGATGAAATCAACGAATTAGATGTAGATACCAGAAAATCTTAAAAGCAAACAAATGGTTGTGCCTAATAATTCCAATCTAGCTTCTAATTTGGGGTTCAGCAACAGAAACAGATTATAAAAAACCAAATAAAATCCTTCGGCGGAGACATATCATAAATTTTCAATAAGAAAAAATAAAAATTAAACTTGAGAACTTCATAAGAAAGCAAGGAAGAATAGATTAATAGAGAATCAAATAGAAATGCCACATTTAATTGCGCTAGAAATTGTGAAACAAGCCAATCACCTCTTCAATAGTGGATCAAAAATTAGAGTCCCACTTATGAATCTTTAAAAAGTGAAATCAAGTCCATTCGTTCAATTAATGGTCTAAATCAAGAACAACATAAAGCAGGAATTTTGAGAGAGAAGAAAGTAAAGGCGAAATCTTTATATTACAAAAGAACTGTGCGTTTTTAATGCTGATATTAATATACGTAGCTAACTCTTTAAATTATATATATAGAATTGCTATAAGGATTTCAAGCTAAATCTATTTCAATATACACTAAAATCAATGAATAATCATCCTATATATCAGGTTAAAGCTTTGCCTTCTTTCTTGCCTCTTCCACAATTTGTCCTGCTGCATTTTCAATGGCCGCTTAACTATTTGGAGGAGTGATTGGAGTCAATATTCTACAAATGTCTATAATATCAATCATGTCCAGAATCGACCCAGTGGCTAGTACCAAAAAACCTTCTTGTTAAATTTGGAAAGTATGAATGTCAGGAAGTGAAATGATTCCAACTTGTTTTGCCTAGATATCTCCAAATGATCTTGTAATAGTGACACCTTTGATATCTTATTTTTTTGATTTCACTTTTAATGGTCCTGTTTTTTGAAAGCCTTAAGTGTCCTATTCTATTTTTCCACCTGATTCCAAAATCCTTTGTGATTCTATTTCTTTCTCAGGAGTATGTTAATTTGACAACTATTTAATTCTCAAAGTGACAGGTCCAAGCTAATCTGGTTTATCACTTCTTTAAAAATAGAATGTCCTTGTGTCTCCAATGTTGGCAGATATTAAATAATTTTCGAAAGTTAAAACCATATTCATTGTAGTGCCACTATCTGTAGTATCGATATTAGATAAGTTTACCTAATCATAGGATATAATACTTACTATATTGGATTCAATTTTTTAGAATGTTGTAATTATATTTGAATTTAGTTGCTCTACAAATTTTGGCTGGGTGTTCATGGACTCTATCATATCATAAATGCAATCAGAAAGTTGTTTTATTGCATATTATGATACTTTCGCTCCTTATTCACCGTGACCATCAGCCAAAAGAAATAAGTTCTTATCAGCTTACTTATTTATTTCCAACTTGTAGAATAAGGAATCTTAATTATCTTTCTAAGCCTTTGTATAGGCCTTCAATCCAGCAATTGAACTAAATAAATATATTGACACAATTACCGGGTTGCGATGTACTTAATTTTATTTTATTTCTTCTAATTTTTAGCCTCGTTAGTTTGCTTCTAACATGATAATAATAGAGTTTACTGATTAATCTTTGTCTTGAAATGTTCCCATGTTTGAATTGGATATTTAGTTTATTGGTTTTTGTAATGGTTCATTTTTCATGCTTGTAGGATCATAACTATTTGCTTTATTAATTTTGATTGGATCTCCTAAATTGAAATCTTGCTTTGGATTCAGTGCAAATATCATTTATTTATTGACTACATCTTTCTATTTATTTTATTAAGAACTCATATATATTATTAAATTTAATACAGAAATCTATTGATTTATTCCTTAAATTAAATAACGCGACGTTATTAAGCATATTAAAAAGGCTCTGTTTTCTTAAAACAGAAGTACAAAAGGTTGTAATGTTGTAATACAAGTGTTTAAAAAATGATACAATTTTAGTAATTATTTATGTATTTAAAATAAATATTTAATGAAAATTAAGATATTTATATTTTAAGTTATACACATACAGAATTGCTTTCATTTTCGAATATATAAACTTTAATTTTGGGAAGTAATATAGGCAATTATGCACTATTAGAGTGTCATTTGCATTTTGAAAGAATGTGATTGGAAATGTAACAGTCAAATGTTAAATATAGTTTTATAAAATGAATATTTTTTCTGAAGGATGATGTATAAAAAATCTTGCTAATCAAGAGAGTACAAATAATTATGGTTCCTGATCTGTTTCTTTGTGATTCTGAGTGAGTATGGTTTAAGTTAACTTGGGGGAATCGGATTGTGATTTATTTAAAAGAGAGAAAGTGTTAAAGAGGAATTTTTCTTGTTTCTGTTCCTCAATATACTGATACAATAATTTCTAATTTAAGCGGAAAGATAATACATTCTTGAGACGTTAGAAGTTGCTTTATAGAATTACTGATTATTGATAGAGGAGGCTTGAGGTAAGAACAATATCATTTTAGAGATATTTGATTTATTGCAATTATTCTTATTGTTTTTTGATTGAGTCTTATTGGTCTAAAAGTAGCGATTAGAAAATACTTGTTTGTTCTTCCTCATCAGATTATTAACCATTGCTTCGGCGGTGAACATGTATAAGTAGATTTCTAAAGAGATTGATAATAATCTTAAATAATATACTTGGCTTCCCTTTTGAAATACTTGTGTTAAAACTGATTCCAGCCATTCTTCAACCGTTTCTTAACAAAGTTATACATATTCAATTGTCGTAAGAAAGATTAAAAGTTCCTATGTCTGAAATATTATGGGAGCACCTAAGAAATAAATTTGAATCTTGACTATACTTTATTAGCAAATTCCCTAGCGTTTTTGATATAGAACATCTCACCACACGTTGACCACTCTATCAGATGTTTAAGCTTTGGCGTCTGTTGGAATTCTATAATTATAATTTTGTACATCCAGCATTTCAAAGGTTCTGAGGAGGAAATGGGCTATTCCTACCCTTCTTTTGGAACTCATATTTTGAATATAATTAATAAAAATAAAAAAAGATAGAATAAGAGAGTATGAAATTTAAGATTGGGTATTTAAAATTCTTAATATTTGATGCGTCATTTCTTCTCTAATAATTTTGTTTCCGAGCGAGGTACCAAATTCTCTGTTAAATTAAAATCATTCATTCTTTCTAATTTCACCTAAGTCTCCTTATCCACCTAAGGAGTGTGGTATGATACATAAGGTTTAAGCTAAAATAGTCATTATAATACTTCAAACCCGGTCAAATCTGGTATATCGTATTAAGGAATTCTACTCTTATCAACCACAAATTTGCCTTATTTTATAATAATTCAATTACTTCCAACAAATTTTCCAAATACTCTATCACTTTCCAGTCTCAATTTCCTAATCCTCATTCTGCCTTCATAAGTATTTGTCTATTCAAACTATTTTGCATATTTTACATTTTTTAATTACTCCACTGCATTCAAAGACACACTCCCAGGTTCTTTATGATATTGCTAATGTCCCAATTTATAATTATATAATCCAAGAGTCTTTCTGAAAGTTTATCCAGCCTTTCTTCTGCAAACCGAAAATCCACTTTGCATTTAATTTATAAATAATATAAAAATTAATATTCCTGTCTTTAACATTCACATTATTCTTTTTTGCTTATCCATAAACTACTTGAAGTTGCATCACTTACAATAATTTTTTTGAATATTTAATGTTAATAGCATTTGACTTAAAATTCCTAAAATTAAATTCAATTTTTTCCATAATTCTTATCTCTTATGACTAATTCGATAAAAATGAGCCATACATATAATACATTCACATTGAAAAAAGAATCTAAATATTAGAAATTTGGATGATTATGAGCAATATTAAAGTGCGATTAAATTTATGAGTTATATAATTTTATTAAAATGAAAATCATAATCTGTAATATGATGGAATAGCATTTAGAATTTTAGGTAAATCCAAATGATACAGTGCTTCAATTGAAATAACTGTTCTGTGAAAAAGAAGGCTCAGTCCTTGCAAATTGTAGATTAACTCATGGCTAAGATGAATTGCATGATAATCAAACAATCTAATAGGCAAATCTGAAAGAAGGAGATATAGTTTACTATAGCATGCACCTTGGATTTTGATGATTTATTTTATATAATAAACAAATATGAATAGATGAGTTAATAATGTGACTTTAATCTTTAGTTACTATATAATAAAAACGATAATATCTTAATTTCTTCACTAAAATCAACCTTTGTAGCTTAAGATATGACCTGATCACCTAATTGCCATAAAATCATTAAGATATTTTGATTAAGATTTTAGATTGATTTTAAAATAATTCTTTTCCAATAATAATGGATATGATATTAGTGATTATTTTTAATGTTAATTTAAGAAAGAACATTAAAAATATTTTAGTTCAATTCTGGAACTTTTGTTAGAGTATATCTATTCTTTAAAATAGATTATAAAAAGTTATAACATCTTAAATAAAGTAATTTAATTTTGAAGATCATAATTGTATTATTTCTTCGCAAATTATTGATAAGAAAAAAGATAATTGTTTATAAATCACCATTCCTTCATTATTTATAATTAAAAATAAAGTTCTTCAGGTTTCTACAACTTTATTAGAATTTTCTATAAATATATATCATTAATAAACATCTTTTACTTCTTATATCTAATTTTGACTAAAAATCTTTTTTTAATGAAGCCATTCTTAATACTTAATTTGTATTCTATTTTGAACTTTATTTATAATACATTCAGTATTTAATTAGAATCATAGAATAAAATTATTTAATCTGAATAGATTTAGATAAAACTCAAAATATTATTCTTTTTTTTTTTGCTTTAGTATATAGCATTTAAGATATAGTTAATTAATAAGGTTATTTAAGTTAAGGACACTTTTCTTTTAGTCAAAGAAGAGAGGAACACTTCAAAATCTATTTTATTTTTGATTTCAATTTTAAAGTTATAAGCTTATTTCAAAGTCAGAAATATTACTTTAAATAATATTATTATAAAAAGAGAGGAAATTTAAGGATATAAGAGTTGATAAAAATTTGGAAGATAATATTATGATAATTATTAAATTATATATATATTAATGTTTTTCCGGAATGAATTTAAGCCTGTACTTCAAAGTAGCGACTTGTTTCCTTCAACGAATAAATCTTTCAGCTAAGGGAAAATGTCTTAGGAGTAGACATAATAATAATCACCCAAAAAGCAATCTTAGCTTAAATAAAAAAACAATCTCTTACCACTTACTGATAGGATTGAAATAAGAAAAAATTATTATGATGGATAGCAAAATGAGGAGTTAAAACAGCAGAAACAAAGATTACACAGTTCTCTATAAAAAAATAAATTAAATTTACTACCAAAACTAGAGTCTTTACATTCAGATAAGAGTTTATATCAAACTGTTATCGAAATATTTCCAACAGATCATCCAATTTGGAGTGATTTAGTTTAAAAATCTTAGACTATAGAAGGAGTAATTGAATCAAACCAAGCCTTTTTTTTAGGGATTATGAGTATTTTTAGACATTTATTAATAGCTCTTTATCTCAAACAATCTAAATTGTAAGCACTTAAAAATTAAATTCAATTAAAAGCTATATAAAGTTAGTACAATAAAGATTATTAAAATGTCAATATTGGAAATCAAGATGTTCAATTAGATTAATCAAAGGCTCATGATTAAATGTGGGGGAAAGACCTTAAATAATTATATACAGAGAGTGTCTACAATGTATCCACAATATATATATTAAAGTCCCAATATCTCCCATATAAGTTAGAAAAGTAGATGACATCTCCAAAAAAGGATTTCAATCCCAGTTTAAGTTAATCCTCTTATTTATCTACTTACAAATCTTAATTTTAAAATTGGAAACCTAAATATCCTGGCAAGATAACAAGAGATACATCTCCAGTTGAACCCTAGAATTTACCATTCATCTCAGAAAGTAGTTATGCTCGAGAATTTAAAAATGTGAAGACTGAGAGATCTCCTTTATAAAAGATAGCAAAAATGTATGAAATTAAATTTTAATCAGAGGACCCTTTGCTGAAAATCTCGAGTCTTTAGTAAAAGAAAGTACATCTTCTTATTACTAATAATAACAATTTAGTAGAATTCCTTCAAAATTAATGCGTCCAATAAGTCCAAAATTATTCAACGCCAGTTTTGAAGGATAGTATACAACAGAATTTAATAAGTACAATAAAGCTACTATTAAAGATCTTACCATATAAATTCAGATTAAGAATCTTCCTTTGCAAACAGATTTTATGAAAGCAACTCTGTAAAGAAAATCTTCGATAGAAAAATTGATAGAAAAATTTATTGATTATTATTTCTAATAAAAATTTAATCACTTTTTCTCTGGTTTATAATATCTCTATGGTACAAATGGAGTTGGACTCAAAGTGATGTTTACTTTGGATCCTCTTATATCTGCTTATAATTAAGTTCCATCTTTAGCATATTCATTATTAATGAAAGCAAAGCCCAATCCTTTTTTCAAATTAGGTGAATATGTGCCACTTGTAACGGAACCAATCTTCTGTCCTTGGAATTCAATATCACAAGGGGGTCTGGCAATTCCTGATTAAGTAATGAAACCCATTCTTTTGAATTTTGCATCTTTTTGTCTTTGTGGCAGGGCATCTCGACCAATAAAAGCAGCAGATTCATTGTATTTTCCAGTTTCTTTCTATAATAATAAATAAATAAAGTCAAATACATTTGGCTTTCGTACAGTCCACATTAATTTTGCTTCGTAAGGGGAAATTGTGTCATCCATCTCATGGCCATGTAAACATAAACCAGCCTCTAGACGTAATGAATCTCTGGCTCCCAAACCACAGAATTAAGCCATTTTGGTTGCCAATAACTTGTCACATAATTCTTATGCTTTAGAACTCTCAACAGATATTTCATAGCCATCTTCACCTGTGTATCCACATCTATTGATTTGATAGTCTATTCCATTCTTTTTGATATTCACCATAAACATAAATGGTATCTTGTCTAAATTGAATTCTGTTCCGAAGACTTCATTCAATGCTTTGTGAGCATTTGGTCCTAAAAATAGTTTCATATAACTACCTTGCACTGCAATCAAAGGCTTATCCTTGAGATACTCATATTAGACTTTATAGTTGTAATCCTTAATGATTTTATCCATTTGTTTCATATCAATAAACTTATTTCCAGCATTAACAACGATGTGACTTTTTTATTGAACAAATTTGATACATGTGATCATCTCTTTTAGCAACTATTGTGTCATCTATGATGCCTGCCTTCTCATTCAAAATCAAACACAAAACACTCTGTCCCGATTTCTTTGCTAATTGATTGATTCATGACAATAATACATACTTTAGAATTCTCCAGTTGTTAGGGTTTCAACGAATTTCACTCTATCCTCTCCAAATACTTTGACTTACCCCATGTGTGATACATCAAATAATCCACATGATTCTCTGCAATATAAATGCTCCTTCAAAACACCCTATGGATATTGAACAGGCATTTCATATCCAGCAAATGGAACCATTTTTGCTTTGAGATTGACATGATAGTCATGTAAATGCAATTTCATCAATTATGTGAAACCATAAGATATCTTTCTCATAAATTATTATTTGAATGTAATTAATATCATTAATTCATTATGGACTATTATATATCAATTACAAGGAGATCCTATTGCTTATGTTACTATTTCTCATACATATATGTGTATTTTAATGTGGTTATAATATTTTGAGTAGACACAATATTTAGTTGATAAATTCAAAACTTGAAGAAGAATAATTAAAGTGATAATAATTCCAAAAATAATATTAATATGGACATCAAGCAATTGGAGAGACAAGTGAGAGAAATCACTGAATTATAAGATTCCATTAAATGTATGACTAAACATTTACTTAACATTTTTAGAAACTTCAACTTATTGTTCTACCTTCCCGGAACACAGCGGCATGGTTGCCTTCATAATTGAAAATGAGTTTGTTAGTGCTCGAAAAGAGAGAAAGAAACTCTATTTGTTTCTCATTCATTAGATCATCCTTGACGAAAAACATGCTAAAAGGATGGATCATCCCTATGTGAAGTGCTTTGGCTAGAAGTTGAAGAAGTTAATTATGGATTATGCATAGTAATGAGTTAATATTAGCTTAGTTAAGTGGATGAGATTGATGATCTAGAGAAAGCATATGCTGTCATTAGAAGATGGGAAAAGGATTTAATTTATCATCCAATATTTCTGGATAAGTTGAGAAGCATTCTTTAACCAAAATATGATCAATTGAAGTATTAGCAAATGATTGTTAATTAAATAACTTAAAATGAATTAGCAAGCAATAAAATTCTAGTTCAAAATTTATAAATTATTTAATAATTTGATTCAACATACAAATTATATTTGCATTTGAAGTCATTAAGAGACATTGATGACAAATGCTTAGATTTTAACACAAACTTTGATAAATACATGATGAAATATGAACTCGAAAAAATTGAAGACTATGAAATGATAGATGATCTTTTAGAATAAGGAGAAGCCTCTAAAACCTATTTATCTGAAGTAAGCAATCTTAATATTTAGAATATTTGTTCCACTTAAAATCATTACTTAGATCTAGCCAGATTAGGAGAGCAACTAATTAAGGAGGACATTGAAAAAAAAGATAACAAAATTGAATATTATAAATCAAAAAGGCCAATTTAATGATATGCAGCTATTATATTTTGCATTAATACCATCAACCTTTTATTACTTTTTTATTATATTAAATATGATACTATATGGTTAATTATAGGTTATTTCATTTACTTCAATGTTAGTAAACTATTTTTATTTCTTTATTATCAAATTTATAAATATGGATTGCCAGAAATTGTTTTCATAAATAATTATATAAAAAATTAGAATTCTAAATAAAAAGAATTTATTCAATCACAAAATAATTTGATTTGCTTTTTATAAAAATGAATATCTTAACTCTATGAGAATAACCAATGTTTCTTTTATTAAATTAAAGAGCAAAAGGCGAGAGGAATATTATGATATATGAAATCAATTTTTTAAATGGAAAATACAGTATTCCCACATCTAATGTATTAATATCTAGTTAATTTAATATTCAGAATTATAGCACGATTTAACTTTTTTTTTTTTAATGAAGAATAATTATAGATAGCTAGCTAAATTTAATTTTATAACTAAAAATTAGTTTAAAGAACTGATTTTTTGGATTAAAAAATATTTATTAGGTAGTTTAAATTATTTAGAGAATTTGAATTAAATGCTGAAATTATCAACACCATAAATTTAATTCCTTTTCTGTTTGCATACCATCAATATGATTATGATTTCCA